ACAATTGACAAATGATTCCATTTCACACCTGTGTCCTTGTACATCCTTGACATATTTGTGGTCTGAATATAAATGTGAAATAAAAAATATAACCAATATAATTTGTGCTGCCTTGTAACAAATTTCGTTGACATAATTTCCTTGGAAAAGTAATAATAAATGTGCTTTTAAATTGTATGCAACATTTTTTTATAAAATATTAAATGCCTTATAAGTGATGTATTATGTGTACACCGGGCCCTCGCATAACACGGGGGTTACGTTCCTAGAAAACCTCGTGTTAAGCGAAATCGTGTTAAGCGAAACATGGATTCAGTACAAAATAAGGAGTTACGTTCTAAAAATTTAAAATTGGCAGCAAAAAAATTTTTTATTGTTCAAATTTGGTATGTTTTTATTAAAGTTTCATACATTTGTTCAAAATTAACCAAAAGTTATTATGTATATGCCTTTAATAAAAGCATACCATTCATATTTTCAAACTTAAAAGTTGGTATTTAATTAAAAAAGTTGCTTCTTATAATTAATTAATAGGTTAAACTTTATAGAAACTAAAAAATGTTAAAAAGTAAGGAGATCATATGTTTTATTCATATCATAATTCATAATTTGAATTCATAGTTCATAATTTTAATTTATAATTCATAATTTTAATTCATAATTTTAATTAAAATTTCAATTCATAATTTTAATTCATAGTTGATAACTAAAAATTCATAATTCATAATATGAAATGCATTTGGTGGCATTTATAGTTAAAGCCAGTTTGTTTTAACATGGTTTCTTTTTTGGTGGCTCCTTGTAAAAATCAGTAATTTTTGATTGTTTCGATATTTTGCAATCGTTTAAGAACGAGGTTTTTAGCGTGTTAAAAGGGGGATGGGAGCCAATTTGAAACCGTGTAAGACCGAGTTCGTGCTAAAAGAGTTCGTGTTAAGCGAGGGCCAAGTGTACTTAAAAACGTTTAAATGAATCTTTTTTTTTAAATAAAAAATCTAAATCTTTTTAATTGCTGTATTAAATTAATTTAAAAGACTAGGGAACTGATTTGGCCACAACTAGTAAGTGACAATTAATTAAGTGAACATTTTTAAATTAAATTTAATTTAATTAACAATATAAAAACCAAAAAAAAAGTATATATTCTAAAATTTACATTTTTCAAACGCACTGTACTTGTGGTATGGCAACTCTTTGGCGGCCAAAGAAAACCCGCAGTGAAAAGTCCTTTTGGCTTGTCAAATAGCGCGAAAAACTTTTCAAATAGCGTCGCGTTGAAGCCTAACCGAATCCTCCACCCAACCACACCCAAATTTCCTCACAGTTTTCCTCACATTTTACACTCCGCAAATTTTCCACACCCTTTTGTTAACGAACATTGGCCGATTCTATGCACTTCGTCTCCACCATGAATGGAGGAGTGTAGCTCTTGAGATTCATTTTCTTTCATTATTCGTTTTTTGCGCCATAATTATGCCAAAGAAATATACATACTTATGAACGTGAAAGCCACGCCCCAACGCCCCTTTGATTTGCTTGGCCTAGAAAAAAAAAACGATGGAAAATATCGAGGCCTCGATGATGTGACTGCACTTTTAGCGATGAAAATTGTTAAAACAATCGATCGATCACACACACACACACACAACACACACTGTTTGGGCTCAATCAACCCAGTTTTTAGGCGCAATTCTCAATGACTTTTTAATGCCAACGATTGAGACCTTAACGCTCTCTCTCTTTCCCTCTTTGTGTCCTGGAAAGTCCTTGCCTTGCATTGACAGTCCATAAGCAGTGGTATTTGGGGCATTCCAAGAAGCCTTAAATAATTAAATCCGACAAGTGCTCAATAAGTAAGTTGATTAATTATTAAACCGAACCAAGCCGCATGAAACGGTAAACAAAAGAGCTCTAAACAGAAGGGCAAAATTAAAAATACATTTATAACATACGCGTTGTAAAAGAACTTTGTTTGTTATTTACAGAAATCCCTGCTTGATTGTTTGCCATTAAAATTTATTTTATGACTTTGATTTATCTACGTGAAATAAATCCTATTTATGTTTACGAAAGTCTTGTAAGAGTTTTAGCTTTTACAATGCATTAATTGCGGTCAGCAGGTGGAATTTTTTGTTGAGTTTTACAGGGTATTCTAATTTTAATCAAAAGTTTGCAACGATCGATAAATGTTATAAGTAAATAAATTATTTTTAGTTTTTCATTTAGATTTATGTTTAATTATAAATTAGGGAAAATAATGTATTTAAAAATGGTATACTCATATATTTTTAAATTGTTTACCCATTTATTCCTTAAACCCTTGTTGTATCTATCTCTCCTTGACCTTTGCCATTGACTTTTTGGGGGGATTCCCCCTACTCGGACCCCCTATTTTATTCAAGTCTTTGTGGCTGCTTATTCGCTTGGCGGCATTTGGCCTTAAATTACCCAAGTATTTAATAGAGAGTCCCAGGAGTCGCTATCACCCTTGGCCCCTTAGCCCCTTGTCGCCCGTTTTTGACGCACTTTAAGCCGCTGCAACTGCTGCCAAGTGACCCAAATCAGAGTCTTGTCGTCTGCCTGGGAATCCGAAATCCGGAGGAGGCGGCAGGCGCCCAATCCCAATGGCAATCCTTTAAGCTGGCTGCTTTGGAGTGGCTTTTGCGCTTAGTTAGCTTAATTACAAACGCGCCGAGATTCGGGTCGCTGCAGCGATAAGTATCGATTAGAATCGACAAGGCACTGCACTAATCATGATCCTACACTGATAAAAAAATATATTGGCAGAATTTATTTCTGTTAAAACATAAATAATTTTTTTTTATTATCATGACAACATTTTTGTTTATTTTTACAGCATTTATTGATTACCAATTAATCGATAGTAAAGTCATATATTATTCGATTTATTAATAATTATTACAGCTTGTGTTAAATAAACAAAAAAATCGTATTGTTTATTGAAAAAAGATGTTATTCTTTACCAGCAAAAATTGTATACCAAAAGATTCATAGTTTTTTTTATTTGCGAACTATCGATAGGCAATATATTGATTACGAATAAATATTAAAAGACACTTTTACATTATACAACTTGTATATACAGATCTATCTTAGACGGTTTCTTAGTTTTGTATTTGAAAATTTGCAATAGGAGATTGTTTATAATCTTTACAATTATAATATATAATTTTTATAATAATCAAAAAAGTTAAAGAAAATCCAGAAAAAATTCTTACTACAGTTTATCTTTATAAACTTAATATAATGATGTTTTCTTTCAAATTTTAGACAAGTTTGTTAAATATTTCTTAAAATTAACAAATACATACTATTTTTTAGGTAAAAGCTGACTTAGTTTTCGCTTTATTTTATTTTTTTATTTCTTTATTTTTATTTTCTTTCTAATTTGTTTATATTTTTTGCTTATAATTATTTTCTTTATATATTTTTTTATTTTTTTAAATTATGATATTAAACCTTTTAATTAGTTTAAACCAAGTTTACCTTTATTTTCTGTGTATTAAGTTAAGCTTGAGCTTATTATGCAACATAAATATATTGAGCCGAAGGCATGATGCCCCTAGGACCAGTGGATATATGTATATAACCATATATCCTGCCTTCCTGCATATGCAAGCAGCGACAACTGGCTAAATTGAAATTCTTATGGAATTATATAAAATGCACTCGAAGGCATTTCGGAGGACACTGAAGGACTTGGCCGCATCCTGGCATCCATACCGACATCCTACCATCCCGGATAGCTTGTTTACCCAATTTTCCGGAACGGCATGCTCCCTTTCCTTTCCGGTTCTTTGGCTTTCCTTTTCCGTGTTCCTTGGGCGGAAACAAACAGCAACGGAAGTGGTTGGTATATATGTATATATATGTTTCACCTGAAAGAAATCGTAATTTGTAATTTACATTCCCTTTATCCTGGAAATCTATTAAGGAAAATTACTATATTTATAGCATATATATTATAAATTTTATTGGACACTTTATAAATTAATTTAAATGCAGTTTTTAGTGGCAAATTGATTTATCTGCCTCACTTAAGTAATGTAAAGTGTACATCCTTAGCCTTGGCCTGACTCCTTGCCTTGGGTATTTTTTTGACTTGATTTTTCTAGGGTTGTCTGCTTATGCAGAGATTACTACTTCCCCCTCCGGACAATGGCAGGGACATGGCGAAATTCCCTGGAATTGTAAATAGCCAACTCATCGGAATCCATCACACGACCGAAGGACCCCCCAGCTCTCCATTCTTCTCCGCCTGCCTCGTGTCCAGACATAATCCCTGCCTGCAATCGGTGTCGATGTGGATGATATGGGGGACTGTGAATGCGAATGCCAGTCCGAGTGTGATATGTGTGTACTTTCTCTCTATAAATTGTGTGATGTGTGTGTGTGTGTGGGATGCTGCTGAGTGTGATGTTTGCACTTGGGTGCAGCGGGGCTATAAATAAGCCGGCCATTTATTAGGGGCAATCATAAACTGCGTTAGCAACTGGGAGGGGGAGATCCCCCACTATATGTAGTATATATATAAATCTATGAAAGAGCCGTAAACAAAGGCGCCTCTGCCGTTGTTCCCATTGTGCGATAAGCTTTCAATTAACTCTGACCCGGAAGCGGAAGCTTGGTTGAAGGAGGCGGAAATGTATCAATTTCCAATGGCAATGCATCCTGGCAGATATATGCTAATCCAAGGACAATGACAGGTGCAGCATCCAATCTCAGTGCTCTAGCTACTATGAATTATAATCCGATAAGCATCAGAGGAGATGTGGCCAAGACGGAGGGACTGCAGAACTCATGGGTTTCGCTTAGCAAGGGTTTTCATTCACACAGAAAAATTAACAAACAAATGAGTATAGAATATATAATATCTAATATATATATAATATAAATAGTTGCAATACCTTAAACATAATTTTTTAAATATTTTGCAATATTTTATTTATAATAATAAAGAATTTGTAAATCATTTGCAGTTGCAATATGCTTTCGCTGGCGATATGACACTACTGTCGAGCATCCTCGACTCAGGCGGCAGCATTTCCGCTCAGCGCTTCACCCGCCTGCTGCGCCAGTCCAGCACATCCTCATCCTCATCCGTCTCGGCATCCGCATCTATGCTGGAGCCCACATCCTCGCAGCTTCCCAATAATGATGTCCTTGGCGGCGGACGTATTCCCTTCCTGCCTGGCAATGCGACCGGCGAATCGTCGTCGTCTTCGTCGCCGCCGCTGCCGTCGCCGTCGTTGCCAGACGCCGATGCACTGGATCCAAACTTCGTCCTCGACGGGGTCACCAGTGTGGCCAAAATGGCCCTGGAGGCGACAGTAAAGGTGCTACGCGATCCGGATCCGGAACAGATTTTGGCCAATGCCAATGCCAGCGCTCCATGGAATATAACGCTGGCAGCGGCGGCGGCCACCAACTATGAAAACTGTTCGGCGCTGTTTGCCAATTACACCCTGCCACAGACAGGTGAGTGATGTGGGGTTAATGAAAATGAAATCATAATTAATTAATTTGCGTAATTAAAGGGAATTTAATGTGGAAAGAAGTCCTTGGTTTATATGAGGGAAAGAGGAAATTAAGGATTTATCGATGTATCAGTATAAACATCGATGCAATAAATCGATATTTTCTGATACATCGAACAAATTTCCTTTTAACAGAAGAATTTTTTAAATAAAATATTAAATAAATAGATTTAAGGTATAAAAATGAAAGCAAAATTTTATTTGATTTTATTCTATCGATATACCTCGATTATTATCGATCTAGATCGATGTAAGCTTTAGAACACTTTAAATTTATCATTCAAATATTCAAAATAAATATTAAATATTCAAAATTTGGTTTATTATTTGATTTAATTGACTTTAAACTCTAACCGATAGGCCTTTACTGCAACTGGACCTGGGACACATTGCTCTGCTGGCCACCAACTCCGGCCGGAGTCCTGGCCCGGATGAACTGTCCGGGCGGCTATCACGGCGTTGATACGCGCAGTAAGTAATTAACCATGACACTTGACAGGATTTACAAAAGCTCTTGGGATCTCTTTTAAATAAACCGAATTGAAGCTCATAAAAGTTAAGTCAAAAGTTAACTTAATTAATTAGTTAATTTGCAAGTAAACAGAAAGGATATGACTTTCTCTTCCACACAACCATACATATAACTGGCGGCAACAATTACACGGATCATTAGCTGGGAATCCGTTCAACTGCCAATGAAAACGGCAAAACAATTACTCGATTTCATATTCATCGAGAGAAGTTCAATATTTGCATGCATGACGGCCCCTCCGTCCCAATCTTAACCCCCTCTTCTCCTTAACCCCATTAAGCGCATGCGAAGGAAGGTCACTCCGAAAAGTGGACCAAAGGGTGGGCGTGGACCGACCAGGTGTGTGCCTCCAGCTGGGCCCCCCGCCGTTGGCCATCGATTGCTTAATTACGATCCCAACTGGGGCTCCGAACCCATCGATGATGATGATGATATGCCCAGGCCCGCAAATCGAACGCTTTGCACCACGGGGGAATCATAGTATTTAATAAGCAATGACAGTGCACTTGAAAAAATAACAAGGGATATATAGGATTAAAAATAGATAATTATATATCGATACTGTATTAATATTCAGTCGATATATGAAGACGAACTTTAGCATATTTTCCAAGAGAAATATTAATAGTATCGAGGTCTTAGTCTTGGGTGAACTATTTTTTCATATAAATCGATAAATCTATATTCTGATTTAAAATTTAAAGTAATATATATATAATATTTTCTATATTTTAAGGATACTGTATACATATTTTATGTAAATGTCGATTTATATATTCAAACCTTACATTATATTCCACAAGAAATATCGAAAAAATCGATACTTTAATCCTAAGTACATTATTTTTTAATTTAAATCTACAAATCTTTATTCTTCTTATTGAATAATTTGTATTTCTCTACAATAACGATATTTTTCAATTTTAATTTCGATTAATCAAAGTTATACATATTTTTGATAGGTTATTGAGCTTGATATTTCTGTCATCCGTCCGATATACATTCGATAGACAGCTCTATGGCTTTATATAATTTTAAACATTTTTAAAGTTCAAAAAAAAATCTACATTTTTAGAAAATAATTTGAGAACCAGTTTTTCCGATAAGAAATAATCTAGAATATTAGAAATGCACATGTTTTATCGCTCAGTGCCGCTTTGCCGTGGCCTCATTCCAGTAAGCCCCATGACTGTAGATTTTTAGACCCCAATCTTTCCCTGGTCGTCCTCCGTTAACCGTAATTGGCATAATTGCAGCTGTCAGTCAGTGTGTCAAACCGTTCGATTTGCAGTCATTAATCCAGGGGAAATACACCTCATTTTATACCCCTCTCCTTTTTATTATTATTATTATTATAATTATCCCCAGAGTTCGCCAATCGAAAATGCGAGCTGGACGGCCGTTGGGGCAGCAGGCCAAATGCCACGGAAACGAATGCCACGGGCTGGACGGACTATGGGCCATGCTACAAGCCCGAGGTCATCCGATTGATGCAGCAGATGGGCAGTCGAGAGGATTTGGATCTCTATATAGAGATAGCCAAGAGGACGAGGACCCTGGAGATTGTCGGCCTTTGCCTGTCGCTCTTCGCTTTGATTGTCTCCCTGCTGATTTTTTGCACCTTTCGATCGTTGCGGAACAATCGCACCAAAATCCATAAGAATCTATTCATCGCCATGGTGCTGCAGGTGATCATCCGGCTGACCCTGTATCTGGATCAGTTCCGAAGGGGCAACAAGGAGGCGGCCACCAATACGAGTCTGTCGGTGATTGAAAATACGGTGGGTTTGATATGTGTGAATGTACATAAACATTTAAAAATATATAAAACTAGTTTTTATAATTGTTTTATATTCTTAAATATAACTTTGAAGAATTCGCCCTTAAATTGTTGCGAATTTGTCGTAAAATTGTTCAAAATTAGCCATAAAACTCGGACGTGGAATAATCCCACACGTGTGCACATATAATTCCCAACTGGTTATAGCCTCCCCGGTTGTACCGAGGTTTTTTCTGTGGAGGCCCGATGTATGTCCTTGTTTGTGCTATTAAATTTGTGGTGTTTACTTATGTGCTATTACATATAAATACAATATACAATATACAATAAACTTAAAATTAATTATATATTTTAATTATAATTTTTTGTATATATGTATATTTCCAATCAGCCCTATTTGTGTGAAGCATCTTATGTCCTATTGGAATACGCTCGCACCGCCATGTTCATGTGGATGTTCATCGAGGGCCTCTATTTGCACAACATGGTTACAGTGGCCGTTTTCCAGGGTAGCTTTCCATTAAAGTTCTTCTCGCGCCTCGGCTGGTGTGTTCCCATACTAATGACCACTGTGTGGGCCCGATGCACAGTGATCTACATGGACACATCCCTGGGTGATTGCCTTTGGAATTATAATCTTACGCCGTATTATTGGATACTAGAGGGACCGAGGCTGGCAGTGATACTGGTAAGTAGTGATTATAATGATAGTGAGATCTTTAAAAAGGGGTTCTCGTTTTTTCCGGAATTTTTTATATATTATAATGATTTCTGATTTTTGTAGCTCAACTTCTGTTTCCTGGTGAACATCATACGAGTGCTGGTGATGAAGTTGAGGCAGTCTCAGGCCAGCGATATCGAGCAGACCCGCAAGGCTGTAAGGGCGGCCATCGTCCTGCTTCCACTTTTAGGCATTACCAATATCCTGCACCAGCTGGCGCCCTTAAAGACGGCCACAAACTTTGCCGTGTGGTCATACTCCACCTACTTTCTCACCTCGTTCCAGGGCTTCTTCATAGCCCTCATCTATTGCTTTCTGAATGGAGAGGTTGGGATTCATTTATAATTAGTTAATAAATATTTTATAATATTTTTTTTTTGCCTCCAGGTCCGTGCGGTTCTCCTCAAGAGTCTGGCCACCCAGCTATCCGTTCGTGGCCATCCGGAATGGGCCCCAAAGCGGGCCTCCATGTACTCGGGTGCCTATAACACGGCACCCGATACGGATGCTGTGCTGCAGCAGCAACAGCAGCCGGGCGAGAATCCGGCCACTGGGAAGAGGTGAGTCTTTTGGAGATTCCTTCAAGTCTTACCTGCTAATTCACCTTTTTGTTTTTTGGATAGAATATCACCTCCTAATAAGCGGCTAAATGGACGAAAGGCCAGCAGTGCTAGCATTGTGATGATCCATGAGCCGCAGCAGCGCCAGCGACTGATTCCGCGGCTTCGGAGCAGAACGCGGGAAAAGGACAAGAGCCTGGACAAGGATCGAGAGAAAAGGACACAGCACGAGGCGGTTTCGGAACCCATCAATAATGTGACAACAACAAAGGCTAATCGCATTCGGAGCAAGGATGAAGACTCTAGCAACGGCCGAGGAGGAGGAGGCTCCAAGTGGATGATGGGCATCTGCTTCCGGGGTCAAAAGGTACTGAGAGTACCGTCAGCGTCATCCGTGCCACCCGAGTCAGTTGTATTTGAGTTGTCAGAGCAGTAGCTAACCGAAAAACTAGCCGTAGACGTAGACCTAGTCGTAGTCCTAGCCTAGTAGAAGTAGTCATCAGCCATATTAGCCCGCTCGTCCCCGTCCCTGTTCCACCCCAAAAAAGCTAAGCCTCCTCCTACACCACAGTAGCCAGCACCCAGCCTGCAAGCTACCAGATACCCTTTGCCACAAAAAAAATATATTTTAAATCTAGAAAAACTTGTCTTCCGGAGACTTATTCTTCCTTCTTCTAAATATTCCCTTTTAAATTCTATTCAAAGTCTATATAAGGAATAATATGAAAATATTGAAAAAATTGCTTATGGCGTTATGCATCTTATTCTTTATATTGGCTTTGATCTAGCTACCTTTCCACCAAAAAGAGCAATCTGAAATACAATCTCTTTTGTTAATTTTTCCTTAATGTTTGTTATATATCTCTATTTTAATACTTAATTTTCTTTTTTTTTAATTTCTTAAGAAACTTTTGTAGTTTCAAAAAACCTGGAACCAAATTCATTATAGCAGTAGTCTCCCTTAGAAATTAGATGCATAATACATATATGTACTTTTTTCTCATAATTTTTATTATTAAAAAAAATCCCTTGGTTTAATTTATAGCTTTTTTCTTGATTTTAGATTGCCTTTTGCCCCTCTCCAGTGTAAATTAAACTCTTCCCTCCCTTTATATATTATAGGAAAAATCCAAAAATTAGAGAATCCCTTTCCTTGACCCCCAAGCCAAAGATTTCAAGTCTTATTCAAAATACTTAACAATTATTATCTGACGATGACAAGTAATTTCCAAAATAGCGCCACATTCTCTGTTCTGGACACGCAAATACACTAAGAAAAAATATGAAAGCAAATACACGCACACGGTTACTACTTGATATTGAATTTTCCAGCAAAACTTGAGCGGCATGTTCTTCTACTACTTCTATAATAACTTAGTACATTCAAGTAAAAAAATTACACAGAACTTTCCGTTACTGTTGCAGTGTGACCAAATCAGGGGAGAACCAAGCAGAGACTAAACGAATTTAAAAAAAATATTTATTCAAGAGTTTCATAAATGTACTATTTTTGTTTCCTATTAGTTTTAATTATATATGTTTTATTTTATTTTATTGGCAAATATTTTTTTCCTAATTTATGTAAATATAATAATGGTTAATATTATTAAAAAGAAAATTGTGAAAATAGATTTTTCTTATTAAACTGTAGTGCCAAGTTCTTTGTGGAGTGGACTGTACTTTAGTTTTATGAGCTGGTCACACTGCCACTGTCACGTTCGATCACGCCCACTGTCACTGCATTGACTTTTTGCCTAGCTGCGCTTTGTTTTGCAACGAAAAAACTTTGCCACGATCGATATTAACTAATGGGGTCCGCAAGCAACGCCTCAAATTAAATCAATTATTTCTTTTCTTTCCCTAAAAAAAAAACCACGAATGCGGCACCCGATGGAATTTTTCTCTCTTTCTTTCGATTTCAGGACAAATGTGTGATGTCCGGTGGCCAAAAGCCTCAGCAAATATTTATGACGTCACAATTGCCACCGACATCGACGCTGGCAGCAGTAGCAACAACAACAATAACCACAACAGGAAGTGCAACAAGTGCAACCGCAGCCGCAGCAGCTAAAGCAACCGCAATTGCAACAAAAACGAAGTCAAAAGCCAAGGCTAAGGCCAAGGCCATCACTAAGAATCATGCCAAGCCCAAAGCTTAAAGCACTTTGATTTCTAAACAAAAAAAAATAAAAAGATCGATAAAAGATCGATTATTAGCTCACTCTTTGAAAGAGCGACGCCAAGCTTAGCATTCGAGGGCGCAACTGTACTAAACTAAACAAAAGCTGAAAGTGTGCCCGTTTTTTTTTTTTGTAATAACGATAAATAGAAATGTATATGGAATATACCTAATATTTTTGTATATTTACCACCATTACATTACATAAAATTAAATAAAATGTGTGTGTACTGAGTGTAATGATGAATGTAATTGCTAATTGTCTATTTTTTTTTTGTTTATAACTAAGATTAATATATATATATATATATATATATATATTTACATGAATGTTAAGCATAAAGAGAAGAGACATATTTACATACTTTGGTATTTACACTAAACTGCGCTACACCCTAGGAATCGCATGGCAAGAGAAACCTGATAGAAATGTCTGAGTAAAGATCGTATATTGGATATACATATATTATATGTTATGTAAAGAGAGTACAAAACGAAATGCGAAAGAAAAAGAACGAAGAGAACTCATAAATTGGAAGTCACATTAGCTGAATATCGATCAGTGATCAGTGATCAGCTCGAATATTGAATATTCACTTACAACTTAAGCTTAAAAATGCATTTTAAGAACGGCATGTTTTTAGTTTAAATTTCCTGTCCTTTGGTTAATTTACTGAACGCTTAATGCAAAAAAAAAAAAAAAACAAAAGAGAAAAAATTAAACAAAAACTATGAAATTCAAGCCGAATTTAACATGTGGAACTCAAAAACCGGAACGCACCCGGTGGCAAACTATTACGTGTATAAGGCTAAAAATGAGAAAATGAATAAAAACATGATTTTGTATGCATACATACTGAGATAAAACTAAAATTGCTGTTGTTGTTTGCTTGTATTTCTACTTTTGATCAGGTTTTTTTATAAGATATAGTGGCACGTGCCGATTCTAATACCGATTCGGCTTCCCTCCGAAATTGGCAAAGCTCAATTGGCAATTTCGAGCCCCTAAATAGCTTAATCGGACGTTTTAATGGATCATCTTGGAATATGCTATAAAAACGGGAATGCTTAGAGTTTGATACCCTATATCTTACTTGCTTTATATTGGTTTTATTCCCAATTTTCGCTCAATTTTATGATCTAGCTTATGGCTGCCAAAAGCTATATATTTCTAGATCTCAAACTGTCTCAATGGGCCACCAAAAGAAGCCACTAATTGCCAATGATGAGGAAATGGGCATGCATATTGATGACCTATTTATAATTCATAAAAAAGTCATCAAATCTTATAGAGGCAAAAATACATAGTTTCCAGTATATGGAATGGCTCTAGCTCTGGAAGGGTATCGACATAAACATGCACTGAGAAAATATTTGGCTGATTTCTGATATTTTCGAATTTCCAAGCCTCTTTTTCAAAATATGACTTCCTTATAACTTCTAAGCATTTTCCATGAATATTTAATTCAAATATTATTTCTTATATTTTCCGAGTAGATCCCCCAAATACTTGGTTAATTTTAAATGTTTTTCGTGTAAGTCCCACTAAGTTTTGGGAATTACTTGGTTAGTTATAATAATTTCTTATAATTTTTAAGCAGTTTCCTCAAATACTTGCCTAATTCTAATATTTTCTTATAATTGCCAAGCACTTTCCCCAAATACTTGTTTGGTTAGAAAGTTTTCTTATAATTCCCAAGCAGTTCTAGCAAATATTTCCCTGACCAGAACCATAAATGCTACCTATGAGGCTTCCCCTGCGTATACTTAATATTATTCCCTGCGTATACTTAATTTCATACCCAGCGTATACTTGATTTCTTTTGAAGCCAACAATTCTTCGGTCAGTGCATACACTTAGAGACACACCGCCAATTGACAATTGAAACCACACACAAAACACAGACAGAGAGACGACAGTGGAGCGCTGAGGGGTTACGGATAGGGATTGTATTTCCAAGAACATCAGCCGGATCACAATAAACAACGATAACGATAGCAACGACAACATAGACGGCAACAGACAACAACAACAACAACAACAACGACAACGAGGTGGACAAAGGTGAGGTAGTAAAGTTGAGTGCAAAGTGGAAACAGGATGGGATACTATTATCATCATCAGCAAGGTCTTCGTGATCGTGATCGTGACCTTGATCGGTCTAGAAGAGCAAATCCTCATCACCATCCTCATCTAGGATATTCTGCACCTCCTTGGCCTCCTCAGCCAATTGACCCTGTCGACGCAGTTCCTCCCTTCTCTTGTCCGCCGTTTTTCGAGCCTCACGCTTCTTATCCTGGATCTTCTTCAGCCGATAGAACTCCTCACGCTCCAGCTCATCCAGTTCGCTGATGATGTACTCAATAGTGAGATTGATGCGGGGTATGATCACTGAGTTAGGAAAAATAAGAGAAAATATATTAATCAATATCTAACATATTTATTACAGAAACTTTAAAACCCACCATGCTCGATGGCATTGACCCGCCGATTGGTCACCTTGATCACATCATCGAGGGTCACAAAGGAGGTTTGCAGCGAGGCCAGTTCCACGAGGAGTCTCACGGCACACTGATAGTTCTTCTTGAGCTTGGCCAGCTGCTGACCGCCGCGTGCCAAACCGGCCAGCTCGTAGGTATCCACACCATCCATATATGGCTCAAAAACAGGCAGAGTCACACCAGCCACATTGTCCTTTTTGGTACGAATTTTGATCTGAGCCTTGGTCACATTTTGCAAAACAATTTGATTGATGTCGCCGGTGGTGAACTTGACCTCGGCCAGCGAGAAGGCGGCCTCCTTCATCACCTGACCCATTAGGCTTTTGGTCTTTTTATAAAATATATATAATATTATTAATATATAATACAATATCTAGTCTCTTTACCTCTACAATCTTTCCCAGAATCAAGCGGAAGCGCATCTGTAAAGCATCTGCTTTTTTTTTGAGCAAACCATGACCCTTGGTGGCGCCCGCCAGGCGTGATTTCATCAGAGTTTGGGCCCTGCACAGGTTGTATAGGTAGGTTATATAGGTTTTATCGATCAAAAGCAGGCTCAGGACTACTCACCCGCGTGAGGGAAATATAGGCAGGCGGTCTTTGGCTGCCATTTAGCTTCAAATCAAACAAAAATCTTCACAAAACAAATTTATAAAAAAATAAAAGACACCAACAAAATATGATGTTCAACAACACGCACCACTGAGAGAGAGAGAAATGTCCCAACTATAAATATCAACAACAAAATATTTACTAAATATATGCGACACCACGAAAATAAAACGGACGACGAGTGAGTGAGGAACCACCACGAGCGCGCGACAACAAACTGGGCCAGCGAATGAAGACTCATTGAGCGACCTGGCAGGGAGAGTGACGATCGGATGGGATGCCATCGAGTTGGGTTGGGTTCGTGTGGTGATGATGGGGTGGGCCCCTCCACTCAGCTGTTCCGGAACAGCTGTCCACGAAGCGCCGCAGAGAGACACACACACGGTAGCCGTGTTAATAGAAGATATATATATTATATATACCTGTAGTAACTCGGTGGTTCTGTGGGTTATTTGCTTCAAATTTGGTATACAGCTTTCTTTTTTACAAATTAAATATATAAAGCAATTACGCCCTGGCTACTTTAATTTATTTTTCAGATATTTAAAGTATACAAGCAGAATCTTGAAAATTATAAAAATTAAAATTGTTGTATACGTATTTTTAATAGGAAAATATTAATTACATAAAATTATTTCTTAAATCGAATATTAATTTCGAATATTAAATCTGGCATTACAATTTTTTTTATTTAATATTTCTACGCATCTTAACAATTTAAATTATTTATTATTGTATCTTTAATTTTTATAAAATAAAAATAAATATATTTATAGACAAAAATTTAATAATATAAAATTTTTTTTTATTTTCCTAAAATTATAATAACTAAATATATTCACAAATTTAAAATATTTACTTAGATTTATTTTTATAATACATAAAAAAAAATGTTAAAAAGTCTACAAATATTTTACGAAAAATGTTTAAGGTTATTATTTTTTTCCAAATTTAAATAATTTAAATTCACAAATTTTTTAGGGTATCTGCTAGTCGTTAAACTCGCTTAGCATGCACTCGAATTTGATGAACATAAATGTGTATGAGTGAATGATCTCACAGGCAATGGGAATATCTCAAAAAACTAATTAAAGAACGACGAGAGCCGTAATGAGGATGGACTTTTAATTCGATTAATTAAAACTAGGCAAAATGAGTCTAAAAATTGAACGAAATTACCGTTATTTTTCGTATATCAATCAGCTGTTCCGCTAGGGCTGCCACCAGATGACATCAGCTGATTTTCAATAATAATTACAATGAAGCTAAGAATTATGCTGTCAACAGTTAATATTATCATACAAATTGTCTACTAATATTTTTGTAGAGTTCAATTTGAAGGTCAGTTATTTCTTAGTGATCGATAGTTGCTGGCGATAAATGGTACTGTCAACTTGATGGATTTGTGCCGCAGTGCTGCCAATTCCGCACAGATTGCCTTCAATTGGATTTGATTGCCATCAATAACGCACAACGATTTTTTTTTTTTTTTTTGGTGGCAGACAAAGGATGGATTTACTACGACTGCCACGCGCAGATACTGCGCGGCACTGACTTTGAAATACCTTTGTGTGCCCGCTATATGGCCCTCTGGTTCCGACTCCGGCTGAGCTTGGTGTCCATCCGGATGGCAGTGTCACGCAATTTGAATATGCGTCTTGTGCCGTCTCCGTCATGTGCCCCTCGTGTGCCGCTTTTTTTTAGATATATTTTACAGAGAAACAAAAAGCATTATTTTTTATAAAAATGAAGAAAAGTGCGATAATTTTATCGACTTAAAACCTATCGAAAATATTGCAAGCTGTGATCTATCCAAAATTTAAATACCGTAAATTATTAAAAATATTGCATTTCATTTATTTCTCTCTTTTTTTCGATTATATTGTTACAATATTTCAAAAAACTTTGAAATATCGCACATATATCGACTTCGTTTGTCAAAATATCGATTCTTTTTCTGCAATCCCCAATCTAGATAGAAGTACTATTCATAGTTTTATAAATAAAAATAATAATTCCAATTTAATATTAAAAATAAAAGCCATTGATAAATCTACAAATATTTAATTCTTTTTTTAGTTTTAGTTAGTTTTGTTATAAACAACAAATAATATAAATTTAACTCATCTTAAATTTAAATTTGTCTTATATTCCTCGAATTATTTCTCAGTGTAACTGCTGTGGTTTTTGTAGAGGAGACCCATTGTGCCTAGTGTGTCAATGGACACGTGTGTGTCCGCCTCATACATGACTAGTGGGGTATTAATTAAAGTAATGAATATGCATACCGGGGTGTATGAATATAGTATATAGTCTGGTTATTGGATTGGGGAAAGGTCGGAATTTTGGGGGCAATTTTTTATGGTCAAGCAACAGTTGGCTGCTGAGGGGCGTTGTCTAGACGCCAAAAGTCAGAAACAAGGTCAAGCGAAACTATTTAATTGCCCAGAGTCAATGTTTGTTAAAATATAATATATATATAAATAAAATATTAAAAACATTTAAATTAGTTTTTTATTTTAAAGGGAATTTATAAAGAAATCTTTTTCATTTAATTGCATTTTTGTATTTATTTATATTTCACTTTCTTTTATCCAAGCTTAACAAATAAATTTTAAGTTCACTGTAATTAAATAAATTAAATGCTTTATTTTATACTTTTAAATTTTCTTAAGAAAATATTTTAACTACAAATTTTAAATTGATTTAAAATTTTTATTTGATTTAAAATTTAAAATTTTAATATTACCTAAATTTTGCTTGCCATATTTGATAAAAAATATTTTATCTTGAAGCTTCTTTTAGTTATTCCATCTTTTCAACCGGTTCATAATATATTCACAACTCAGACCAGAATTTTCGAAGTTAGTTAAGCCAAGTAACTAACTAACTTATAAAATAAAAACTTTTAAAAAACCCGAAAATAATGTTGATATATTAAAATATATTTTATAAATTAATAATTTAATTTAATACAAAATACCTAATGCCTAATTCCTCATAATCCTATTGCCAACCTGCCAGTTGGGAATTTTAGCGCCCAAGCAAGCAGTAAAATGGGAGGTTAGGTCAGGCTTAAGCCATGTCTTATTCACTTAGCCATGTCTTATGCCTAAACAGCAATTTTAACTGAATAAAAAACCCCCTTACAAAAAATTAATAAATAAATTCCCTGTAAGATCAAAGTCCTGCCAGTATGTACATACATACGTATATCCCATTCCCATCCCATTATCTATCCTATTCACACAATTTTGTTGGGGAAGTGTGCGTGTGTCGCCTCTGCCTCTTGTTGAATGCGGCACGTCCTGGTCGTTGAGGAGTCTCGCTTTTGGGGGCAAAGTCAAAGTCCTTAAGCGCATACGGGCGTGCTTTGTACAGAAAATACAACCTCACAAAAGGCGGAATCAACAGTTGGGTTCGTCCTGCCTGGGGGGCTGGGGCAACTTTCGATTTTACTGCGCCAGCAATTGTATTGGCATTTGGCATAAGTCACGGCCAGGCGCTCATAGGGATGGTGTCTGTATGAGTGTGTCTGTGTATGTATGTATATTTGGGGTGTGCGTTGCGTATACGCATGGCTGTCATTCGGCACACTGCCTCCTTTCTTTATTTGCGCCTCAAGCCCCGCTCCACCGGCAAAGAGTCCGCATTTTTCTCATAGCTTCGGCTATGAGGGATACACGAGGGCGTACACTGAGCGAAAAATAAGAGCGCAGAATTAGAATTTAATATTAAAAAAAGATATAATTATTATAAGTTATTTATATTAATATTTAGTCTAAAACTCTAGCCAAAAAATGTATTTTTTCATTTTACAATCTTGGAAAGAACATTTTTTTTTTTTCAAAATTTAAAATTATAACACTGCATTGTTTTAAGTACATTTTAAGAATATTATTAAATTCAATGAAACTCCTTGTTAGCCTGGTTTTCTCTTTAGTTTTTCTCTCAGTGCCCCATTTGGGAAGCTGTTGTCGGTCCTGCTCCTGCTGCGGCTCCAGTCGCCGTCAGTCGTCAGTCGCAGTTCGCATCTGGCAGCGCCCGCAACTAGGTTATACACAATTTTTTTTTGTGTTCCTCCAGCTGTGGAGGAAAACAAATAACACACAGGACATAGTCCAAAGTCCTGGACGAAGTACACCTGGAGTTCACGCGATACCGTCCAGCCCGTTCATCCGAGCCACATCCGCGAGAGAAACTAACGCTTTACGACGACGACAGGTGATTGCAACCTTTGGCCTGGTTGGTGGGATCAAGTGTGAAGTGTGGGTGTGGTGTGTGTGTGTGTCATTAGGGGAAACCCCTCTGAAGTGCCAAAGTGCAAGTGGGAGAAGGAGAAAGTGCGTGAAAGTGGAGAAAGGGAAAGGGAAGGAGGGTGACGACTAATTGAATTTTAGAAAAAATGTCCTTCACATAAACACATACAGTTTTGTATGCTTAATAAAATAAATTAAACAGAATGAAGGAATAGTATTAAATTAAAATATATATTAAATGATATATATTCCCTTATAAAATATGTTTGCACCTAATAATATATATTTGTTTAAACATCTTAATTAAACTTTTATAAGGCCATAATTACGATGATTAATTTTATTATTTTATTTTATTTGCTTTTAAAATTTTAAATAAAAAATGCACATTAATTTATTTTACACAAAATCTATGTACGAATTAAATTGAAGTACATAAAATATTTTATTTGAAAAGTTAAGAACTTATTTTGATTACAAAATAAAAATAAATATTATAAATTAAGTAATTCCCTAATTATTGATGAAATTAAAGATAATCTACGTTAACTTCAGAAACCACTACGGTTCTTAAAATCGTTTTTTAAAGTGTCTAAAAGTATGAAACAAAATTTGTGAATTCAGTAAAATTTTGCAATTTTAAAATAATAAACAAATTCAATTTATATAATTAATTTTTACAATTAAAAAATGTTTAACCCTTACTTTTGACACCTTTTTAGGGGTTTTAATACCTCTGGTAATTTTTTTAGCTCCCCCGAATAATATTCTTGCATAAAAAAAGGAATAATCTTATTCCACAAGTAAAATTTTTATTTTAAATTTAAATTTATATTTTCAATATTTTAATTAATATTTTAATTTAATATTTTTAAATTCTATTTAAAATATTTAAATTTATATTATTACTTTTAGAAGGGATTAATATTTTCCCACAAATAAGATTTTAAAATTAATACTAAATTTATAATTTAAAAATTTAAATATATTTAATGCAAGAATATTAATTTAAATATTTAAAATAAAAATTTAAATTTAATTTTAAAATATTTGTGAGATATTTTACATTTTATACAATATTAATTTAAATATTTAAACATTTAAAATATAAATTTAAATTTAATATGATCTCACAAATAATATTTCAAAATTTAATTTTAATGTAAATTAATTAAAACCCTTAAAAAAATGCCCATTATCTCCCCCAGAACTTGGCCAGCACCATTATCTTGCCTTGGCAAACCCAGCGACACCATGGAGTACAAACTGATTGGACCGGAGCACCATGACCAGGTGCTGGAGCACCTGCGTCGCAACTTCTTTGCCGACGAACCGCTAAACAAGGCCGCTGGCGTGTGCCAGAATGGCAGCAGCAGCGCCGAGCTGGAGGAGCACTGTGTGGAGGCCATGCAGGATGGCATGAGCCTGATGGCAGTGGAGCCGCAGCAGCAGGTGGGCAGCTGTAAAATCGCCGGCGTGGTACTGAACGGCATCTACAGGGCCGACGATACGGCCAAGGCGATGGAAAAGCTGGACCGAAGCCAGGATCCAGGCTACCGGAAGATCTTTGCTCTGCTCCACTGTCACAACACCAAAAATGATTTGTTTAAGGAATTCGCCGTGGACTCCATCTTCGATGTGCGCATCCTTTCGGTGGACTCATCCTATCGCGGCCGTGGCATTGCCAATGAGCTGGTCAAGCAATCGGTGGCGCTGGCCAAAAAGAATGGTTTCTGTCTGCTAAAAGCCGACGCAACCGGCATCTTTTCCCAGAAGATATTTCGATCCCATGGCTTTGAGGTTTTTGCCGAGCAGCCGTACGACAAATACACAGATGACGAGGGCCACATAATCCTCCCCGTGGAGGCGCCGCACATTAAGCTGCAGCTGCTCATCAAGCACATCTACGAGCAGAAGCTGGCCCAGGATTAGGTGGGGGATAAGCAAACAGGGAGTGTTAAAAAAGGCTTAGTTTGGTTGGAATATTGTATTTTCTACACACACAAAATTATGCATAATCGTATTGGAATGTGTGGGTCGATTTTGAAACAAGTATTCAGCAGAGGCACAGCTACGGATAATACGTTAACTTTTTCTTAAATAAATAAGGGTAAATAAATAAAAGAATCCGAAACTAATAAAAATAAAATAAAAATTAATTAACTTTTAAAGTGCAAATTGATGAATTCATTAATTATTATTATTATTAATACCTTTACGGTTCTTGAAATCATTTTTGGAAAGCATCTAAAAGTATGCAACAACATTTTTGAATTCACTAAAATTTCGTCATTTTTTTCTCTAATCAAATAATAAAAAATAAAACTTAATTAATTTTTACAATGCATTATTTTTTACCCTTATTCTTGACACCTTTTTAGAGAAAACCTCTGGTAACAGAATGTTCCTTATTTTTTATAAACAAATACATACATTTCTTGAGTATTTATGTATTTTTTAAAATAACATTTAAGAGTAGGAGCTAGTAAATATAAAAACCAGTGAAAAACTAAAAATCAATGTTTAATGTTTAATGTTTATCTCTATTGATTTTAATATATTTTATATGTATTTATTAGCTCAAAAATTAATTCTTATACATTTTATTATAATAATCATTATTTTTAAAGCAATTCAATATAATTAATTTAATAATTATTATTATTTTAAGCAATAAAAAACCACTAAAAAAATAATGAATATTTATTTATTATTTTTTAGGGTCATTTTTTTGCTTAAAATAATAATAATTATTTTTTTAGCAATTAAATAGAACTCAAAATTTGGTAATAATTCGTTTTTTTTTTTTATTTTTTTGTTTAAAGAAAACATTGATTATTATTAATGGTCCTTGATAAAAATCCTTTTTTATGAAAGGAATGTAAAAGGAACATAATTTTTGTATTAGCTATATTGCAATGGCAGGGCAAATGTGTATACGAACTAATTTAAAATGTGTGTCTATTTATATGCTAGCTTCTCTCTATCTTTTGAATATAAAATACAACTTTCTTAACTAAAAAAAAAAAAATATAATGCAGATATTATCCGTAGACTTGACACGTTTTTTTTAGTAAAAATCTGTCTTCCTTTCTTAACTAAAACAAGACATATAAAACAAATATTATCCGTAGCCTGCAGCTGTTTTTTGTTGCAAAAAAACGACCCTGGCTTTACATATAAACATTGTTGTAATTGTTGTTTTTTATGGGGACCAACTGCTAACAAAATACCTAAATAAAGTACACTGTTGTGCCAAAGTTAACCAATTAGCAGCAGCCCAGCAAAGCAGCTTCCAGTTCCAATTCATAGATCCCAACCATTCCTACAACTCCTCGTCTTTCTTCGCTTCATCTAACGTAACTAATATCACATAGCTCAGATCCCATTCGCGACTTTCTCCTTTTGGCAACCTGGCAAAACTGCAGGTACTACATTGCTTGGAGCAGACTCCCGACTCCATCCTCCTTCACTGTCTCCTTCCTTTATTCGCTCGTGGTGGCCTTCTTCTCATAGATGAAGATGATGTCCTCGTCGGTGCCATAGGCTCGTCGGGCCGTGTCCATGGACTCGATTAGGCAGCGACAAATGTCTGTGTGGAAAAGTGCCAAAAATTAATATAAAAAAATCAATGAACTGGACATTTTGGTGACTCAATTTTGCACTTACGGCCATCGTGAACCTCGGGATTGTGGTAGAAGAGCTTCTCGGCGGCCATGTCATAGCCGCAGAGCACCACATAGTGTCCAGCGTACCTTTGGTGGTCCGGCATGCGTGTTTTTGGGGCGATGCATTGAACGTAAAAACAGCTTTTCATTTGGATAGGGATAAGTGGGGTGGGATTAGTAGGGGGTTTTAGTGGGGATTTTAGAGGAGATTTTAGAGGAGGTTTTAGAGGAGGTTTTAGAGGAGGTTTTAGTTGAGATTTTAGAGGAGTTTTAAAGGAGGTTTTAGTGAAGGTTTTAGAGGAGTTTTAGTTAAAGTTTTAGTGGAGTTTTTGGGGAAGTTTTAAAGGAGGTTTTAGTAGAGGTTTTAGTCGAGGTTTTAGAAGAGTTTTAATAGAGGTTTTAGTGGGGGTTTTAGAGGAGTTTTAAAGGAGGTTTTAGAGGAGTTTTAGTGGAGATTTTAGTAGAGGTTTAAGAGGAGTTTTAAAGGAGGTTTTAGAGGAGTTTTAATGGAGGTTGTAGTGGAGGTTTTAGACAAGATTTAAAGGAGATTTTAGAGGAGGTTTAAAGGAGGTATAAAGGAGGTTTAAAGGAGGTTTTAGTGAAGGTTTTAAACGAGGCTTAAAGGAGTGTTTAGTGGAGGTTTTAAAGAAGGTTTTAGTGGAGTTTTGGTGGAGGTTTCGGTGGAATTTTAGTAGTTTTATTCGGATTACATAGTGGGTTTATATACTGGGAATTTAATAGGAATTTATCGGTCTCTCAGCTATTTAAAACTCACCCAAATTTCTCCAAAACATTACGCTTGCACACCTCACAGGTGAGCACAGAGGCATTCGTTAGCAATATGACCGGACCATGACGCGCCAGATGACGCAGTATGACCTCCATGCCAACTGTGCGCTGCTCCACACGCAGGCCATGAGCCCGGGCGTCCTTGAACTTGCGCGTCACGCGCCGCTCGTCCTTGTCAATGATCTTGGAGTAGTAGGTGTGCTGGGCATAGTTGGGATCGATGCCCAGCGTCTGGGTGAAGTACTCGTGGCGCACCTGGTAGCGCAGCAGCAGGTAGCACAGGTCAATGGTCCAGGTGCTCGAGCCGAAGCCCTCCTCGCGGCAAACCGCCTCGAAGTTGTCCAGCAGCTCGGCCCGCTGCTGTGCCGACAGAATCATGATGATGCAGGAGAGGCCGCAGTCCCAGTTGTAGCGCTGCTGGTAGTGCGTCAGGTTGTAGTGCTTGCTGGGGGGCAATCCGTTCATCGTGGCTCCGTCCTTGGTCCTGTGCCAGCTGCTGCTGCTGCTGCTCGCGAAATTTAGGCTCGATTTGGGGGAATGTTTTGATTTGGGGGAATGTTTTGCCTTTGGGGTTGTTTTTTTCTGTGAGTAACCAGTGTGGCAGCAGCAGGCGGCTATAGAAATTCCTACTTCTAAGAAACGCTGGTCACACCTCTAGTAACGGTTTTTTGAAAAACCAGCAAGTTGCAAGATGCCGGCAGCCATCGGGGTCTTGAATTTCTCGGCTGCAGCCACCTTGGCCTGCTGCAACAGATCCTCAATTTTGACCTCACCGAAGACAATGTATGTAGGTGTCGGTGTGCGGATTCTTGTACACATCCGGGTTACGGATCACGCACATGATATTCTCCGATCTTTTAGCACGACTCGGTCCCAGACCTCTTTTAACACGGTAAAAACCTCGCTTAACACGAGATTTTGTAGGAACGTAACCCCCGTGTTAAGCGAGGGCCAGGTGTATTTTATTATTGTATAAAAAATATTTCTTTAAAATTTGTCTTATATATATTGATAAAACATGTATAATAAATTTAAAATAAATTTTCTATTTCCGATTATATAAAAAATAATTCTTAAAATTTTTAAATCTACAAAATCCTAATTAAAAAAAAACCAAGTTATTTCAAATGTTAAATTTCCCGCACAGGATGTAACAGCGATCTGGCAACGCTGTTTATATGGCGCATTCAACCGGATGACGGTGCACCGCCGTTGGGATTTTCACAATAGCCACCGAACGGTCACACCAACTTGCAATTTATTTTATTTTTCACGTGTGGCACACGAAACGCCAAGCTACCGCCTAAAATAAACAATAGACAGCAGCAGCAGCCCGGCGGCAACCAGACGGAGAAACTCCCGCGAGGACAGCCGAATCGTATAGCCAGGCGCAGCCCTTCCAGGCGAAAAATACGCGGCAATTCCAGGCGGTCAGTGGCCCAGCAGCGGCGTTCCCATAGCCGGAAGAAGAAGAAGCACGTGTGCGGCTCTGAAAAGTGTGCGGAAAAGTGAAAATCGAAAAGATTTTGCCAGAGAAAATAATAAAGAGAAGTGACGCATTAAAAGAAAGCTGAGGACATGGTGCCCATCGGAGCCGTGCACGGCGGCCATCCCGGCGTAGTGCATCCGCCGCAGCAACCGATGCCAACGGCGCCCAGCGGTCCCAATACGCTGCAAACGAGCTCTGGGGCAGCCGGGGCCAATACCTCCTCGAACAGCAGTGTTTCCAACAAGAGCTCGCTGTCGGTGAAGCCCAACTATACGTTGAAATTCACCCTGGCCGGGCACACCAAGGCGGTCTCCGCCGTCAAGTTCAGTCCCAACGGCGAGTGGCTGGCCAGCTCTTGTAAGTATCGTATCCATTTCTTCCTCCAAATAGCAAATAATACTTGGGATACTTGTGGTTAATATTCGACACTTTTTCCCTTTTGTAGCCGCCGATAAACTGATCAAAATCTGGGGCGCCTACGATGGCAAATTCGAGAAGACCATTTCGGGCCACAAGCTGGGCATAAGCGATGTGGCCTGGAGCTCTGACTCCCGGCTCCTGGTCAGCGGTAGCGATGACAAAACCCTAAAAGTCTGGGAACTGAGCACCGGCAAGAGCCTGAAGACCCTGAAGGGTCACAGCAACTATGTCTTCTGCTGCAACTTCAATCCGCAGTCCAATCTCATTGTATCCGGCAGCTTTGACGAAAGCGTTCGCATCTGGGATGTGCGCACGGGCAAGTGCCTAAAGACGCTGCCCGCTCACTCGGATCCCGTGTCGGCGGTTCACTTTAATCGCGACGGCTCACTGATCGTGAGCAGCAGCTATGACGGTCTGTGCCGCATCTGGGACACGGCCAGCGGTCAGTGTCTGAAGACACTTATTGACGATGACAATCCGCCAGTCAGCTTTGTCAAATTTTCACCCAACGGCAAGTACATTCTGGCCGCCACGCTGGACAATACGCTCAAGCTGTGGGACTACTCCAAGGGCAAGTGTCTGAAGACTTACACAGGGCACAAGAACGAGAAGTACTGCATATTTGCCAACTTTTCGGTGACAGGAGGCAAGGTGAGTGGAGAGATGTGTCTTTTAAGGGGCTTAAGGTTAATTCAATGCAAATTTTTATTAAAATTAAATGTCAAAATCCCGATTTTTTACTATAAAATTGGACACAATATTCTTAAGATATATGGTCAAAAAAAATAATAAATTAAAGGCCTTAATATAAGCTAGATTTTAATCATATTTATTACAATACATTTTTTAGAAAATTTTAATATATTTTACTATAATTCATGCGTTTCTCATTTTCCAGTGGATCGTTAGCGGCAGCGAGGACAACATGGTCTACATTTGGAATCTACAGAGCAAGGAGGTCGTCCAGAAGCTGCAGGGCCACACCGACACCGTGCTGTGCACTGCCTGCCATCCCACTGAAAACATAATCGCCTCTGCGGCGCTGGAGAATGACAAGACCATTAAGTTGTGGAAGTCGGACACATAGAGGGAGGAGATGGGTATCGCTGGTATCCAGCAGGAGAAGGTGGATGAGGAGGCATACATTTCTTGGATAACATTGTATCGATGTAGTTTCGCAAAAGTACAAAATCGCGATACTTTTCCGAAAATACGTCGATGTTTAATTGAAAAATCTTTAAGTTTTAATATCCCCTCTCTCTCTCTCTCTCTTTTTTTTTATTATTTGTATACATATTTAAGCACAGAACACAATTTCTACTCTTAAATCACAATTTAAAATCGCGCTCGCATGATAACAAAAGGGAATGCGTAAAAATGTGTATAAATATTTATTCGGACACCCAAAAAACAAGCAAAACAAATTTTGTAACCTTTTATGCCACACAAAACCTACAAAACTAATGATCTTTTCGGTGACGAGACAACCTAAATTTAAGTAACCCCCCCCCACATACACACACACACACATGCGTGCAGAAAGAATATATATAAAATACGAGATGTAAATTAAAAAATAAAAGAAAAGACGTCCTCGCCAACGCCAAGAAGGGGATTCCCATGTCTCTTGAGCGTTTTCCCCGAGGCAAGTCACTTGTGTATTTGTAGCGTTTTTCAATTCCCTAAATTTATAATCGGAAAGGGACTTATTTCAACCCTTTACTTTCCATATGTAAGTTTACAAAGGTTCTTAAGTTATTAAATTTTTTTATTCTTAATGAATCAAATGTTACAGAGAGTATTCCTTATATTCTATTTAGTGTTTGAAAGGGCTAGTTTAGACACCTATATCATATAGCCATAGAAACAATCGGGAAATTTATAGAAAAAGAATTATAAGTTTTTCATATTTTTATTTTTATTAATTTAATTTTTTTTTCAACATTTATCTGCTTTGAGAAATTGTTATTTTGTATTATTATACAATTTCGTTGTTATATAGGAACTATAGGAACGATCGGTAAATGCAAAAAATAGCTTAAAAGAATAACTGTAATGTATGTACAAATTTGATAAAATTTATCTTTTCATTTGATCAAAATAAATCGATTCTAGATCCAATTGCTATCGGCAAGAGTATATAAACTTCGGTATAATATAGGCTTGTCGATATATCCTTCCAAGAACATCCTTTTGCACATGTATTTTTTGTTTTTAGAATATATATTTATCGTATAGTACTATAATTTGACTTCTGAGATCTTAGAACTTCATCTTGTTTTATATATTCGAAATTCACCTATTTTATTTTAAAATAAAATACATAAATAATTATATATATTAAAGGTAAACTTAATTTTTTGAACAAAATTCTTTTAGATTGTTTAAAAATCTCATTTAATAAAAATAATACTTTTGTAGCTCATTGGAAATGCATATATTGTGGTAGCCTGATTAGTTAAATGTATTAAAAATAAAATCTACTTTGTTCAGGCTTTTAAAATAATTTATTTTTTATTTAATGTAACAAATTTGAAGTGTGTTTAATTGTTTACTTTATTTTTAATTACCCAAATATTGGTATTATTTGCTTGAATTGTGGTGTTTTTTTCGCGGGATGCATTTCCCTACTTTTTTATCGAATACTCGATTTTTTTCATTTCCTAATTTGAAAACAACGATAGTATCGATTGTCCTTTGCTGCTTTGCCAGAACTAATCGAAAAGAAATCATTTTTAGAAAAATATCAAATTGATAAGATATTTCTAAATTATTTAATTATTTCAATCCTAACAACAATTCTCAATTTTGGGGTAGAATTCCCATGTAGAATGTAAGATGGCATAAAACGTTTACAGAATTGAGATTAGTGTGACCAGCGATGAAATACCAAAATATACTTTTAAAATTTCGATATTCGATATATCAGGTTACAAAAATTGATAAAAATATTTATTATTTTTCACATCCCTAAGACAAACAGAAATGACTTGGATGCGCTGATGGGCTGAAAATGAATTGTGCGCGCCATCCCACAAGAACGCCCAGTCCGACAAGTGATAAATAAATTTGCAACAAATTTCGCTCCGTTTCGCACGCACCCCGACACACACACACACTCCTCCCTCCCCATCGGATCGGGACACATACACGCGCATAGTGAAAAAAAAAGAATTGCAAATAAAAGAAAAAAGGAAAAACGCGTCTACAAGGAAGTTCCCGTGCCCCGTGCTCCGTGTTGTAGGAAAATCGATCGATTTTCCTCCTTGGCCTGCAAAATTTATAGTCTGCAGTTTACTGTGTTTCGGGATCTCTTTTATTTGAGTTTTTTTTTGTTTTCGCGGTGCAAAGTACGCACGCAGAGGAGTGAGCGAGAGCGGTGAACCGGTGAAGAGAGGTGAAGAAACGCGGAGCAGCGGCAATTAGCAAGGCTTTGCGCTTATAAATACCTATATATATATATAAATATATATTCCATATTAAAATCGCGAATATTAATGAAACAAAAACAAAGCGGCAGCATTGACAAAAATTTCTAATACAAAAATAAACCAAACAAATCGGCGCCGCTGGCAACAGAGCGACAGAGAGAGAGTGAGCAGAAGGAAGGGCGAGCGAGCGAGAGAGAGAGTGGGAGAGGCGCCAAAAAGGTAACGGAAAACAAGACAAGAAGAAGCTGCTTGAACACCAACAATTGCTGAGAGCGAGAGCGAGAGAGCAGAGCGTCTTGGGCGCGCGTCATCGATATTGTATCTTCAATTGTTTACACGACTGGCTCTGTTTGTAGTGTGTATCGTTTTTGCGGCACACCCAAGGCGGAAAACACCCGCAGCCACGCCTCCCCGCCTCCCTAGAAAACCCAACAGCAGCAGCAACAACAACCTGCAACGAAAGAGAGCCCAGAAAAAGGCACAGACCGAAAAAAAGCCGAAAACAAATTCGGACAGTTCTTCATCTTCCCACTCCCGGCCTGGCATGGAAATAGTATGGTAAGTGGATTGGATTTTGGATTCCCATTCCCTATTGGAACATATCAAAGAAATCAAGTTAGCCACCCGCTAAACGCGACGCCCCCTCAGGCCATCCCTCTCTTGCCCTTGGGGCCAGCCTATTAGCACATTTCGGTTATTTGTTGTTTTTGTTCGCACGAAGGTTGCACATGCCCGCGAGAGCGAGTGTGTGTGTGTGAGAGAGTACAGCAAGGGTCAAAATTATACAACTGAAAGACAACTAATTGTAGTTATTAAAATTAATTACTATTTTTAAACTCACAGGAAAAGCTTTTTATTATTCGAGTTATTTTCTAACAATTGGAAAATTAATATTTATTTATTTGTTTAAAGAACCATTTCTCAGTTTGGAAACTAGCATAACTTAATTTTAAACTTGAAAAAAAAAAAAAACAATTTGATTTTATCAGTGACCGCAATTGCTTTTGGCTCGCGTGTTTTTTAATTCATTTCTTTTTTTTTTGATGTTTCCCGTGTGGCATTGTGACCTGTTAACTTGGAAAATTACTCGGGGATCTCGTGACTTTCCTCTGCATTTAATATTCATAGCGAACGAGGGAAGTCCTTGAGCAAGGGTTTCCCCACAATTTGGCCCCCTTTTGACCCGCCTCCCTCCGTTACTTGCAGGAGCGGGGTGTGTTTGTTTAAACCGTTATTCCAGCATTCCCTCGTACAGTCACCACACATACACCGCCGCACCCCATTACAGGATGTTTACGTGTGTGAGTTCATTTCACTCTCTTTTTTCACCCATTTTCCAAGTTGGATGGATTCATTCTGGAAGAGAAATGGACGTAAACACAGAAGAACTGTTTCCTTTTTGGGGCGGAAGTGATATAAATGTTTGGAACACGATCTGAACACTTTCCAACCCTAATATTTACATTTTTTTAAAGCATGTTTTTGTTTACGTTTCGGTCTGGAGAAAGATAAACCATACATTATTTGAAGTGAAAGGAAATTCCATTTACTGACTTTGATTATAAATTTAACAAGAAATTATTTTTTACTTCTCGTGCAAATTTTTTTTCCGTTTTGTCAATGAATGCGTAAAGCTTTATTCTTTAATATGTATATATATATATTTATAGGAAGGAATGCCCATTATAAATTTAACCAGAAATTATTGTTTACTTCTCGTAAAGATTTTTTTTCCATTTCGTCAATGAATGCGTAAAGCTTTATTCATTTAATTCATTTTATTTATCTGAAGAAATTCCCATTCTTAAAGCTAATTTTTGATTAGTCGGAAAAATATTTCGGAATAATCTGAAGTAACGACCATTTAAAATAACATTTATTTAGCATTCTTCTCATACGAATAAAAACCATTGATGCCGTTGCACTTTGTGAAAAGCTGATTCAGATAAGAATGAATGTGACTTGAGATCGTCAACAAAATAAAAACGCTTAACTCGACTTTATCTCGGGTAAAAAAATAATAATAAAAACAAAGAGTTTAAGGAAAAAGTATCAGTGTCTTTAGCTAAAGGTTCTTTGTTCACAGATAATCCCTACTTTAGTCTAGATCTGTGCAGCTTGCGTTGATCTGGCTACCAGGTATCTTTTAGTCTACTCTGACTTTCCTACTTGTGTTCTATTGATTTTATCCAAAAGGGGCAGTGCATTTACAGGGCGACTTTTGCTTAAATTTAGGTAATTAACGATTGCTGATTGTGTGCTTTGCCGGGCGCTTATCAATGCCCAGACACCGACACAGACACAAATACATATGCAATGCACAAGCACATGCCGGTGTTTGCTCAACCCACTGCGATAAGCGTTTTTCTCTCCCGCTCTATCTAGCTGACTTCGTCTCCGACACGGAAACTAGCGCCAACCTCCCACTACTCGCTAGCTCACCTGAGGCGCGTGACACAGACACACGCAGACAGCCACACAGACATGGCTGGGAAACGGACAAAAGACAGGAACAATAATAATGAGGCTAACGAACAGCCAAAAACTATCACCTAGTATTCCAGTGGTGCCTGCTCTGGCTGACCTATGATGTCATTGCGGGAAAACGGACACTATTATCCTGCCCACAGAAGTTCGCCCAGAGTTCTAAAACTTGTCCTTAATATTCAGCACACGTAGCCATCGAGTTTTGTACAAATAGTTTTAGCTTAGATATCCCGAAACTTTACGAGCTCCTATAATAGGCAAACAAAAATATTTGCTAACTTTTATTTTATTTTGAGGCTTTTTCTAAATCCTTAGCTTTATCTTAAATATAGTTTCATTCTTTTTGGAATCATAAGGGATTACCAAAAATACCAAATTTAAGATCAGAAAGATATAAAAAATATTAATATAAAATATATATTAAAATGAATAACCCTTTGTCTTAGTTTTCTTTACAAAGGAAACCCAATTAGTTTTAGGATTATATATAGAAATTTATAAATTTCCCTGCTAGTGTCATACCGCTTTTGAATAATATCACCCTTTTCCTAAGTATTAATTGCCGTAGTCATGGAAAACCAATTAGTTTTCAATGGTTATCCTTCCTTTTGCTAACTTTGCAACCTACGCTTATTCATTAATTGCTCATAACCCAGATATCTGACTGTATTTATAAAAATTAACAAAGCTATCGTACTCTACTGTCAAAATGCCACTGAAAGACAAACACCCGGACTGGACTATTCGCCACTATCTATATCTATCATTTTGGAATGCTCGACTCCATATCCTTATCTATTTGACCCATGACGACATATTGGGAGAACCAGTGTACTTGGAGCTCTCGGGTACACTCCGCTATCCTACGATGCTAATTAAACACGCTACAAATTAGTCACTACCTTTGTGACAGACACGGCACTATTGTGAGTGTAAGGCGAGACCCGCAATGTACTCACTATCTGCACTCGGCGTGTGATTCAAGTGATTCAAGAAGTGGCCGGCTCTGATTAAGACGTAATCGGGGCGACACACTGCCAGGCAGAAGTTGTGGCTTTTCAAAATAGTTATAGTTAAAAGCTAGTTAGGCACAAAAAACAATGTGAAAATTTCCTTAAATAATAGGATTTGGAATTTAAATTTCCTTTAAAATATAAAGGGAGAGTTTAGCTAAGAAATAACCCCATAAACAATGCCGAAAATTTGTCAATTTGTATGCTTATCATAATTACTTTAGAGACCCGCACACCTTAAAGTTAAAAATCTTATTATAACCCTGCCAGGGTATTATAATTTTAGTCAGAAGCCTTTTCTGGTTGAAAAAAGAATTTACTTATTTTTAAAAAAAATTATAATAATATATATAATATAATTTAAAATTCTCAAAAATTAAAAAAATATATATAGATTTCATCAAATATTTAAATTCAGTATGCAAATTTATTAGCCTCTTAAAAAATAACATAGAAAAGCTTTCCGAATTGAAATTAACCCTTTTTTGGGAAAGTTGTGATAGATTTAAATTTGGTCCACTGAAAAAGTTACAAACGGGAAGGGTATACAAACTTCGGCTTGTTGAAGTTAGCTTCTTTCCTAGTTTTTTTTTTTAGAAAAAAAAAAAAGAAATTGTTGTAAAATCCAAAAATTACCAACCGATATTTTAATGATTTACCTTTTTTGAGCAGTGTGAAAAAGGCTTTAGCTTTCCGGGTGATAAGACTCCTTTTGGTAATACGTAATAGAGATTGCCGGATGGCCATTCTCGAGTACCAAAAAAATGGCACACTAACCATTGGGACTGTTTCTTCTCCCGCTTTCAAGTTGTGTGTGTGTGTTGTGGGCTCTGCCCTCCTCTGATTGCGTTCTCCGCTTGATAACGTATTTAATTTATTATTATGACGGGCACACACAGGCGCAACTCCGTGCCAATGGTGGGTACGGTACTCGCACCGGATACCGGCTGACTGGCTAGTGGGTACCGAGCACCGAGCACCGAGCACCGACTACCGAGTACTGCGAGTACTGGGCAGGTGTACCTGTCCGATTTGTACGGCGGGAGCTTAGTGTACCGGCGACCGTCTTCGGAGCTCGAAGCACGAGAGGAAAACCAGAGCAGAAAACGCAAACAAAAATCTAAACGAATATCGGGAGTAATTGAAGTCGTGTCGGAAACGTGCACCGAATCCCAGCGAGATTTACAACGATAAATGCGATAAATTCGAAATCAATATATATATTAAATATATACGAAATAGTAAATAAAAACGAAAATCAAAAGAGCTGGACGACGGACGCGCTACTATTATGGACTGGTGAGCAACGGGGGGAAGATATGGGGAAGCTAACCCTAAACAGTGCCCTGTAATTCATGACACCTGGAACGAGCCCCGTGAACTGGGGATTTCCCATTCATAGAGACCCCCACGGCCGGCTACGGACTTTGACATTGACAGTGTGTGAGTGCACTGGCAAAAAAAAAAAGAAGAAAACCTAAAAATAAAGTGATATGAATATGGAAATACAAAGCTCTACGTGATGATTCACATAGGGTTTTCAGAGCGTAAAAACCATGTTCTTATGGGATATACACCCTATCAATCAACAAAGGGGTTTCTCTGACAAAACGATATTATTATTGTGACAACTCCGATAAATTTTCGGTTTTTTTGGTAATTAAACAAATTTTAAAGTCTTAAAATATTATAAAAAAAATTAATCTTAAAAGAGATTTAAAGGAAACAATATCTTATCAAAATATTGAAGTTGTAAGGTTTTTTTTTTTTGTTTTGTGCTGAATCTTGTGATTGAATCTCAAAAGTTCATGTCTGATAATATTGGGTTCAAAGTTTGGTTTTGTGGTTAATTACAAATAAATCCAATACCTTAAATATTATTTAAAAATTTATATTCAAGGAGTTTTAAAAGGAAACAATATTTAACCATAATATTTAAGTTCTTGTGACTTTTTTTTTTCGGTGTTTTGTGCTGAATCTCATGTTGGAATCTCAATAGTTCATATCCATTGACGTTTTTTTTTTTCTGTGTAACTTTAATTGACGTCTAGGCCAACCTGGAGACGTGCTAATTAATGGGCAAACCCCTCTCTAGTTAATGGGGGGGATTAAAGTGAGAACAGGCCTATATGGCATAAGAACGGGTACTATTAACTTGGAACTAATGGAAAACGCTTTCCAAGCGTTCATTCCAGTGCCCAAGTCCGTTGATATGTGACTCAGGGCAGGTGCTCACTTGCCACTATCCGCTAGCTGCTAACTATTACCTAGCTGCGATTAGATTTACCTGCACTTGGAGCTTCACATTGCGTTGCCCCTCGTATTATATATTGTCCCCGGGAACAATGTGCCGCCGCGGCAATTAACCAACCAGTAACCAGTATCAGCAATGGCATCGTGCACACCACAGTAGTTATCGCGTGAAAAAAACAACACCCTAAAAAACAACAAAAAGGAAAATCGCTTTGGTGACCTTTAAAAGTGAGAAATGCATTTTGGAAAAGAGCAAATGCCTCTCAATAATCACTTTACGACACCGTTGATAAATTATTTACGGATTTAATTGTTTAATTTAAACTCAAGCGGAGAGAGAGAAAATTTAAAAAAAAAAATCTAGAAAATATTTAAAATTTAAACCTAAAGAAATTAAAAAAATACCAGGAAATATTTGATTGCCTAATTTTAAAAGTAGTTTTTATGTGATATGAAAACGTTTTCCTCTAAAGTGTTGAATAAATATTAGGAAATATATTTTAGCAAATGTTTAAACTAACTAAAACTTGAAATACCAAAGAGGTTCAACTTTTAAAATACCCAAACTATATTGCAAATTATTTAATAAACCTAAAAAAATATATATTAAAAAAAGAAAACTAACATAGATTCAAGGTTCTTACCCTATTGAATTACTTAAAGTGAAAAACATTCAATAAAATATATAAATACTACCTCCAGGTGAATGACTATTTAAAGTATTAAGTTACTTCTGTGCACTATTTACACTTTCGATTTTAGTTTTCCTTTTTTTTTTTTTTTTTTTTTTTTTGCATTTGTTTATTTGTCCCCTAACCCATATTATTCACTGTATTCGATTTTGTGCACTGCCCTGCAATCGCTGGAGCGTTGCATTCATTTTCATTTTCTCGCAGTTAGTTGCGAAAAATAAAAAAAGAAAACAAAACAAACAAAGCACTAGACAATTGTGGAAATTATTGCACCGAAGGCAGTCCGTCCGATTTGCTGTTTATATAAGAGCGGACCGGTTATCGCCGGCGATCCAAGTTCATTACGCCCCCAACGCCGACGGTTTCGGATTCAGATTCGAATTCCAATTTCAATTCCAATTCAGAGGCTAAGGAGCGGGCTATCATCAGAGGCTGACTGACGCTGGCTTCAACGCGTCTCCGACTCATCGAGTAACGCCCCGGGAATTGTCGTTGAACCTCTGTGATTCATTCGCTGTTGCAATCTCGCTGGCGGATCGCTCGAATGATAAGACTAAGACTAAGGGGAAGTCATTGGCATCGGCTGTTGTTCAGTTGGGGTTGCTCTCGATTGGCGAATCGGGCTCCAAGATCGTATCGTATCGGATCGGTTTTTGGTTTCCAAGTTGCCGTGGGATAATTGAGTGAGTGAGTGTGCCTCTGACGTAGGGTTTGGGTGGCGGTGGTGCGTATCTAGGATTCCGCATTTGCCGAAGGCCGTCGCTTATCACACGACAGATTGCAAATAAAAAACGTACTCGTACGAAACTCTGCTAGCCGTGTGGTTTACTCTCCAAGTGAAGAGGTTCTTATCGGGGCCAATAAAAGCGGGCCAAGTACGGTGGAAGGTGGCTAAGGAGGCAGAGAAATATTTTACCCTCTTAAAAACAGAAAAATATTTGATTTTTTACTTTTAAAAGCTGTTTTTAAGTGATGTGAAATCGTTTTTCTTGAAAACCATATCCTTAGGTGAATTTTAATCTTATTTCTGGATATATATTTATTCTTCTTCAACTGTAGAATCTTTTTTTAAACCGAAAAAATTATACCCTGAAGTTGGTTTATTTCGACAACTGTAAACAAGACGATTACAACTTAGGTCTTGAGTTTGATAAGCTTGGTACAACACAAGTACGATTGTTTATTGCAAAAAAACAGACAGAGGTGGCATTCAATGTGGCCACTTAAAAGAGCTTGTTCCACTTTATGTAGTTTATATATACATATATATTTATATTTATTATATATAGACACAACACTTGAGTTTACTAAGCTTGGCATTATTGCTAGGACCCCCGTATTTGTGTTATCAGCAATGTGTTGCAACTTTCCAAGCTGTGCTCCTGGTTTCTTGGATTCCTTCCTGCTGGTTGCCTAGGTTCCCTCCCATTTATTGAACCCCGGATAAATCGATAAGAGGGCGGTGCTAATGGGGCGTGTAATCTTTATGTCTACCCGCCGTCACTGAAAAAAAACGCCCCAAAAGCCCGCATTCATTATTTTACCACCAATTCCCAATACTCCCCATACTCAATACCCATTTCTGCTGCGCCTATCTGAATGAGTACTGGAACACTCCCGTGGGAATGAATGGAAAATTTTGTGCTGACTTTCTTTGGGTCTGCCGCCTGGTCAGCGCTCAATCTTTGCGGGTCTCAAGTCTCAAGTCCAATCTCGTTTAGTGATTCATGCGACGTAAATGAAATATATTATTATTATTTTGTATTTTCATTGTTATTTTGATTTCGAGTCTGTCCGTTTATTTCCAGCATTCCAGATGTAGTAGCTTTTTATCAGTTTCCTTTCAAGGATTCTTTCCAGTATTCAGTAGTGAACTTGAATTTATCACTTTTCTTCCAGTATTCAGTCAGAGAACCAGCATTTATCACTTTCCTTTCAAGGATTCCTTCCAGTATTCAGTAGTGAACTTGAATTTATCATGTTCCTTCCAGTATTCAGTCAGAGAACCAGCATTTATCACTTTCCTTCCAGTATTCATTAGTGAACCATCTTTTGCCACTTTCCTTTCCCGAATTCCTTTTTAGTATTCATTCCATCACCATATTTTTGTCACTTTCTGTGGACTGTATTGTATTACCCACCTTCTATACAGCGTATTATATATTAATTGACTTGTTTATACGAGATTGAGTTCTATTTTTGCCTGACGAAACACAGCTTGATGCTGTTTTATTAGATTTTTTCATGGAATTTTGTTGGTGTTCTACGATTGCTACAGCATATTTTTTAAGTTGATAAGCTTGTGGCAATTAAATAATAAATACGCGTCTAGAGCGTTGAAATGTTTTTATTTCTACCTACAAAAAAGAAAGAAGAAAGAAGGCAAGTCAATCATGGTCAATATTGCGGAATGGATAATGCATACGTCTTTGGGGATATATATATTGATTAATGATTGATGATTAATGGCGCTGATAGCCTCAGTCAGCCGGTCGAGAGTGGCGCTCTTATCACTAATTAAATTTCGTGCTCTCTCGCTCTGTGAAATGCACTCGAAACTGTCATTCAGAAACATTGCCTGATATTATCTAAACATTTCCTGGTATCCCCAAGTAGATTGCTCATTTCGCCCGCGTTGCTCATATTTCTTTTTTTAAATACTTTTAATCGTATCGCGCTTAGTCATTATGAAAGGCCCCAAGGCCCGAAGCACCACAGAATGGAAACATTTTGCCAATACGCTTTAATATCGTTTAGATATTGATGCCTCTAGTGTATAAATAAATGTGTAATATAGGTATTCAATATAATCTGAACATCAAATATTTGAATTTGGGACTCAGCAAGTTCCTCGTCGAACTAAAATTTAAATATTAAAAAAAAAAAAGAAGAACATCTGAAACTGAGGCAATCACTTCGTTGGCCTTTGAACTATACCAATTGCTTCACAATTATATGGGGGCCATATGTCAGTATAATTGTTGTTGCCCGGCAAGAATCTGTTTTGGAAAATATATATTCATATGGGAGCACTATGCAACAACTGACTGATCAATAGGTATAGCTAGGGGCTATGGGCTGGCGGGCACGCGATGCTGATATGATGATAATTAACATTTTGAACGCCGCATTACATATGGGTCCACCTCTCTGTGATCGCTTACCCGGCTGTCCAAGTTCTAATTTAATCATCCAACGGAACGAAACGAACACAACAAAAATATGGTTCGAAAGGTTAGAAAAATTAACTCGGCACAAATTAAATTTTAATGCCAAATTAATCGTCGTAGGTTAGGAATTTTAAATTATTATTACCATATAAAGATGATATTACTACATAAAATATTTATTTGTTGCATTTTCTGCATTTAAAAATCAAAACAAACTACAGTCGAATCGATTTAGACATGTCCTTTTTTTTTTTTTTTTTTTATTATTATACCCTTGCAGGGTATTAAATCATATATATTCTTGATCAGCATCAACAGGCGTATCTTTTTTTTTTAAGTAACAACTCCAGCCAGGTCCTTTCGTAGGCCAAGAAAGGGTCTTGGCTTTAAACATTTCGTGTTGAAACTTGTGAAATTGAATTTATTTAAATCTTATTTACTTATATTAATTAATTTATTTTATTTATTTTTTTTTTTTGCAGAAATGTCTAACCACGAACCAGAGCTGAGAGTCTCAAATGCAAGCAAGCCAACGCCAGCGGGAGTATCCAAGTCCACCAATAGCTGAAGAGAAAGTTGCTGCGGAATCGCCCCAGGAGCTGATAGAGGATCCCGTGCACTTATCAAGCCGGTGACTGGGTTAACTTCCGGTCCGTTTCGTTCCGTTTTCTTTTCTTTATGTTTTTTTTTTTTGTAAGCACAAACCAAACCAAACCAAAACAAAGCAAAAAGAATAAGAAAAAACATAACGAAAGCCGAAGCCGAAGCCAGTAGAAGATAGCGCCGAGCAAACAGACTCTCATCCAGTCATCATTCAATCATCCAGTCATCCGGAACGAACGAACAAACGGATCTGTCGCAGCACAAGTCTACTTAAGGAAGGAATCGCTTGGACTATAGCCATTTAATAATAATAATATATATAATACTTTAAACACACATCACACACCATAAACACACACACACACCCGCAATCAGGATGAACTCCACCACAAAGCACCTGCTGCACTGCACACTGCTCATCACTGTGATAGTTACCTTCGAAGTATTCTCCGGCGGTATTAAGATCGACGAGAACTCGTTCACGATCGTCGATCCATGGACTGAGTACGGCCAGGTGGCCACCGTTCTGCTGTACTTACTGCGCTTTCTCACCCTCCTCACCCTGCCCCAGGTGTTGTTTAACTTCTGCGGCCTTGTCTTCTACAATGCCTTTCCCGAGAAGGTCGTCCTCAAGGGCAGCCCCCTATTGGCGCCCTTCATCTGCATCCGTGTTGTCACGCGCGGTGATTTCCCCGATTTGGTAAAGACAAATGTATTGCGAAATATGAACACCTGCCTGGACACGGGATTGGAGAATTTTTTAATTGAGGTGGTCACCGATAAGGCGGTTAATCTATCGCAGCATCGTCGCATCCGTGAGATTGTTGTGCCCAAGGAGTATAAGACACGCACAGGAGCGTTATTTAAATCGAGAGCCCTGCAATACTGTCTCGAGGACACGGTGAATGTGCTGAACGACAGCGATTGGATTGTCCATTTGGATGAGGAGACGCTGCTCACCGAGAATTCGGTGCGTGGCATTATCAATTTCGTCCTGGATGGCAAGCATCCGTTTGGCCAGGGCCTGATCACGTACGCCAATGAGAATGTGGTCAATTGGCTGACCACTTTGGCGGACAGCTTTCGGGTGTCGGACGACATGGGCAAGCTACGGCTCCAGTTCAAGCTCTTCCACAAGCCCCTATTCAGCTGGAAGGGCAGCTATGTGGTCACCCAGGTGGGTATTTCCCTAATGAGCAGGCACCTCTTCTATCACCTTTGTTATGACAGTCGCTAAGCCGCTGAAGAGAAACGAGCTGCGGAGCTCATAAACTAGAATATGTATATTTCTTGGTAAAAGCAATGCTTAACTTTGAGGCTTTAAGCAGAGACTAGTTAATTTTTATTTGCCCTGAAATGTTAAGGTTCTGCTTGTGGTTAATAACTGATAGCCAGCATAGTTATTGTTTTTTAAATAGTATTTTTCAGGGATCGCTAGAATTTTAATTTTTGAAAAAAAATTTAAAATATATATATATATAAAAATTTCAATTTTTATAATAAAAATACATTTTTTATATAACAAGAATAATAGCTCTTATTCTATATATATATTTTTTTTATAAAAACTGATATTAATTAAATAAAATGTATAATTTTTACAAATTAAGAAGAAAAACAATTTGTTTATTAAAAGTAAATAATACAAGTTCATAAAAATTTTGTTTATCTAATACATAAATTACAAATAAGAGTTATTACTTAAATTTTATAATCAAATGAAATATTAATAATTACATTAAATTTTTTTAAATTAAAAATTTAATAGTGAGTGGTAAAAACCAATTAATAAATACAGATTTTTATAATTTGTTTTGTTTCTGAAAAATCTATTAAAAAATATGGTATTATTGTTATTAATTTTTATTTTATTTGAAACTCTTATTTGCGTTCCTTGGTATTTTCATAATAATTGTTTGATTGCCAGAGAAATTCAGTACATTAATCATTTTCCATTGATCAAAAAGGTTTTTTTTACAATATATTTAAATATTGTTAATTTGGTTTAACCCTAGACGGTCATGCTTATTTTTCCTACGTTAAGGTTATGCTTCGTCAAATCGACGACGCCAATTTTAAAATAAGTATAAATGATAAAAAACAAACAAATATTGTAACAAAAATTTTTACAGCGTTTAATTCATCATTTTAACTGTTCAAAATAAGAAATAATAATTCATTCTCATATTAAGAATATACTTAAAAACTAAAAATAAAAAACAGCCTTTTTTTCATTTTTCGATCTTTTGTGATTTTGCGTCGTCGAATCGACGAAGCATGACCGTCTAGGGTTAAAGAAAACTCCACAATATTTTTTATAATATAAAAATATAAAAAAAAAAACCTTAAAATAGAACTAGTTTTCATTTAACCCCTCATCTTTTTGTAATGAGTTTTAAAAATCCTTACTAATTATCACAAATACTCTCTTCCAGGTCGGTGCCGAGCGTTCGGTGTCCTTTGACAACGGTATCGATGGCTCCGTGGCCGAGGATTGCTTCTTTGCGATGCGTGCCTTTAGCCAGGGCTATACGTTCAATTTCATCGAGGGCGAGATGTACGAGAAGTCACCGTTCACGCTGCTGGACTTTCTGCAGCAACGCAAACGCTGGCTCCAGGGCATCCTGCTGGTGGTCCACTCCAAGATGATACCGCTCAAGCACAAGCTGCTGCTGGGTATCAGTGTCTACTCGTGGGTAACCATGCCCCTGTCAACGTCAAACATCATATTTGCTGCTCTGTATCCCATACCGTGTCCCAATCTCGTGGATTTTGTCTGCGCGTTCATTGCGGCCATCAATATCTACATGTATGTGTTTGGCGTCATCAAATCCTTCTCGCTGTATCGCTTTGGATTGTTCCGGTTCCTGGCCTGCGTGCTGGGTGCCGTGTGCACAATACCCGTGAATGTGGTCATTGAGAATGTGGCCGTCATTTGGGGATTGGTCGGCAAGAAGCACAAGTTCTATGTGGTGCAGAAGGATGTGCGCGTACTGGAGACTGTCTAAGGTTAACCAGGAGATGGATAGAGAGACGAGTCATCATCATATCGCCGACTGCCGACTGCCGCCGCCGCCGCCTCAGCAAACCAAATGAAACAAAAAGCAAAAACAAAAAAGGAATCGCACAATTTTGGCCAGGTTCTTCAGTGTGTTGCCCTGCACGTCACTCGCGTCTGATTGATTTATTTTATTTGTACATTTCCTAAGCATAAGGTTCACCCCCCACACCGCCACCCCCGCACACACCACACTCTCTCTGCACACACCACTAGCACATTTAATTGTTGTTTCGTTCTAAATCCGCTCATCATTCATAATATTGCCAAAAACAAAAAATAAGAAAAAAAGAAAAAATAATTAAATATAAAATGAAAAAGGAAAAATCAAAGAAAATAAGAGATGAGGGCCTGAAATGGCCAAAAGAACAAATGTTATAGACAAATGTGTTGAGACGAGATCGATTCTATGTATGAAAATGCACGCACTACTCACGCACACAAAAGAGAAAAACAACACACACACACATACACCAGCCACAACAAATACGAAAACATCCAACATTTAGAAACAAAAACCAGAAAAGAAAAGAACTCTCCATTAAGTGTAACTTTCATTATAAATATTATTTTTTTGTATAGTCTGTAGTGAAGAATGCGCTATATTTATATATAAATATGAATATTGTATGTATATTGTGTAGATTTATTATTACTATTACTATTATTATTATTTAAAACTCGTGTACATTAATGTATTGTAAATTTATAATCTGTTGAAAATATTCATTATTCACACCAAAAGCAAGGAAACGATAAAAAAAAGCAAAACGAGAAAAGAAATGCAATGTACTTACCTGTGCAAATTATCGATTTGTACTTCCCAGATTATTGCAAGTCACCAATTGCACTCCCTGAGTGTGCGTGATTAAACGTGATTAGTGGAAGAGGAGGTCCTCGACTATCGAATTTCTCTGTTCTTTAATTTCTTACTGTACTCTCTGTTTTATTTATGCATTGTTTTTTACGCCTTTTTTTTTTTTTTTGTAATGTCCTTTCTGTTTAACTGTTATTGGTGCTTTGAGAACCACACCATGCCCACCCACCCCAAACAAAAAATGCAATCACCTCGTAAATCCCAAAAGGCGAAACAGCGTGACGCCCAAAAACACAACACCACACACAAGACACACACATTAAACTGTTACGAAAAAGAACCAAATACAAAAAACAATAATAAAATGTCGAAAATTGAAACAAGCCTTTTTTTTACAGTGGTGAAATTGGGCAGCATATTATGTATGTAGTATCCCTGTCTCGCTCTTAATCATGCAGCATCTTGTCGAGTGCCGAAGTCGGAAATGTTTTCCGTTACAATATATTAAAATATTATCGTTTGTTCTTATATATCTGGATATTTGCTGTATGAATGAAGTCCGCCCCTATTAAGCTTCAATTCTCCTGAGGATGTGCATTGGAATGTGTGAATTGGTGCTGCCCAGAATTGAATTTGAATCAGTATAGGATGCTCCTTAGACCATGGTCAGCTCCATGATGGCGTTGACCAAGTCATTGTCGTTGTTCTTAAGAGCCTTGATGGCCTTGGCCCGTGTAGTGTTGGCTTGCATTACCACAAGCTCAATGTCCTTCTCGTCCATGCCAGTGTCATCCACCTCCACCTCTTCCTCATCTCCACCGGCGATGGGAGCCGACGTGGTGGCGCCGGCGCTGTCGATAGCGGTAGCAGCAGCCTTTGGGGTCTTGAATTTCTCGGCAGCAGCCACCTTGGCCTGCTGCGACAGATCCTCGGCCTTGGCCTCGCCGAAGACAATGTAGGTGTCGGTGTGCGGATTCTTGTACACTTCCGGATTGTTGATCACGAACATGATATTCTTTGATTTGCGAATGGTCACACGGTTGACGCCTGGAATCGGCTTGAGGCCGAGTTTCAAGAGAATCTTCCTGGCCTTTTTCTCGCCGCGAGACTGCTTGGGTTTGGCCACCTGCTCACCGGTGGCACCGTCTCCCAACTGAGTAGTGCTACCTGCTCCAGCCTCTATCAGATCGGGAATGCTGCCGTCGTCGGAGTCGCTATCGCTGCCATCATCCTCGACGCGCACGTCCTCTGGCTTGGCCTTTGCAGGCACAGAAGGCGCAGTCTTGTTCTTGATTTTGTTCGGCTTAGGCATATTTATCTTTATCAGCTTTTTTACAAGTTATACGGGAAAAGATTTCTCTGAAACAAAAAAATTGGAAAAGAAAATCAGAGTGACTAGGAATCCGTTTGCTTGAATTTCTGCTTGGCCGAGTTGGGATCCTCGTTCTAGGATATAGAAAACACAAAGAAGGGATTAAGGAGGACACTCACCTTTAATATAAACTGTAAATCAGGATAATAAATGAAAACCAGGACCGAGCAACGATGACAAGTGATTTTAGCTTTTACAGTTAGCTGTCAAAATTGAAAAATGGTGGACTCAGTGTGACCAGTGACCCAGTGTGTTGGCAGCGCGCGAAATTATTGAACTATCGATAGCTATATCGATTCATCTGAATGAATTATGAGGTTAATAACTTTTTTGCGTTTGAAGTCAATTTAATTGTTTATAGTTTCTATAGAAAATTTAACCGTTGAAAGTATTTGTTTTCCATATATATATTCTTTTTGTTTATTTTAGCTTTATTTACCAAATACCGATAGTTGGCACAATGCACGGTGTCAGCACTATCCAATCGGTGCTATCGGTGGTATCGGTGGTTTTAAAAGATTGTAAATTTATTAATCGGATTTTGTTTAATATTTACCTATTTATTTCTCTTCTGTATCGACTCTTAATACTGTTACAAGAAAGGATAATGGCCGGCATAAATGAGCTGCAGCAAGTCCTCGGCCTCGGCAACGGGTTCAACAGCATGGACGCCACCAAGTCCACGATCTTGGATGTGCTGACGCGCACCGAACGCTTACAGGTAAACATTCGGCGACACATCGACGACAACTACACGGAGTTTATGCCCAACCACACGACGCCGGGCATCTTTCTGGATCAGATTGGTTCGCTGAAGCGCGAGATTGGCGATCTGCTGGGAAAGGGCGCCAGCGAGGGCCTGGAAGCCCTGGAAGAGGCGAACGCCAAGATGGCGGCAAGCAGACGCGAGCTGCGAGAGGTCCTACTGGGCCTGGAGGTCAGCGACCACATCCTCAAGGTGGACGAGGTCTTCCACTCGATGGAGGATGCCAAGAGCTGCAACGATTACATGCTTCTCCAGGATCTGCTCAGTCGCCTGCGGGGGCTCATTTACGGCGATGAGCTTGCTGCTGCTGCTGCAGCAACATCCTCTCCCGAGGTTCGACGGATCTTTCAGGAGCTCGAATGCACCGAAACCATGAAGGTCAAGTATCTGGTGCAAGCCCATTTGCTGCAGCAGAATCTGCAGGAGCGCTTCGACCGGCTGGTCCATCTGCAGTGCAAATCCTTTCCTACCTCGCGCTGTGTCACCCTGCAGGTCAGTCGCGACGAGTCCCAGCTCCAGGACATTGTCCAGGCGCTCTTTCAAAAGCGCTACAGCCCCAGTCGCCTTTGCGATTTCCTGCTGGAGAAGTGTATAGAGCCTCTGATCCTCCGACCCGTAATGGTTGAGTATAGCGAGGCAACCGAATCCACCGAGGGTCCTGGCCATGACCAGTTGTCCCTGTCCTACTCCACCAAGGAGCCCAGCGCAACGCAGCTGCGTCCGAACTACAAGGATGTGCTGTCGCACTTTCGGCTGCTGTTCCAAACGCTGGGCGGCATCAATGTCAGTGTTTCCAGTGACCAGCATGTGTTCGGTATCATTGGAGAGCACGTGAAGGACAGGATGTTGAAGCTGCTGGTGGACGAGTGCTTAAAGCCGGCCGTGCCCGAGACCGTGGAAGAGTACCAGTCATCCACGCTGTGCGAGGATGTGACGAACTTTGAGCATTTCCTGGCCGACGTCAACGTGATCAATCCCAGTCAGGATGGTGCCCTGGCTGTGTTTGTGGAGCAGTATCCGACCCACTATCGCAATCGTTTGTTTCGTCGCGTTCTGGAGACCGCGCGCGAGATTATTCAGCGCGATCTGCAGGATATGATGCTGGTGGCCCCCAACAATGGTCCCACCGAAGTGGCCGCCAATCCCCTGCTCTTTCACCGCTGCACGATCTCCAAGAGTGCCCATGTGAGTGGAAGGAATGTCCTCATTTGTTAACTTGAATTTTAAGCCATTTCCATTTACCAGGATTACGTCAAGCTGATGGAGCGCATTTTGCGTCAGCACTCTAGTGCCGAGTCCGAGGTCGCCGATCCCCTGTGCGACATCAACGCCAGCCTGCTCCAGATATACATAGACCAGGTGCCGCTGGTGCATCGCAAGCTGCTGGAAAGCATTCCCCAACAATCGGCGCTGTTTCACAACAACTGCATGTTTCTCACCCACTGGGTGGCCCAGCAGGCCAGCAGGGATTTCAAGAGCCTGCCGGCGCTGACCAAGTCACTGCAGGCCACCGGTGAGCGTTACCTGCGGGTCCAGATTAATTATCAAATCTCCATTTTAAAAGAGATTATGGAGGGCTTTGAGTTCGAAAACCAGCACACACTGGGCACGGGTCCCTTGAAAATGGTGCGTCAGTGCCTGCGGCAGTTGGATCTGCTCAAGAACGTGTGGGCTAATGTCTTGGCGGAGACGGTATACAATACCACCTTTTGCGAGCTAATCAACGCCTTGGCCGAGGAGCTCATACGACGGGTGTTCACGCTGCGCGACATATCCGCCACCATGGCCACCGAGCTAAGCGATCTTATTGATGTGGTCCTGGAGCGGGGACCAACTCTCTTTCACGAGCCACATCAAGTCCTGCAGGTGCGTCTGTGGATGAAGCTGCAGCAGCTAAAGACCATCATGAACGCCTCGCTCAAGGAGATCACCGAGCTGTGGTGCAATGGCGCCGGACCGCTGACCGCCAATTACAAGTCGGACGAGATTCGTCATCTCATACGGGCGCTGTTCCAGGACACGAATCGCAGGGCTCAGGCCATGGCCAAGATTTCCTAGCTAGGAATAAGGATGTAAAAGATCAAAAATCTGCTTTGTAAATATTATTACTACTTTTATTAGTCGAGAAATATATGGATATACACAAGTTTACCGCAAAGAGTGGCCCACATCGTATACATCTTTAGGGATTATAAATTACATTATAGAAACATCAAGCGGCTAGTTATTGGCCTCGTGTCGCGCTTGCAGGAGCAGCGGATACAGCTGCTCCGACAGCAGTCGATGGTCCCGGCCATGGGTGACGGTCAGGATGCGCTGAGCCTCCTCCAGATGATGCCTGGCCTCCTTGGCGTGCTGTTCAAACAGCTGGATTTTGCCCAACTTCATGTGGAGCAGGCCCAGCAGGGGATTCCAGGCGCCATGATACTTCCGGAAGCCCGGAAGCAAACGCTGGCCATAGTCCAAGGCATCCGTCCACTTGCCCACATCGATGGCAGCCTCAAAGGCGGCGTCCAAGGTCTTGACGTGCCACACATTCAGGGGATGGAGCACGCCCGTCTGCTTATTCAGGCACACCTTGCACACATCAAAGTCTGGAAGGGATTGGGTTGAAAAATAATATACTTTGACATCACTAGGTACCTTCACACTCACAGGCCACATCCTTCATGGACTCCAGATTGTGCCGGGTGAGGGCCATCGCCTCCTTATAGGCATTCCTGAGCTTGGGACTGATTCCAGCATCGCAGCGGGGGCAGTTGGTGCGCTCCACATTTATGCCCACACCACAGTTGCGATTCGGGCATAGGGCCGCCGTCATTTCGCGGGACTCCTGGGCATCCGTGCACTTGGTGCACACGCAGAGGAAATAGTAGTGATCCTTGAGGTCCTGCCGCCGCTGCTCGGGGGTGTTGAGCAGGTCAATGTAGCTGATGAAGATCTTGGACCAGTCCAGGCATTCCATATCCTCAATTGCATGGACATGCAGCTCGCTGCCCTCGAAGGTGGCCACCGCATTCGGCTGGCAGCTATGATCCGTGATGGAGACGCCCAAGTAAATGGCCGTGGCAATGGAGTTCATCTCGGCATCCAACACATTGAACCCGTTGGTGATAAGCTGCGGCAGAGAGGAGGAGGAGAACGCATGTTGAGCAACAGCTGTCGTGGCATGTGAACCGCTCCTCGCTATCTGGCAAAGGGCCAGATCAAAAGCATTGATTGCTATGCAATTTGTTTGACCAGGAGCGGTTGTAGGGCTACTACATGTGACTTTTTACAGCTATGCCACCACCGCAAGTCCGCTCCTGGCCGGCCCACTTACTCGACCATAGATGCTCATCAGTTCCGTCTTGTTTGGCACCGTGCTGGGACTCTCGGCCATCATGTCCTCGAGAACGGCGTGCAGCGAGTCCAAGTGCTCCAGCCGCATGGGATCATTCTTAATCTCGGCATAATCTGGTTAAAGAAAAGTTAAGCTGGGTGTCTCGTATTACACGTTCCCTTCACTCACGCGACATCAAATCCCGGAACTTGCGAGAGCCATGCTCCGTGTAGTAGCCCCGTATAAGGTCGCCGCCATGCTCCAGACGCAGGATCAGGCGACACAGCATGCGAGCCGCATCGGGCACAATGCGGGGATGGACCTTCTTTAGAAATGGACACTCGTGCTTGTGCTGGCCCCAGGCCTGCGACTGGCAGGCACGATTGCAGTAAGACACGTAGCGGCAGTTGGAGCACTTGAGGACCTTGGTCCTGCAAGGAGAAAGGAAAGCTTCAGTCTAAAAGAACCTAGTGGACTGGCCACCTTATGGACTTACGCCTCCAGGCAGTTGTCGCATCGCTCCAGGCGATACTTGGACTTTAATACAAAGGCAAAGGGCTTCTCGGTGAGGATCCGCTGGCCACGCTTGATCTGCGGGGCCACAGGACTCTTGGCCGCCTTGGACGACGAACTGGTGGCCATGGGAATGCGACGCTTCTCCATTACCACTTGCTCTATTTCCTCGTATTTTGGGGTACCGGACTTTCGCCTGGGGGCCCGTCACACGGGCGACTGAAATGAGCGCACACCTGAAGCTCAAAAATATTATTTCAAACGCTTTTGAATATTTTGCGGCATCTACTTTTTCTATTTTTAGCCACCGAATAGGAAAACAAACACAATTTACGCAAATCGCTTTGAAGCAAACCACAAACACACAGAAAACATGAAAAGCAAATGCAAAACAACAACAAAAACACAACACACGGTTTCTGTTTTTATTTGGCGCCAGAGTTGCCACGCTTGCGAGAGTCAGGGCTGCCAGGTGGTCCAGCTTGGAAGCGGGGAATATTTCAAATAAAATGTTTAATTTATTTAAAATGTATATTTAAAACAAAGGGTTTGCTAATTTTCCTAGTTTTCCGTTCGCTCTCTTGGCAGCTGTGTAATTAATTAATGATTAAAAAATTAATTTACATAAATTTTTTAAAGGGTTTTCGTAGAAATCGCAGCCCAGCAGCAAGTGTAGGGCGGTCAGCTGACTCCTCCGCTCTGAGCATTAACTGACGGACCCTTTCCCAGATCTATTTCGCTTTCCAGGATCGTTTGCAAATGTTAATAATGGCCGTCACTTTCAAAATGGCCGCCGCCTTGACCAATCTAAAGCCTTCTTGTAATTTCTCCTCCTCTCAGGACAGTTATTTTCTGATAATTTTCTCAACAGGTCAGGTGCTTTCTGATGTTTCTGAGCACCTGATGCATAAAAGACAGAATTTAAAGATATACATAGGTCTTATGACTCATTCATTAATACTAAAAAGGAAAGAGAAGGCAATATTCCCTATAAGAGAAGAGCTCTAGTATCCGTGATCTTGCAGCCAGCTTGTGTTTTTCGTTGCCCCTGGCGGGGCTTTTGTTTTTTAGATTTATTTTGTAGCAAACTTATAGCATAGGGACATATTGTGTGTGATTCATCCGTACGAACTCCTCTCTATAAGCAGTAGACGCGGGTAGGGGGTGGCGGAGAAGGCGGAACGGAACTAACCGACTAATTGTTCTGCGGCTTGGACCATTCGACGCTGAGGATCAAGTGATCGTAACCATGGCCGTTAAGGATCTCGATGGCGGCGGCCGCATCCTTGCGCTGCTTAAAGTGCACATAGGCGAAGCCCTTGCAAAGGCCGGTATTCTTGTCGCGGGCCAGGTACATCTTGCTCTGCGGTCCAATCTTCTTTACCAGCTCCTCCAGATCCGCCTCGGTCATCGATTCCGACAGGTTGGATATGCGAATGGCGGCCGTATCATCCCGTCCGCGCATTCCCATGCCGCCCTTCTGGCTGTCCTTAAGGAACGGTGGCACATACTTTCCGGACTTGGGCGCATCAACGGCAGCCGCCGCCGCAGCGGAGGCCTTCTTCTCCATGAGATTGGTGTCCATGGCGGTGCCCTTGTACGGACAGTTGACCGACCAATGCTCACCGTTGCAGATACGGCATTTGGCGATGTTCTTTGTGGGATCCAGCAGCGGATCGTTGGCCTTCTCGTCCTCCTTGGAGTTGAGGAACTGCATTATAATCTCCTCGGACACCATGGTTGTCTGCGAGTTGGGCCCGGGCTTGTCGTTCTTCGACTCGCCAAACTTGGTCCAGGTGCGACGCTTGGCCACCGTTTTGGGCACCACCTGCTTGGAGATCTTGTACGTGCGCACCACCTTGGTCTTCTTGTCGTCCTTGTTGTACTTGTACTCCGTGACGTACTTGTGGCCGTTCTCCAAGGTCTCCGTCGTCGGCGGCAGTCCACCGTAGTCCAGCTCCACCTCATCCGCCCAGGAGGATTTGATCGTTTCAACGCCCGGCATCTGCAAGTATTCAAGTGTTACGTGAGAGGGTGCGGCTGGGGGCGTCAATTGCACTGCACTTACTCTGATTTGCGATGCGAATTGACAGATTACGGGGGAAATACGAAACGCGAAATTTCGCCACGAGTAAACGGATTGCGATTACACCGAAAAGGGCTAGTGACGGCAATGCGCGCGATAGAGTGCCTATCGATATGTCACCCTGTCACGCACTATCGCCTGGGCTGCGACCGGCTTTTAGGTTATTTTAATTAATTTCTGGCTAACTTCGCTTTGAAGATCTCTTGAGGAAATCAAAATGAATAATTTCCTGTCGTTACATGTTCTAATTCGCCTCTGCGATTAACAACGCTTCTTTGTTGTATAAAAATTCTATTGGCTCAGAAACTAACGGTTAGGAACATGAATAAAATAACCTGGCAGTAGAGACGAAATTATGGGATAATATATATATTTTGGTATTAATATTAATCCAAATACTTTAATTTTTCTAGTTCATATTTGATATATAAAATACATATATTTATTTGGAGACACCCGAACGCAGTGATGGGATGGCTATCGCGGCGATAGTATCGATAGTGGAACCGTCACGCCAGTTGGAAGACGTGAATTATCGATAGCATCGTGAGTGGTTTGACCCAGCTCTATCATCGAGCTCGGCTCGGTTGCAACGGAGCCGAAGGTGCTGCCGAAGGCTGCCGAAGTCTATGTTGTTCGCTCTCGAACACTCTACATTCTACACGAGAATTCGACCCCAAGCATGTAAAACTTTGTTTTGACATTTTACTTTGAAGTTCAGAGTGACCAAGGGGAAAATATAAAAAAATATCAATATTGGGCAAAAAATATCGATATTTAGGTTTTGAAGCAGAATTGATTATAGTGGGAAAATAGCTGAATTGGCAATACTGATTCGGTCGCGGCGGCACATTTCAAACACGTTCGTCGAACACATTCTCTCTCGGTTCGGTTGCAACGAAGCCGAAGTTCGGTTGCAACGGAGCCGAAGTGCTGCCGAAGGCTGCCGAAGTCTATGTTGTTCGCTCTCGAACACTCTACATTCTACACGAGAATTCGACCCCAAAAACGAGAATTCGACCCCAAGCATGTAAAACTTTGTTTTGACATTACTTTGAAGTTCAGAGTGACCACGGGAAAATATCAAACAAAAATATGGCGATTTCGATATTTGGGCAAAAAGTATCGTTATATTTAGGTTTTGAAACACGCCAGATATAGTGGGAAAAAGCTAAATTGGCAACACTGATCCGCAGCTCTACAAAACTTTATACTGTTGCTCGAGCTCGGCTCGTTTCGTTTGAACCGACTTCGTTTGATTCAAAAGAGTAAAAATAAAAAACGCGAGGATTACCGGAAAAAGATTTAAGTTTTAAATTTGTAAAATGGATTTAATGTTTTCCGCAAATCCAAAGATCTCACGTTTGCCCTAAAAAAAACTTCGCGACGCGACGCGAGTGGATTTGCACAAACTTTTTGGCAAGGCTTTTTGCTCCGCAATTTTGTTTGGTTTACTGTTTTTTGTTTTGTTTTTCTTCGAAGCCAGACTGTCAGTCCAAAGGATCCCAAGGATTTTTAGGTAAATTGTGCAAAAAGCTTACAAACCATTTGAATTTCAACCCAAACCCAGCCCCGACCCTTGTGTGTGATCAACAAAAAAAACCCAAATCGCGTCGGGAAATCGCGCTCAGTGCGTACTTTGCGATAAGAACTAATTAAAAAACACTTGCACAGTTTCTCGAATCAATGTAGCGATTGTTCCTCGTTCAGTTTCAATTAATATCCCCCCCTTTCAATTGGAGCCGAGATTCTCCAGATTGAGCCCTCAAGTGAATTTAAACGATTTTAACGGAAAAGTGCACAGAGAAAAAAATCTGATGCAAAAAAGAGTGGAGACTTTATATATATTATAAATTTTATAAGCGTTACTAAAATAAGCGTATAAAATTCATAACAATAAGCAAGTATATTTATGTAAATGACTGTCTTGAATATGAATGTGTTTTAACAGTGAAAAAGGCTGAAAATGATTATTTTTTAAGCCCAGCACAACCGATATAACGTTATCTTTGCAAACTACGTTGTTATATATATTATAGTTGTGACATCTCTTTAATATATATATTTTTTTTACATTTCTCCAATGAAAGTTTTCAAAAAAAAAAAAAAGGGTATCTGGCCGGCCTTATGGCCTGTAACGACTCTATACTCGATTGGATCGTTTTGGCGCGCTCGAAAGGCGTGAAAGTATTGTCCAACGTTGGCCATTTGATTGCCACATCTCGGGAGAGAGGAGACGCAAGGCTCCTGGCAACTGGGAGACGGGAGCTTCGGGGTGTGAGCTCTGAGATTGGAGCTGGAAGCTGCAGACTGCGATCTGGGAACTTGGGAACTGGTAATGGAGTGGAATGGTGCAAAACTCCTGCTTGACTCCACTCGACTTTGCCGCCTTGCACAAACACAGAGTCATGCACACATACACACAGACGAGAGCAGCCGTGTAGAGACACGATCCCATCATCGGAATCGGAATTCTGTGGCTCTTGGAGTAGCTTCTGCTTCTGCGTCGTCTGTCCGCCTTGGCCAGCCTGCGTGTCTGCGTGCCTCCTGCCACCTCCACCTTCTCCATCTCTCTCTCCCCCGACCACTGAGGCACTTGAGCCCACTTGGAGACAGGCGTTGTTATCCGCCTGTTGTCTGGCTCTCCTTCGCTCCTCCTTCTTCGCCAGCCTCTGCCACTCAATCGGTGATCGTTATCATTAGTAGGAGTAGCGGCCAGGATTAATGCGTTTACGCCGGTTGATTTTGAAGGGACGGCTACCAGGACACCCTATGTATATAGAAAGACAAAACTGTAAAGCAATGCGATAATTTTATATTAAATTTCGCAATATCTATCTGAAAGTTACATAATTTATTTATCTTATATGTGCTTAAGATACGTGAAATATTAATTAAACATTCACCTCCTTCGCATTCTCTCCAGTGGCCATCTCTCCAATTCCACAGAGTATCTTCCCGTCGTTCCAGCCGTTCCCTACTGACCCTCTGCTTATTTGCCCAAGGTGTTTTTGTTGGTGTTTCACAGCCTCTCGCCAGGCAAAGTATGTGTGTGTGTGTATTGGATCATTAAGCAAACAGACCTACAAGTGCCGTGTTGCTGCTTTTTTTTAGTCTTTTTTTTTTTTTTTTTTGTTGCTGCTGCTGCTGCCCACTGGACATCATTTAAATCGGTGCCGGGAAAGTGACTCTTCCAGCCTTCTGACCTGCCCCTTCCCCACCCTTTCGCCCTGGATCATCATTTGCCGATTGACTCTGCTCGTTCCGTCTCCCTCTGTAGTATTTGTGTGCGCAAGTGTGTGTGCATTTGAAATCCTTTTAGCCGATGACTTCTTTTCGGGCCAACAATTTGTTTGCACTCTTTTAAAGAACACTCAGAAAAAAAGGTGAAGATTAATACTTAATTTATATTCATTTAGGTTAGGAAGGTTTAGTTTATCCTTCTTATGCTGCAAACTATTAGTTGAGCATTGAGCTTTTTTTTATTTTATAATAATAGCCATTATAGGCGAATTTTCATAATGTGCGTATAATTTAGTTAAACGAATTATTTATGGGACCTTTTTCCCTCTTTCTTGCACCTTCAGTGCACAGTGCACCACCTGTGCTTGTATGGGAGTGTGTGGTTGTGAGTGTGCGATTTCCAGCACTTGGAGTTGTCCCTCTCCCACTCCACTTACTCACTCTCCCACTCTTCCAATCTCCACAGCCACTCCAAAATGACCCCCTTCCCTATCTTTCGCACTGACCAGGGGCAGCTTCTTGTTCTCGTTTATGTGTTGCTGTTGTCGCCGCCGCTGCTGCTGCTGCTGCTCCTGCTGTCTTTTTGTTGTGCCTCGCATTTTGTTTTTTCACGTCTTATCGTCGCGTATTTGCTGCTGTTGCTGCTTCTTTATTTTCTTGGTAATAAGGTGTGAGAAAGGCAATAATCGTAAAGAGCTAACAAATTGTTGTTGCTGCTGCTGTTCCTACTTTGATTGCTGCAGCAGCGCTGCTACTGCTCCTCCTCCTCCTCCTTGTGCTTCTCCTTCACCTTTTCCCCCTCTTCCTTCTGTTGTCGCCCCGTTTCACGCTAAAATGTTAATCTGTCCCTTTTCCTCTCGTTTGCTTCGCTGCTCAAGTTGAAGCAATTATATCGTTGACGACAGCAACAGCAAAAACAACACCAACGATAATGGCAGCAACGAGTGAACAAAAAAAAAAGAACTCCAAACATTAAGGATCGTCGTTCATGGCTTCATCTTCATTCCATCGGCTTGATATGGACTTTGATAATAATGCTGCCCCTTCTACACCTTCTCCTCCTCCTCCTCCTCCTCTTCATCCTTCTTCTCTGCCTCTTCAGCAGGCCATCTCTCTTCCTCTTGGACACCTGATCTTGGCAGCGAAAGAATTGCACTGAGCAGAAAAATTACATAAAATGGTATGTAGATTTCCCTGATTTTCCTATAGTAAGGCTATTAATATATGTATAGAATGATCACGAGACCAGAAATGCAGCCTTATTGAGCTTAAGCCACCTCTGACTAAGCTTTTACCGTATCCACACCGTCTGTCCGCCCAGACCGGGTCCCATTATATTCCAGTGTGATTCTGCTGGAAATTCCAGCTCAGATTCGGACCTAGATTGACCATGAGAATATGGGATTATCTATGCGGCGTAGTCCGTTGTCGTCGCCTATCGACAATCATGTGCTTAGGAGCCGGCTTATCGCTTATAGGTCCGAGCATTAATTAACACGAAATAAAAATAATTTCAAAACAAATCGTGAATGCTGTATTTATAGGAAATCGGGTCGGTCTGATCCCGATCCCAATCCCGATCGCGATCACGATCACGATCCCGTTTCAGGTTGCGACCTGTCATATGACAATCCCAAACTACACAAGTATACATATATCAGTATATATTCCATGAACCATTCTCAAATTGCGTTGTTTCTTTCCGGGGCCAGTGCTTCCGCCTACGATACTCAGAGAGAGTGATTCAATTACGCATCCGTGGGATCCCGATATCCAACCCAATCCCAGAAGCGGCAATTAGTTCACTTAACGTAAGCGTTTGCTTCTCAGGTCTCGGTTTTTCGGTTTCGCGGAGGAGTTCTGCGTCGATCTCTGATCTTTCATTCCAGCGTTGAGTACTCCAAGTCTCGTTCGGATGTCATTATCTCCGAGTAATTCCTCATAATCCCCATGTTTGATCTTATTAAGACAGCTTAACTTGTTTTCAAGCCCATCATCATCGTCGTCGTTGTTGTTGTGGTTGTTGTTCGTTCCCCCAGATCTCCTGGATCCCTCGATTTCAACTCGAACCATTCATACGTGATGATGGTCAGACAACGATGAGTGGCGATCCATCGCTTGTCTGCTGGAGTGCTGCCAGTTATCCAAACATAGCTTTTTTTGAACCGATGTTATAGCTATCAGAAACTAAATAACTTGGCTCCGTTATATGATCTACTAGATATACAGAAGTTACATCTTAATGTAGCACAATGAAATGAAAATGATGATCTTTCAGCTTATTAGGCTCAGGAAATATGTTTCGTTTTTAAAGATCCCTTATTGTATCCTAAACTTATGACCCTCTGTTAGGATCAGATCTAAGCCAAAGATCATACATGAGTTTAGAATCCTAGATATATCTTAAAATATTTTATCTTGATACATTGAATACTATGATCTTTCAGTTTAAAGTTTAAATTTAGGTAAGATCTGATTTTTAGGTTAGTAAAACCTTAAAGATATTAGATACTTTTTGTTATCCAGCTCAGAATATAGATAAGGGTTTTTAGGAGTTTAGTTATCAGAAGAAACCGAAATATTTTTGTATTTTAAAAACGTTGATCTTTTAACTTATTTTTTATTTTGAACATGAATCTTATGTCAAAAAAAAGCCAGATTGCTTGTCCGCTGTCCGTTCACTTGTCCGCCGTGTTAAACGTCTGTCTTCTGGCCGTGTAACAAGGTTAGCTGGGGAAGATATTGGGATTCTGTGACTTGGGTAACTTCACACCGGGCTGAAGTGCTAACGACTTTGTACCTGCTTTCCCCGCGCCGCCTCTTTCCTCGCTCTTTTTCGCCTCGGTCTGGCTTCGGAGTTTGGGAGTTGATTTCTGGATAGGAGCAGGGAATGTACCGGAATGGGGACACTGGTTGGCCCTCTCTCTTTTTTTTATATATTTTATGTTTTATATTCGGCAAAAGAAGTTGAGGTGATAAATGAGCTCCACTTTAAGATCAGTTTAAGGCAAAATCTTTAAGGATCCGAAAGCAAACTTAATTTGCTAAACTCTGAGTTTTAATATTTGTTTAGGTTTACAGAGGCACTTTAAATATTTGTATTTAAATAATATTAAGGTTCCATATCGAGGCTTTAAGATCTATTGAAAGTGCTGACAGGGGTTCCATAAGTGAGATCTTATCCTTCTGAATAACAGACAACGCATTATGGTTATTATGCTTGGCTGCATTATTAATTCATTTAGAAGTCGCAGCTGAGCTATCTGAAGTGGTTCCAGGAATCCACAATCCCCATCCCATTCCCCCATAACAAATAGATAATGCCAGCTCGATCGTAACCGAATCGCAAATAGATCGAGGGTCTGCAAATATGGTCAAAGATAAACAAACTGCAGAGGCCGGAACGGATATCGCTGACTGCAGAAGTGGGACTTGGGATTGGCAATCAGGGATAGGCGGGATGTCGCACATAGCTGGCTATTTTTATACCCTTTCAGGGTATTATGGTATAATCCTAGTCAGAAGCTTGTTACACTGTGAAGGAGTCATTTCCGACCCCATAAATTATATATATTCTTGTTCAGCATGAACAGACGAATCTTTCTAGCCATGTTTGGAGGAAAAACCTTTTTTTTTTGACATTTTTAGAACATTTTATAAGGGGTATCGTTAAAATTCTCAAAAATTGACAAAAATATTTGATTTCTTGAATTTTTAAATGTAGTATGCAGATTTATCAATGCAGGTTTAAAAATTAATTTAATTAAATTTAACAAAGAACAGTTTTTCGATTTGAATTTAATGCCTTTTTGATCGAGTTATAAATTTTTACAATTCTACTTTTTCTAAAAATTATCAAATAAAATTATTGATTTTAATGTGTTGTTCAAAAATTGACAAAAATGGTTGATTTAAATTTAATTAAATTAAATTTAATTTTAAAATTTGTTTCATTTTAAATATTTTTGTTGATTTTTTAACCTAGTAAAAATTAGCATAAAAATTGAATTTGATTTATTTTAGTTATGAGTTTTTTAACTTTTGCTTCTTTAAGAAAATTTAAAAAATGTGTATGTTGATATATATCTGTTTTGAAGAAATATTTCGAGTCCTCTAATATACATTCCGATCTTATATATTCCGATTTGCCATTAAAATCTTAATTTAATAATTTAGCATACATTATACGCAATTTTTAAAATTCTAGAAGAGAAATTAATGACCTTTTGTCTTTTTTTTTATGATCAATTTCAATTTTTTCTTCCAAACGAATGGAAAACTGCAAGGGTATACAAATTTCGGCTTAGTTGGCTTCCTTTCTTATTTAATTAAAATCTCGATTTCTGCTTCTGTGTTTGCTTTTGGCAGCTGAAAGGAAATATGACACATCAGAGCTTTGGTTGCCTGGTCAAGTGGTTCTATCTGGTGCTGATCGTGCACACGCTTCTCTGCATCGGCCAGCTAGAGTGTCGCCAGCACCACAATCGCAACAATAATAATAATAACAACAACAACAGAAGAGCGGACTCGGCCAGCTCGGAGGAGAGCCATGGCAACACCAGCGATGGCCTGGACAACTTTGGAGACAATGATAGCAGCCTGATTGTTAGCCATCAGCCGCGGCGAGGTCAGCGTAAAAAACAACAAAATGGTGGAGGAGGAGGAGGTGGAGGTGGAGGTGGTGCTCCTGGTGGCAATGGGAGCGGTAGCCACCGACATAACCGCGAGGAGAACGGCATTTCGCTGTGGATCAACGAGCAGCAGCTCAAGATGCTAACCGGTGAGGAGCATACAACCATAAATCTAAATTTATATTTTCCCTAAGTGACAGCTTCTTAATATCTCCTCTTGCAGCTCTTTACTTTCCCCAAGGATACTCGGAGAAACTGTATGCCATCCACAACGGTCGGGTGACCAATGATCTGCGCGACACCACGCTGTATAACTTCCTGGTCATACCATCGGAGGTGAACTATGTGAATTTCACCTGGAAGTCGGGTGCCAGGCGCAAGTACTTCTATGACTTTGACCGACTGCAAACGATGGACGACAGCATACTGAAGGCGCCGACGCTGTCCATCCGCAAGAGCGGACGCATTCCACAGGAGCAGAAGAGTAAGTAGATACCGTGGATTATAAAGAAAGTCTACATTTTAATTGAAAATTAATTTGGTGTTTAGATTTTAGCATATTCCTGCCCTGCACCGGTAACAGCTCCGGCACCGCGTCCTTCAACGTCGGCCTCAAGATCCAGACGCGCCATAACAAGCCGCTCTCGGGCACACCGATACGCCTCAACTTCAAAAAGGAATGCGCCCACAGAGGTGTGTATGATATAGACGCTTCCAACCCTACTTCACTAACAACTTTGCAAGGTAGTGTATATGAAATATCAAGCAATGCTTTTATCTAGTTATTAATTGTATAGTTTAGCATCTACATTTTGTTGTGCACACCTCCCCCTCCGTATGCTCCTTTGAGCGCTGTACCCTAAAGCACCCAACACCCAAAACCATGCATGCCCCAAATCCAAATCCCTCCCCTTGCTAGAGCTGGAAATAAAATTGATTCTATAGTTCATAAATCCATTTTTTATAAACTATCGATTTAAATCGATGGTTAAATTTTTAAAATTAATATTATAATTATAATATTTTCTCAAAAAATTCGAATAGATAAAATAATAATTAAAATGATATGTTTATATTCATATTAGATTTGTAATTTTATTTAGAAATTATTTATATTCATGTTATTATAATAACATATATATATTCTGGAAATAAATCGATAAAAGTAGAAAATTAAAATAATAATTATAGTTAAAGTTATATATTTATATTCATGTTATTATATTTATATTCTAATTTCCATAATATAATTTCCAGAATTTTGTAGAAAAAATCAATTTATTTCCAGCTCTAATTCTTACCTTTCCATACCAAAACCAACCTACAGAGTAAAATGCGTACCAAATTATTGTCCTTACCCATGCCCATGCCCCCTGCCTTGTAGTCGCTTTTCACGGCTTTTCCGCGTCCAGCTTTCCCCCTTTTTTTCGCCCTTCCTCTATTCCCTACAAGTGCCTCTTATCCAGGTGGGGGGATATCCTGAGCCAGAGATCCTCAAGAGAGGTAATTGAAATTCCCGCCACAGGATTTGAGGCCTATGATTCCTATCCCCTGTTGAACTCTATGTATCCAAGCTCCAAACTTTTCGCACGCCTTTTGTGCAGCTCCCCCTGCCCCCTCCGATGTGACCCTGAGTGTTAAATGTGTGTGTGTTATTTATATGGCGAAAATGACTGCGAACGATTGAACTAAACTAAAAAAACTTAAGCTCCCGATCCAGAATGCAGCTTGAAGTGCGGCAAGAACGGCTATTGCAATGAGCATCACATCTGCAAGTGCAACGTCGGCTATACGGGTCAGTACTGTGAGACGGCCTTCTGTTTCCCGCAGTGCCTCAACGGCGGCAACTGCACGGCACCCTCGGTCTGTACCTGTCCAGAGGGATACCAGGGCACTCAGTGCGAAGGCGGTGAGTACAGAGATTTGGCTATAATATACATCTTATTTAGGATATCGAAATACTATTATATATATATATTTATCGGTGCCATAAAAATAATATTTAATCGCTAAGTGCGTTATTTTTCGATATATTCTTATGGGTTTTTTCCTATACAAATATCTTTAATGCTTAACACGTCGGCAAAGAGACAACAGAATAGAACGAAAAGTATGTTCCTTATTTTGGTATATACAAGAGGAAGGCTTCTTAGATTTTCTTCGAGATGGCTATGGCCGTCTTACAACCAAATTTGATCACCTCGGTCAGGGCCTGGTAAAAGGGCGCCTGCTCGGCCCCGCAATCGATGCCCGTGTCGTGGTGCTCCTGTTCCTCGTCTCGGAATTTGGTGATTGTCTGTAGCAGCTCCTGAAAATGGTGTATAAATTTAATTTGCGAGCAACTTCTTTATGCCTTGTCCTTATGGCTTACCTTATCCGGGTTGGGTGAATCCATAATCTGGCGCAGCTGATCGTTGTAGTGCTCCACAATGACCGTCTCCACGGCCACCGTACAGGCCATTGCCGCCTTTTCGCCCATTAAAGCGGTTCCAGCGCCCAGCATGAACCCGGCCACGTTCCACAGCGGCGTCATAATCGTGGGACGGACGCGATGCTGCTGAATGAGCTGCTCGAACTGCCGGCGATGCTCCTTCTCCTGCTCCCACATGTGACCGATGGTCTTGCCCATGGGTCCGTTGCCCAGAATGGCCATTTGGCCGGCATAGATACGATCGGCGCCTAGTTCGCCGGCATGATCGACGCGTATGATTTCGTCGGTGAGGGTATTTGGACGCGGACGTAGTGGCGTTGTGGCTGGACCAGTGCCTGTGGCGGCAGCTCCTCCTGCCGTCGAGCTAAGGCAACGGGCGGGTAGCAGGCGGGGAAGTCCTTTCAGCATTGCGGCTATATAGAAGGATATATTAAAGACATGACTATATGTGGTATACTATAAATCTCTCTGCTCTCTGCCATCAGGTATTTGCAAGGACAAGTGCCAGAACGGCGGCAAGTGCATACAGAAGGACAAGTGTCAGTGCTCCAAGGGTTACTACGGCCTGCGCTGCGAGTATTGTGAGTAGAATTTATGGCTAGTTCGTTTTCCCCCATCCTAATCCTGATCCCTGGTGACAGCCAAGTGCGTGATACCGTGCAAGAACGAGGGCCGCTGCATCGGCAACAACAAGTGCCGCTGTCCCAATGGGCTTCGTGGCGATCACTGTGAGATAGGACGCAAGCAACGCTCCATCTGCAAGTGCCGCAACGGCGTCTGCCTCTCCCAGAAGCGCTGCAAGTGCCATCCGGGCTTCTATGGGCGTCACTGCAACGGCCGTAAGTGATCCAGCCAGCCTCTCTCCTGCGATCTTGCCTACAATTTCCCTTTCTCCTCCCATAATTACAGGCAAGCGGAGTCATGCCCACTGAGAGATAGCGGTGTTTAAGTGACCCAAAGTGGAGGCGCACGCACACCATCTATTGTAATCTTCATTAAACACTTGCTACACGATTTCTAATAAAAGCAACAACAACAACGACAACAGCGACAAAAGGATGAATCGAAAATAATTCTAATTGTGATAAAATTTTTTTGTAATTTAAACATTTTTAAATAAAAACAAAATCTAAAAGTTGACACGGCAGCGGGTGTTTATATTGGCGGTTTTTGTGTGTTAAACTTACCCATTGTGTGGCATGAGCTTTTCACAGGCCACAAAATGCAAAAAATATAGTAAAATATAACGACGAATCCGGCGAAATGTCTGTTTTTGTTATGCACAAGCTAGGGATGGAAAAACATCGATAATACATGTTATCGATGTTTACGTTCGATATGTGGGAACGGATAATTTTGAAGATTGTTATTATTTTGAGAAGCCTTTTTCTTCCTTTTTCCTGCCAACAACAACCACTTGATTGCAACAACCACCCCTTTACAACAACATCTCTACAGCAGCCCATCCAAATTTCCTAAAATTTCCATGCGATTTTCCCGTTTCCCTTTGGGCAAAAATAATAATTGGTATAAACTGTTATATTTCATTGTATGCATTTATACCTATTTGTTGCCGACAACAACAGCTTGATGGCAACAACAACCTTTTTACCACAACATCCCTACAGCAGCCCATCCATCAAAATATTTAAAAAAATTTTAAAAATTCTAAAAAATTGTCCCCATACAATCCCAAGGCCCCCAAATAAATGCTAAACCACACAATTCCACATTGATTTCCCTTTTTTTATTGACTTACATTTGTTTGTTCCATCAATTACATTTACACATTTAAAATGTATTTTTAAATATTCCAATACTTTACGCCTGCTGGGCTTCAGTTAGCCCGGAGCCAAGATCCGACCACTGCCATTCGCTTGAGCTCCGCCATCCCAGTTGCTTGCTCCTCCAGCTTCACCTCTGCCGATCCGATGATCATAAATCAACAATTACAATGATGACTAGGATGAACTTGTGCTTCGCGGATCGCTGTGTCGTTGGTCCTTTCCCTTGGTTCTTGGCCGGGGTGGGTGGTACTGATGACTAGGAGCGATGGCGATGGCAATGACGATGGAAAGTCTGTAATTCAACAGAGAAAAATAGCAAATTAATAACTAAAAACGGCATAACTCTGTCAAAAATGCCTTAATTTGCATTCGGAAAGCGGTGTTATGTTAGTTTTTATAAGGTTAACAAATCTGCATACTTAGTTAGAAATTAAAAAATTTTATCAAATTTTGAGAATTTTAATGATGTAACCCTAACCCCTTAAAAAATTTTGAAAAAATTGATTAAAAATTTTGTTCTTCCGGACTTAGCCAGAAAGATGCGCCTGCTAATGCTGATCAAGAATATATATGGTTTATGGGGTCGGAAATGACTCCTTCAATGCGTAATGAGCTTCGGACTGGAAATAAAATACCCTGCAAGGTTAAAGGGAAACTAGAATATTTGCATGGAATTGGTATAAACTGTTATATTTCATTTTATGCATTTATACCTATTTGTTGCCGACAACAACAGCTTGATGGCAACAACAACCTTTTTACAACAACATCTCTACAGCAGTCCATCCAAATTTACAAAAATTTTCATGCAAATTGCCCGTTTCCCGAATTGGGGTAACAGGCGAACAGAAATCAGCAGCAAGCAACCGAAAACTGGTATAAACTGTTATAAAAAGTCCAAGTTTCAAACCATTTAGGAAGTAAATGTCTCCGCAAGTAAGCGGAGACTCAAACCGTTTGAATCCAAATTTAGGTGTTATATTACAACTGCACCTGGTCACACTGCAACTGATCGTCGTTAAATTCAAATTTGGCAGTTATACAAAATAATATAAATAATAAATAAAAATATAAAAAAACAAATTTTAAAAATATGAAAAAAATTTAAAAAATTTATAAAAATATTTTAAAAATGGAGATTTAGATTTTAAATTAATTAGATTTTTTAAGAGCTTTTATGTTTATTATTTTAAATATAAGCTATTTTGTATATAAAATCGGTGGGAATGTAAAAGGAAAAGTCTCCCAAGGACCCCAAATAAATGTCGCTTTAACCAAACGATTCCACATGGATTTCCCTTTATTTATTGATTCATTTTTGCATGTTCCATTAATTATATTTTTGCACATTTAAATTGTATTTAGAAATATTCTAATATTCTAATCGTTCGCACGATCTGCAAATAAGATACAAAACATATACAAAAGAGGCTTAGTGTTGAATTGAAATGTAAACAAAGAGCGGCTTTTTTATTTAAAATTTTTCTTAAATATTATAGTTAAGTATTTAAGCAAAGCTTAGAAAAACTAACTGAGAACAGATTTTCGAATTGAGTTTCATGGTCCGATCAACGTTGCCGATAGTTATCGATAGTTACACCAATCAGCTGTTGCACGGCCAAAAATTCAAAAAGCACAAAGCAAATCCGTTAAGGTTATATTTTTCCCCTTTAAGGAGTCTGCTTACGTGTCCCTAGATCTTGTGTCTTGATAAGATTTCATCAAGATAATTGCCGATCTCCTGGTTGAGCCCAATTGCCGAGTGGAGTCGATTAAACAGCACAATTGCTGCGCGATCAACAGTTAGCCGTGGGGCGGGGCCGACACTCAATTGTCAACAAAGAGAGCAACCAGTTAATTGCAATTTCCTTTAATTCCAGTTTGCAGACAAAATGTCAACGCAGCAGCAGCAATTGGACTTCATTGAGCGCTACCTGGTGTACGATATTTTCAAGTACTTTGGCTCTGGCGCTGAGCTGGAGGCGCACAGCGTCGAGTGCTCCAATGGACTGGACGGCTTCATGTCCGCCCTGTACACGGTGCAGCTGGACATGAGCATCGCGGGCCGCAAGCAAACCGAGGTGGTGCTGGTGAAGTTCATGAAGGGCACGGAGGAGTTTCGCGAGAGCAGCAACTCGTACATTCAGTTTGGCAACGAGACCTTCGCCTACGCCGAGATCCTGCCCGCCTACGAGCACTTGTTGAGGGCGAGCCGCCTATCCAGCGATGTGGTGACCAACTGGGTGCCGCGCTGCTACTATGCCAAGTTCGGCCAGGTGGATGGTGGGTAGCCTGCAGGGACTCTCCTTATTCTCTCTCTATTTCTCTCATGCCCGCAGGTCTTGGCAGCGGTCGCGAATCCGTGCTGGCTCTGAAGCACCTCAAGGGCGATGGCTATCAGCTGGGACCGCGACTGACCCTGCGACGGGATCAGCTGGAGGCCATGGTGGGCCTGATTGGCCCCTTCCATGCCTTGGGCTATGCCACGCGTATCCTGCAGCCGCAGGTCCATGCCCGCCTACGCTCTGGCATCGCTGAGATGCCCTTCGTCTCCAGTTCGGGTCGGGCCATCTTCGATGTCCTGTATCGCGTGGCCTTCGATCGCTTCTATGAGTTCTATGACAGAAAAAAGGAGCAACTTCTGGGGGAAGCCAAGGATGAGGGCTTCGGGGCTGCCATCGAGCGTTTGCGCTCAAAATACTTTGCAAATCCTACGCACCTCTTGGAGTGGATTCGCACCACTTCCCGAGACGAAGATCAGCCGGATAGTTACTTTGCCACGATCCTGCATGGCGACTACAACCGGAACAATGTCCTCTTCCACTATGGTGTGGATGACAAGGTGGACGGCATTCGGGCCATTGATTTCCAGGAGCTGCGCTTCAGCACCACGGCCATCGATCTGAGCTTCTTCTTGTACATGAACACGCCATCCGAGGGACGGGAGGAGATCTATGCGGATCTGCTGGGCAAGTACCATCAAAACATGATCGAAATGCTGGAGCTGGTGGTGAGGCGGAATCAGGGAGAGCTCAGCGAGGAGCGAGTGGAGCAGCTGCTCAAGGACTACAGGTGGGTCTGGTTAGCTTTGATAAGCCTCTCCCTTTAATATCCTTACTCCCTCCGTAGCTTCGAGCGCTTCCAGGCTCATTTCAAGCGCTATGCCTTCTACGGCGTTCTGGTCTGCATGCACTTCATGCCCTGGCTTTTGGGCAGCGAGCGGGACTGCGCCGAGCTATCGCGACTCTTTGACACGGACATGCATGGCCCGGCCTTCCATCAGCTGTCGCTGGACATAGCCGGTGACGTGGCCAACGAGGAGATCTTCAAGACGATGCGTCATGCCTACGAGCAGGGCTACATGGAGGAGATATAAGCCAGGCCCAAGCCTTGTTAACCACTAAATACATTCCAAAAGTTGGCAACCCACTTTTGAGCTAATCTCTGTCTGAATTGCGTTGACCTTGATTCACTTTTGAATATTTATGTATGTCTTGGCTCGGCGGAAGCTATTTGAACAAGTGCCGCCGCTACCGCTGCCGCCGTTGCTGCTGGCGTATCACCTTAGTTGTCTATTTAAGCAGCAGAACTCGTTGGTTCTTGGCCAGGAAAGACTTTGGTAGCATAAACAACCAAGCAGAATATGCGTTTTATAGTCGCTAGCTTCATTTTGCTGATTGCTCACCTGGGCTATGGCTTGCAGGTGCAAACCGAGCACACGATCCTGGAGGAATGGAGCTGGCGGGATGACCAGGGTCATGGAGATTCCGGTGGCTATGAGTACTCCGACCTGCTAAACAAAGACAACGACGAGGAGGATGATGATGATTACGATGACGAGGAGCACGGCAACAATAACTTAGAGCTGGACATAGACGAGGATGAGGACGAGGATAGCTGCGAGTACAGCTGCCCACGGTACTATCGCCCCGTTTGTGTCCTTCGCAATGGCCAGCCCATGACCTTTGCCACCCCCTGCGAGTTCTACAACGTAGTGCGCTGCGCCAGCGTCCAGCAGAGACGTGGTCAGCTGGTGCCCCGCTTCGAGTACCTGCACAATGGTGCTTGCTAGAGATCTTCATTGTTCCAATTCGTTCTTTTAATATGTGGTTTTTGTGTACGTTTTCGGGAGCCCTGCGACAATGGGCCTCCCTTGAGCTTGTCATTTCTCTCCAGCGCTTACAAATCTAGTAATAATTATTATTATTATTAATTACGTATTCTACTCTAGGTTTAAACACAATAAAAAAAAATTATAACCCTGATTAGTTTGGAACTAAAGCAGCCGCCACACATTATGTCGGGTCACGAACAGTGCCTGGCCGGTAATAATGGTTTGGTTTCTAGTCTTTTTAGGGTCCGGTGTGGACCACGTAGCTGTTGCGCCGCTTAACGATGCGCAGCATGTTGACAGCCGGTGGAACAGCAGGAGGAACAGCCAGTGGAACAGCAGGGGGAACCGCTGTGGCGGCAGTTACAATCCCGCTCATCAAGGGATTGGCCACCGGGGTGATAATCCGCGTTCTTGGCACCTTAGCCGGCGGCGATTGTTGTTGCTGTTCCTGTCCCGGCTGATTCAGCCTGGATAACCTTAGTAGCTCGTCCGGATTTAAGGTCTTACGGCGCTGGGTTATACGCACAGGTGGCTCCCGAGCAGCTGGCATTTGTCCCAAAGCACTTGGCACCTGTGGAGCAGAGGCGGGCGCCGAGGAAGCAGCCGTATTGCTCATCAATCGATTGGCCACCGGGGTGATAATCCGCGTTCTGGGCACTTTAGGCGGCGACGACTGTTGTGGCTCTTCCTGTCCCGGCTGATTCAGCCTGGATAACCTTAGCAGCTCGTCCGGATTTAAGGTTTTACGGCGCTGGGTTATACGCACAGGTGGCTCCCGAGCAGCTGGCATTTGTCCCAAAGCACTTGGCACCAGTGGAGCAGAGGCGGGCGCCGAGGGAGCAGTCGTACTGCTCATCAATCGATTGGCCACCGGGGTGATAATCCGCGTTTTGGGCACCTTAGCCGGCGACGACTGTTGTGGCTCTTCCTGTCTTCGCTTTTGCGGCGACAACTGATTCCTGGACAACCTTAGGATCTCGTCTGGATTCAAAGTCTTACGTCGCTGGGTTATCCTTACAGCTGGGGTTTGTTCTTGAGGATTTGGAACCTGTCCCTGTCCCTGCACCGACTTCAGGTTTATGTGCAGCCGTAAGGGCGGCCTCCGCACCTTGCTCATCAATTCCGCATACAGCACCCGCATCATCTTCTCATCGTTGTAGCGCGTGCCACGCAGACTGCTCTTCGTGATGATCAGCCCGTTCTGGAACTGATAGTGCACATTGCTGAGGAACTTGCGCAGGTCTCCGAACGAGTGCAGCTCCTGGAAGCGATGGACATCCTCACGGTGCTGGGAATAGCAGTGCTGGATGTACTCATCAAAGCCGCCGGGCAGATGCCGGGCGCAAAAGTGACAGTAGAGGAAGCGATTGTAGTGATCCACCATGTGACGCAGCGTAACCAGCTCCTCCGCCGAGGTGAACATGCATAGGAAGCAGTGGTAGATAAGCGGCGTGGTCAACTGGCGGAAGCAGAAGCGCTCGCCGGGCCTACTGTGCTCGACCCGGCCATGCTGGGCAATGGCGCCCTTGGTGGGCATAACCACGCTGCACAGATCGCACTGGTAGTATTCGTTTTGGCCGCTGGCGCTGAGCTGTTGCAGGGCGGCCAGATCGTCGTTGGTCACATTCTTCAGGTCGTTGGGCAAGTGACCCGCCTTGCTGATGTGCTGGGCCAGATCCTGCCAGCTGTGGTACTTGTAATCACAGTAGGCGCACTCCTCCGGCCGCCGGACATCGCAGGCCACTATGTTCCGGATGGAGTGGACCTTGACCAGGTGCTCGTCGCGCAGGGTCTTGGCGTTGCTCTTGAAGCGCTTGCATTCGGAGCAAAGGAGTTGCGGCTGGACGCGAAAGTAGAAGGGCTGATCGGCATGGACGTGGGCCCAGTGCTGTGTCCGCAAATCCTGCAGGTTGCTGTTCGTTTCGGAGCAGTGTGTGCAAGCGAATTCCACCATTTTCTAAAGGGAAATATTAAGGTTAAAATAGAATCGAATCGAATTCAAGAATTTTTATGGACTTGCCTCTTCTTCCGGACTCTCGCTGGACTCAGTGTCGTCCCTCTCATCGTCCGAGGCAAGCAGATCCACCACCTCGGTGTCGACAATTGGGGGCTGCTTTGGTGGCTCCTGATGCGGCGGCCGCTGCGGCTGCTTCTGCTGTTGCGCCTGCTCCTGCTGCTGCTGCGTTTGACCTTCAACCACATTCGAGGCTGCTGGCTCCTCCTCTTCCGCCACCGCCATCGCCACCACCTCCTCAATGGGTTGACCCAATTCCCAGCTCAAGGCATCCGGAATCTCATTGGTCACTCGCTCAAACTGCATCACCGCCAGCCCCAGCCTCTGCGGATGCTTTAGCTGGATGTGCTGAATTACGAAGCGCTCCTGTTGATTCCCAAATTCGCAGTGCGGGCACTGCCACTGGTAGCGTGACTTGTGCAGCTCCTCGCAGTGCTGGCCTATACGTAGGCAGCTGCTCGCTCCCTTCATGCACACGATGCAGTAGAAGCCAAGGGTCTGGTTCTTCTTGTAGGAAACTTGCTGGAAGACTTGGATCGGCTGCACCCGCCGACCGGGATGGGTGTCAAGAATGTGGTCAATGACCACGGAGGACTCCTTGTTGCCGAAACTGCAGTAGAGGCAGTGGATCTGATACTTTCGATCGTGAGCGGCCACCGCATGGGCCATGATCTGGACCGCCGTGGGCAGGCTGACCTGGCACAGGTTACACATGAACTCAATTTGCGTCAAGCGGGTTACCTTGGCTGCAAAGGAGGAAAGAGGAATCGTAATCTTTCATCATTCACCATTCACCTTTCACCATTCATTTTTTATCATCATTACTTACGCGTCTTCAGCCACCGGGCGTTGGTATTCAGATGCGTGTCGCTGTGGCGATGCACCACCACGTCCACCTCGTGCAGCGGATGCCGCTCTTGGATGTGCCGCACAATCGTCGAGCGCCTTTCGTTGTAGCGCATGCAGGCGCCGCACTGGTAAATGTGCCGCTTGTGCAGCATCAGATGCGTCAGGTACCTTTCCACGCTGGTCTGGCCCGACAGGGGCAGCTTGCAGTGATAACAGAAGATATCCTCGGTGTAGCTGTGATCCATGGTCATGTGGTTGCGAAGCTCCAGCTCTGTGCCCAGCAGGCGGATGCAGCGGACGAAGCCGCAACGGTAGCGATTATCCGGCGGCACGTACACGAACCTTGGTACCACCGCCTTGTGTTGTCCCGGTGGCCGGACTCCTGCCGGATCTACCTGAGCTTCAACCGTACCCCGGATGGTTTCAGCAGCCACAGCGTTATCCTCCACCGACTCCACATCGACATCGGAGTCTGGTGCTGGTGCTGCTTCGGTGAGGCATTCGTCCATTTGGTAGGCCTCGCGTACGTTTCTCTCCTTGTGCTCGTACAGATGCCGCTGGAGGACAGCCCGCACTTCGGAGCTGAAGCTGCACTCGCCGCAGCGCAGCTTCTGTGGGAAGAAAATAACCCGCGGCAGGAGACGCACCTCGGAGCCGCGGTAGACCATCTTCGTGCCTTGTCTGCGCAGCAACAACTCCTCCAGCAGCCGGCTCTTGAAGCTCTCCATTTCCTGCATACCGAATGGCTGGACAACGGCTGTCAGGAAAACGCTGTTTGCATCAGTGACGGCTCCTCCTGCCTTGGCTCCGCCCGCGTCCGGATCCGTAGGCAACTGGATGAACTGCAGCTGACGTTTGATCAGCTCAAAGGCCTGGCTGTGGTGGTTGCGTACATGGTAGAGCATAAGCCGCTTATTTACCGCCGTGGCCAGACAGATGCTGCAGAAAAGCTTGTGGCGGGCATGGGACTGCTGCAGATGGGTGCGCAGCGATGGCGGCAGGAGGATCTGGGCGCAGTACTTGCACTTGATCTGCTCACTGCCCTGGTTGAGGGTGCTGCGTATATGATAGCGCACATGGTTGACGAACTGCTCCTCCGTTAGCCGCACAATGCAGCCCTTTTGGGGGCAGGCGTACAGTTTGTCCTCTGGAAGATGAGTTTCTTGATTAGGTATAAGGTTCGGTAGGTATTTGGATAATTTAGAAAAGCTTCAATACGTTTTATTTTTTCAAAATCTATCGTTATGCTATCATAAAGTCCTGTTCTTTAATTCAAAATCATTTTTTTAAATTAAAATTAGCTTAAAGGCTTTAGATTGATCAAAATGAAGAATACTTGAAAGTAACTTGATGGTGCTTATGCGGTATGTAAAATAGCTTGAAATGTCCTTCTATAGATCGTTGTTCGGCATTTAAAATAGCTTACAAAAAAAAATGTTTAGAGAGCTGAACTCTGGGCTTACTCACCGCTATAGCCGGTGGGTCGTAGCAGTTCGGTGATTGCAGTGGCCAGTGACACATCCGGCAGTCCAGATGCTGCACATCCTCCGGCCTCGACTCCTACTATTCCTGCTATATTATCATTAGCTGGCGAGGGCAGGACATCAACTGGAGTCGACGGAGCCACAGTCGTTGAGTTCTGGCCAGCCAGCGAACGGACAGTGACAGCACCACGCTGGTTAAGCATGTCACGGATCTGCTGGCTGACGGACGGAGTTTCCACGGCGATGCCATGCAAATCCGAATTTGGGGCCAAACTATGGACAACGATGCCGTGCCGGATATAGTCATCCACATCGGTGGCAATGTGATTGCAATAGGCACAGTTCAGGTAGCCATTGCTGCCAAAGCTGAAGCGATGGAACTTCATGTGCTCCCGTATGCACATCACGGTGTGGGCACAAAAGCCACAGTTGGCGGCCATGCAGCGGAAGCGATCCGCCACCAAACGAGAGCGGCTCTCTCCCGAGACAGGAACGGATGCGGGTGCTAGAGGTGGTAGTGGTGCTGGTGCAGTTACCGACGATGCCAGCGTGGGGCTATTCACCACAGGCATGGGTACGGAGGCCCCATTAAACACCTGACTGATGGCCAGGCCCAGGCCACTGGCATAGTTGATCACCTTGGGCTGATCGTTGGTGGTATTGATCCCGTTGCTAGTGACGACAGGCTGCTCCTGTGTCGGCGCTGTAGGTTTGGCGCAAAGGAACTCACCCAAACCGGCGGCATTGAAATCCACTTGGTTCGGAGGACGTGGCTCCGCCTGCAGCAGACCCCGAAGCATGCCATTTGGTTGATCTTCAACGCCGCCAGTTGCCGCTGCTGGCTGGCTCTCTTCCTCGGGTTGTGGCTCTGCCAGGCGGTCACCTGTAAAGCGGCGTACACGCAACGTAAAGACTGGAGCAGCAACGGGTGCGGGTTCAGGCTCCGGCTCCGGAGCAGGTGATTCCACTTCCATTAACTCCACACTGGGCTTCGTTTTCATATGCCCCTCCCTCATATGACGCAGCTCATCGGCTATGCTGTGTGGCTGAGAATCTGGATTCTTGCGGCTGCGCGGGCACATGGCACAGGTGCCGGTCCAGCGCACAGTTGGATGCTCCTGGGCAAAGTGATTTTCAAGGCCCTCCAGCTCATTGGAGAAGAGGAAGGTGCAGCCCGGATAGATGCAGTAGTAGGCAGCAGCACACTTGTCATCCATTCCGCTGACTCCTCCTTTGCGATAGGCCACGTTCTCGACGCGCTTGAGCGGCGACTTCGGAGGAACAGTCGTCGCCGGAGCTGCAGGACTCTGTTTGGGCTGTGTAACTTCCTCCTGGTTTGTTGTGGTTATTACCTCCGGTTCCAGGGGCCGCATGCGAGGCAATAGCTCACTGGGATCGGGTGGATCGTGACTGTCTTCGTTACTGCTACCACTGGCATTTGAGCGCCAGGATTTGCCCGTCGCCCGGCTGCCCTTGTTGAGGCGCGTGCAAAATCGCGTAAAGGATTCAAAGGGATTCTTGGCCGCCTTGCGGTTGCGTTCGGCCGTCTCCAGGTCAATCCATTCATCTGTCATCGGTTCGTCGATATTGGTGTCGTCATCACCAAAGTCGGAGGCATCGCTGCCAATGCCATCGAGTAGGTCGGCATCTAGCTCAGACAGAGTGAGATCCGGCAGAGTCTTTGGATTAGAGGCTGGAATTTCAGTTGGCTTTTCAGGCTCTGGATGGGCAGACTCTTCTAATACCTCGTCATCGGCACTCTCCACATCCACATCAACATCTTCACTCTCATCCACTTCCAAATATATTCTCCTCAACGGTTTTTCCTCAACTAACATGCTTTGGTCCTTGTTCTGTAGGGCCTGCTCTTCGTCAGCCAGCTCCGCCAGTTCCATATCCATATCCTGGTCCATCAGGCACTCGTTAACCACCAGCAGGTTGTCCTTCTCCGCCGGTGGCAAAGGCAAACCCTTTATAGTCGTTAGCACTGCCTCTGTGTTGGCTTCCGGCCTTAGCTCTTCCTGCGATCCCAGCACCTGATCCTCCAGCTTATCGTCTTGATCCTGATCCTTGCCCTCGTCTTCCTTCTCCCGCTTCACGCGGCGCAAGGACTTCTTGGCCATATTTTTAAAGCGTATCTTGACCTTATTTTTGTTGGCAGCCTTCTTTTGGGCAGCCTTGGAAGTGCTAGGACCTTCGTCGTCGTTTTCCTTGTTTTTACTATGTTTAGTAGTTTTCTTGGAGACTTTACTAGCTGCAGCCGTCGACTTGGCCTTGCTGGAGCTGGCGGCGGTCTCTGCTATGGCATTCTTTAGATTACGCTCGACTATCTTCTGCCCCTCGGCCAAGGACATGGCCTTGGGCACGCCGTCAATGGTAAAGAGCAGCAACTGCTCTAGCTCCAGTTCCGGCACCTCCTCCTCCTTCAGGCCATGCTGCTTTACCAGATGTTGGTTCATGTGATCCCTGCTGACCTGGACAAACTCACACAGATGGCACACGTACAGACTCATGGGCAACTGGCCGCAGTTTTCATACTCCAAGATGGTGGCGCCGGGAGCACATGTCTTTATATGATCCTGCAGGATGTGCAGACGATGTAGCGACAACAGGCAGTGCGAGCACTGATACCGTCGCTCACCCGTGTGGGTCACAAGGTGCTCTGCGAGGTTCATGCTGCGCATATTGATCACCTTCACGCAAAATGGACATTTGTAGTAATAGAGATGGGCGGCGCCCTGAGCCATCCAGTAATCCGGCCGCTGATTGCGTCCGGCACGGAGTTCGTTGAGCATGCCGGGCGGCATGCGGGCGCCATAGTGCTCGCCATGATTCTGGATGTAGTGCAGGATCGGACTCTTTCGTATATTCACATTGCAGATAACGCAGGTGATGGTGACCGCTGAAGTGGCATGCCACTCGGGATTGACATTCCGCAGTTCCTGCATGGTCTTTTCCGAGCTGAGCTTTCGACGCTTCGCGGCGGACCTGCCCGTCTTCTTTTCTTGGATTTGCTTCTCCTCCTCCTCCTCCTTCTTCTGCTCCTCCCACTTCTTGGCCATTTTATTCAAACTTGGATGACGCTTAAGCCGGACCAGACAGCTTCTCGTCTGGAAGCTGGCACGGTTTAAGCCCGCGTTCACTGAACTGGGACCCGTGAAGCGCTTGCCCCGGCGGGCCACGTTACGGATTATAATGGGTGAGGTCATGCGGCTGCTGCTATTGGTCTCCAGCGACGGTGAACGACGCGCCACCGAGGGAGTGCGCGAACGCTGGGTACACGCCCGACGGCCGGTGGCCCGAAGCACTTCCTCGCCGTAGTACATCATGGCTATGTCATCATTTAGCTTATCCAGCTCGTTGCGCTTGGGACGGCGCTTATGGCGAGGTCTAGCCATTGGCGGCGGCTGAGATTGGGGTTTAGGCTCTGGTTGCTCCTCAGGCAGGTTCGAGACATCTGAAACCACCGAAACGCTCCTGCGACGCTTGCGAGTGTTGGCTTCGCTCGATGTGGTGGCTTCGCTAAGAGGAACATCGGCGGCAGCTGAAGCCTTAGCCAGGATTGACTTACTAAGCTCGACATCCGCGGCAGCGGCAGCCTTAGCCAGGGTTGACTCACTAAGCTCGACATCCGCGGCAGCTGGAGCCTTAGCCTGGGTTGCTTCGCTAAGCTTGACTTCGGCTTTAGCTGAAGTCGCGGCCGATCGCCTCCTTCTGTTGATCTTTCCCAAACCAAAGCTGCGTCGGCTCAGCTGCGTCTCGTTAAAGGAGGCCTCTGGAGCACCGCGTGTGCGTCGCTTGCCGGTTATTATATTTTGAGTGGAGATGCGACAGTTGTCGCTGGTCTTCTCGAAAATGTGTGCCAGGTGGCGGGCCCGCTGCGACTGGCGCTTGTGCTCTTGCAGATCCTCGTAAAGCAGACTGCCGCCAGTAAGGATCTCCGACTTGTCCACCAATGGCACGCTGGCCTTGGGCACCATCGAGTATCGGCGCTTCATGATCCGTCGCAGCTCTTGCACCGGTGGAGCAGGTACTTCAGTGTCGTCGTGCTTGTCCGTAAACAAATCCAGGGCCTTGAAATCGCTGGGCTTTGCGGCATTGTCCTCACTGTCCAGCGTCTTGGCAGAGTTCTCGGAGTTGTGCAGCAACAGCTGGGAGTGGGCATTGGGGCCTAGTACTATTTTGATCTTTGAGAGCTTCGGTAGCTCCGCTTTGTCTTCCGCTTCCGCTTCAACGCCTCGAATGTCGTCAACCACGTTTTCGGCACCACCATTCTCCATGACTTCGCCATTGACCAGAGTGGGTATCTTTTTGCCGCCACGTAGCATGGGCAGGGGATCCAGCTTGTCGTCTGTCTCCTCGGTGGTCAAGGCTGGCGACAGGCCGTAGACCTCTTTGACAGGCGGCTCGTTCTCCAGATTTTCATTGTTCTCCGAGCTGGCAACGCTGACGATGCTTTCCGTATCCAAAATTTCGCGCGAGGAGGAGGACTTTTTCTCAATTTCTTTCTCCTTGCCTTTGTTCTTCTTCTCCTCCTTGCTGGAGCTGCGACCCGCCTTCTTGTCTGCTTTTTTGTGATGCTTCTTGTTCTCCGACTTGTCCTTGTCCTTGCCCTTAAGCTTATCATTAGTCTTGGTGATCTCCAGGTCCCTGTCCTTCTTGCTTTTATCATCTTTCTTATTACTATTATTATCGCTATTCTTTTCGGCATTACAGGATTTGCCGGGAGCTGGGCTTGCGCTACTGCTGCCAGCATCAGCATGCCCTTCGCCATTGACTGAACTGGGGCTGGAGGCAACCGTTGGCGTTTTCTTAGGTATACGGAAATCAATCTTCTTGACCGATGCGCCCGTTGAGTTGCGGTACAAGGTGTCCAGTTGGGGTTCTACTGTACTTGTGGGTGATGCCGCCACGGCTGCCGCGTCCTCTTTTTCCTTGTCCAGCTGACTCTCTTTCTCAACGGCCTCCAAGAGGCGTCGCTTTTCCGCCTCCAGCAGGCGCAGCTCCTCCGCTAGTTTGGCCGCATCTGCCGCACGAGCCTTGGCCTCCTTGTGCTCGCGATAGGTGCGCGGCACATGGTTGGTTGGTTGTCCTGCCTCGGATGATGCGGATCCATTGTAGCTAGGTACCGACGCATTTGAACGGCCATAGCGACCCATAGTTGGATTGTGGCTTCCGCCGCGGAATCCGCCCCTGGAACTGGCGGAGCCATTGAAGCTACTCACCGGAATGTTGTTGGGATTTGCATTCGGATTGGCGCCCCAGTGGGGTTTGGTGTACTTGTTGGGATTTCCAGTTCCATTGCCATTGTTCATGTTGTTGGTGGCTTGCCAGTGGGTGGTTTCATCAATGTTGTTGGTGTAAGTGCCAGCGCCACGACGTGGATCGGCTGAGTATGGCGACGTGTGAATCTGCTTGTGCTGTTGTGGCCCATGCCAGGATTGGTTCCTGCTCATGCGTGGATCACGAGAATGATTGTGATTCTCTCGCCGAGGATCCCGACTCTCGCGGGGATCCCGACTCCCAGAGCGACTCTCGCGAGGATCCCGACTCTCACGCGGGTCTCTGGGCTCTTGGTTGCCATTGAAAGATCGCCTGGGATCGCTGCCCGAATCTCGGCCATAAGGCCGCGACGACATTGGTGAATGATCCTCCTGGCTGATGCTGTTGCTGCTGTTGCTACTGCTGGTGCTGCTGGTTTTGTTAACGTTCACCACTGGAATGTTGGCATAGGTGAACCACGAGGAAGAGTTCGGCTTCATACTCGGCGCCGGCGGTACTGGCGACAATATCCGCACCATTGGCGGCGGCGTGACATTCACAACGTCTCTCGAGCTGTTATCCTTGTTGTGTTTGGGCAGTGCGGTGATTAGAGCGCGCTTTTTACCACGCGGATCGTTCATGTTGGAGGCCAAGGCCAAAGCTGGCTGATCCTGTCCCGTAGCAGCATCAGCGGAGCCACCCCGCAAGGCGGCCAGTTTCTTGCGTGCCTCCTCCAAAGAGTTGCCTGGAGCTGAAGTCTCATTGGGACTTGGAGACGACGTGGATGAGATGCTGTAAGCATCCTTCTCCGGCGATGGCTGGTCGCTATCTATGCAGGCTTCCAGTTCAAGGGGCGCCGTGCTGCGACGCACAAAATCGGACTTATCCGCAGCCGGAGGAGCGCTGGGCAACCGGCGGCTAAACGGTGGCTCTGCCGATGAAACAGTCTCCTTGGCACTAACCGCAGTACGGCGGGTGAACGGCGCCGTCGCATTGGATCGTATTTCGATCTCCTTTGTGCGCGCCCTCTGCATGGCGACCAAGACGCCGTCCGGCGCCAAGCCATCATCTGGAGATGCAGCCGGTGATGGAGCTGGGTTGGTCTTGATGGTATCACTTGGCGTTGGCTTGGAGCCTTTTGTCTTTTTAGTTGCTGGTGTTGCTTTGGGGGCTTCGCTTGGCTTCGCATCGGCCGTCTTAGAGGTAGCCGCCGCATCCGTCGGCTTGGCCGCAGTCGCAGCAGAGCAAGACGGCAATTCGTTCGAATTCTGATCGCTGATGTCGATGACATCGCTGAAACGCTGGAAGAAAGGATTATTATTAGCAAGTGAAGCAAAAATCGGCGCCGCATTTACCGCACTTACCGGATTGAACTTTTTCTTTAACTTGTTCACAATCCGCTCGATCTTGTTCAGCGTAATCATGGAGACGTTCCTGTGAGAAAGCAGTATTATTAATGGGTCACAAACTTTGTCTGTGTGGGACTTACTCTCGCTCCAGCAGTCCGATGAGTGCCTGCAGGCGCTGCGACTGCACCTTGGACAGGGTATTTCCATGGCTCTCCCGCACGCTGCGTATGAAGGGCACATCCTTGCGGACCTCCAAGAGCTTGGCTCTGGTCTCCTGGTTGGTCACGCTCATCACACGCAAATCTTCGCCGGTGAGGTCCATGGAGCCTGCGAGAGCGTCGTCCTCGTCGTCTCTTCTTTATGGCGGCTGCTGTAGTAGTCACAGAGGAAAGGAGAGATGGCATACACACACACACGGGTTAGCGAAATGTCATAATGAAGAGACATAGGTCTCAGAGTTCCTCTTTAAGCTCCGAGAGCTTGCTTCTGGTGGCACACACACAGACCGGCCGGCCGGATGAACTAACCGTATCTCAGAATAGCAACGACACACTACAACTAAACAACGAAGGAGACAGCGGACGCGGATACCATTGTGAAGCGACACACAGATTATACAAAAGACGGCTACGGCTAAGAACGGCACGCCAGGCACACACAAACACGGCGTCATTCCACGAGTGACAACAACGAAGTGGCGCCGAAGACCGAATGCGGCTGCCTATCGATATATCGATATTTTGGTACCAATTCCGACCGACTTTTTTGTTTTATTTACATAATACACAAATAGTATCCTTCCTCAAATGTTTTTACTGAGCCTATGTAAGCTTGCAGCAATGAGTTAAATATAAAAACTAAAACATCAACGCTAATTAGTCTCAGCTGGTGTCGATAGTGCGATAGCCGAGTATCGAAAACGAACCATCACTGGGCACGGCCATCCTCACGCTCTACTTTTCGCACAAATATTCTCGAAGAACGGCGAAAAATGAAGGAATACCGAAAGTGGACACTTCGGGAAACTACGCTCTCCCAACGAGGCGGCAGAAAGAGAGACAGAAATGCGCAACAAAACTATAGCGAAACGTTGAATTCGCCGCAACACTGCCGTGGTGTTAGTGAGCGAGAGTGTGGTGGTATTAGTTTTCATAGGGCGGTTGGAGATAAATTTTGCCGCCGTCGTATTGTTTTTGTTTTGCAGAGGCTCCGCTCGCTGGGGAAAAAAACTGAAACTGAAAACACGAAAGGTGGCGCTGATCGGGAGGCCTTGGAGCGCAGTTGGTTTCGCCATAATCCACTTTTGAGACGCTTCTTGGGATTGATTCCAGCGACAAATACAAATAACGGACTGTGTCCCGGTTCTGATGCCTCATCGAAACATATGAATATGTTTGTATGCCCCTTCTGAATGTGGAAACGCTGAAGTAGACGAATTAAATGTAACACGAACGACGGCACAAAGAAGAAGCGAAGATCTGCGGACACATGATACAGCTTTCGACGTAAGCAGGGTTTTCTTGGAAGGCAGTCGACTGTACGCAAATTCAAATATCAGTGCGGAAAACGGTATACACACAAAACCACGACGGCAAAGGTAAAAGACGATGTCAAGATTTCCACGGACCCTCTCTCTTACGGAGCAACAGGATAGTGTTTATTCTGTTCACAGGGGGTTGCAAAACTCGAAGAAACACCGTACCCGTGCTTGATGACCTGCCTACCCAATCTGAGAACTGGCAACTTCTGGAACAGCTGTATGTACCTTTACGAATACAGAGACATCGTATCCAATGGTTCCTGTAATTTTGCATTTACGATACTCTTTCAGTGACTATCGTAGGAAATAATTTCCAAACTGTAGATCACACAATTATGTGAAAACAAACCTCAGAATCGGATTCAGAGGCCCAAACTAATCATTTTCAGTCATTGACCTCGACAACTTTTTTTTTTTTTTTTTTAATTGAGATGTCCTTGATCAGGACACATTTGTATCAAACAGACTTCGGTTTCGAGGTACCGAAAAGTACTGGGATTTTATGTTGAAATGTCCTTGATTCGGATTGAATATTGTAGTTGGTCGGTGAACAGAAAGAACCCGTCTAAAGAACATATTTTCATCAGCTTATAGTTGGATTATGGATTTCTTAATGAATGTTTACATCATATATTTTTTAGACGCATCTGGGCACTGACGGTTAAGGTATCCAATTGTATTCCCAAAATATATATTTTATCATCCAACTTTTAATGTCTTCATGAATCAACAACGTTAGCCCCTGGTCACACTTTACTGGATGGGAAATAATGTATAAGTTCGTTTGTTTGCTGTGCTTCCTAACCCTTGACTCTTAATATGTTAATAGTCCTTAAATAATTAGGAAAGTACTTTGTATATTCGCATCACTATTAATAACAGAACTTTGCTTAAAACATAAACAAATAGACAAGTTGACGAACTGCAAGTGGAAGGTCAGAGATTTCATGTATTCAAGAATTCATGAAATTCATAGGACTATTTCGCTTTAGCAATTACTGGACTGTCGTTAATGGATCATTTCGACTTAGCAACTACTGGACTGCCGTTATCAATTAATATTATGGGACATGGAATTCTTCCCCTGCAGTTCTACATGTCATCATACCAACTTCAACTGCCGAGCCAAAACTCTCAATCGAAGATCGTCTAAAAAACCAACTATCCCGCTCTCTCAATTTCTCTCTTCAAAAAATGTATTAATTTTTTAAAGCCTAGGTGGGCACGCAGAGTCACTTTCTGCTCCTGGTGCTCTTTCCGTTGTTTCTTGTGAGGCGCCCGCAAGGAGTCCCAGGCGGTCGTCGCTCGCATTTGGCGATCCGTGCAAGATTTGAAAAACAATGCCACTGAGATTTAGCTTTAGAGAGGCGGGTGAAAACACATCAACTCCGCGATCTCGAGTTTACAAAAACAAATCAATGCGTTTTGCGACACACGTTCTGATTGTTCGCAAGCAAACTCTGTCTGGGCCAGGACTGAGATCGTAGGACTGCCTATAAATTTCAGGTTTAAAGCTTAAAAATAAAAAGTGGAAAAAAAACCAAAAACAAAACAAAATTAATGCAGCTTTCCATTTAATCTTTGACAAATTTGTCACTGAGGACATCCAGGACATGCCAATGTTAATTTCATCAGTAATTTTGCATGGAAATTTATCGTTGATTCATCAACAACACCGCTGTTGATGAATTACTGGTGAATAGTACTGCATGGCCCATTCTATTGGACAATCAATATTATGGGATATGGAATTCTTCTCGTTACGTTCTGCACGAAACTGTTGCAGACACTCGACCGACCAACCACACTCCCGTAAAAGCTCACACATATGTATTAGACATATACGCCGCCGCGCCACGCCGCCGCCGCCGCCGATTTTTGCCTTATTTGACGCGCCGCCGCCGAATTATGAAAAAAACGGCGCGCCGCGGCGCGCCGCTGGTGCGGCACCGGCGTAGCACCGGCGCGGCCTTCGGTGATATTATTCTTAATATAACTTAAAAACAAAAATAAATAAATCATACAAATGGCCAAATACTCGATATAAATAATCGATTAATCGTTAGGATTGTCTCATCTCCCATCTCCCTATGTCCCATCTCTAGAACAGCTATTTGGTGTGGTTTACTTTCTAAAGCTGTGTTTTTTGTGCGTAAATATGCAAAGTAAGTTTTAAAATACTATTACTAGTGTTAGGAACATATGTATTAATTAAATATTCTCTAAACAAATAGATGGATCAGCCATTGAGTATGTACTCAATTAAACACAACCATTACTCAAATCGAAAGAGCAAAGTGTGGGAGTTTTTCGGCGCATTGCAATTAGAGAACAACTGCATTGAAGTGGACAAGGTGTTCTGCCGATTATGTTTGGATGTTCAGAAAAAAGACGACGAAAGAACAATCTTTTCATGGTAATAATTAAGTTCCTTTTTTTAAGATTCAAGTAAGATTTTGTAAATTGTTTCAGTGCTAAAATTCAGTCGTATTCCACGAACTGTTCCACAGGGAATTTAAGTCGACACCTCAAAAATGAACACAACATTCGAGATATCGACAGTCCGAGTACTTCATTGGCTACACGTGGATCAATATCAAATTTTTTCAAAAAATCGACGCCAATTATATCTCCAAAAGATAGTAAGTGGGCGCTGGGACGAGAGCTAGCTTTGTGGATGGCTAGAGATTTGCTACCATTTCATATAATTTGTCACAGTGGACTTAAAGACTTTTTAAAAAAATATAGAGTTGTGGCAACTGATGCTGACATTCCACACTACAAAACGCTGTCAACAACTGCACTAGACGATGTGTATGAATGCATTTTACGAGCAGTTACACGGATAGTATCTGGACAAAAACATTTTGCCTTAACTTTCGACTTGTGGACAGATAACTATAGAAGAAGAAGTTATATAACGTTCACCTTCCATTTTCTGTCAGCGAATTTTGAGATGAAGCATTTAACGCTGGAAACAAAATATTTGTCAAAATCGCACACGGCAAGTAACATTTTAACAGAGGTGGAAGAAGTTACTCAAATGTATAATTTGCAAATGGGATCTAATTATGTCGTAACCGACCAAGGCAGCAATATCAAAAAAGCTATTAATTTGGGGTGTATAAAAAACCACTTCTGCCTTGGACATGGACTACATAATTTGCTAAATGTTGATGGTTACAATTCAGAGCCGGAAATTAAAAATTTGATTGTGAAGTGCAAAAATATTGTGAGTGCCTTACGATTCAAGACACATGTTTTGAGATGTCAAGCTGACGAACTTCAAAAGGAAGTTTTGTCAAATATCGACAATTTAGAAGAACTGCTGGCATCCGAAGATAATGAATGGGTCGACTACGATGATGATTTTGGCCCGTTAGATGATGTTCCCTTGCAAACTTACAAGAATATTAACAACCCTAATGACTTACAAAGTAGTTTGGTGGACAAGAGAAATGTTTCACTTAAGAACTCGGTCCCAACAAGGTGGCACAGCGTGTTAACAATGTTAGACAGTCTTGGGTGCCAAAGAGCCGCATTAAATAAGTTGCTCACAAGCAGCAATAAGACTCATTTAATATTATTAGAAAATGAAGCACAGCTTTTATATAAATTATGCGACTTCTTAAAAAAATTTAAAGATGCAGTTACCGTTTTGTCTGGAGATTTGTATCCATCAATAAGTCTTGCGTTAGTGATAAGAACTGAAATCGTCTCAATATTGGAAGAACCTGAGAACAATGAGCCGCTTGCTTTGACTCTCATGAAAAGCCATATAAAAAATAGATTTGATTCAAGGTTCCCGATATCGGATATACTAGTCTGCGCATCCCTATTAGATCCGCGATTCAACTCACTTGATTGTGTGTTGGAGTATTGCGAGAAACAAAGTTTAAAAAGAAACGATTTTTTGTTAAAAATGTTTAAAGAGCTGATTGGAGATGTTGAACAAGATAGCGATCAGCAGCAAGAGTCTCATTCTGCAAGCAAAATCTTAAAGCTTGCTCAACGGCATTCGACCAATACCAAAGATAACAATTTGGAAGCTGAATGCCATCTACTCCTAAGCTTATCTTCATGTCAAGACGTATTGACATTTTGGAAGGAAAAGGCACCTGCAATGCCCTTACTTTCGATGCTGGCACAAAAAGTGTTGTGTATTCCTGCAACGAGCACTCCAAGTGAGCGAGTTTTTTCTATTGCTGGTCTTACAATTACGCAGAAACGGTCGCAGCTCAGTCCTCACAACGTAAATAAAGTAATTTTTATACATGACAATTACGACACTTGCAAAGAAAGTTTAACTTAAATTTACAAATTGAAGAGATAAAAATGAACTGAATTGAAAACTGAACATTAATTATGTGAATTATGAATGAAACTTATTCAAGTCAAGGAAAAAGACTGCTATTTTTATGTTTATTTTTATTTGTTACTTAATTTTTATTTATTTTCATTTCATTTACCCAATTAATTTACTCACTTATGTTCATTTTATTGTTATTGTTAATAAAGGCGTTATAAACTGATATAATACAATAATACTAATTTTATTTAATTTGAAAAAAATCTGTACGCCGCCGCCGCCGATTCTTTCTGACTACTACGCCGCCGCCGCCGAGTCATTTTGACCTCTACGCCGCCGCCGAAGTCTTTAACCATCGGCGTAAACCTCTAATATGTATAACGCGCACACACGTTCACATGCACACGGCGCACACAGAAAAACAGGCGAGCGTTTAGTTTTTGCTGCGCGTTTCCTCGTATAGTCGGGACCAACAACAACTACACAAGCATCTCGAGCTACTTATTATATAACCAAATGTTCAGTGGGCTTACCCAAGTTGTCTCAATGGTCAATGTTGACTGTTTTCTGGCGAGTCGTGGCCTTGGATGGCCAGGAAACAAACAATCAAGCGACGATGTGAACACCTCAAAAGTTGACGATGAAATGAACGAACAATGTCCGCCGTTATGCTCTCTTTCGCTTTTGGCTAGCACCACCACCAGCGAACACTCCCGTATACAACCTAGCACCGCTCACACAGAGAAGAGTTCGTGTGCGCGAGAGCGCGCGACAAGCACACCGACACGGAAGGCGAATTGAATTCGCTGGAAATATCGCGGATCGCAAATATCGCGGACACGATGGTTCTGTACACTTATCTGTATATCGAAAGTTTTTTCTTTTAGTTTGGAATAGTTTTTCTTTTTTTTTTTTTCCCACGAGGTCTGTTTGATTTCACTAGTAAAACTATTATGTGAATCCTGTGCCACAATAGCTGTCATAGTGCATGATACAATCAAAATTTTCCGACTAGACTACCTACTATGATTGTATCATGTCACTGTGCAGGTATTTTGGGCGGAATTAATCGATAGTGAGCCCAACACCTATCGATATGCTGAGCGTGATGGCAAGACGGAGAGGCTGATAACTAACGGAATCAGTTTACTTTGTTAGATGCAGCAGCGCACACAAGCACACCTGTGTGTGATTAACGGAGGACTAGTAAATTTATTAATTAATTTACTGCTTCAGCGGGTGAGTATATTTGAAATATAAAATATTTAAATTTAAATATGGAAGGCCGAATTTCTTCTATTTATTTATTTGCCCAATCTTTCAAGCAGCAACAAATACTTTTAGTAGCGAACGAGAGAGTTATCTTTAGCTGCACTCTGAGAGAGCACAACTAAGAGAGCGTCCGCTAGTTAATGATTCCAGAGAGATGCAACTGATCACTTTAGGAGCTCTGGAATGAACCCATGAAACAATTATAATTAACAAAACAGCTTTTTATTGATGTATCGACTATAGAATTAAGTACACAATTATATCGCTAAGAAGGTTTTTGTGTAAGGAAGCGACCACGGCGAGGAGACGGAAGTCTACTCCCTACTGCCGCACCGCTGACCCCTTTTCCTAGGACTAAGTACGATTAAGCGAAATAAAAAAATTAATAATAGTACGAATTAAGGCAATAAAAAAAAAAACTACTAACAGCTAACCTACAGTCTACTGCTCTCGGCGCCGTTCTGTCGCGCCGAAGGAGGAGCCTGCTGAGCAGACTTGTCGTAACCATTGCTGGACATCTGCAGGTGCTGCGGCAGCTGGGCAGGACGTCCGTTGGAGGGCAGGGTCTCGTCCACAGAGAACACGGAGTTGTCGTGTCCGTGCATGTGACGGGCATTGAGCACGGCGTCCGGATGGCTCTTCGGCGACTCCGGCTCCACCGAGTCTTCGGCTGTCTTGCCGTCCAGCAGGAAGCACGTGATGAAGAAGAGTATGGAGCCTAGAAATAGTATAAGGAAATCATTACAATGCTCACTCTCTGGGCAGCGTCATTCTCCACTTACTGATGCCATAGAAGCCGGCATAGAAGATCATGATCGATCCGCGGTAGCCTAGCACCTTGGCCACGGGATCCACCAGAATGGGCAGATTGCCACCAATGTTGTTCATCACAAACAAGAAGACACCGATGGTCGAGGACCTAACCCGCAGCGGTACGATCTCCACAACAATGGCGAAGACAATGCCAAACCACATCTCGGCAAAGAAGTAGCTCAGGCCCAGCGTGATCATGGCCCATAGCGGATCAAAGTACACCGATCCAAAGGCCGGCAGTGTGGCAATCAGCTGGCTGACGGCGAGGACAAAGGCTCTCGACCGAATGCCCATCTTGGCAACGATCTTATCGGACACAATGCCGCCAACGACGACACCCACACTGCCAATACCGATGGTGACACCGAACAGCCACCAGCCCAGATCCACATCCGGGAAGTAGGTGTTGTAGTACAGGTCAGCGTTGTAGGCAAAGGTCATGCCGCCGCAGTGCCGGATCGAGGCTGCTATCATCAGCATGATCATCGCCGGGCTCTTGATCACTTGCCACAGGCTCACCGGCTTGCCGCTGGCCGTCTGACGGTCGCCCTCGCCAATGGCCTTGCGTTCCGGCTCCCGCAGCGTGGTACCCGTTAGACCGGCCACAATAACCGTCAGCACACCGGCGCCCAAATAACACACACGCCATCCCAAATCCCAGAAGTTCAGCTTGGTGATGTAGCGGCCAACGGGGAAGGCAATGCCATAGCCACCGTAGATGCCCCAGTTGAAGATGGCCATGACCAAGGCACGCTTATCCTCGGGAAAGATGTCGGACATGATGCCCGTGGCCAGGGGATTGCAGCCCGACTCGCCGGCTGCCATCACCATACGCAGCAAGACCAGTTGCCAGTACTCCTTGACGGTGCCCTGGAGGATCATGGCAATGCCAAAGATTACCGTGCAGACGGTCAGCATCTTGACGCGATTGTATTTGTCGGCAGCGAAGCCCATGAAGACCCCAGCAATGGTGAAGATCAGGATGAAGGTGGGACCGGCCAGAATCTGATAGTCAATGCCCAGACCATTGTAGTTCCACTCGCAGTAACCGGTTCCGTTGAAGTCCAGGGCATAGCAGCTGGACTCGTTGCCCACCGCCGAGCACTGGGTGGGCAGCTCGTGGCGATTGAACATGGAGTTGTTCTGCTGACAGGCATGGTCACCATAGTCGAGCTCGATGGCCGTCTGCTTGGAGGTCACGCCAATCAGGTAGTGTCCCAGCTCGCCCAGAATATACCCAATGGTGAGTATGGCCAGGACGTAGGAGTTGTAAAAACCGCTCAGCTTCTCCAGAATCGGTATCATCTTGACTGTCGTGGTGCCCGTGTGACTGCAAAGAGATAAGATGGGGAAACGGAACCGTGTGTGTGCTCTGATTAGTCCCTCTCTGGCATTTCCATACCCCAACAAGATGATAAACAAACCCCCAAAGTGGGGGACTGACTACATTTTTCTCATTTGTTCGGTGGAAAATTATAATCAAGCGCCGCGACATAATGACAAATAATCTAAGAGCTCTCAATTAATGAGTCTCCGGGCTGCCATAGAGAGTGAGCGATGGCCGCAGGTCACCTGCATCCGAGCTGCTGTTGTGTCGTGACTGGAATTTCGAAAGGAACCCGGTCTGAGACGACAACCAACCCCATAATTCTCCCTCGCATCGGAATGAAAGTGAAGGCAATTACGTGTACGTGATGTGGAGAGGCGAGATCTATCCCTAGGTTAAGTCCAGCGAAAAGTTGTTAGCAACTTAAAAAGAAATCTTAACTCTAAACCAAGGTAGTAGGGTTATTTCAAATTGTTCTTTACAAGACTTTTTCACTTCGAATACTCCCAGGACATTGTCCTAAGCAGGGATCGCACATTAGAGTTATGAGTTGAATTAAAATTTATAATAATTTTTTTCCCATTTTTAAAATAAAAAAATTGAGTTAAACAATTTCAAAATAAAAGTTATTTGTTAATTTTTACTTTACCCCCAACTCTTATTGGCTATGCCTGCTCCGAAGTGTTAAAATTTGTATTTTTCGGTTTAGTTCCCTTCCTTCTTTGCTGGCGGTAAATTAATTTTTGGCAAACCGCCATTAGCCAAGCTCTAAAGACAATCATTGTTCGCAGAGCTAAACCGGCAACAGGTCTATGCTGAGGCTGATTTGGCTTGCCCCGCCAACATGCCTACCTCCGAAATTCCTTTAATCAATCAAAGTTAATTTGCTTTTGCTGTCTGGTCTCCCCTTTTATTTTTATATATTTTTTCTTTTTGGCCAAGTCTTACAATTGTTGCGCTGTCAAAAGCCGCCAAGGTTGGCTGAGAACATTATCGCCAAATAGACGGATATGCGGTAGGCGAACAAAGGTCTCAAGAATGCGGATGCTCGGACACCAGCCAGGTGCTATTGGCCATGTATATTCTCTATTGACCATTTAAGCAGGGGGCTGGTGTGAGGTATTGATTCACGATCGTGAATCAAATTTGGAGTGCTTCGCTGTCGACTAATGTGCAGTGCAATTTTAAATAATAATAGCCATTAGTCTAGGCCCATTGTAAGCCCCCTCCTGGCCTTGATCACTCTTCAGGCAGTGACAGTTATGGAGCCATAAATATGAGCATCACCTGAGCTTAAGCCAAGTTAAGGCACGTGAGTCTAGCCGCCGTCCGTCGTCTTATATGCAGATTCGTTGTAGGAAGCTAAGCGTTATTGTGTGATTGTTGACGCCCAGAGGCGACCTTGACATTGGCTTGACTGACTAGGAAGCCAGAGATCAATCGATTCCTATGGAAATCGAAGTCAAACTCGAACTGGCAGAGCATTGCAGCAAAGCCTTAGCCTTGGCTTTGGCCATGCATTACATCCATCAGTGCGTGAGCTGTAAAGCTCGTTTTGTATTTTTTTTGTTGTCTAGTTCAATGCCAAGGCGCCACACGTAATAGACCAGGCCAGAGACCAAACCGGACTTAGCCATAGACGTGACTTGCCTCGACTCCTTGGCTTTCCAGCGGCATCGAAAAGCCCAGCTCATTCGAGCATTAAATTTAAGTGCACTCGCAGCAATAAACTTGTGGCAAAATTGGAATGGTTGCAAGCATAAAACTGCATTGATTTAAATTTAATTATGGCCTATACAGGCCATAACCTGGTAATGGAACTATGTAGGTCTTAGCCAAAGGGATTAGACTTAATCCACTGTGGGGAGTTATAGGCTATGGAGAAGTTTAAAAAGTCTAAAGCTCAGAGAGAATGTCAAAGTCAGGCCTGGGTTTACTACAGCATCGAGACTGGGCCTATAAGTTCGTGACAAGATTAGACCAAGAACGGTCAGGCTTGGCTGCCTCGAATGGAGAGGCGAGGGAGGAGGATAGACTGTAGACTCAAGACAATGACTAATGTGTGCGAATACCCAAATACTCTTGTTGCCAACTTAAAAATAAACCTTAACTATAAACCTAGGGGAGTAGTGGTATTTTGAAGTGTTCTTTAATAGACTATTCCACTTGGAGTACTTCCAAGACACTGTCTCAAGCAGGGATCGCACACAAGAGTAATGAGTTAAATCAAAATTGATAAATATTTATAAAAATTAACAAAGTAACTTTTGTTTTCAAATTTAAACAAAGCACCCAAATACCCTGCCCAGTCTGTCTAGCCCAGCTTAGCTCTCCGATTCGATTGGCTCTCGCCCCTCTAATAGGCCCCTTTTAAGTTGTCGCACAAAGCACTTTGTACAGAGTTGACAGACAGACAGATGGACAGACAAAACGGCACTCAAGCATGCCCATATTCCACACTACACATTTTACAATTGTATTAACCTGGCCAAGAGCTGTAGCTCGACCGCTAGCCAGTCGTTGCAAGCGCATTCAAGGTCTACTTCGGCGCTGATTCTTGGATGCTGTTTTTAATAAATTGTTCATAAATATTGTTAATTTATTGGCCAAGTCCCAGACCCGGCCAGGTGTCTGTCTCGCCCGCAATTAGCAGTTACTTAGCCGTCTCAGAGTGGGTGGCTGATCTTTAGGGCTTTGCGTGGCCACCTTGACATCGACATTTACCTTTGCCTCTAAAGTCTAACGGTGAGAAAATGGTGTTTAAACAGGTAACGCCCCTCTCTGGCTTTTGATTTATGCATAGGACAGGTGAGAGACAACAAAAACAAACAAATGAAGACATCCAACCAGGTGGTTGAGTGTGGTCAGTTAGCAGTCGCTAAGTGCCATCACATGGTGGAGCCCAAGGTGAGAAGAGATGGCACCCGGATGTGTTTGTGGATCCAGGATTGCATAAGGCTGGAGAAACTGGAGCAAATCAGTGGGAAATAATAAAACCAGGTGAGCATAGTTACCAACCTAAGTTAAAGATAAACTATTATTTATATAAAAATAAGGGAGGATGAGGGTGGATCAGGGCGGATCAGGGCGTAACAGGAAGATCGTTTATCATGACAAAGTGGCAGATAAACCAAGTGAATCAGTTGCCAGGTGTTCCATAATGACTTGGCACCTGGCAACTGGGTAACAGGTGATGCTGATGAACGGGGAGGTGTCACCGTTTCCGATACCGATCAAAGCTAATGCAAATGCCATGTACCGGGAATCGTGGCCACGTGGAATCGGGTTGGATTCCTCCGCTCTTGACAAAGGGTTGGCATAGTTATAGAATGGAAATATAATTTATAATTTAATGCGGGGCATTATAAGCCGGCTGGTCAAGCCAGTGGATCATGACACGATCGAAAGCAAGTCCCAAGATCATCATCATCATCATCATCATCATCATCATCATCATCACCGCGCTCGGACTTTTGCTCTCGAGTGTGTGGCTTCGGAAAAAGATGACTGACTGACTGACTGGCGGACTGTATAACCCGAATTACGGGTAATTACGTAGCCACAGCTTGTTCGACAAATGCAAATCAAGCGGGGAATACATATATATAAACACACACATAGTATGGGGATACGACTATAGAGATACCTCTCTCTAACCGATCAAAGGTCTCATTACCAACCAAAACTCTCCTCCCAAGTGAGTGGCTTTGCTAATTAGATTTAATTATTGTTTTAGAATTCCTGGGACAGTGATGGTAATAGTTTAGGGCCATAAATAAACCATTTATATTGCTCGGAAATCGTAACAAGTGCGAGTACGAGTGCATAAGTGCCGACATATGTACATGGCTCGTAAATGCCAGATGGTCGGTCGGAGTGTCTACTATAATATCCTACAGAAATAGACGTAATTTACGTTTACGGCATAATTAGCGATCGAACAATTAGGTAATTCTTAATACACTAGAAGCTAGAGTTATCAATTAAAGTGATTTATCCGCAACACCTGGAGCCACCTTTCTAATTGTTAAAACTAATGCGGAGACAATTCCCATTCCCTTTTGCTATTTATGGTTAAAAAATACTCCAAGAAATTATCTCAAAGAGGACATTCAAGTGTATGGCAATCGATTTTTCTATAAGAAAATATTGATTTACTAGAAAAAATAGAACAAATAATAGCAAAAATTATATAAATGTAATTAAATTGGTATATAAAGCTAATTTCTGTATATTTTCTGATAGTATCGATATTTTTTTGATAATTTAAAGTTGAATATATCAATCTTTACAATATTATAAATCTTAAAAAAGTTCTAGTTATATTACAACTATTATAAAAGTTGCTACGGTACAGTAGCAGAATAAATTTGTATTATATAGATTTCTTCCCCTCCAACTACATCCCTTACCAATTTAATTGGAATTTTCATTCGGTAACTAAACGCATGTATTAACTATAGAAAAAGGGAATGCTAATCAAAATCAGACACTTATGCAATTGCTCATTAGCAATTTGAACTTGTCTTCATAATTTATTTCTATATTTTTGCATCGAATCGCGGGGATCTTCGTGACTGCCCACAACAGAGCGATCCGACCGATCCGATCGACCTCCCATACGGAGCTTCAGAAGACGCCCACCGGCGGTATGTGAGCTGAGTTTCTGCTGCTTTTGTTGTGAGAATGCTAAATACAAATACGATTCGTGTTTGCTGTCTAAATCAAAGTTGAAATTAAATGATTGCCAGAGATTTTGTTGTTGATGTTGTTGTATTTTTGCTAAATAAATTAGTAATTAAATGGTGCTTTCAATCTGTGCCGATAATGCCAGATTTATATAACACGTTTCAAACAAATTGTTGCGGCTGCTACTTTTTCTCCTTGAACCGAAGAACATATCGAGATGCTCCAGTTTGTCTCGCCCTTCCTCTGGGGGGGGTTTTCCTCTTCCTGTTCTTCGCTGATTAGATAGCTTCATTAGCTTTTTTTCGGGGTGGGAGTGTCAGTCGTAGTCCGTACTTTGTTGACAGCAACACAGAGTTGCGTCAATATTGATCAGCTTGGAACACGAACGTTAATGGTTTACTATGTATGTATGATGATTGTGTCTCAAGTGGTTTGCAACCCCCCATCCTGCCCCCTCCCAGTGCGGTTTGGAAGCTTATTGCCGCGCTTATTAATGATATGGCGAATTTTAAGGCTCAGAGACACCTAATCACAACTGTTTGCATTTAACACTTCTGCTCGTTGGTGATCATTATGTACACACTTACTTAATCACTATTATTTGGAGTCTCTAATGATCCGTGAAAGTGGTTAGCTCTTTATATGTAAAGAGCTAGGAAGGAGGGATTTTAAGGATCATTTTGTAGGGCATTATAATTTTAGTCAGAAATGAAGGAGTCATTTCCGAACCTATAAATCATATAAGTATGCAGTTTTTTTAGCCTAATAAAAACTAACACGGAACAGTTTTCTGAATTGAAATCAAAGCTTTTTTGGCTTAGTTGTGATCGATTTCGAATTCTGCTTCTGCTTTAATTGCAAACTGCAAGGGTATACAAACTACGGCTACCAAAGCTAGGTTTCATTCTTGTTAGAATTTTAAACTTAACACCCTGGCTAGATTTCCTTAAAGAGAACCTAGAGAACCATCACTTAGAAGAAAGTCTGCTTTAAAATTGTAACAACTAAATAAAGCAACTCTGTCTCCTTTAAGATGTTCTTTTCTACCTTTCCTTGATCTATAATCAAGGTTCCTCCACTCACAATACATACCTTTCCTCCGGCATTCTGTCTTAAACTTTAAAATCACTCATATACTGTAATTCTATTTCTTTTTCGCACCTTATTTATTTTAATTAAAAGGTCTGCGGTTTCGTTGGTTATTCCCCTAGTCTGATCGAGAAAATCCCCCCCGGAATAACCACTGAGGCATACACTTTTTGAAACCCCGTCTAATGCAAATACTGAATGCTGTAAGTAGTTCTTCTGACCATCGATCGATCGATAGCGTTTGGCACTGACACACTAAGAATTCTCGAGAATTATTGGTACCCCTCGTTGTCGATGGATATAAATTAATTGCACACAAGCACGCGTCGTCGAGCAATTGAGCACACTGTCAGGGCGCTTTTAATAATAATATTCCGCCGACATCTCTTTGCCGCCAGTTTCATTTTCAGTTTTCTCAAGTTTCCAATTAGCCAATTCCCCAGAATGTTGCCCGGAGATAAAGCGCGACAGGAAAAAGCAAATACACTCTTTGCACACAAGCACGCTGGCACTCTGGCACTCTGGCACACTGGCACAAACACACTCCCGGCGCCGACGAAGCCACTTACACTGAACAAACAATTTTTTGCTGTGAAGCAGGCAAAGGAAAGACACTATTCCGTCCGCCCTGGACTCGACTCCTTCTTGGCTGGTCACTGGACACACTGGATATATTCGAATATTCCGGCTTTTGGACACGTCCAATTGACTGCGTTTGGCGAACAGAACTAAGCACGGCAGCGCCCACCGTCGATTTAAAAAGGAAAACCGCCCAAACGCCGGCGTCGGCGCGAACGCTGGCAGCGCACGCGGCTAACAATGCAAAGTTGAGCTCGGCTCGGAAGAATTGCTCACGAGAGAGTGGCCAGTGGAGAAGAGAATACGCAAGCGCAAGCTCTCTTCGGAAGCTGCGGCTGCGGCTGCGTCTGTGGCTGTTGCTTAGTCAGGAATCTCGCCCAAAAATAGTGTCATTGATCGGAACAAAGGACTGATTAATCCCGGCCAGCCGTGTCGGGCCGTGCCTCCTTTTTCTGGTTTGGCTGCAGGTGGTGTCTTGGTCATCATTCCACAGACAGATTCGGAGCAAAATTAATGGTGGCTGTCCAAAAACCCAAAGTAAACTCTTAATTTATTTGCTTGAGCTTGATCTTGATGCTTATAAACCCAACTATTTGGGATTTTTTTTTTAATGGAAATCTTTTGAAGTCTTCTTAAGTCTTCTGATGAGTAGATTCTTTAAACTCTCTTTACTATTTGTTAACAAATAATATAAGCTACAGCTCTTGGTCATGATCATGCTCTTGCCCTTTAATGGTGGCTGTCCAAAAACCCCTCAGTAAACTCTTAATTTATCTGTTTCTGCTTGATCTAGATGCCTATTAACTCAACTATTTAGGGTTTCTTTTAAAGGAAATCTTCTTAAATCCTTTGATGTGTAGATTCTTCAAACTCTCTTTACTAATTGTTAAGAAATAATAACATATAAGCGACATCTCTTGATCATGATCATTCTCTTGCCCTTGATCCCGCACATCTCTGCAGATTCATAGTTGTGTAGATTTGTTTGTTTCTCTGCTCTTGCCCAGCGAAAACAAGCGAATCACCACAAAAAAAAACATAATAAAACAAGAAAGAAAGCTATCTTTGGCCAGCCAAAGTTTGTATACCCTTGCAGGTAACAATTAAAATATATCATAGCTAAGCCAAAAATGCATTAATTTCGATTCGGAAAGCAGTTTTGTGTTAGTTTTTATTAATTTAAAAAAACTGCATACCAAATTTCAAATTTTAAGAAATCAAAATTTTTGGCCATTTTTGCTCATTTTAATGATGTAACCCCTTATCAAATTTTGCAAAAATGGCCAAAAAATCGATTTCTTCCGGACATATCTAGAAAAATTCGCATGTTAATGCTGATCAAGAATATATATGGTTTATGGGGTCGGAAATGATTCCTTGACTTAGAAAAATATTATTTTGTATTATAAAATTTGATTTTTTATATTAAAAAACTTCTTGATTTTTTTTTTTAATTAAAAATATCATAACTCGGCCAAAAGAGCATTAATTTTAAATCGGAAAACTGTTCTGTGCTAGATTTTCTACAGTTAATAAATCTGCATACTTCATTTAAAAATTTTGAAAATTCAATTTTTTATCAAAATCAAAAATTTTCCAAAAATGGCCAAAAAATCGATTTCTTCCTGACATATCTAGAAAGATTCCCCTGTTGATGCTGATCAAGAATATATATACTTTATAGGGTCGGAAAGGTCTCCATCACTGCGTTGCAAACTTCTGACTGAAATTATAATACCCTGCAAGGGTATAAAAATTAAAACCAGTTACCGATGATGGAAAATCCACGCATAATCGAGATCGAGACTTTCGGTGGATTCCCCCTATGAACACGCCGGCATCAGCGTCTCTTCAGGCTAGCGTCTCAGACTCTTTTTTTTTTTTTTTTTACTGAGAGAGATAGAGGCAGAGAGAGATGGTTAAACTCTGAAGAAAGAGTTCTGCCAGTGATCTCTTGCCTGACCCTTGAAAGTTAAGCATAATTAACCTTTTAAAACCATAACGAAATTATATAATAAAATATTTCATAAAAAAATTGTAATTATAAAAAAAAAGTTAGAGAAAAGTTTTGCCATAGTTAACCCCTTAAAATCATGTCGAAATTTATATGATGAATTCTTTCATAAAAAATTTTATTATTTATAGAAAAAGATACTGCAAGCTAATATTCTTTCCTCTCTTATTTATATAGTATTCCTATAAATGTAAAAAATATATATACAAAAAATTAATATATTCAACACATATATTTGTGTATGATAAAATATTAAAACATAAACAAAATTATAATCTACTTAACTCATATTATCTATATTCGCCTTCAGTGGGTTAAGTTCTGGAGATGGATTCTTTGATTTCGGGGAATACATTAAAAAATCACCACAAAATCCAGTTCCCACCGATGCCTGACGTCCGAGAGACCTGCAATTTGGGGGGATTTTTTGTTGTTTTGCTGGCCCCGGCCTATCATTACCAAGGAAACTCAGACTCAGATATGCGTGCGTGCAATAAGATTGGCTGACTCACGGATCTCCTCCAGATCTTGCACACAGCCTCCCCTCGGAACCAGTTTCGTTTCCAATTCCATGGTGGCTTTCAAGCTTTTTGTTTTTGACTCTTTTGCAGGTGTTTTTGTGTTTCTCTTTCGGGTGATATTTTTCTCGACGCTTAGTGGGTGTTGTTTTTCGTTGGGGTCTTGGTCAGCCTAGCTGCTGCTGCTGCTGTGACGTAGCTAGTGGGTGGCTCGGTGGCGTCGGTGGAGTGTCAAGTTCGAATAGCTTTGTTCGCAGCCTGGGTTCTATTTAGTTCTTGTTTTGCTTGAACGCCCACGAGCGGCGCAAGCGGGCTTGCTTTCAAGGCAGCGCTCGGTTGGCAGCTCCAGTTAAGTGCCGCTGGGTGGAACCGGATCCTTGGACTAACTGTGTGCGGACCCACTAAGCCCACTAACGGACTAAGCCACGTCGACCGACGGCGCTGAAGGCACGTGCAACGCGACAGTTAGCCAGAGTTTTTCGACACTTGACCTCAACAGATGGAAATCGAAATCCGATGGAATGCTGCCGCTGGCCCGACGACGGCGACACCTGCAATTAGGCATGAATCATGAATAAATTTCCGAATGGACTCTAAAAATACTCAACGTTTTGGCGAATTTAATGCCAAAATTTCAGGGTACAATAAGCGATTTAGCAAAGAACCCGGGCAATCTCCTTTGATGCCGGTAGAGAGGGAGAGAGAGTTTGATGGCACTTCCTCGACCGGTTTGGTGTTCCCCTTTCATTGTTTCGATTTTTTTGTGCATCCTCTGGAGCGGCAAGGGTCGCCTGGTCGCTAATAAGTGACTAACCAGAAGAAGGGACAAAATGTGGTTAGTGTCCAGCTAATTTTATGGTCCTACAGTTGAGCCTTATATGCGTTGTTTGCTTAATTAAAATTTTAAAAAAGAAAAATTAGGGATGCAAGTCATTGCCTGGTATCCTCCTGGTATCAGTGGAAGTTTCCCCTAAATGAATACAATTAAAACGTTGCTAATTTGCAAGTGGAATTTTCTTATAATCATCATTTGTTTTTCTCTTTCTGCAGATTCAATCTTAAGGCATTCCCACTATTTAATATAGACCAAAATAAATGATGCATATTTTTATGATTTAACTAAATTTATTTGATTTTAAATCTATGATGGGAACGGAGCGGCGGTCAAAGTGAATGTTCCATTGTTCAATGCCCCCTCTCCGGGTGGGATAATCTATGCATACGGCTCTGTGATGATGAGAAGATTTCATTTATTTAAAGACTAATTATATGACTATTGATGAACTCTAAAGAATCGGCGGCGGCTTATCTCATTAATTCGGGATTAGCTAAGCAGCACAAGGGCCGAAATAGCTCAGTTGGGAGAGCGTTAGACTGAAGATCTAAAGGTCCCCGGTTCAATCCCGGGTTTCGGCATGCAATTTTTTGGGTATTTTCATATAATTAATACCCTTGCAGGGTATTATAATTATAGTCAAAGGTTAAGAATATATATATGCATATATTCTTGATCAGATTCAAAAGCCCATGTTAAAATTGCCCAACATTGGTAAAAGACATTTTCTTAAATATTAAATTCAGTAAGCAGATTTTTTAAATTTATAAAAACGAAAACAAGGACGATTTCCGAATTGAATTTAATGCCATTTTAGCTAGTTCTAGATTTTTAAAAGTTTTGATTTTTGATTTTCCAAAAATTATAAGTATTTATTTTATTTATTAATTAATTAATAAATAAATAATTATATAAATAATAAATAAATACATAATTTAAAAACAATAAATTAATATATTAATAATTATAATAATTAATAATATAATATATAATTCCCAACTAGTTCTAGCATTTTCAGAGTGGTAACCCAGCTGAATGTTGGGGTCGAGTGGCAGAAGTAGGTGGTAGTGTGGATGTGTGGCAGTGGCTGCTCTCTGTGTTGTTGTGTTTCAATGTACCCTCTCTGTTCTGTAGCTTAGTGCTACGGGTAAATTTTCTATTGGAGATAAAGATGGAGAAAACGAGCAGATATCACCGGAGAGAGTTTGAGATCAGAGAGAAATCAAGGAGAGATGGAGAAAACGAGCAGATATCACCGGAGAGAGTTTGAGATCAGAGAGAAATCAATGAGGAAAAGGAAATCAATCAGAGGAGGGACCTAGACAAATGTGAGTACACAAAATATTTATTTATAGCCTAAAGATCTCGTTCATCTAAACATTAAGTTTAAGCCTACCAAAATTAGCTTCCTTTCTTGCTTTCTTTTGTGATATATTCCAGCACTTACCGCAAGTAATCCTTAATGTTTTCTTATTTCTAACGATCCCGATCCTTTAGGCTATATATGGATGTTCTTGATCAGCATCTCAGCAGCAAAATGTTCTCAGTTTAACAGCCACCGGGAGGTAACTTTTGAGATAGTCTTCCTTCTATGCAAGGTATTACATAAGTCGGAACAGATCAAACGACTAGTATATTATAAAGCTGCCATATGATCGATTGAAAAATAAATAAATATAAATTAGAAATATAAATACAACGACTAAAAATTCAAATTTTTATGTTAGAGTTACAGTTTTAAATATTAATATATGCCAAAGAAGATTAGGCTTAGCTTTGCCTCAGAGAAATTTTCAAATGTTGACCGTTAAAAACAAATATAAATCACAGGGCCCTGAAAAATATGCCACACCAAAAACCAACCCGCAGACGCATTGCGAACTTTGCTTTTCGCTTTAAGCTCTGAATCCAGTCTTTTAGCGTATCCACGAACCAATGGTATATCTTAAATAAAATTGATTTAAGAGAATAATTCTTGTTTTAGTTATTCAAAACAAGGTGTCCAGGCCTTGGAGGAGATTCTTTCAGCGCCCTAATTCTTGGCAGTGTCAGCCTTATTATTTTAAGGATAGTTTTTTATGGTTCAAGTTGTTAATAGTATCTTAATAAATCCCTAGCACAGCAACAGAGAACATAAACAGGAAGCGTCTGGCATTCCAGTCAAAAGTGCAGGGAAAGAAAGCCTTCTTTGAATCCCAAGGTGGTAACCAACAATTTTCCTCTCTAAATTAACAAGAAAGCAAGGTGGTCAAGTCTCGCGCTTGTGTTGTATTATACACAGCCAACTCTTCTAGCCAATTTACAGACAGAAAACAACACAAAGGATGCACATTTAACTTTCTTTTTAGTTATATTATGTAAAAAAAAAAAAGATGGAGCTTCATTCAAATAGAGGTGACACCGGCTTGGGCGGCTCTCGCCCAGAACACATTTTATTCAGAACGCAACATCTTCTCCTTCTGGCGCTGCAGCTTCTTCTTGGACAGCTTCTTCTTCGTGGGCTCATCATCGGTGGCCTTGGAGACGACCTCCTCCTTTTCGGTGAGGATCACCTCGACATGGCATGGCGACGACATGTAGGGGTTGATGCGACCATGAGCACGGTACGTGCGGCGACGCAGGCACTGGGCGCGGTTAACCTGGATGTGGTGGACAACCAGACGATCGGCATCAAGACCCTTGCAGTCAGCGTTGGCCTCTGCGTTGCGCAGCAGCTGCAGAAGGAACTCGGCGGACTTCTTGGGCCAACGTCCCTGCGTGGTCTTCCACTGCTTGGCCTGGGCGCATCGGCCGACTCCACCGTTGAAGCGGCGGAAGGGCACGCACTCCTTCTGGTCGATGACGGCCTTCAGGTAGCGCTGGGCACGGCGCAGAGGCATTCGCTTGATGGCCTGGGCGGTCTCATGTGTATTCTGCAAGAGAAATGTCGTTTTAGTTGAAAGATCTTCATTTAAGTGGTGGAAAATGATAGATAGGAGGAAGGAATCTGTTGTTTTGTGGTAAACTATTTTGTGCCAAGGTTCAGGTAGAGACGCGGGCATTGATGGCCAACACGCCGCTGTTTTACAAAGGCTGGGGTTTGCTTTGGGCACAGCTTTTGGTACGATGATTCCATGATATGGAAGCCACCGAATTTAAGAACTGTGCCCGCACATGGAACTGATTCAGGTTACTCTTCACACAAAGCACATGGTAGAATATTTTGTACCAAGGTTCAGGTAGAGACGCGGGCATTAAAGGTCAACACGCCGCTGTTTTACAAAGGCTGGAGTTCGCTTTGGGCATAGCTTTTGGCAGGAAGGTTCCATGATAGGGAAGCCACCAAAATTAAGAGCTAAGCCCGCACAGATAGCAAGCAAAGTAAGGCACTGATTCACACAAAGCACATGGTTCTTAATCAGCTAAACTTTGGGAACTTTTCTATATACTTATTGAAACAATTCGTTCGTGTTAAATAGCATGAAAAGATTAAATAATTTAAAGTAGTTTCAATTTTCCACCTAAAGTGGCTAAAAATTAAACTAGTTTTATCTGTGAAAGTGAGAAAACGCATGTTTAACTTGAAATATTGAAATGTTTACAATATCTGCGTCTAAAATTTGTCATATTAATCCGATAATTAATCCATAATTGAATCAATCTTGTGTGCTTATCAGATGTAGATTCCAAATGGCCTGCTTCTCTGTTGGATTTCTATGCAATACAGCAGAGGAAGCCACTGTGCCAAGCTACAGGTAGAGACTCGCTCATGGCAAGCAGCGGGCCTCTGTTTTAGCAAGGCTGTGAGGAGATTCGCTTTGGGCACACATCTGGGCGGAAGCTGTCCCCAGGAGGAGCAGCCACCAGTTAACGATGTGTGCCGACTTTGTAGGAACTACTAATGGTTACGGGAACGATCGAACTGTGAGCGAGATTTTAGAAGAGGGCGTCCAGTGGCGGGGACTGCGCTCAGCTGATGAACTCGTCCGATTTCCCCCTCTTGGGAGGGGGGATTATTCCTCTAGCAGCGATGCAAAAGTGAGAAGCCGCTCGAGAGGCGGTCATCCACTGATTAAGGCTGCACACTCTCTTACACACACACACACACACACATACAAAGACAGCAACCACAACAACAAACAATCGGAGGGGCGTCCTGGTGTCTCTCACCTTGAAATGCACACGTAGATTGGGTCCGCGCGCCTTGCAGGACTTGGCCACGTTGTCAGACTCGCGGGAGTAACGACCCATTGTTCAGAATCTGCAATATACGACATTATTAGTCGGGGCACAAACACTTCTCATATATATGGCACAGTAAAAAAATATATAAAGAAAACACAAAATTCGCCGGCGCTTTTTCGCCGCTTGCGAGCGCCGCTTCACGTAAATTAAATGGGCAACGGTCTGTAACGTTCATTAACTCGGCTATTTTTCGCGTTTTGGGCTCGCAAGCGGATTGCGCGGCGGCGATGTTCGCATATTAAAATAGACACGAAAAGCAGTACCTCCTTGTTGGTTGGAAACGAAACCGGAAAAGAACTTTTGATATAGGGATGGACGCGGAGCTGTCAAAACATGGCACTAGAGCTGCCGTTTCATCGATGACCCTATCGGCCATATCGATAGGTTGACCAATCGAATGTTTTTGGGCTATCGCACTACGTCTTGCGCGACGTATCCTCCAGGATACAATTTTAAAGAAGTTCAAGTTTTAAAAGATTTATTTTTTGTAAATAACGGTAACTGAAAACCACTGTTCCCATGGTCGCTGAAAATATCGATTAAATAACTGAAAGGCCAGTGTTTCGTCTAAATCAAAAATGTGAACTGCTAAATAAAACGATTCAGTAGTTTAAAATAATTTAAAATTATATATGTCTTGCGACTGTGTTTTGGTAGAAAATTATGCGGCTGACTTTTTTGGGTTGTTCCTTTGAGTGCTGAAAATATCAGCTAACTTGGCGATACATCGATATTTTCAGTAATTCAGTCGTTCAGTTGTCAAAGGAAAAGTGCCTTAATTTTAATTCGGAAAGCATTTCAGTTCTAGTTTATAAGCCTAACAAATCTGCATAATAAATATTTTAATTTAAAATATTATAATTTTTATCAATTTTAAAAATGTTTAACTCCTTACTTTTTCGATATATCTACATATGCTCGATCAACGCTTTCAATAATTGAAATAAAAAATCGAAAATTCGATTGCATGTCCGGGAAAGATTTAAAATTCAAAATGCGGCGTGGGTCTTCACGTTTATGTTTATTACTCTAAATCCTCTTCAGATGCTTTCTCCCCTTACAGCTTGGATCTGGCCAAGCGTCGTCCCTGCGCGGCCATCGGTGTGCCCTCCTGTCGCAGCTCGGCTAGCACGGATTGCCGCCAATGGTTGAGCAAGAGCCGCTTGGTGGCCATTAGCGCAGCCGATGGCAGACACGAATACTGATCCATGCGGTCCCAGAACTCCTGCGACTCGTTCAGCACACTGGCCACCAGGCCGCAATGGAACGCGGTCCTCGCATCCGCCTGCTCGCCCAGGTGGAGCAACCAGCGGATGTGTGGAAGCGTCCAGAAGGGGCCCACCTCTGCGCAGGGATCCAGGTGCGAGAGGGCGGGCAGAAAGACGGCGGCTTCCTTGGCATAAACCAAATCGCACAGGCTGCACACGCTGAGGCCCAGACCAAGGCATCGTCCCTCGACGAAGGCCACCAGCAGCTTGCGGTGCACCAACATCTTCTTGGCCAGCGATCGCATCACAAAGTTGGCCGACTTTTCGTGAATGTACCGATCCTCGGCATCGTCGCTGCTTACTGCCTGGGTCTCCTTTGTGATCGGCAGCTGGCGATGCCTTTTCACCTTTCCCTGCTCCAGGAGCAATGGGTCGTGCGGTCCCACGGATAACTCGCCGGATAGCACCACCACCTGGACAGTGGTGTCTGCATTGGCCAGGTCCAAGGCCCGTAGCAGTTCATAGACGGTGCGTATGTTCCAGCGTCGCTGGAAGTCAATGTGGAGCAGTCCGGGGCGGCGTAGCCCAACGCCCAGCTCCCTGAAGTTACTATAGCTCTCAACCATGGTCGCCGTCGCCATTGCCTCCGACTCCGGCTCGGCAACTGAGACTGACAAGGGACCGAGTGATCTCAGTGAGCATAGGCCGAGGCGCCGATCATCAAGCGATCAAAGTGCAGCGTCGCTGCTATCAGTATTCCTCTTTGCCAGGCAAGATGCCAGCTGCGCCTCCTTCATAATGTTGTGTGCGTGTGTGATGTGCGTATTAATAGAGGCGTCATGAAATGAATGCCTACCGCAAGCTGGCAATTGTCGAGGCCCCACTGGCGCGGGGTTATCGACACGTGACCGCCGACTTGGGGAGCTTTTCTGAAACTTGTTTGCTTACACTAGTTCCAAGCTATCTATTAGCCCTCACGGAGCATTACCTGGCAGATACATGGGTGGACTTTCTTGGGTTTAGTGTACTTTAATAGCTACTTATCTTTAAATGCTAATAATATACAAGTGCCTGGCTTCAGAAATAAATATGCTGGGGAATGGACACTCCTCCTCCGACTCAGTGCTCGTCCAGGTGGGAGAACTTTTTGCGCAGTTTCTCGCGACGCTCCTTCTTGACATGACGCCACGGCTTGGCCGCCGCTGCCTCCGCTGGGTCAGTGCTGGCCACCAATGATCCGTCATTGGCCAGGCGAACATGCGGAAAGTTTGTGCGACCCTTGACATGGGCATGGTTGGGTTTGTTGGAGAAGAACTGCTGGTCCAGCTCCTTGGACGTGCTCTTGTCAATCTGATGGGAGATTTTAATGTCAAATAACAGCTGTGTTTGTGCTTGATAAATGAATATCTCACCCTCATGGCCCGCTGCTGCTGGCTGGGCAGTTGCGACTCCTCGATGACCTTGCGCTGGCGCTCGGGGAACGTGTGATACTCCGTCTGGGGCACCGAAGGCGGACCCATGGCATAGAGCAGCCGCCCGTTGACATAGTCCTTGAGCACATAGCGAGCTGAGCGAGCCTGATCAGGCTGACCATTGGAGGTCATAAAGCCACGATTGTCTGCGAAAAAGAAAGAGAGGGAATGGCTAAGCGACAAGGCAGCAATCACAAGGCACCTGAACTCACATCCATAAGCTAGCAGCAGCTCTTCCGAGTGCGGTGGCCGCTCCATATCCTCGCCTTCCAGCGGCTTGGCTATCAGAATGCCGTACTTATCCTCAAGGACGTGACGCGGTATGCGCTCGCACAGCAGATTGACGGCAGGCACATGGTCGCGCATCTGGTCAATGGGCAGGATGCCGTTGAGCAGCATGTCCGCCTTGGTCAGAACGAAGCTGGGCATTACCAAGCCGGGACAGTCGCAGAGCAGGATGTCCTTGTCCAGAAAGAGCGTCTGGAAGCGCTTGGTCTTGCCGGGTGTGGCCGAAACGGACACCTTCTTGACGGTCATAAGCGAGTTTATCGTGCTGCTCTTGCCCACATTGGGATAGCCCACCATGCCGATGGTCACGTGCTGCTCCGTGTGCCGCGGCCCAGTGTAAATGTGGCGCAGGAACTCGATGAGCTCCAGGCGGGACAGCAGACGGGAACTGTTCTTGTCACTCGGCAGACGCGGCAGCTGCTGCTGCTCCTTCTCCTCCTTGTCCACCTTCAGCTTTCGCTCGATGGCGTCTAGTGTGTCCTCTACCTTGTCCAGCGACTGGGAAATCTCCTCGGCGGCCTCGCGCAGCTGCTGCACCTCCGAGAAAGAATCATGGCGCGTGGCTTCCGCCTCCCGCTTCAGCTCCTCCTCGACCAAAGTGGCGGAGTAGAAGGCCGTTCGGATGCCCTCGCTGTCAAAGTATTCCGCCCAATGGCGACGCTGCTCCGCCGTGAGCAAATCCGATTTGTTCACCAGGATCATGTTCATCTTGCTGGGCTCCACCTCCTTAACGTAGCGCTCCAAATCGACGCTGCGGAAGAGCAGTGGATTGCGAGCATCCACAATCTGAACAACGACATCCGAACGCTCCACCACGCGCCACAGCTGGCGCCAGAACTCCAGATTTTTCTCGTACGGCGTCATCAGAATCTCCTCGTCCTCCTGCAGCAGGGCCAGGTCGCGACGCCAGTTGAGAAAGGCCTCGTTCTCGGCCCGCTCCAGCTCTTCGGCGCTCGTCTCCTTGTCCCATTTGGGGCGGCGCGGTATCTTCAGCTGGGCGCGGTGCTCGTCGTGCTTCTGATGCATCCGCTGCTCCTGCGTCTTGCTCAGCAGTCCCACTCGCTGCTTGGGATTCACAAACGTAATGTTGAGCTTCTCGGCCTGGAACTCGGTGCCGGCCAGCTCGGCGGTGCGCAGAAAGGCCTGGAACGAGGACTCCTCGGTGACGGACGACAGGTTGAGGCGACCCCAGTCGTAGCCATCCTGCAGCTCGGTGGTGTGCAGCTGCATAAAAACCCAAGACGAGGTGGTAAATTTACGTTTTTAAGTAGGAATTTTTCTTCTACGCACTTACCATCGTGTCGTTGTCCACCTTGCGGCGGGGCGTGTGACCGAACCGATCCTTGATCAGCTGACGGCCCAGGTTGGGCGTGGAGCCCTTGTTTTTCTTTCCCATTCTAAGTGGCGAGGCCGAGAAAGGAGAAATACGTACAAATATTTGTGAATTTAACAAAATAAAAACACGTGCGATTGGCGGCAGTGTGACCGTCGCTTGAGTGTTGAAAAATACCAGAAAATGTAAAGCTCTTTTGCAGCTGTTCTGTCTGCCCGCGGGCAGGGCTGTCAAGTCGCCATATCTTACTTTATTTATAAATTGTATAAAGACATAAATTCACTGTATATAAAATGTATTTAAATATTTGTATCCTTTGATTTTGCTTTTAAATTTTGAATCTTTTTTATTGTACTTCATTTTACGTGTTTTTTTTTTCATTTAACAAAAACAGCTAATAAGTTTTTTCGCCAACATTTGGCAACACTGCTTGCACAGCAACAACAAACCGAGCAAAAGGTGTAAACAAACCGATTTGGAGTCGCGGAATTCACCTGCCTTTTATCATCCCCGGAAGCCAGGCCCAACCCCCTAGCAGAAAAATGTCCGGCAAGGACGATCGATCCAAGGAGTGAGTTGAGTGCCGGACAACGTAACCGCAGCAGTTGCCCTTTAATACACATTCTGTGCCTGCAGGAAGCGGAGGAACATGAAGCAGTACAATCATCACCACAAGAAGGACCAGCCAAAGGGCCAAGGACGCTCGACGACTACATCTTCGGGTTCGCCACCGCCGAACTCACGGCGCAGCATGGTCGATGTGGCGGATTCCAGCGACGAACCGAGATTCCCGCCGCGCGGCAATTGGCAATCTGGGGGAGCTGGACGTAGCGTCCTGGCACCGCAACGAAACCGTGATCTGCTAAATACACTGCCCAGTGACACGGACGACGTGGATCAGCAGCATCTGGGCCTGGACGGGGCGCCCATTGATGAGAATGCCCGTGCCCAGCTTCGGGCGGGCGATTTCCAACAACTTGCGCAGTTCCCGAGCCTGGGTGGCGGCCACTTCACCTTCGGCTCCGAGCGCGAATGGAACAGCGTGGCCGAGGGCCAGACCAAACTCCACACCAAGGCCGCTAGCAGTTACTTCACCCTGAACCTAAGCCGACTGAATGCTGGCCTCCAAACGATTCCGTTTTACAAGCGCATGGACTACTCGGCGAGTATGTTCACGCGCCAGCAGATTATCGCCCAGGAGGAGGCCGCTGAGCGCGCAGAGACCGTTTACCAGCAGCGAATCCTACAGGATGCCAATGGCGGTGGCGCCAAGTCACGAGCTCCTTCAGCCAAGTCCACTAAGGCAGCTCATAGTCCTACACCCGCAATCTCTGCTGCGGCTGCCTCTGCGGAGCCCGATGAGCTCGATGAGCTGTTGGCCATGACTAATACGCAAATGGATATAAGTTCCGGTGGCATTGGACCCATTACCATGCCCATGCCCATGCCAATGGTGCAGCCGGCCACGCCCTCATCGGCGGCCAGTAAAAACGAGGTGGAACAGTGGCTGGACTCAGTCTTGGATGAGTGAACTTGGATTGATCTGGAGAAGATCTGAACTTGCTACGCTTACAACGCAAACGAGCTAATTGAAATCACCAAGTGCGCTTAGCTTTTGAATCCCGAAAGTTTGTTCCTTGAACTCTATTATATATAGTTCCAAATTGTCAATTTTAAATGAAAAGCTATAGCTTTTTTAATGTATACATTAAAGCCACCAAAATGCTTAGCTTTAAAGGAGGCTTCTCGTGTTTCTAGGGGTTATTCTCGCCTGGTTTCCTTTTAGAAGCTCCATGAATCCCCATCAATCATTAAATCTTTTAAACAGCTAAAAAAAAAACATTTAGGAAATTGATCAAATACAAATTACTAGATACCAACCAATGGACATGGAATGGAGCTGCTTTTTTACACCCTAATCCAATCCTGAAAATCAATGAAATTAGCATAAAACCTAAAGTGTAAATGGGTTATTCAAATTAGCAAAGCACGCAAAGTGTAAATGGGGGTATAAATGCTAGAAAACGAGCCCATTTCAAGAGCCACGGGGTCTTATAGTGTAGACGTGTCAGTTTCAGCTAATGCTAAATGCTAAAAACATCAATTTAATGGGATTTATTAATATATATGTATGTATAACTAACTCCCTTTAAAGTCTTTTAATCCATAGCCTATCTCAAGAAGTTGCTCTTATAGTTGTCGATCTGATCAAATTCGTAATTTCTGGAACATAATCGATAAAATTTAGATTTGGAAAATAAAAATAAGGTAGAAAAAAATCGATAATTATGACCCCATTTACACTGCTTTATACTTTAAAGCGGTCTGGTAGCCCCCCCTTCCCTTTGAAGTTTTGCAACTCTGCACCTTTGAACCTACTTCCGGTCCAAGTCAAAGTCCATTTCGTTTTTTTACGCTGTTCGAAACAGTTTAGTTTTTAAGTAAATTTTCAAATGGTGTTTAATATTTCATCAATTAACTAACTTTAAATAACACAGGTGAGTTGTATCTAATCGAGATGCTTCTTCAAATCATTCCCCGGGATTTCGCGATCCGCTTTCGTTTCATATAAACATTTTGTTCCGCAACCTGACTCATTTTTCATCGAAGTCTGTGCATCAAGAAGAATGCTCATTGGTTTTTTGAGGTTACAAATTTTAATTCGTCGTAATCTTGCATGAAAACTCGACAATTTATATTTCTTTCGTTGTGGCATTTTAAATTAATTCGCTCTTCACTAGTTTTTAACTATATTTCTTAGCAAAGTTAATTATTTGCGGAACACGTGCTTTTTATTTTATTATGAACATGCGCGAACACGATTGAAGAAGTGTACCCTCTGTCGACAATGTATGCGTATTTTTAAATATGATTTTCGTCCTCATGGGATTCCTCGGTTAAGGTTAGGGCCTGGGTATTAGCTTGGTAGCACTTGATAAGGTGGCCGTGCAGGACCTGCATAAGCTCACAGATTGCCTCCAGTAGCACTAGGCGCTCCTCGAGATGCCCCAGATCGCCCGACAGCATTTGAGGACGCAGATCCTGGACGATAGCGGTGAGCCAGCGAAACAAAATGGCAGAGTCCTCCTTGGTGAGTTCGAGCAGTTCCGGCGGCACGCCGATTTCCTGACAGAGTATCTGTCCATTGCCAGCGAGAGGCCCCACGATAAGGAGGCAGGAAATCAAGCGGACCACTAGATGTAGGGCATGCATATAGGACTCCACGTAGACGCGCGGATTAACCATGGCGACAACCAGCAGCAGAGCTGGACACGGGCGGAGACGGTGCGAGTCCAGGCCCAGGTCCGTCAGGCGGGCCAGCATGGCCCACAGCAGGCAGTTGGCCACCACGCGAGCCATCAGGCTCAGGGGACTGGCCACTCGGAAACAGAGGATAAGGTTTAGCATCACTTCCGAATCGCTGGCCTCCAACAGTCCGAGAATTTGGCTACACAGGTGGTGAACCTAACGAGAAACCACCAATTGAGAAACTAGGGGAAGAGGGGATTGGACCAGGGAACGTACATAGGTTTCCTCGGTGCAGGCCAGATACTCAAAACAGCGCTGCATGAAGAGAGTCCTCTTCACCTGGGTACTGGCCATATTCTCATGATGCAGCAGGTATACCATCATTCCGGTGACATGGATCGCGGCAAGTCTGTCTGCACCGAACTCTATTTCCTCCTGGCTGAGCAGATGGTCGAATCCGGCTATGATCTGCAAAAAGATACATTAGGTAGCAGAACCCCTGGGTGTCGTCGTCTCTACACCTACCTCCAGAATGTTGTTGGTGCCAAAAATGAAGTAGCACTGCTCACGGATCGCCGAATGACCCAAAGTCAGACGCAGTTGCTCCAAGCTGAAGCCCTGGGGTCGCACCATGTGGGCCATGAAGGGGCGGGCTTCTCCGGACGAATTCGGGCACCAACTGAATATGTATGTGTTAAAGCAATACAATTTAGCGCAGAAGAAAATACAGATAGGGAAATGCAGGCTGAGGTCCTGTCAAAGATCCCCTTGCAAATTAGTGGCATCTATCAAGATGTGTGTGCAAATGGCCAACGGCATTTTAATGAGCTGTGCTCCCCAAACATTTTGTCCCGTTTTCAACCTCAGTTGGAGGGCCTGGCAAGATGCTGAATTTACAGTGCGTGTTGCCTAGGGCGAACTCAATTTCCTCTACATATATTATTAATTATTTCAGATACAAAATGTTTATTTTTTCTACATAACATGTAAATATTATTTATTTATGTTGATTGTTGTTATTTTTAGGTTTCATTATTATTATAAGGTCTCACTGTATTTCACGTTTTTCATAGTGCAAAAAGCACGCCTGTGTATGTGTTTGTGCGTATTTGTGCTTGTCCTTGCGCTGCTTTCGAAAAGGCTGTGCAAAATGCAGATGCACGCGCGATGTGCGCATTTTAGCATAAAAGTCATCTAGCCTCCGTCTCCTGTTTCTGCTGCTGCTGCTCGTCCTGCTCCTTTTGCACCTGCCACGCCCCACGCCCCACTGCCGCTTGAAGTTTCTTGCGTACTTGCGAAATATCTGCTCATTATGCATTCATATTTTGCAATTACTTGCACTCACACACACACACGCCGAGACGTAAACAAACGGTTGGTAAAAAGAGCAAGAGGTGTAAGCCGGATGGCCATAACAGCAGCAGCAGCGCAAACTGTTAAGTTCCTGTCAACGAGGCTTTTTTATGTATGCGTGTCTCTCTCTATCTCGCTTGGCCTTTTCTTTCTGTCTTCTCCCTGTTTACTTTTTTTTTTTTTTTTTGAGCGCTTGCCCCATTTGCTTGAAAATTTTCACAGAGATTTCCATTGAAATTTCCATATTCACATATTTTAATTATGCGCCGGCATGAAAAGATTAACAACTTTTCGCAGCCAAGTCACTGTGCATTTGTTCCCGTTTTTAATTATTCATACATATTTTTATTTACAAAGAGGAGCGCAGCATCTTACATGACCTCTTCTCTTCTCTTTTCTATGTTCTCTTCCCCAAGTAAGCAGTGCAAGGGGCGCCTCCACTGCTTGAACCACCGGCTGAAAAGCACAGGCACTTATGCAAATAAGTTTTTTTTGTTGTTTAGATTCAGATTCGGATACAGATACTGAGGCTGATCGGATCTAAATTAAGCCACAAAAATTGACGGCGACAAGTGCAAAAGGCCGAAACTCCCCTCACTGGCTCTTCAATTAGCCGCGATAAAAGCGCTCAATTAGCGGGGGCTTGCTTAGCTTAGCGAGTTGTAAATACAGTGGAACATCCCTAAGCCATAAAGATGATGTAGGATTATTATTTCCACTTACAAGTTCGTTTTAGTTTCAATTAAGGCGTATTCGCCTCGGGGATGTCCGACTGTGTGGCAACAACAACAAATAATAACAATCATTCCCTGCCGATGACGAACGATAATGACGATGATGACAAGTGGCGAGAGAGCCAAGCAGGAGCTACAGCTACCCTTTAATTTTTGGGGTGGACCTGATGAGGCGCTTGTGTGCGGCTTGTAACCAATCTGTGCATTTTACGCCTAATTTAAGGCAAATTGTTGACATAAATGTGTACACCCCCCACACTTTTCCACTTTTCCACTTTCCCGTTTTTTGGGCTTTGTGGCCGCAGGCATTTTGACAAAAGCCAACAGATTTTCATATCATTATGCGTTGATTTGTGCGGTTTTGGGTTCGGGGCGGTTCGGTTTTTTTTGTTATCTGCCAGCACCACCCCCCCCTTTTGTTTGCTAATGAAGTTGTTGTTTACACAAATGCGCCACCGAGTGGGTATTCGTTCATATAAGGTATGCAAATTGATAACCCAAACAGAAAAGCCCGAGATATGTCGTCCACCCACCAATTAGGTCCAACTTTTTGTCATCTGAATCCCAGAAACTTGGACCTGCCTTGCCCATTTGTCGCGACAGCGAAATTCGAGAAGTTCCTTTGAATTATTGGAATATATATAGGTGCTTGCCTTTGTTTATGTTTCGTGTTTCATAGGAAGTAAATGCAATTCAATTTCAAATGTTTGTTTGTGGGCATAATATAGCCAATAGAGCTGAATAGTTCTGCTTAAATCAATATATTCATATTTTGTCTTACTAATAAAGAACGAAGCTAAAAGCTAGGATGTTTTAAAAATATAATATGACCTGTCCGAATTTTCCATTTTTAAGGGTGTAATAATCTTTATAGCCTAAAAAATAATAAGCTTTTATAACATCAGAAAATAAATTAAGATATCTCTTAAGCGAAGACAAGCTACAATTATCTCTAATTTCTTCGCAGATGACTACCCCGGGACCATCCCAGCCTGTTGACTGCACCCTGGGAAAGCTGCGCTCCTTCGTGGAGCGCAGCAGCCTGGCGGTTCATCTGAGACACTTCAGCGAAACTAGCAGTGTGACTGATGTAAGGCCACAATTGGGTCCCATCTACGCATGGAAATCTGAAGCAAAATTTTTTAATCTAAAGCAGGTCGAACGCCATTTTCGGGTCTTGATGAGGGGCATCAAATTTTGGGAACTGGACCGGATGCAACCGCTATTCACTGGGCTTTGCATGCTCATCCTGATCAAGGAGTGCAATGCGGACAATCAATCCTACAAACGCAACGGTCTGATGGCTCGCTTCATAGAGTTTGTGGACTGCGTGCCACCCATGATTGTAAGTTTGTTTTTTAACATTAATTTAGATATCCAAGAAATCATTTCAGTGACATTTCCGTTTCCATATAAACTATATTTTATCCCAGGGGCACCAGCTAATCGAGAAGCTGCTGGAGGACCTGGCGGAGCATCAAGTCGACAGCGAGGCCAACCTACTCAAACTGGCCGTCAAGCTGGGCGACATGGGTTTTCGCGGCCGTGTCTTGGCCGTCTGTCTGCTCTGGTGGGTACTGGGTCGCCGTCTGCCCGCCCTGGAGATAACCATGCATCGCTTCCGTGAGCCAGGGGAACTGGCCGAGGCCATACGCAAGCAGCCGCCAATATCGCCCAGTGTCTGGCTAGCGCCAGAAAGTGAAGCGCCCAGCGAGACCGCAAAGGCACATTCAGAGTCGCTGCGCGTGATGCTGGAGGCAATGGAGCGGCTCCTGGATCTGCTGTTCTGCTGCGATAACGCTGATCTGCTCCAAGCTGGCTATCCAGATCATTTCTTTACACTCGAGGACAGTGACAGCGCTTTCCTCTCCGACTGGTGCATCGATTTGTCCAAAGAGCTGCCCGCCAGCATGTGCGGACCCCGTGGAAAGGTGAGTCTGGGGAACATAACTCGAATAAAAACCTAAACCGACTAGATGCCTCACATCTATCTTTCCAGTTTGGCGCATCCCTGCACTCTATTATCGGCATGCTTATGCAGGTCAGGCAGGCAAAGGTCCAGGAAGTGGATCCATCTATGATGGTGGAGGCCACCTTGAACGTGAGCAGCGATTAGACCAGCGATTTGCCATACATATGTATTTTTTTTTGTTTCTTTTTAAATTCCTGTTGAATTTGTTTATTTTTCTTTAACGATTAACGGTTTCAAGTTGAGATTTAATTCAAAATACTGAAGTAGAATCCCGAATTTACATTTATATATTCTTAACTTCTCGAACCAATCGAGGAGCAGCCTTTGGAAGACATTGCAAGGCTTCATTTCTTCTGAAAGCATATGGGAATATGCCAAGGACACTACTACTACGAATTAAGCATTAGAATAGATCTATCATCAGATCTTTCCGAGAGACAAAACAATCAAGGACACTAACAAGGATAACAAACAAATTAAAGCAGAAACCAAATACAGATTCAATCAAGGGTGGCTGCTGATAATGAATTATCAGAAAACTGACTAACATATTTCTATGCTACTAAGTGTATCAATCTCAGAAGAAAAAAAAACAAGTGCAGAACGAAGGAACAATACTTTATGGGTAAGCTGGAAGAACGAAGGAACAATACTTTATGGATAAGCTGGAAAAATACGAAGCGGTTAACGATATTCGACGATGACCTGTCTGTATTCAAAATATCAGATATATGCAACAAACACTCAGAAAATCCGTCGTGCCAGGACGGATTTTCTTTGCTCAAGAAGGCAACTACAAAACAAGCAAGAAAAATAAATTGCTCACCTGATGTTGACTGAACGAAATACACTTGACACGACTCGGGACAAAGATACATTACTACGAATTAAGAATAAGAATAGATATATCATAAGATCTTCCCAAGTGACTCGCCGGACTTACAACGATAACAAACAAATGAAATCAGGAAAGGAGAAACAAAATACTTTAACTTAGTCAAGGGTAGCTGCTCGTGGCTGCTAAAAAAACGCCTCGTCTATGCTACTAAGTATATTAATAGGGAAAATCTGAAGGAATTTATGAATCTAGAACATAACGATATCAACACTATCTAGTTTTAAAAAATATCCTTCGTGCCTGGATGGATTTCCTTAGCTAATCAAATCAACTAGAAAAAGGGGTTATAAAATACATAATTTGCTAAGCGGATGCAAACTGAACGATAACCGAAACATGGAATATATTGATGGGGGACATGAGACTACTCTCCGATAAATGGAACATTATAATATCGGAGAACCAGTTATTGGTACATATAGAACCGAAACTGATTGGATGCTCAACACTAAGATTAAGAGATTTCGATTGATAAGAAACTATCTTGTCTAAGATTCCCAAACATACATTTAAAACAATACTCCATTCTTGCATCTTAATCAGGATTCGAAAACTGACTGATCTACAATGCGAATACACAAATTACATCTAAAAAACAGGAATTTACATGAAAAAAAAAAACACATTTTCTGTCTTTTAGAAAATATATGTTAACAAGGAAATATACAAACTCGCAACATCTTATACATCGTTATGACATCTTTTGCTTGGAAATTTGTTGTAACTTTTGTATTTTGTAATGAATAAACGGCATTGTAATACAAAATTGTGGTAGTTTTTAAATATTTTTAATAAAAAAAAAGTAGACTGTAAAGGCACACAAAACTTAATATGGTTTCAGAGTAATACAAGTAATTGAGTTTTTAAGGTCACCTCAACATTTTAATACATTTGCAGGCTAATATATTTATTTAAATTAAAATATGGGGCCTTTATGCTCTCCATTCCACATATTTTGTCACTATAAATATTTTTTTGGCAGCCAAAATATAATCCTAATTCGCATCCATCCAGGCAAGTAAACAGATTTTAATTTTTACTAAACAACATACATATAATCACTTCTAATTCCACTCACTTCTCCATTGTTCACAGATTGTCCAGCAGATTGCAACTGATCGATCGATCGATCGATCGCTGGAAGCCGGCGGCCTTTGGAGCCTAAACTTATCTAGCCCCAAGAGATCGCCAGCCAACCTGTTCGGGCTCGAGGTTGGCTGTGCGATATCATCTCGGTTCGGTTCGGTACGGTTCGATGGACAACACAATGCGGCAGGGCACAATGCGGCAATTAGGGATAAAGATGACAGATATGGAGCGGGATGGATGCTGATCCGGGGACAAACAAGAAGCAAGTGTGGCACGGCCCGCGGCACAAACACAATTTGTGACAATTTTCCAACCGGATAATGACGAAACATTTTTTTAATCACAGAATGAAAAGCAACCACCAATGGCAGCGATAGCAGCAGGAGCAGGAGCAGCAGGATAACACGCAAATTTTCACACAATATGGCAAACATCTCCTTTCCTCTCCGGGTTCCGCCATTCGTCATCGCCCCTGGCCTTCAACCGGAAGTCAAGTGTGTCGAGTCGTGTCGCCCTCTGGTTCCCTCATAGTACTTGTTAATGCCTGCGGTCGGCAGATCTGGGGATCAGGAATCTGTAAACCGGATCCCACCCCCTTGGTGCCTGCCTGCCCTCCGGCACAGATTTAAATCGAAATTGAGAAATAATATGCGTTTCCAGAAACTTTCGGGTTCTGTTACAGTGTCGTCTCCTTCCACGAGGACAAGTATTAAATCTAAATATTTAAGTATTCAAAAAGTTTTATCAAAAATATTTAGGCCCCATATTCATTATTATATTCTTAATATTTCAGTCTATTTGGCAATTAAACATTTCCAAAGATCGCAAGTTAGCCCTGAGAAGTATGCTCCTTTTTATGGAGACTTTAAAATTTCATAGCATCCAGCCTGGACGAAGGCATAACTTAAAGCAAACTAGGGAGAGCAACAGCGGTGAGTTTCATATCATTCAGCCAGATGCATGCAAAATTTAAAGTTGTTACAACTTCTCCCCTTTCTCTTTCTCGTTCTCGTTCTCTTTTTCTTTGTTTTTGTTTTTATTTTCCAAGTTCTTCAGTTCTTTCCTTTTAATTGCAAAGTTGGAAAACGCTGAAAGCTTAATGCAATTAATAACTCATTAAATAAATACAAATCAAAGTGGACGCCGGCTCAAAAGGAAGAGAAAAATGTGAAGAGAGGGAAGGGGGATAAAGGATAACGCTGATCCTTTGTGTTCAAAGGATGCCTGCGTAAAATGTACCAATTAAAAATGCAATTGAGATCTCAATTGCGCTGCGCAAATGAACCGCATGAATGTGGAAATGCAGGCATTGCAAAAAAAAAAAAAAAGCAAAAGCGAAATGCGGACGAAAAACATGAATCTGAATCCAGACTCTATATCTATTATATTGTACATACCTATCTCCAAGTGGCTGCGGTGGGAAAGTGCGGGGCTTAGCTGCGTTTTATTCATTAAATTACGCTCACATTTCATAGACAATTTCATGGTAACGGTAACTCGTTTTCCATTTCCACTTCCCTTCCATTTTGCCATTTCTCTATGGCTCTCTTTAGCTGCCGTTATTTTGTTGGCTCTTGTTCAGCTTGTGCTTCTGCTTCTACTTCTGACTTCTGCCATTGCCTTTGCGTTTGTTTCCGGTGGCTCCCTTCAAGTATCTTTTTAATTAGCGTCCTGCTCTGCTCCGCACCACTCAAAAACTACTCCACACTGACTTGCTCACCCGCAACAGCCCCCATTTCACCATCTCCGTCTGTCTGCCACTGTCTCTGTCCTTCTCTGACTGCCGCAGCGCTCCACGTCTCTCTCTCGCCCTTGTTAACTCACTCACCACAGATTCAATTTGTGGTAAACATTTCTCCTCCTTTTTGTGTAGCGAGCTAAATGTGCATGAAAATGTAACTGTAACTACAGTCTAGCCTCTGCCATGATATATTTATCCTGTAGAGTGCAATGCTTAAAGAACATTTTAGTTTCTATATCTATTATGATAATATTTATAAAAATTTTAAAAATAAAACATTACATACTTTTTGGCCCTTGCCACTTTGCATGCTGTTTGCATTAGCGAATAAAGACTGTATATGGAGCACTGCCACAGCCTCTGTCGCGGCCTCTGCTGCATTGACGCACTGGTGCCATCCCGCTCTTGCACACTCCCCCGCTCATGCGCCGTCTGGGATCCTTTGGTCCGTTATAATTGCAGGCAGATTTGTTGCTTGTTTTCCGGTTGGCTGGCTCATGGTCCCCATTCCCCCTCCACAGTCTGTAGTCTCTTTCTCTCCCTCCTTACCCTTTCGACTCAAATAATATATACATATATACGTATATAGAGGGGCATATGATGCCCCTGTATGTCGGTGCATATGTCGCGGGGTATTTGCTATATAGCGACAAATTGATAACGTTTTGTGCGATTCGCTCAAGTTGATTTTCAAGCATTGGCTTACAGCTCACCGAATGCAGATGGGCGAGCGGCACTTAACTGTTCTGTTCCGTTATGTCCGTCCTTCTCGTATTCTCTTTTATGTGCATAGAAAGCCATTCCAAAAGAAAGAAGAGAAAGCGTCCAGTAGGATATGGAAGAACACCATGTTTTTGATGGATGAAAAGCCGAGAACTTATTTAAAATTAACCAATTCATAGTAACAACTGCTCAAATCGTGAAATTAAATACATATTTATTCTGGCGAAAAAAAAAACACGTTCATAGAGTGCGAAGAAAAAAAAGGTTCGATTGTTTTATGTATTTTACAGTTAATTTGACTAAGCCTAATTTATGATTATCGTTAAATACATGTTTTATAATAATAATATCGGGTACGCTTGGTAAATACTGCTGGCATTTGACAACGACATCGACATCTCATCGTCTTCGATCTCGATTATCATCGGTTGGTTATTATTGCACAAGAACTGTTTTTCCTATATATATTATGTATATTATGTACACAGAGGCAACTGTATGATTAACTGGAAGCTGGAGTGGTTCCGGGAGGTGGCAATGGGTAGGGCTTCTTCTTCCAGGCGCGACTCCTACATGGGACAGCCGTGGACATAGCCCACGTTCCGGAAAATGGCAGCCGCTGCGGCAGAAGTAAGAAAATTGCATGGATTCCCAGCGGCCGCTGCAGCAGCGGCAGCGGCACTGAAGGAGCTGCTCAAGCCGGTGGGACAGCAACCCAATCCGCCGGGACCACCGCCGCTGCCGCCATCCTGCACCACAAAGTCCTTCTCCAGAGTCGCCTGGTGACGCAACTGCTCGAGGCGCAGTTGATTCTGCCGCTTCCACTTGGTGCTGCAGATTGGAACAGGGTGAAAACGGATTAGTTATCGTAAGTGATCTTAAAGGTCTTTTTTTTGGACTTATCATTAATTATGTATATTCCTAATTCTGGATCCATAGTATCTACTCACCGGCGGTTCTGGTACCAGGTCTTCACCTGCGTCTCGGAAAGGTTGAGGGTCTCGGCCACATCGCTGCGATCGGCCACGCTGAGGTACTTCTGGCAGCGGAACTTGCGCTCCAAATAGGCCAGCTGGGCGTGTGTGAAGGCAGTGCGACGTCGACGGGGCTTGCGTCCGCTCTTGCTCAGCTGCAGCTTGTGTTCCGCGTAGCCACCAGTGCCGCCTCCCCCTGTGCCTCCTCCTGCTCCGCCCCCATTGGCTTCGCCGCCGGAGGCCGCCGCCGCAAGTAGACCCGCTGCCACACCCGCCGCCGCTGCCGCTGCACTCAGTCCGGAGGCCATGCCCACGGCCACGCCAGTATTAGCTCCGCCAGAGCCGGAACCCGATTCTGGCCGCGGTGTGGCCGAGCCGCAAGACTCTACGCTAGACTCGTCGTGGTGGGTGAATCGATGCCGGTGGTGGTGATGGTGTGCAAGCAGCAGCTCCTGCTGGCAACCGGGAGCCGTTGAGTCTGGCGTGGATCGGTCCTCGATGTCTATGTCCGAGTCATCATTGGAGAGCTCGAGCTCTGCATTCGAGAGGGTGAGATATTAATGATTAATAATGGATAAGTATAAAGTCATGATTGATTGATATAAAGAAATGAAGTCATTTTCACCCCCAAGGATGTACATTGACTCGAGCACCGAGCCCATCAATGCCTTCGATTGACCACTTGAATTGAGCAAAGGATGGAATGCTAGCATTGAAACACTGTTGCCTGCTTTCTGGCGCAGCGTGGCGTTAATGCTTCCGTCGGTCTTCGGGCAGCGCGTGCAGCCACTTCCGGTCGAGGAGGAGCCACCCCGGGAAACTCATTATCGCGCTCCCAGCCACAGACAACGAGCCGCGCCCTCAAGTAGGCGTTGGTCCATTAGGAAGACAGCGACTCGGATGGGCAGCAGCAGCAGCAATTTGCCGCAATCAACGTGTTATTTATATCCGCCGCACATATCCGGATCCGTTACAGGATCGAAATCGGAAACGGAGTCGGACTCTGCGGGCTGCCTGATTAAATTCACGTGTCGTCGAGCGCTCAATTGTTTCGCATAGGAATCTCTGCATGTATGTACACTGAAACTAATTCCAATTTTTTCGAAACTGAAAATAATGCTACCGACAAACCATTGGAAATAATTATAAAATTAAATAGTTTATCTTAATAATTTAAAACTATTCAAAAAAGTTCTTCTATTAATTTAACAAGTAAAAAATATATTGTTTATATAGTTTAAAAATGGTTATTAAGGTATTCTTTTTTAAACTCGAGCAAAAAATACTTTTATTAAATGAAAAACATTTTTTTAAGCCGCCAAATAATATTTAAAAATACTGGAAAATCAGGTGTTTCTAAATTTAACAAAAATGCTCAAGTCTTGATTTTTTTCCCTGTGGCACTTAACCTAACGTTCACATTAATGCGATCCGGAGAGCAACCCCCTTTGGGAACTCATCTTCGATTCTTCAGCGCCTTTCTGACTTGAGCGAACGCCGCAGGCGCTCACGTGTGTCCGCTCAGCAAGGATTCCTTTTCTTTATTTTTTTTACCAACCGGAAATTATTTTTATATTTGTATATTTTAACCCCAAATGGGTTTTGACTTCTGATTCTATTTATACCGACTTAGAGACAGGACGAAAGCAGAAGGGGTCCTGTCATATGGGATATATGTGCAAGCGAAAGGTTATTCAATTATGCATATGTGTGCGGATGTCCTGGGGAGCGTCTCGAGTGAGTTCTTTCTTTTTCCTTGAAAAGTCACGTCGTATCAATTTGCGGCACAATTGCCATTTAATAGGCACTTGAACTGTGAGACACACATATAAAAAAAAAACACCCAGAACGCAGAAGGATAAGGATGATGTCCTTGCATGTGCCGACAATTTAGACCTCTTTAAGAATGACGTATTTTTGTCTCAATTAGGGAACAAATCAAATCCAATTGAAGGGTTCAATTAGAGAAAAGATAAACCCTTAAAGATAAGGATTCCTTAATACCTTGAAACTAGAAATGTGAGATAGAAATCTTTCTTTATTCCTATTTCCTTGGGGGGAAAACGCTAAAGGTCTAGGCTCACACAGAGACAACTCCCGCAAAAGTTTCACTTTCTCCATCTAACTGGTGGCGACAATTAGCTTCTAAATAGTTGTAATTGTTGAGTTAAACTTTATTTAATGTCATGCATAATTAGAAGACAGCCACACATGGGCCAAAAACCAAACAAAGCCAAAGCACCTGAGGCCGTACACTGAAACAATTTTTATTTCAAAATGCTTTAAAGAAAATACATCAGATATACATATATAGATATTTATTTTATTGTTAAATTGTATTTTTAATAATTTGTGAGCTTATAAAAGTAGTAATTCGTTAAGGAGAGAATTTATAATAAACATATAATTTTAGTCGTACGAGAACTCTAAGTAACATCCTAAATATTATGCATTTTCCTTCTTGATATGCATTATTTTACGTGTATTTGTCATTGCAGAGTTTTCATTCATGGGCTCTCTCATAATTCCACCTCCTTTCCCTCCTGTCCTTTCCCTTTCTGTTTTGTTGTGTCCCCCCTTTGGCCAAAAACAATTAAAGTGTTCGTACGTGACAAATTGCTCAAGCGCAGGTTACGAATCAAGCAGTGCCGGCCACACCGAAAACAAAATAAATAAATGATAATAAATAATTCGTAACTATAAATAAATACAACAAGTAAAATAACTTTAAAATTATGAATTCACTTGCCTTTTAAAATAATTTAAGTTTACATGGATCCATTTATTGGGGCTAGTTTCTAATAGTATCTTACTAGTTTGGTTTTTTCGGTGTATGCAGTGCAAGCAGTGCACAATTAAATAACGGCCCCTAAGCGCCCGTTTTTGTTGTTTCAACTCATTCATTCCCACCCACTCTCTTTCTCTTTTTCTTTTCCCCTGCCTGTCGCAGCCACTGGGAGAAGGCTCTCCCTCGCTCCGCTAAAAGTTTCGTTTGCGATAATTGAGCGAGGTGTGAGATTTAAATGCCACAGGACAAAAACAGAGAGGGAGGGAGAATCGAAGGAGGTGGGCGAGAGAGAGCGAACATGGCAATTGTCAGCGAACATCAAAGGAGGAAAGGGAAGAACAAAGAGCAGGCTAATTGGCCAACAAAGGCGTTTAGTATATATACATACGTGGTTATTATTATGTGAACTGAACTCCTTGAGTTGGAAACGTAATGCAATGCTTGTGCTTATTTTTTAATAAATTATAAAATAAAACCAAATGTAAACTTCACCATTACTTTAGAATAGTTTTAGCGAAAATTAATATATCAAAAATGTAATAACTGTTGATTTTTATACCCTTGAAGGTTATTTTAGTTTTAGTTGAAAGCTTGTTACGCAGTGAAGGAGTCATTTCCGACCGTATAAATCATATATATTCTTGATCAACAGCTGAATTTTTTTTTAGCCATTTCCAAAGGACATTATTTTTTTTCAATTCTTTCAAAATTTGTTAAGGGGTTACATTGTTAAAATTGTCAAAAATTTACAAAAAGTTTTAATTCTTGAGTTTTAAAATGTAGTATGCAGATTTATTAACTTCATAAACACTAACAATCAAAATTAATGCATTTTTAGCTCTGTTATGTTTTATATTTTGTCTCCTGCTTCTGCTTCACAAACTTAGCTTCCTTGATTTTTATAGATGTTAAAATGTTGCTTTTATGTTTATTTATTTTTATAAATGGAATAATGTAGAAGTATAGTTAACTCACCAGAGTCTGTTTGTCGTCGCGTGATCAAATCCCCCAAAAGATCTCGTATTAAAAATGATTTTGAACTCTGCATGATGGACTGGCTATTTTTATTTCGTTTCCGCTTAGTAGAGGTGATTGATATTTTTGGTTATTTGTGGGAATTGCTTTAGGCCGCCTGCCTAATTTTGATCATGGTTACACTTGTCACTCCTTTTAACATTAACAAAAATCGTTTGGTTTGGTTTGTTTTTATTTAATTATTATTTTTCCTTTTGGTCAAATAATGTTATGTTATTTTTGCCCGCCGGCGGTGGTTCTGCGATCCCAGGATTCTACAAGTAATCGAGTTTTCCGGGACGTGGCAGCGGAGGCCGAAGTAATTGAAACTGTTACTGTAACTGTAACTGAACCGCTAAGCGCCGAGTCAAATGAACAACTGAAATGCGAAACGCCGAACGTTTATTAATCCTTTTAGCGAACATCGCCAGGACCCACACACACCCCCGCAAGCACGCATACACGCATACACAGTCAGAGAGGCAAGTGAATTACGCGGATTTGTTGCTGTAAACGGGACAGTTTAGCGCTCAGGCCGGCGTCGACGGCGGCGTTGGCAGAGTCAAAAAAAAAAAAAAAAAAATAAGGCTAGAAAAAAGGAAACTTTCGCAATGGCCGCTGCCATTTAACCGTTATTTAATCAGTCGACTCACAGACTGCGCTCACACATGCCGTCCCTCTTGCTCGCAAACTTCCGTCATCCCGTTAGCCATTTTGTTAAGCAGAGCTCGACTCTCCCCCGCTCTGTCTTTCTCTCTTTGCAGGATTTCCCTGCTTGCCATTGGCTATTACTTTCGTTTAACCCAACCAACCCCGAATTTTTGATTTGCGCAGGAAAAGCAACCCTCCTGGCGAGGCTTTCGTCGCCGTTACCAGCGTCCAGTTTGCGTGGCATTAAAAGCCGTGACAGTCGCGTGCCCAAAGAGCTCTGGCTCGGATCGGAGGTGCAAGCAGTGCAAGGTGGAGGTGTGCAGTTGCAGGTGCCGTTAGGAGATGCTGCTTTACCGTCGGTAAGCCGGAAAAGCCCGCAGTTTATTGATAAAATCTAGGAAAACAACTCAAAATATTATTTATATTCCAAACAACATTTATCAAAGGTCCATGCACTGTTTAATTTGATGTTCTCAGCTTACATTCCAAATTAAATTTGATGAAATCACTTGATTCTTAGGCCTTAAGAGAGTGGACATACACGTACGATGTAAAATTTAAAATAGACTTTCGATAATATAAAGTCCGTTTTTGGGATATGCGCCAGAATTTCAACTTCAACTAATAACTATTCTTAAGGCATTACAACGGCATCCTGTGGTGCCCACAGATGCGCAGTGGGAATGCACGAGAATGCAGGGGGAAACAGGAGCAGAGGAGCCTCATTTCGGATCATCCTGCTCGTTCCTTTGAGACTGATCGATTGAATCGAGGGCAGCGATGGCCGCGCCCACCAGATGGAAGGAGCCGGTGACCAGGACGTCCAACTCACCGGAGGTATCTGTTAGCGGATACTTCTCGCGAATCGCTATAAAGGTATCGACTAGGTGAGGGAATGCTTGGCTATTAAGCGGTGTATTCTCTGCGCGACACAGGTCATTCCAGTCATTGGCAATGGATTGCGATCGGCCCAGCTGCCTTTCCTCGCTAACGGATAGAAACACCTGGCTGGCATAGATTGGCTTCGATGCGGACAAATTGGGCGAGAAGCAGGCCATGTCGAAGGGATATGTGCGATGAAGGACCTTCAGCAAGGGCCGGATATCCGTTTGCCCCTTGCGGTTAAAGATCAGGATCTTGGGATTCGGACTGCAGGAGAAATCAGGAGAGACTTTGCAAGGCTTGAAAAAAGAAAGGTAATCTCTTTCTCACCTGTCTTTCACGTTCTTATGGAACCACTCTGCGCACACCTCTATGCTCTCCAGCGTATGGGCTCCGTCAAAGAAGAGACGCATCCCCCGCCATTCCACCTTCTGACATCGACCCGGCCAGTGAGATTTGACCAGGCCATCCAGAAGCTGTTGATCCATCATTATCTCGTTGGCGTTGTGCTCCCTTCCCTTTGCCCGCACCAGATAATCCATGGCCAGCTGGACGGCCAGAGAACCATTCAGCTTAATCACAGCGCTGAGATCTTCATAGGGCTGAGCGGCGGTCGCTTCCGATTTGAAGTATTCCTCGGTGGGTGGCACCTGAAAGATGGTATCGATGCCATTGTCCTTCGCCCGCTGACGTATCACCTCCAGGCACTCCGGCTGCGTGACATGCGTGAACACATGCGATCCTGGCTTAATGATGCCAGCCTTCTGCCAGGCAATCTCCTCGAGGGTAATGCCCAGCAGATCCGTATGCTCTAAAGCCAGCGAAGTGATTCCCACGGTGCCCACGTTCCGTACGATATTGGTGCAATCCGATTCGCCACCGATGCCCACCTCAAGCACGGCCACGTCCACTTTCTCCTCCACGAAAACGTGAAAGCCCAGTATGGTGACGAACTTGAAGTAGGCGGGCATGTCGTGATCATGCTCCCGCAACTCCCACAGGCGATTGTACACCTTCCAGAAGTGCTCCGTGAACTTGGCCTTGTCCAGGGGCTGGCCATTGATGCGGATGCGTTCGTTGGTGGCCAAAATGTGCGGCGAGGAGTAGAAACCCGTTTTGAGGCCCTGGTGGCGCAGCAGGGACTCTGTGAGGGCGCAGGTGGAGCCCTAAAAAAACACAAGAGAAATTAAAAATTAAAAAAAAAATTTTATAATGAAAGCAAATGGCTTTTAAATATAATTTACGGCTCTATCTCTCTGGTATTATTTTATTTTGTGATTATATTTAGATCTGGAGAGACCTTGTTTTTGCTGTCTAATTATATGTAGGCTGCAAGGTCACCCCTCCCCCCATTATCTGCGGACAACCTGTTTATCTGCTTATAATGGAGTTATCTACGGAACGTGCTCCACAAATAGTATAGCCGGCAAATCAAAATAAGCCAAGTATTGAATGTACCTATAAGCCAAAGCTCAATTTACGGCACAACGAACTTCGAAACGAGAAAGAACCGGAAAGTAAACAGTCAGGCAGTGTCTAGACTAGAAGGTACCCTGGTGATACAGAAATTATAATGGTATAAGGAATATATTATTTAAATTGGGGAATTTTTTACTAAGGTTTTATAAATATAACTTGGTTATGTGAGAAAAAAAAAAGGTGGTTAGTCATGATATAATTCATTTTTTTATATATAATATATATAAATTTATATATTTTTTGAGATATTTCTTGAATAAAATGTTATTTAAATTCAACTAACCTTATTTTAAGTGTCAAACTGGCTAAGAACCTTGTCAAATATACCCTTAACTCTGCTGGGTATCAATGACCAAAACAGATCCATCAATAAACAAAATACCAATTCGAAAAAAAGCTAAACAAATCTTATCAGCCAGCGAGCTAGCGATTATCGGCCTTGCCAGAGCCGAGAGCCGGTGGAGAGCAGTGACTCTGGGTGACTCTATATATATGTATGTGTGTGTGAGGCAGGTGAGAGAGCTAACGCTCAAGCTCAAGTTTGGAGCTGGAAACCACCTAAAGACCTGCTACAGATAACTGGTTACAAGATAGAAAAGAGCTCATATGCTGACCTTGCCCTTGGTGCCGGCAACATGGATGTAGGACAGCTTCTCCACGGTCTCCAGCGCCAGGCCGCTCCTCTCCAGATACTTCACCGTGAACTTCCTGGCGTCCCTCCGGGAAATTACCGAATCCCTGATGGTGTCCTCGTTGGATTGCAGGAAGTTAAGCTGAGCGATGGCTGCCTGCAAATCGAAATCGAAATCATATTAATTTCTCACGATTATTTTCCCGAAGCTCTCCACAGAGACTCACCTCGAAGGCCTCGTTCACAGCCTTGTTGGTCTCGTCGCTTATTAGCAGGTGATTCAGCTGCTCGACGGCTTCCTACGAAATACCAAGCAAAATAATATAATATTTTAACGTTTTAAATCTATTTTTTTTTTAACTTTGAAATAACCCCTTATAAAATGTTGAAAAAAATTGTGAAATATTTTTGATGATTTTTAGGAAAAATCCAAATTTAAAATGTCTATAACTCAGCCAAAAATTCATTAAATTTAATTCGGAAAGCGGATTCGTCTTAGTTTCTATAAGGTTAATAAATTTGCATACTGAATTGTAGAATTTTTTAATTTAGTTTTTTGCCAATTTTTGAACATTTTTAACAATGTAACCCCTTTTTAAATTTTGAATAAAGTTTCCGGACATGGGTAAATAGACTCAGCTGGTCAAGAATATATATGATTTATGGGGTCGGAAAAGATCATGTTTGGATATATATCGCTCATGTTTGGATATATAGTAAGATCTTATAAATTTTCATAAGAATTTTTTAAATTCTTTGCTTTTAAATATTTAAAAACTTTTTGAGATGCAAATCGAAATATGTACATACATACATTTTAATAGCTTTAAAAAACAATAAATTTATTTTTTTTAGTTATTCCCTTGCCTGGCTACTAGCAATCTAAACCTAAATAAAATCCTAATTACAAGCTAAAAACTAATGTATAAGCACTTGCCTTAGAATATCCATCATGCTGTTCATCGGAGGATATGTAAATGGAAATATTTTAAGAAAATCGTATTAAACTTATATCGGATATGTCGAACATACATATGTATATCTGGAGAACAAGTTGTGGGACTCACCTCGAAGGCAGCATTGCAATCCTTGTCGCATTTCTTGGTCTCTATGACACCTATATCATGGACGTTCCTCTGCAAATCGGGATTGAACACCAGCTCGGCCAGGGTGTAGTTGGGCGGGCTCGAGTGCTGCTCCCTGGCGGCCCGCAGACGTGCCTCCCTCATGCTCTGGCGGTTGCTCACTGGGCTCCGACTGCTGCTGCTCAGTGCGCTGAGGGTGCTCGAACGGCTAACGGGCAGCAGTCTGGGCACACAGACACGGCACAGCTGGCGATTCGCCATATTTATAGAGCGTTTCTCGGCTGGCGCTCTCGGGTCGTCTGGTCGCGACTCTCGGCTGGCGGGGACAGTGGTATCTTCGGGGCGAAACGAAGCCAAAAAGCTGGTAAATACAAACTCTAATTAGGTATTGAATTAGTTAGGCGGCGGTGCTAGTAAGGTGCGCGTTAATTAGCTTATAGTTAAATATTTCGCAAATGCGTTCAAATATTGCGCCAGATAACGGATAGCGAAATGCTTGTCGATTGCGATAACTGGATAAGCACGATAACGATAATCGAGGGCATATGCGACAACCCTGCACACACACGCACATGCATTACATGCAACGACAGGGCCGGTGCTGTGTACTTGCAATAAACAAAACAAAACAACAAACTGCACTTGCGGCCGAGAATGTAGCCACTCACTGTATTGCCACGCTATTGATTTATGCTCTTTGGCCACTTTTCAGTTGTCGTCCCTGTTGAAAATTGAGGAATATTGGGCATTATTTGTTTGGCAATGAACTAACGTAATCTCACGCACACACGCACGACCCAACATAAAACATGTGGACGGCGAAAACAGATGTTAGGGCTTCAGCGGCGACAGATTGGCGAATTTCAAGCCAAATTGCTGGCGATTTTGCGGGATTTGCTGCGAATGGAAAATAACTGTTTTTCCAAACTTTAACTTGAATTTAGAAATGTCCGGGCATCATTTAAATATTTTGATTGGCTAGCACCCGCTTACTAAGGTCGGGACACTCGCAGGCAAATGCTTAAATATGTATTTATATTTTAATGCGTTTATTTAACTATTTCCTATGTTAGTCATCACTGGCGCAGGGTAAACAATGCAAAGAAGCGCACCTCTAGCAGTCAGCACGCGGACTGATATTGTTTTGAAAGCTGTAATTGGAGTTTGGATCCCCAAACAATGACAGAGACCAGCAGTAATGGCAGCTTTAGCCCCCGCCTGGGCATGTGCGAGGTGTGTGCCGCCAAGGAGGCGCGCTACGCCTGCCCCAAGTGCGAGGTAAAGACCTGCAGCCTGGCCTGCGTCCAGATCCACAAAAAGGAGCTGGCCTGCGATGGCCAGCGGGACCGCACCAAGTTTGTGCCCCTCAGCCAGATGACGGCCCGCGAGTTCATGAGCGACTACTGCTTCCTGGAGGAGGCCACACGGTACGCGGAAGCCCGCCAGTCCGATCGCAGCAAGCGCTTCACCCACGACAACAGCAACAACAGGAGCCTCCCAGTGCCGCAGCACCGACTGCGAACGGCGGCGCACTCGCGCAGTATACGACTCCAGCTGCTGCTACCGAACTTTAGCAGGCACAAGGAGAACACGACTTATCTGGACTGGAAGCTGAGACGACTCTTCTGGCGCGTGGAGTGGCTGTTTGTAAACATTCCGCTGGAGGAGGACGACGACGGCCAGGCCCAGCCAGTGGCTCGCTTCGTGGATGCCCGTTGCGACGAGAATGAAACTCTGGCGAATCTAGCCCTTAAGTATGTGGATCTGCAGCAGGAGACGGCGCTGAGGCATCGCAAGCGTTTGGCCCACCACCAAACGGCGGGCATTGGCCAGCTGAACTTTTGGCTGCGTGCCGAAGGCGTTCCCCGTAGCGCCACATGTTGCTATGCCCTGGAAGCGGCAAAGCCTTTGGGCAAGAATCTAGCCGGCAAGACCATCGTCGAGTTTCCCACCATCTATGTTACCTACCATCCAAAGCCGCCCTTGGGGCTCGAGGCCATCGAAAGCGGTACGGCTTAAGCTTTAATTTAATTTTTAATAATTTCTTTAATAGGTATATTTTTAACATATTTTTAAAGAACTGGATGAAGAGATATCGTCTGCCTGCCCGCCAGCAGCCAAAAAAGCCAAGGAAGAGCAGGAAGAGGACAACCATGACAAGAGCAATAACAGAAGCCTCTTGGAGCCGCAGGTGGCGTCCACATGTGTAGATGGTACTGCTTAATCTTGAATATTTGTTTTTCTGTGTAATTTTCTTTAAATTTCAATTTCAATTTTAGATAGAGAACTGGAGGAAGATTCATCCGCGTCAGAGGAAGAGGCCGAGATTGATATATTTCGCGGAATTGCCACATCCTTTCCTAGCGAGGATGAGAGCGAAGAGGAAGACGAAGATAATAACTTGGCTTTCGAGGGAAGTTACACAGAACAAGGCGATGCGGAGCCCTCAGAGAGGAAATCAGGAACATAGCAGGACAGGACTAGGAGTAATGGGGAATTTCCCAACTGTCCACAATGTCATCCGATAACTACATATAACTATATAAAAAAGAATTACCTTATCCCCCCTCCCCCCTTAATTAAAATTAAAGAAAACACAAATTGTATATTAGTTTTTACATAAATCTTGTATATTTCCTCATACGCATTTGATTTAGTTTATTTTTTGTAATTATTTTAGGCTAATTAAACGTTAAGAATTCAAACCACGCTTTCGACTTGGCTTCGATCTAGGTTCCATCATCATATTATGTTTGTGTATATATTTTGTTTTGTTTTGGAAAAAAAACCAATTTTACACAGAGTTCTCGGTTATTCTGCATCTATAGTTTAATTTCGAATAAACAAATTTAGCATTTTTCATTTGTACATAATACATATATGTGGGTGTGGGTGTGTGTGCCAGTATACAATATATATTCCTAAATTATTTTACTTTCATTTCGTTCGCATTTCGCTTTTTTCGGGTTTGCCTGCACCAGTTTTTTTGTTGTTATTAAAATATAATTTAAAGCATATTGTATATATATAAACAAACAAACAAGTTTCTAACAAATCAACATTTTCAAAATGCATTTCAAGGTTAAATTATAGTTAAAAAAAAAAAAAAAACAAAGAAATGAAAATAAAGGGAAAAATAAAATCTGAAATACCGTTGAAATTTCTCTACAAAAAAAACACATATTTATAATTATAGATATATGTAAATGGAATCATTTTTGCATCAATCGTAAGGAAGGGAGGCACACAGAGAGAGGAGGAGAATACATCGAGATTGGGACAACTCCTTAAGCCAATTTTCGGTTTCCGTTTTTGCAGATATTTAATTATATATATATTAATTATAATATAATTAACGTATGTATTTATATGTCCGCTTTTGCTGCCCTCCTTACATAGTTCACATATAATCTGCTTAACACACAAAAAATATAATCATAAAACTATGCAACATACAAAAGAAACATGTATATAATATATAAACAGAAGTGAGGGGGGTAATATCAATTTGGGGGGGTTTATGGGATGCTGGGGATGGGATTTATATAGTTTACATAGAGAAATTTACATATATATTTAGCTAATGGTACATAAATCGCTTTCTTTCTTCGTTTCTCTTTCAATTCATTCACTAAACACATTAAGACGCACGCACACACACACGTGACACAATTTGTTAAAAGATTTTAATAGTTTTTTAAATTTATTTCAATTAATTTAGTAGACACCAACGCACATACATAAAGAAAAGAGAGAGAGAGAGGGAGAAGGTGAAAGAAAGACAGACACAGACAGAGCTTTAAATGAGTTCCTGAAAAAACTCGGTTGGTGCTGGGATGGGTTTTTCCTCGTTCTCGTTATGATTATTTGCTGTGTCTTTGGATGAGTGTGTTTGAGTGTGTGTATGCGTGCACCAGGTGAAAACATTTATTACGTAGCTCGAGGTGATCATCATCTCCTGCAATGTAAACAGAGAAAGCAAGCATTAAGAACAGACTTTACATCTCCATGTAAATATATTCCTAGAGCGTATCCCTATCCCTGCCTTCTTAGCTAACTCACTTTTCGTTGGCATTTGTTTAAAGGCAGCTCTCTCTCTCGCTCTCTTCCTGCTTCCGATCGGTTTCCATCTCTTCCTGTGCTTGCTGCTGCTTCTACTGTTGCTGCTGCCCGGGCACCGCTCCTGGCACAAAGTAACCCCCCTGAGGCACTGCCGCCGGCGCCATTATTGGAGCTAGGACATTGTCGGGTGTGGCTGACATGGGTGCACCCGAGGGATTAAACACATCCACATAGGAGTTCTTCAAAGCTGCAAATAGAGGTGAGTTATTTATGAACCCTACAGAAATTCCGGGATTCCCACTTACTGCGATTGCGTTGCATCTTGAACATGTTTGATTGCAGCTTGGGCTGGGGTCCGATGGGTTGTCCAGCTGCCAACGGAGCTGCAGCTGCTGCTGCTGGTGAGGAGGCAGGTAATGGCATCGTGGGTATCATTTCGGGCGCTGGAGCAGCCGTATAGTCAATGGGGCTGCCGTACATCATCTGCTGCGGTTGCGGTTGCTGCTGCTGTTGTTGTTGTTGCTGTTGTTGTTTTTGTGACTGATCCTGGTCGGCCTGATGATGATTGCTAAAGATGGGAGGATTGCCGCCTGTCATTCCCGGCATACTACTACTGGCCACACCCAAATCGCTCATCTTGGGCGGCGGCTTAAAGCTCTCCGCCTCATCGACACTGCCCTCGGTATTTGTCCAGCACTTGCGCTCCTTGTCCCACACAATGGTTGGGTTCTTGTCGTCCGGCAGGATCATTTGGTTCTTGGGCTTCAGCGAGAGCTTGTTCCAGAGGCCGCCAAACCAGCCAGCGTTTTGATTGCCAGGTGGGGCGCTATATCGAAAGAAGTAGTTAATGTTTTCCTCTCATGGATCACCTGATTCCGGGTATAGTTACTCACCCAAGATCACCGCCAGAACTGGCCTGTTTGTCGTGCCCCGCCTGCTGCTGCTGTTTGCCAGCCCCATCGATGGTGCTTCCTCCTCTAAGTGAGGGCTTCTGGCTGCCATTATCCTCATCATCGTAGCTCTTTGACTTGGGCATGGAGATGGCCGGACGACCCTGTGCCGGCGGCTGTTGGAGCTGTTGTTGTTGTCAAAATGGCATTGTATTAGTCTTGGGCGTTGGCAAATCGTTTCGGGTTTAGGCATAAGTCAAGGTTAGTAACAGAGAGAACAGAGTGAGTGGGTTAGGCGTAAGTAAAACCCAACGAACGAACGAACGTAGGAACAACAAATGAACTGGCGCAGTCAAAAGGAACTCTTCGCGGGATTACAGCTAACAGAGATTGCTTGAAAGGGCCTTAAGACTAGTGTTTATGAGCTAACAGGTAAAGGATCAGCCAGGTGGTCCCACTTGCACTTGCTCCACCTCATCTCAACTTTACAATTTCTTCTTAGATCTAAGAGCCAAGCCAGCGTCTGCAATGGTGGTGTTGGTGTTGGTGGTGCTGCTCCTGCTGCTGCTGGTGGGTGCATCAATATCGTAGGTGCGCACCTCCCTCTTCTTGCTCTGCTTGCTGTCCAGATAGCTCTCGAACCTGCTCAGGCTCTGCTCCACCTCGGTGCACATTTTCTTGTAGTTTAGCGGTATGCCGGGATTGGCTATCAGCTCCTCCATGGACCACACATGCTGGGGTTGAGCCGCCTCTTTGCTGGGAATAATCCCATACTTGTTGAGCAGGCTATGCGTGTAGTAGTCGTCGTAGCTCTCATCATCCTCACCATGGCCATAGGGGAATAGCTCCTCGTCCAAGTCGTCCTCCTCCTCCGGATCCTCCTCCTCATCGTCCTCTCCTATGGCCTGCTCCTCCCCCTCGGCATCCTCGTCTATCACAAAGTCGTGCAGCATGTAGCCACGATAACGCTGCAGGTCACTGCGATCAGCATTGGCCTCGGGATCATAGGAGCTGCTGCTCTTCAGCTGACTTTGGCCTTGGCCCAGCGGCATATCAATAGGATAGGTGCCGTTGAAGACAATGTGGGGTTTACGGGCACCACCAAAATTCAGGCAAGGCTTGGCCTGGGTCAAGGCCAAAAGGCTACTCTTCGGCTCCTCATCCTCCTCCTCGAGATGCTGATGCTGCTTGTCCTGGTTCTGATCCTGATCAAACTCTTGATCCGATTCAGCTATGGTTGTGGGCAGCTTAAAGTTGACACGCTTGGAGGTTGATGATCCTGTTCTTGTTGATGATGTCGAGGTGGTTGTGGTGGCTGTGGAGGTGGCTGCCTTGGCGTTTATAAAACGCGTGGGCGTGGTTAGCGTTGTGGGCGTGGCTAAGTAAGGACTACATTGGCGGTTAGGCTTTCTACAACTTGGCATTTGATTAGGAATAAATGCTGAGGCTGAGGCTGTTGCTGCTGATGCTGCTGTTGCTGCTTCTGTTGAGTTGCTGCTGCTGCTTTTGCTGGTAGCTTGATGTCTTTTATTTATGTTGGAAAAGCTACTTACATCATTCAAATTGAATGCCTTTGCGGAGGATGATGTTGCTGGCGTGATTTGTGCAATTGCTGCTGCTGCCGCTGCTATTGAAGTTGTCACCGCTCCTGATGCTGGCTTCTTACGCAATGCATTAGCACTGATCTTCTCCTGCTTCAAGGCATTCGACTTGAAGCGATTGCTGCCATTGCTGCGCATGTGGTGCTCCAGTTGCTGCTGCTGCTTCTGATGCTGCTGCTCCATCTTCTGCTTGGCCAGCAGCTGTTGCTGTTGCTGCTGCTCATCCTCCTCCTCGGTCAATGATCCTTGATTCTCAATTGGCTGCATTCCATTTGGGATTACAGGACATGGTTGATTGATTTATTGTGACAAGAAACTTGGTTAGCCAGGCTTAAACAGGATACACAGACAACTCAAAGTAAAGAGAGATAGACTTCTCACAGCAAACAGCACACGAAGATTACACAGAACAAAAAACAAATCAAGAAAAGCTAAAAGGTAATACCCTGCTTACAAAATAATAAGACTTTTCAGTGGGGGGGAAAGTCGGGAAAGTCAGGAAAAGCTAAAAACCATAGGAAGAGGCTGAAACTAAAGCTAAAAACTTAACTCAAACCTACCTCATCGCCATACGGTGGCTGCTGTGTGCCTGACCAATAATCAAAGCCGTAGGCAGGAGCAGCTGCAGCTGCCGCCTCTGGTGCGGCCTGTCCCTGGTAGGCCTCAGTGGCCGTGTCCACTTGGCCATAACTGGAGGTCAGCAAGTGCTGGTCGTATGGCTGCTGGGCAGCCGCATGGGGATCGTAGTAAAGCGGAGGTGCCGCTGCCTGCTCCTGGGGATAGGCTTCTGTCTCCGTTTGGGTTTGAGGTGGGGCTGGCTCATAGTATTGCTGCGGCTGCTGCTGCTGCTGTTCTGTCAAGAGCTGTGACTCTGCAGACGGCGTGGGCTGTTGCCCGGCATTGTCATTGCGGTATTGCATATTCAGTTCGCTGAACTGCTTGTTTACCTCTGCAAATTGCTGATAAATTTCAGCCTGCTGCTGCTGTTGCTCTTGCTGCTCCTGCAGCTCCTGCTGCTGCTGCTGTAGGTGCTCCTGTTGAGGCTGCTGCAAGGTAGCATTCCTTTAGCTGTTTTTTGAAACAAAAATTAAATAATTCATTTAATAACTCACCACCTCGGCCAGAGAGCGCAGCTGGCGTAGCCAGGCCTTCTCTTCCGGAGCGGCCGAATCCTTACTGCTGGCATTCGGAGGACTTGCAAAGGACACCCGGTTGATCAGTATGGGATCGTGATACCTTAGACGTTCTGCCAGGCCACAGACCTACCAGTAAACAAGCATTTTCAATATATAAAACCCTTTTTTCTCTACACATTTTCACTTACCCTCTGAATAAAGTCACTGTCATAGCTCTCCGGCTTGAGCTCAATGTGCCGCGCTATCTGCTCCAGATAGTTGGTGCAGCGGAAGTGCTGGCCGTAGTCCAGGATGCGCGTGGCCAGCAGGAACTTGTAGTGCTGGAACTGGGCAATGCTGAACTTGGGATCGAACAGGGAGCGGGCGTACTCGTAGATCTCCGTCATAATAATGGCCTCGTTGCTGGCGAACTCGTTGAAGGGCTTGTAGTGCGAGGCTCCCAGCAGGATCAGGCGTGGCACGTTGGCCGTCAGCGTGGTTAGTTCCGTGGCAGAGCTATCGTATCGACCAAACTCCTCCTGGGCCACCAGATAGCAAAAGTGAGCCGCATAGATGTCGCCGCGCTGGAAAAGCGTATCGCCGAGAGCCACTACCGAGCTGCGATCGTACTCCGGCTGGCGGCTCTTGTTTGTGACCAAAATGGAGAGATGAGAACGCCAATCGCCCCACTGCTCGTCCCTCAGCTGGCTGACGCAGGCCGGCGTGCGACAGCTCTTCATCTGGTAGAGCGTCTGCAGCGGATCGTTGGCCTTGATGGCGCGATTGAGGAACTTCTGGGCCACATCAGTCAAGGCATAGCGATCCTCGTAGAGGGCCAGGAAAAAGGCATGCGTCCACAGGCCATTGTCGGTGGCCCATTGGAGGGCCTCCTCTACATTGCCGCGGAGGACATAGCTGCGGAACTTGTCCGTGGCCGCCTGTTCCGACAGTGGGGACGCTGCTTCACCCGTTGCATTAGCATTGGCACCTACTGTTACTGTGGGCTCGGGCAAAGCACCAGCTCCACCCGTCTCACTGTCCGCCTCTGAGTCGTCCAGTGGCTTCTCCGCCTGAACCAGAGTCTCGCCCTCCTGCTGCTGCTGTTCATCCGCATCTGGCTCAGCCTCCACCTCGTATTCGTTTGGGTCGTAGGGATACTCCTGCTGGTTGTCCAGCAACAGATCACCCACATCCGTGTCGGCAATGTACTGGAAAAAGGGGGAAACATTAGAGTTGCCGGGGAACGCCCTCTTTCAGGGTCTACTCACCCCATTCTGGCGCAGCAGCAGAATGAGCAGGTGCCACATGAGGGCGTGGGAGGCGCGATACTTGTTCACGCTTCCTTGAGGCTTCTTCTGCGTGGCATACAGCACCGTGCAGCCACGGGTGGGTCCCAGGCGTATCTGCTCCTTGCAGAAGCTAATGATCTTATCCTTGTGCAGCTTGCGGCCCTGCAATGGGCCTGGATACATGCGTAGCAGGCTGCTCGTGCCGTCGCGAATGCGAAGCGGCGCCACCTCCACATCGTTGCGCAATCTTCCACGGCCGGCATACTTGGGCTTCACCTTTAGGAGCATGCTCATCGCATACGAGGCCACCAGATGCGGCCGGTTGAACAGAAGGGGAGTGCGCCGCCTAGGCGGACGAGCCACCACAGCGGTGGTGGTCACGCCTCCATATGTGGTCGTTGGTGCTGCTCCTGCTGATTCGCCAGGAGTGGCAGCAGCTCTGTGATTGCGGGAAAATAAAACATTGATTAATGATTTTTTGGATTTTTTTAAATAGAAAAGGGAATTTATATAAAATGTAGAAAAGGGTAAATAATACAATTTATCATGCAAAATCGAAAAAAGTGGGGGTGGGAGAAGGAATTGGGGTAGCTCAGGACGTCTGGTGTTCGGGAGATCGGGGGAGTTTGGTAGTTCAAGAGATCAAGAGTCCAAGATCCAGGGAAAATTTGAAAGTCCGGGGAGAGAAGAACCCATCAGAGATCGGCGAAAGACAGTTTCAACAGTTCCTCCTTCGGCTGCATGCGACTCTGAACTCCACGTTTGGTTAGAGGTCAAAAATAAATAAATAATCAAGAGTAAAGCTTACAAGTTTTATGTAATTTTTAAAATTGGTATCCATATTTGATATTTTTTAAATTACTTAAAACTTTTCCTGTTTTCAACAAAAACTTTTTAGCTTTGTGAACCCGTTTCCCACTTTGAAATCACTGAAATCAGCTCTTAAATATTGAAAACTTTCTAATCGTAAAATATATAGTATATCCACATATCAATTTTAAATGCTACAAATATATACCCTGGCTGGGTATTATAATATCAGTTAAAAGCTTGAAATGAGTAAAGGAGTAATTTCCGAACCTATATATATAGCATGTAGCATATATATTCTTGATCAGCATCAACAGCCGAGTCAATCTAGCCATGTCAGGCAGAAACAATTTTTTACTCATTTTTTTTTTAATTTTATAAGGGGTTACATCGTTCAAAATTCCCAAAAATTGGCAAGAATTTTTTAAGTTAAATTAAAAATGCAGTTTTGTCAACCTTATAAAAACTAACATAACGCTTTCCAAATTACAATTAATGCTTTTTTGACCGAGTTGTGTTCTTTTTTTTTTTAATTTTGATTTGTTCAAAAAAATGTTTACCCAACTTTTAAAAATTTTATAACGGGTTACGCATCGTATAAATTCTTAACAATTTAAACAATTTTAATATTTTAAATTTTAAAATGTAATATAAAGATTTGTTAGCCAGAATGGGACCTTTGATTGAATTGTAGCCTTCGAGGGTAAACAAACAAAGTTAGCTTCCATTCTTGTTAAGTAATATGATCAAAACCTAGTAATTTACACTCATAAATCCTTTTTTATAAATGAATGTTAACCCACTAATATTTAAATTCCCAAAAGTAACCAGAAAGAGATAGCCAGAAGAACGAAACGAACGAGACTTTTCCCAAAAGCGGCAGACCATGGAGTACGACAGAGAGAATGAGAGAGTGGGAGGGCGTGTGAGTGGGTGTGATTTTTTTTATTTTGATTTTGGTTTTGGCAGCGCAAAGCTTCGCGAAGCAAGTAAGCGAGACAGTGTGACAGTAAGCGAGGTAGAGAATGGGGGGATTTTTTTTATTACATTATATATTTTTTTGTTTTTATTGGATAATCCTTGCAGAATCTGTTATTCTATATTTGAATATATTCAGAAATTTAAAATAACGGAACCGGTCACTTCTTTCCCATTTTGTTCTACCCAAGTACATGGGATGTTGTGTTAAGCCTGTGGGAAGGACTAAAATTAAGTTAGGACTTTTCGGTGCATATATTTTTGAAGTTATTTTCCCAATTTTGGGATTTGATTAGGGAAAATGTATATTGTAAGATTTGAATATAAGAGAACTACAAGGATATTCCAATCTTCGGTTGCCGAAGTCAGCCTTTCATCTGTCTTGCTTTTTTTTCTTTTTCTTTTTCTTTTTTTTTTTTGTGACCACCTGATATCGAGACCGCACTCGGAGCCAGCATAATATGGTCCGCAGCGGGAATTGCGTCCATCTCCGTTCAAATTACTCAGCGATTGTGCACTGGACAAATATGATGGGTATTGGCCATATATCGATGATGCTCCTCCATAGAAACTGGCATTATCCTCGTTCAAACTGCTGTTGAGGACGAGATCCTGATGCTGTTGTTGTTGTTGTTGCTGGTAGATCAGCTCTTTGTAATGTTGGCGACGATGGAATTCATTGGCTTGGGTTATGTATGCGTGTGTATACCTGTATATAAAGGTGGGAAGTTTTGGGCAAAAGCACAATTGTTGTTGTTCGTGTTTGTTGTTGGTTGGTTGTGCATTTTGTTGTTGTTGTTGGTTAGAGACGAAAACAGTTTTGAGGTTATTTACGAATTCATTAGTTGTGTTTTTTCTATTAGTAAAAACGTACACAACAAACGGCAGAAGGTAGGGGGACACACAGTGGAAATGGAACGGAACGTAACGGGGCAGTAGGATCTAATTGGAACAATTCGTATATGTATGTATATGGCACAACGAAGGGGAAAGAGAAAGCTGTCAAGGAGAGCGCTGGGAGGTGGGGATAGCTAAAGAGAGAATGAAGGAGAGACACCGCGAATCTAATCACTAGCTACAATTTAGTTTAGCAATTTAGTTTACTGATAAGATTAAAGCCCAAGTCCAACCTCAACATTAGGGAGGGGAGAGAGTCGTGTTAAACAAACTAAATGTTAATAATCGCAACCAAACTGGAGATTTGCGATCAACGAGCAGAAAGCCAAAGGAGCAGAGAGCGGCCAAGAGAGACAGCAAAACTGGGGATCATAGAGTTAGGAAGAGAGCGGACTGAGAGGGTTAAAGGTGTAAGAAAGAGGTGGGGTTGGGGGGTTAAACAAAAATAAAAACAAAACTTCCGCAAAAAAAAATTAAACAATAATAAAAAAAAGCACACAATTTCGGGACATCCGAAAATTAAGATTCTGAAACTTGCTGGATTTTTTATCCACTTTTTAAGCTTGTTAAAACCAATTTCACATGAGCTCGAGCGCAATAGCACTACCCCAATGGTTGAATAATATATTTATTGTTTGTTGTTTAATGATTATTAGTATTTTTTATCAAAATTATCTATTTGTTGTATTATTTTTATTATCAACTATTAGGTAATATGGACGCTTTTCTTTTTTTAAATAATTTAATTAATTTAATTAAAGTATCTAGAAAACCCGAAATCTCCATATCATACTCCTGCAAGTTCCCAGGACCTTTTCCTTATCTTGTCAAAGGTAAAACGGCAAGCAAACTTTCAAGATTCAGAGAGAGAAATAGGGAAAACTCACCTTTCGCGCTCCTTGAGCAATGCCGCTTCGCTGCTGCCCGCGCTTACACTTCCCGGGGTTACCAGTTGGGTGGCCGCCGCTGCTGGCACTGCGCCAGGCACCAAGGCGCCCAGCATTGCGCCAACTCCACCAGCACCGGGAACAGCGCTGGCATTCGCTGTGACTGCCGCCGTCATCGAATTGATCATCTGGCCATAGAACTTGGCGTACATGTCGGCGTAGACATGTGGATTGCGCGACATCTGCTCGTACATGCCATACGGATCGTAGGCGCCGGACACACCGGCGGCATACTGGATGCGGCGCTTGCCAGTGCCGGAGCCAGGGCCGCCAGCTGTGGCACTGCCTCCTCCGCCGCCGTTGATGCGCTCCTTTTCGAGGTCACTATTCCGCGAGCTCTTGCGCCGGTACTCTTCGTAGCCATCCCAGTTGCGCAGATCGTTGTGCCGCGATCGCCGCGAATCATCGATGCGCCCGCTGCCGCGTCCCTGGTTATCGTAGCTTCTACGGCCGCCGCTGGAACGAGGCTTGTCTGTCGGATGCTGCTTTGTGGAACGCCGAGAGTAGTAGCGATCCCGTTCCCGTTCATACTCCTCGTAATCTTCCTCAACGGCACTGCGCCGCTGGCGACCGGTCTTGCTGCTCCGACCACCGCCGCCAATGCTACCTGGAGCACCGACGCCACTGGCATCCAGCTCGCCCTCGCCCAGATGATTTATCTCCAGGTTATCCGACTCGCCATCGTAGTTGCTGTTGTTGTAGCCGTGTCGCGGGTGATCGTAGGAACGCTGCTCCTGATCCTCGCCGCCGCTAAAATACTTATTGGATCGTCGCCGAAAGGTGCGCTCGCGTTCGCGGTCTCGTTCCCGATCCCGATCCCTTTCGCGCTCCCTCTCACGCTCCACCTCCGGTTCGGGGTGGCGCCGCGAGCGCGTGGACTCATGGTTGCTGCGTCTGTGATGGGAATCCCTCAGCGTCTTGCTCTCGTTGTGGGGAGCACCGCGCACCGAGTCCTCCGTTTCGCCATCGTAGGTGTAGTGGCTGCCACGTCCACCACGGCCTCCCCTCGGTCTCTCGTCTATGGGGTCGCGGCGTTCGCGTGCATGCTCGCGATCCCGTTCTCTTTCGCTCGCCAGGAACTCATCCGATTCGTCCTCGGACTCCAGTTCCAGCGAGGCGGCATTGCCACGACGTCCGGCTTCTGCACGCTTCTCCAACTGGGGCTGCTGCTGCTGCCCCAGAGACGGCTGCTGGGATGGCTGCTGCTGTTGGTCCGTCAGCGCCTGCGGCGGATTGTGATGCTGCAGCTGCTCCGACTCATCGGCGGGCAATATGTGATGTACTTGCGGCAGCTCAGCCGTCGGTGGTGGCGACAGTGCCTCGCGATCCTCCAGATTCTCGCCATCCAGTACCACTTCGCGCTGTTCGCGCACGGAAAGCGGCGCAACGGGGGGCTACACTGGTCTCCACGCCCGTGACTACGCGACGCGGTGGTGTCTGTAGATTTCGCACCTGCTGCTCCCCATCCGAGGTATCCTCACCGTCGGCCTGGCGCTCCTCCATATGCTGGAGAGCCGCCGCCTGGGCCACGTTCAGCGATGACTGCTCAGTGCCTCCGGTGACCAAGCGCTGCTGCTGGAAGTCCAATTCCGGCTGGCCGAGCACCAGACGGGACAGTCCAGGTGGCGGCAGCAGGCCAGCATCCTGATCCGCTTCACCCTCGCCCAGCTGCTCGGACAGGTGGCTCGTTTGCAGGTACTGTGCCCGTTCGTCGTTCGGAGCCGCGAGCACCTCCTGGTTATCCGGCTGTTCCAGCAGTGGCGGTGCATAGATCGATGCCACAGGAGCAGGAGCCGGAGCAGGAGCAGGAGCTGGAGCCGGAGCAGGAACGACTGCGGGTAAGGGAGCTCCTATAGAAGCAGCCACTGGCAGTGCGGCCAGTATACTGAAGGGCTCTCCCTGTGCCTCCGCTGGCAGGCCGAAAAGCTGCTCTGATGGCGCAGGAACCACTGCCGGGGCCATTGGTGCTACTGCCGGAGCCACTGGAGCAAGTGCTGGTGACGAGGATGCGCCTCCTTCCGGCGGAGTTGCCAGTATGTTAACGCGCTTGCTTAGTCCCGTTGAACGCTTGAAGGGATTGCCGGCGGCTGGCGACATGCTTGGAGGCAGTGCTGCTGGTGGTGCCAGTGCTGGTGGGGGTGCAGCTGCTGGTTGATTCTGGAAAGCTTGCGGCGGCACAATGGCATCCACCTCTGGTTCTTGTCCCAGCTCTGGTGGCGGCGGAACAGGTTGATGCTGCAGCAAAGGAGGAGCAACAGGCTGCTGCTGCAGTAAAGGAGGAGCAAGAGGCTGCTGCTGCTGCTGCAGCAAAGAAGGAGGAGCCGTTTGCTGCTGCATCAAAGGAGGACCAGGAGGCTGCAGTGAGAGCTCCGTATTGTTATTGGCAAAGGCCTGCCAACTGCCTGGCGAGGATTGCACATTGAAAGAGTCCTCCAGCAGCTGTTCCGGCGGCGTCTCCATTACGGCCTCGTTGCCATTGCTGCTAGAGTTATTGTTATCATTCCAATCACCCCAATCTCCCCAGCCATCGTTCCGAACGCTGCCGCCGCCTCCTCCTCCGCTATTGTTGTTATCAAAGGAATCAAGAGCGGTTTCCGCTGGGGCCTGAGGCAGCTGGTGATGCGTGGGATAATACATTTGCTGCTGTTGCTGCGGCGGCTGCTGCAGTGGCTGCTGCTGACCCGCAAAGTAGTTGTTGTAGTTCAGCGACTGCGGTTGCTGCTGTTCCTCCGGCGGCCAGTAGCCCGTCGTTGGCTGCTGCTGCTGTTGCTGCTGAAACATTTGGCTGGCATAGAGCTGCTGCTGCTGAGGATGCTGGACAGGATGCGGTTGCTGCTGCTGCTGAAGGTGAGGAGGATGTGGCTGCTGCGGATGCTGCTGCTGTTGCGGCTGCTGCTGCTGCTGATGCGGTGGCAGCCAGGACGCATTGTTGTGCAACATGTTGGAGCTGCATTAAAGGAGAGGAAAGGAGTGCATATTAAAATATAATATATTTTATTTAGCATTCACACTGGCCTACTTTTGGATGGGATTTTAGCAAAGAATTGCCTTATTTAAAGTTATTCATTATGGTTCTATTAAAACCCACTCAAAACACTGAAAAATCTCTCTTAAAGTAGGTACTGTTTATCTCCACTTTATTCCTATATTAATTCACAAAACTTTTTGATATATGTATTTCGTTGATTATTAACTATTTTCTGAGAGGGGATTTTACACAGAATTATCTTATCTTCTGCTGGAAAGTTATAGTACGATCTTTGCTGCATGTTATCTCTTTTTATATTTGTCTAGAATTTCTGCCTATTTTGATGTAAATTTTCTTGATTAAACTTGAACAGGACATTGGGAAAGGTGGCCCCAAAACTGGGGTTTCTTCGGCAAAGAGCGGGTGTTGGTGGTGGTTCTTGGGTGGTTTTGCTGGATTTGTGGAACGGTTCAATGAACGAAACCAGTTTTCTTGGAAAATGACCCGTTTTCCGTTACTTTTTGCGAAAGGAAAGAAATAAAAACAAATCGCGGTGCTGGCGGCCATTGGACGCAGTATCGAAAACAAAATATATACTTATATACATACATATATATGTAAAAAGCGAAAAGCAAAAGTTAAAAGTTTACGTGGACGTTTGCCTTATATACCCCCCTCTCTTTCACTCGTGCTGCTTCTTCCTCTTCTTCGTTTTGTTACCACCGTTTCGCTCTCTTACTGTTGTTGTTGTTCTCTTGACGTAGCAGGTTTTTTTCTGCTGTTTCGTTTTAGGTGTCTCCTCTTCTTCTATGCTCACTGATAATTATTTGTACTGTCTTTTTGGGAGTCCATAAAACACTGCTGATTGGCGAATTATTTATTTACTTATTTATTTTCTTCTGTCCTCACCAGTAAGTCCAAGAGAAAACAGTCTCGGAAAAAAAAGATTTGGATCAGTGGTTGAGAGCGACAGGCTGAGAGAGAGAGAGAGGGACAGAAAGAGCGAAGAAGAGGAAGAGCACAGTGTTGCAATCCGGTGTCCCTGTGGTTAAATTATTTTTACTGGCAATAAAGGAGCACTTTAGCAGTTGTCTTTGTCAATTTCCTTTAAAAATAAATATTAAATGCGGCCAATTGGAGAGCCGCTCTACATAAACACACACGCACTGGCACGCACACACACTCACACAAACGCAGGCAGGCAGGCAGTTTTCCCTTCCCTTCGGTCGTTTTCCAATTAGACTTACACAAATCGTTCGCTTATTTACACGCACACAGGTTCGTCTGGCAGTTGACTAAACAATACATCTACTTGTTTTAGGACGTCGTTATTAAACAATTAACTACGGGATTTCGTTTTCTCGTTCAGCAAATCCCAAATGCCAACTCAATGGGCTAGGGGTGAGAAAAAACTTACAAAAATATCGATATATCGAAAGTAAAAATACTACCAGGCTTAAAAATAAATACCAATTAGTTAGAATACCATTCAATTAAATAAATATATTTTAAATTTAAAAATATTTAATTATGCAGTTATAATTCTAAATTTGTTTAGCTATATTTTTATTCACATGATCTTGAAGAGCTTTTCAATTTGGTAAACTATTTTTTATTTTTTACATCGAAATGATGTATTCGGTGTAAGAATGAATGAAATGCAACATTTTACATCGGCTAACGGTACTATAAGTATTTTTACAAACCGATTTCGCTGTCGATATCATTAGCAGATATATTTTTAAAAATTCAAAATAATCCAGTAAAATTTTTTCTTAGAAATTGTTGCATTGCGGTTGTAAAAATTAAAAAAATTAATAAACAAAATTATTAAACAATACAATTTAAAAGTTTATGATGTAAATCCATATATAATTTAAATTATTTCAGTTTTCGATTTTAGTCGATTTACTTGTACTTTTAGAAAAAAAAAAAAAAATAAAATTAATTCACTAAAAATCTATTTATTTCAGCTCCAGTTTTTCAGTAAACTGAATTTTGTTTTAATAAAATCTAAACGTATATCGTTTAAAATCGAAAAGGGAAATAATTTAATTTAATCAGTAAATTGATATTTTTGTTCTAAAATAAATTAACAAGTAACAATATTAAAATAGAAAACGAAAATAATTTAAATAACTATACAAATAATCCTATTTTTAATTTTCTGTTGTGTATTTGCTTGTAATCCTTATTGCAGGTTCTGTTTTTGTATATTTAAGCCGCTCGGAACACAATCCCGCCCAGCTATACTCTGACTTTGGGCTACCACAAGGAAAACCCACTTAACCACAACACAAAACCAAAGGTTTCTGTATTTTTAAATAAGTTTTATTTTATTGACATTGACGTGCATCAATTTAATTGTTATTTGTTTTCTTTCTTCATTTACCGTAATTGCAAAAATACAATTTATATTTATATAATAGTAATTAAAATAATAAAAAAAAAAACAATTATATAAACATAAAAAATATTACATATGTATGTTTTTTTGTGTTCCCCGTGCTTTATCTCTATCTCTCTCGCTACCGCGTCACCGGTCCTCCGTGTTGCTCCTCACACATTCATAATAATGGTAATAATAATAATGATAATCGGAACCGACCCTTGCCTTGTTTTCTGTCCTTGTCTTCCCAGTAAACGTTTGTACATACGTTTACCTTAATTTACGGAAAAAGAGTGCGTAGGCTTGGTCTCCTTCCCCCCCCCGACTATGTTGTGTCCTACTAAAATATTAACTTCTACATTTGTGTCTTCCGATGATGGGTGTCTTGTGTTGAATCAAAATAATATACACATTTCCACGTAAAACATAAATCGTTAAATAATTAAACGTTTAGATGCTTGAATTTTCTATACAATTTTTATTGTTTTGACTAAGCATTTCGCAATTTGCATTAATTAACTCTAAAATAGGCTTATTTTACTTGATGTATGTATGTATGTATTATTATTATTATTATTATTATTATTATTATTATTATTATTATTATTATTATTATTATTATTATTATATATCTTTTTCGTTATAACACACAAAACTAAATTGTAAACAAAACGAACGAACTCTTCTTCATTTGTATATTTGTCGTGAGTTTATAATAAATTTGGCCATCAAATCTTCTCTTCATAGCGATTAAATAATAATTGTATCCTCTTTTTTTTTTGTTCCTTTTGTAAAAAATACATTTTTATTTGTATTGTCGAAAAAACATAACGTAAATAAAAAGAAATTTTGAACCTAACAACATGCAAAAATGGCAATCGATCGTGTGCCATCGGCGAAACTGCGATCGCGCAGTTCCTCTTCGATTTTCGACTTCGACTATCCAATTGGAAATAACATTTATCATCATTTTTTGTTTTTGCTTTTGTTTAACAAATACACATACACACATGGTTCTATATACGACATTATTTTTGCAGTGCGAGAGCAGAAATATATAAAAAGGGGTTATAACAAACAAAAGGGCGATTGGATTAATAATCAGTTACTCGGTAATAATATCAAATTAGAATTTAAGGGATAATGCTAAACAATTTGCAAATCGAATTTAGAATCTTGTTCTTTGTTTGCTTAGTTTTTCTTCTTCTTCTTTTTGTTTGTTTGTTGTGTTACTGTTGTTCATTTGTTTTTTCTTTTTTTCTTTTTGCTTACATTTATAATTATGTATTTATCAGAGCTGGAAACGTACGGAAGTTGCTTTCAATGACACATCCCTGCTTTCCCAGCTCCACTATTTATGTTTTAGTGTTTTCCTTTTTTGTTTTTCCTTGATTGATCATTTTTGAAATTGTTTTAAATGTTAGTTGCTTGGTTGTTGTTGTCTTCTCGAATCGATATTTCCTCCATACAAAACTATTGCAGCGTTAGAAAATACTCAAGCTTGGGCTTGTCCAGCTCTCCTCTCTGTTCCTCCTCCTTCTCGGGGATTAATATTGTTAATTGATTGCTGTTTATATAATTTCTACAAATAGAACAGGACACTAGTAGGCAGTTCTCTCTGTTCCTGTTTCCGTTTCTGTCCTGCTCCTGCTTGTGGCTTTATAATTTCCATTAAAATGTAAGTGGTTCATATTATTAAACATTTTCTGTTGCTGTTGTTTTTGATGCTATAGCGAACCAGCCGGAAAACTCGTTGAACTATTGCTATGGGCTAAACTAATCATGGAACCAGACAGGCTCCCCTCCTCGTCTGGATAGGCTTCACGGGATACCTCAATAAGCGATAAAGTGCTGTAAGCAAAAGGAACCCTTTGAAAAGGACATTCGATACTGGATATTTAGGTGAACTTTTACCTGAAACCTAGGGAAATTGATTCGTTATCGAATGCCTCCAACTCTTTAGTATGCTTGTCGTGCTTCATGCGCAAGCGCTCGGCTCGTTCCTGATTAAATTGCTGCAGCTCGGCATCCATCTGGAAAGGAAGAGTGTCAGCGTGAGAGGTCAGAGGTAATGCTGCTGGCGGCTGGCTTTTACCTTGTTCTCAAGCAATCCCCGCCGCACGCTGACGCGGTTCTCGAGCTCGCGACGCTCACGATCTCGCTGCTCCTGCGCCTGCTTTTTGTTCTTGTTCTGGTAGGCGGTGAGCATTTCCAGCTCGTACTCCAGCTGCTCGTGGGTACGTTGGCACTCAATCACTTGGCTCTCATCCAGCTTGTAGCTCTGGCTTTGGAACATGTCCGAAATGCTCTGCTCGTACTGCAACACCAAGTAAGATTAAGAATTGGTGCCATAAAAAAGGGTGTGTGTGTGTGTGAACCTGTTCGCCCAGCAGCGTCAGCTTGCGGTGCTTCTCCTCCTTGAGCTGCTTGATCACCTCCTTCTGTTGCTCCTTTGGCGTCGTCTGCAGCACTTGGGCCTTGTAGCGTTTGTATTGCTTCGTCTGCGTCTTGCAGGTCTCCCGGAACTGCTTGCGTATCAGGAGCTCCTTTTGCTGTTTGGGATTTAACAAATTTCAATATTTTCCGACTGACTCCAAAGGAAGGTCGCGTTACCTTGAGGCTCTTGGGCTGTTGCCTTAGCTCGACCGCATGCTTGCGCACCAACTCCTTCTTGATGCGTTCCATGTAGTCTTTTTGATTGTGCAACTCTGTGTCGTGTTGCTTGTTTATCTGGGAAATAAATAAGAAATGAATTAGATTTTGAGGAGCCAACGGGTAGGGTGCTCATGGAACTCACCTGCTCCTCGCGCAACTGATGCACGCTCTTCTGCTGGCGGTATTCCAGCTCCTGTGTCTTTTCATGGTGCTTCACTAGCATTGCGTGAGCCTGCTGCAGCTGCTGCTCCTTCTTTCCGAGTTCCTGTGCCAGACAGAGATATATGGAAATGGGGAAAATTTATAGGAAATTTACGGCACTCACATCGCGGAGCTGCACATCCTCGTGCTCGTGCTGCATTATCATGCGCTTGCGCTTAAACTTGCGCATCTCCAGCTCGATATACTGCTTCTGGGCCTGCAGCATGCGCTGCTCCTCCTGCGCCTCGTGCTGCTTCAAGTTGTCCTTCTGCGACTGCAGGGTAAGGTCGCGCTGCCGCTTAGGCGTCGTGTCGTCCATGGATAGCTCACGCTTCCAGCGCTCCTTGTTCGCCTTGTACTCCTTCTTGCGGTTGAGGTCGTACGCCTTGCGGTCGCATTCCTGCTTCAACGTAATCTCTTTGTGTAGCTTCTTCTCGGCGGCGCTCGTCTGCTTCAACCGCCGCTCCACGTCCTGCTGGTGTTTGTTCTGCAAGCGAAAGGGGGGAGGGAGGAGAGTCATGACCAGGCAAGGGGTCAATCCCGAAGCAAAACTCACCTCGAGCCGCTCCAGTTCCCGTGTAAAGTTGTGCAGCAGCGTGTCATACTCCTTGTCCAGCGCCGTCTTGTGCGCCTCCATGTCCACCTTGCACTTCTCCTCCAGCTTGACCAGGTGCGCCTGATGTTCGCGCCGCATTCGCTTATATCCCGACATTTGCTCGTGCATCTCCTCCTGCGCAAACACGGATCGCGATGTAATGGATGGGCAGAGAAGGCACAGATGGTTAGAGGTTACAGGACAGAGGTTAGCGCGGTTAGAGGCGTGGCAATGCGACAGATGTGAGAGATCGGGGAACACAGTTACGGGGCCCCACGGAATAACTGTAACTTACACAGCCGCTGTCGAGCTCCAGCTCCAGCTCCAGCTCGAACCTAACCTCAATGGGCGCAAACAGCGCGCAGAACATGGCTCCTTTTGTGGGATTTTCGACTTGCACCTCTGAACCCGGGGCTTTTTTCTACGTACTCTTGCTACGTATGGCTCGCCAGGTGAGAGAGCCCAAGTTAACAGTTAAAACGATAAAGCAACAAATGACCAACAAACACAGTTACTAGCTCCCGCTTGCAGGGTCGAATGTGGATTGAGAGGATTGAGTTGAGCTTTGGCCCAGTGTGACCCTGTGGCTGCAGTGCGTGGGTGTCGTGTGTGGATCGCGTTTGAACAGTGTGACTCCCCCACCAAGGCAGTAACTACATAAGTCGCAAAGCAAAGAAAAAACTAAGTCGTTACCTACACTTTTCGAAATCGAGTTTTTTTTTTTTTTTGTCAAGTTGCAAGTCGATTTTTTTAAGTTTTAAGAGAAATATTTTAAATGTTTTAAAATAAATTTTTTTAAATAAATGTTTCAAGAGTCTCAAGAGAATTTTTCTCATATGTCAAATTATACACAAGTTTTAAATGAAAATTTTCAAAAGTTTTAAGACAAATATTTTTAAAAATTTAAGGACAATTTTTTCTAAGTTCTAAGAATAATTAGGAATTTTTCTAAACTTTTAAGTAAAATTTTCTAAAAGTTTTAAGAGAATATTTTCAAAAGTTTCAAGAGAAATTAGTTAAACGTTTTATTTGATTATATTTAATTTTCAAAAGTTTGAAGATACATTTTTGAAAAGTTAAGGAGAATTTTGTTTTAAGTTTTAAGAGATAAGTTTTAAGTTTACATTTTTATAAAATTTTATTTCCCCCAATTAATCAAAAGTTGAATTGAAAAAAGGTCTTTTAAAAGACAGAATAAAACTGATAAAAATGCAAAAAGCCCAATTAGTTATATTTCGAAACCTTTACACTAAAAATTATACAAAATACAAGGTCATTTAAAACCATTTTATAATATTAAGTTAATAATGGTTTGTGGCTCTAGAACGCTTCTACAAAATGAGTAAGGTGGCTTTAATGACTGGACAACAATCGCGAGATATACTCCGAAACAGCATTTAGTACATGTGCACATTCAGTCCCAAAAACAGACCCCAGGTGTGGCATGGACCAAGTGGTGGCGCTACCAAAAGCTAAACTAATGAATTAACAACAATTCTGTAACTATTTGCAAGCGCTAGTGACGCATTAAAGCGAAAAAGTGTGAAAAACAGAAGCGTTTCAAGGCATGAGTGGGTGGATGACAGGGATGGGCACTAGTTGGTGGGTTGGAATGCGATGGAACGGCAGCGAAATGTAAGTGCAACGGCAACACTTCTCTAACTACAGTAAGTACATTGTGGCAGCGACTGCTTTTCAAACATTTATTTGTCGTTGGCTTGGCACCTCCGCTCTCTGGCTACGAAATTACACAGGGACAGCGGCGTTTGGGTTTTGGTATTGGTTTTGGTTTTGTTTTTGGTATTGGTATTGATATTGGTTCTTGCTTGCCACCGCCGCCCTCGATCCGCCTGTGGGGACTGTGGATGTGGTCGCCACCGCACAGCTGCGAGCACAAGTTATAGCGCGCCTGTTCGAGGATGCGGGAGTAGAACAATAAACACAACAAAGAGAGCTTGTAGTAGTGGGCAAAAGTTAGAGGGGTAGGCGGAAGCGGGTTGGAAATGGCGAGCGGGGTAAATGGCACGAACTGCAACTGCAACTGGATGACGCTGACGCTGAGGCAAACACACACACACACACAAAGGACGCGTATCGCTGATATGGAATGCTAACGAAGCCTAAACTACGCACGACTACCACTCAGGCGTGACCCATGGAGGGAATGGTCTAAGCTGCAACCCCCAACAAGAGATAGAGCGAGCGAGCACACTGAGAGAGATCTATGGCCGAGGCGGGAAGAACGAAGAACGAAACACGAAACATAATACGGAAAACGCGAAAAACTCACCTGCATGTGCTCCTTCTGCTGCTTGGTCACGATGCTCGTGGTGCGTATGGTGGCAAAGTTGTTGGGACCGTGATCGTTGACAGCATTGGAAATGGCCTGCTGCGAGGAGGCGGAACTGGCCGCGTATACAGCCGCCTGGGCGGCGGGCGTTGTCAGGTAGCGCGGCTGGATGGGCTGCATTCGATCCGGTAGAGGACCGCCGGATGCCGGGGAGCCTCCGCCACTGCCACCGGTACCAGTGGCACCGCCACCATGACCCATCGGACCAAGGTGCGGCATCACGGTGAGTGGTGGCGCCGGTACTGGAGTAGGCGCTGGCGCCGGCACCACCGAGGCCGAGTTCGTCGGCGTCACATTGTTATTCATGCTGTGCATGATATTGGGCAGCGGCGGCCGGTTGCGGTGGCGCGACGAGTTGCGGGACACGGCCCCGGGTGGACCCGCCTGCTGCTGCTGTTGCTGACCACTTGGCCAACTGGGCTGCGGATGGTGATGGTGGTGGTGTTGCATGGCCACTGCCACAGCGGCGGCCGCCGCCTGCTGATGGTGGTGCGCTGCGATATGGTGATGATTCTGGGCTGCAGCCGGTATGGAATTGGATGAGGAGCTCTGCAACATAAAGGAAACATGATAACAGGGAGCTCAGAACTGCTGGCAGGCAGAGATTCTCACCTGACTACTGGCCGCCGATACACCCACCGAGTGTATGGAGTGTTCCGAAGTAATACTATTGCTCTTGCTGCTGTCACCGCCAGCGTGGTCGTCCTGCTGATCATCGGCATCGCCCACGGCGCTCTCCGTCTCGCAGGTGTCCACCATGAGTATCTTCTTCATTTTGCGGTAGTTGAGGTTGTCAAGTTCGCGCACCGCCGACTTGGTGCGAGCAATCAGTTCCAGCAGCACGGTGTCCGAGCGCGGCCGGGTCACGTAGGCGTGGGTCAGCAGCTTGGCCGACGAAGGACGCTCCGCGGGCATTTTCTTGAGGCACAGTTCGACGAAGCTACAGAACGCGTCCGACCAGTCGTTCTTCTGCAGAAGGAAAGGGGATTGGAGGTTAGAACTGAAGGCATCCAGGGATTCTTTCATGATTTTCATTAAGATTCGAGAATTAAGGTTGTAAAAAACAAAGCTAGTTCTTACCGGAAGTGTGGGCGACTCGTTCTGCGCAATGTGGTAGAGCGCGGACATGGCGTTCATATTAAAGTAGGGCGGCTTGCGCTCGGCCAGCTCGATGCAGGTGATGCCCAGCGACCAAACGTCCACCTTGCCATCATATTGGCCCTCGTCCATGGCCAAGATCACTTCGGGGGCCATCCAGTAGGGCGTGCCAACGAAGCTATTGGCCGGGCACTTGATGGCGGCGCTACCAAAGTCGGCCAGCTTGACGACACCGTTGTCCGTTAGCAGAATATTGCCCGCCTTGATGTCGCGGTGGATGCGTCCCAGTGAATGCAGATAGCTCAGACCACTGAGCACGCCCAGGCAGATGGCGGCGATCTCGTCCTCGTGCAGCGGCTTCTTGTGCACCTCGATGATGTCCGAGGCGGAGCCGACGCAGTATTCCATCACCAGCCAGGCGGTCGATTCGCGCAGATAGCATCCCTTGTATTCGATGGTGTTCGGGTGGTTCAATTGGCGAAGGAAGCTGCAGAACAAGCAGAGATCAGTGATTCATCAATTGCCGGCAATGGAGTCCCATCCAGTTACTCACCGTATCTCTTTGAGTATGTCCTGCCACTTCTCCTGGCTCTGCTTGCCGGTGTACGACATCTTCTTGATGGCCACGATCTCCTTGGTAAGATTGCAGCGGGCATAGTAGACCGCACCGAACGACCCATGGCCGATCTCGCGCAGATCCTCGAATATCTTCTCCGGGTCATGCTTATTGAACAGGTCGGCTATTTCCGGATCCTTGAGACTACCAGGTCGTGCCGAAGGCATGGCTGTCTCTCATGCTCCAGCACCCAGCGCGCTCCCAGCTCACACAGTGCTCCTCTTTACCAACTCTTGGCACTGATCCTGATTCAGCTCGTATTCTATTCGGTGTCTCTGTGTTCGGAGAAAAGAGCGGGGAATTTGCGGGTTAGTCAGACCTCCATTGCTGAGTCATCTGGATCCAAAGAGCAGAGCTCAAGTCCCGACGAATTCTTGGGGTCTGAAAAGAAAATGGTAATGGAAATGGGTTTGGGAAGGCAGGAGATGATGGTGTATATGAAAAGTAGGGGGCGAGAGGTAGGCAGGGGCTCTTTTCTTGCAACGGAGAACGGTGAAAAGCCGAAAAACTGATTATCAAATCGATCAAGTGATTCACGCCCGGGCCAGCTCACGCACACTATCGCCGTCGCCAGTCGGGAGTGGGAACGGGAGCGGACGCGGGCACAAATCAAATCATTCAGAATTCCTCCGCCTCACGGTGGCGGCCCTTATCACAATATGTGTGTTTACTGCCTGGCCTCGTTTATGGCTATTTTCTTTTGCCCGTGTGTTACCAACTTGGCGGCGCGCGTTGCCAACTTTCCTGGCAGGCGGATAATAAATACATTTCTGTTTTCTGTTTCGGCGTAGGGTGCTGGGTGTAGGGGATGCACACGTGCCCGCTAACCTTCGGGGGAATCAGAGTTCGCCATGGCCAGTACAGACAAGCACACACTCATACACACTAAGCCAGACACACTGGCAAGGAGTAACGGAACAAACCGAAGGGGTGCATTTGTCACTGTTGCGAATTTCGCAGACGTATGCATGTGCCTGCATTAGTATGGAACGCCTCTGGGTACATGTGCATGGGCTGGGGCAGTGCGGGGGCGTCTGCGTATCTGTGCCGGCAGCGGCGAGTCGGGAGCGATTGAGCTGCTGCTGCGATTGTTTACTCGCAGCCTGGCTAAATACTTGATAATTAGCCCCGGCCCCGTCTTTGTGCGACTGGCATTATTTACTCGCAACGCGAAACAGAAACACGCCTATTTTTCATAGCCACACACTCTTGCACAAAGAGCAGCCATGTCGCTCCCACACATACACGGGCATGGACACCGCTCACACAAACACGTACGTACATGCATGTACATGTATTCGTCTGGTCGGTCGCTTGTTGTTTTGCATTTCGTGCGACACAAATTCAATTGAATTTTTACTCTGCTCGGGCTATTGTTTTGTGCCTTTTCATTTAGATTGTTGCAGTACATTTTCTTTAATTCGCTTTGATTTTTGTTTGCCTCTCTTAGGGTGCGGACGAAGCACACACCGAGCAGCAAACGGCAAAAAATAAAAATAAAATAAAAGAGAACGAAAAAAATAAGGAAAAAAAACGCACGACGGTGGTCGTCGTCATCGGCGATGCTGCTGCTCTTGTTGTTTTTGCTGCTGCTTGATTAGTGACGTTGCTGCTGCGGCCGCGGCGACTTCGTCGGCGTCTGCACTTTGTGCACCACGGGATTGGGATTGGGATCGGAATCAGAATCGGGATGGCGAAGCAGCTTTCGTCTTTACTTCGATTCGAATTGCTTAAATTGTTTTGCTTGCACATCACACACACGCACTGGCACTCACACAGTCTCGGGAGCAGATAAATACATACAATTGCCGTGTATTTGTACGGATCGACTCGTGCCAGCTCTTTCTTGCACAATAGGCAGACTCGCACCGAAATCAGATGTAAATCAAAATATGTTTGTTAAGCTTTGATCCAGGACACATTGGGATACAATTTCGGGCCACAAATTGTCCATTGGGCGAATAATCAATGCGACGACACACACACATACACAAATTGGCACTTCTCAGCAAAGGCGAAGGCGAGTCGAAACGTAAACGGGAAAAAGAAGAGTATGCACATACACACACACAGGCATGGCAAGAGAGACAGAGAGAGAGGGGCGCACAGGAGACATTGGAAAATGCATAAATCTGTCAAAAGAGTGGGGTTTGCTACAGCTAACGGCTTACATTCAGCAATTAATTAATGCTTGCTAATTTATCTACGCGGCTGGCTTTTTGTTTTCATATCTGTATTCATTTTTCTTCATGCGTCGCTTTCTTCACGCCTGCTTTGCCCTGCTGCTGTTATTTGCTTTGCTACGGGTCGCCTGCACTTCACACGCGTTGCGTTTTACACGTCCGCATTTGCTGCGCATCACGAGGGCGACGAATTCAGTGGATTCCGGATTCCATTTACGGCACTTTGTCAGTTTCAGTTCAATTCCAATTTTTCTTCACGTTTAATTAAAATTTCGATAGAGGCGTACAAAGTACGATAGACTCAGGAAATCGATAGGCGGCACCCCAGTATGGCCGCATGCAGTATGTGCAAATATATTGGCAGCGATTGTAAAATATACCAAAAAATACCTTTTTTTTGGGATCAGAATTAGTGCCAAGCAATCGATTTTCTTATCGATAGCTTCTGTCGGTATCGACTGCCAGCTTTTGATTTTCCAATCCGTTATTTTTAAATATTCGTTAATAAAAGCTTGACTGTATAGAAATAATTTTAATATTTACATACTCCCCCAAAATTTAAAACTCAGGGGAGGGACGGTGGGTAACGGGTGGTTCTCCCCCGGGAATCATTTTACGTTTTATGATATTTATTAGTTTACGAAGGTAATTTTTTGCGCACACTGCAACGCATAATAACTAGGATTTGAAAAAAAAACACCGCTTACTTAAAGAAGTACTGCTGCTGCTGCTGCTGATGGCTGGGGGTCGGGAAGCGATTAAGGCCGCCGAAGTCAAGAGTCGGAGGAAAGCCGTAGCCGCTGGCGGATCCGGAAATCGAGCTCGCTTGCTGGCTGGGGGGCAGTGACCCGTCTTTGGCTGAGGAACCCGGTCCAGTTCCTCCGGCGAAGAAGTCATCGTCACTCTCGTAGTTGACCAAAAATCGCGGTGGAGATCGTTCGGGCTGAGCATCAGCGTTGCCATCAGCAGTAGCACCTGCACCTGCATCTGCATCCGCACCAGCATCCGTAGCCGTGGCTCCTGCCACCTGCGCCGCCGCCAAGTCCACCTCCTGCTGCTGCTGCTCCTCCGGCAGTCCCGCCAGCGCTGCTACCCCGCCTCCTAGAGCCAGTGGCCTAGAGAAGGTATCTGCAAAGTGTCGGAGAGAATCCAATTGTACGGCAATTAGTTAAAAGTTTGCTTATTTTACCAGTAGATTGTGCGTACTGATAGACCAGGCGATCTCCCAGCTGCGCTGGACGGCGCTGCCGGGGATCAGGCTGCTGTGGCTGCTGGGGACGTGGTCTTGGACGCGGAGCGGCAGCTGGTGGTGGAGGCGGCGGCGGCGGAGGAGCTGGCGCCGCCGGAGCATCATAGTCGTAGTCGTAATCATAGCTAGGTGGCACTGGAGGAGCTGGTGGCGCTGGCGGCGGCGGCGGCGGACGAGCCGCTGGCCGTGGGGCATTGTATAGACCCACAGGACGTGGCTGTGGACGCATGCGTCTCGGTGGCTGCGGAGCGGGCGGCGGCGGAGCTGGCGGCGGTGGCACGGCAGGATCAGCATAGTCATAGTCAAAGGGCAGATAGCCGGAAGCGAAGTACGGATGCCAGATGGGTCGACGACGACGTGGGTTTGGTGGCGGCGGCGGCGGTGCTGGAGTCGTAGTAGTCATCGCCGGTGGCGGCCGCCGCGTGGTCTTTGCCAAATTGGCCTTGGCCGAGGATAATTGGGCGCTCTTCAGCAGTAGGTTGCGCAGGAGCAGGCCAAAGTCCAGGGTGACGGTGCCCCGCGGAATACGTGTACGCACTTCGGACTCTGTATCCATTTGGGCACGACTGCCGCCGAGGAGGAGCAGCGCGAGGAGCGCGAGCACGAGCAGCGGCAGGCGGCAGGCTAACATCCTAGTTTAGTGAGCTGGAGGAGCTGGACTGTACCGCTTGGGAGGCCGTTCCAATCAGAACTGGCACTAGCCAGCCGCCGAGCCGCCTGCCTTGACTCGACGGAGCTGTGCCGCCGCCCGAGCCTGGGCGTCGTGGATTAAGTGCCCCGAAAATCAACAAGTTAGACGGGTTAGCTCTGGCTCTGGCTCTAACCTGGCTCACGTCATAGTCGTAATCGCCGCCGAGCAGACCAATCCCGCAATCCCCGCCAGCCGTTGGCCATCAACGAGTTCTGTGCGTGGCAACAATTACTTTTGCACTACTTTTTGCGGCGGTTAATAGATCGTAAGTGCAGCACAAACTATGCATAATGCTTAGCGGCCGATGCATTTTAAGCGGCGGCGACTGTGACCGGCACAGTGGGTCCAGTGTTCCCTTCACATTACAGTGGGTAGTAGGGGTAACTAAGGCAAGATGGTAAAAATATGGAGTAGAATCCAGTCATCGTGAATATAATTTTGAATAATTTAAGACAATTATCATCCCAGTGACTTGAGGTTTCGAGTCCTGTATAAAAATAAAGGAATACAAATGAAATCATACATCTATCTCGCTCATTATTACCACAGATGAAAAGTCCTGATTGGTGGGTTTGAGTCCTGTATAATATTAAGCTTTCAGTAGAGAATTTTCTAAAAATTAAAGATTAATTGGAAGACAAACATGCCATTTATTGGAAATGTAAATTAATATATTCCATCTATCTCGCTCTCATTGAGCTCAAATGACCAGTCCTGACTTGTATCCTCGCGTATCCTGTATAATATTTAGCCTTGAAGAGAGGATTTCCAAAAAATCTGAGTACAAGTAGAGGATAAACATTGAAGTAAATAAATTAAGAAAAAATAACTTTTTCTTATACATCGACCAGGATTCGATCCACTGTGCCGTCGAGGGGCTGTCACGATTTGCTCTCATAATAATATGAATTTCGATTTCAGTCGGACTGCGTCTGCGCCGCCTGTTGAATTTGATTTTCAATATATGTTTAATCATTTCCACAGTAATTAACAGAGCTGGCGCGCTCTGCACTGCCTTATATTTATTAGATTTTTTTTTTAAATTTTTGGCGCAACTCTGACTCGGACTGGGACTGGATCCGGACAATGGCAACCTCTCGCTTTCCATTCGTCGGGGGAAACCAGTCGACCGCTTGAGTTGCACAAAGATTTGATGGAAAAGCTGACGGTTGTCCGTGTTCTGTATGCAGATATATGTGGGGTATACATATATGTATTTGCGGGAACTGGTTGGTTCTCCGTCTCCGTCTCCAATATGATCTCGGACTGCTCCACCGTTGCCTTCTTTAACCTTGAGTCTGCGTCTTATCTCTTGCATAACCCAGAAATGAGGCTGACCGAACCAGTTCGGCCTCCCAGCCACTCCCCGTGGAAAGTGAAAATTCGTTTCGTTTTTCCATTTCCCACGACACGTAACCGTGGCTGCTGTCGCTGTCAGGCAATTTGTCCCAGATTGCACGCATTCAGCCAGCATTCAGGATATTCAATTAAACGTATCCGATGCTTGGCACGCAGAAAAAAGCAACGAAAGTGGGCTTCAAGTTACAAAATCCAACTATTGGAGGCCCCTTAATTAAAGGCAAAACTTTTACAACTGCCAGGAATTTGTAGAATTTTTTTTTTTTTTATTACAAAAAGAATGAATCGTTATCAGGAAATTTGTGTGATATCAGTGGATATAGGGTGCATTCAAATCAAGCTAAAGCAGACTCAGCTAGGTATTTTCCTCTGACTTGATCATTTTCCGAGCTGCAAGAAAATCAAATCAATTATTAAAAACCAGCCACAGCTCGGCGGGATCGAGGCTGGAGGAAATGGGCGGCATATGGCAATTAATCTAGACATTTATTTTAGCTTGGCAGCAGTTTGGAAAAGGCATCAGTTTTATACGGAACTTGGGCAGTTTTGGCTTACATATTGTGTACATTTTAAGCAGACCAATTATAATTAGCTGTATAAGTAAAAAATTGTATAAGTAAAAAATATGCTTATGCTGGTCGATATTTTTATACCCTTGCAGGGTATTATAATTTCAGTCAGAAGTTTGCAACGCAGTGAAGGAGACGTTTCCGACCCTATAAAGTATATATATTCTTGATCAGCATCAACAGCCGAGTCGATCTAGCCATGTCCGTCTGTCCGTCTGTCCGTCCGTCTGTCCGTCTGTCCGTCTGTCCGTCCGTCTGTCCGTTTCTACGCAAACTAGTCCCTCAGTTTTAAAGCTATCTGAATGAAACTTTGCATATAGTCTTCTATATACTCTCACTGCTATATATGTCGGAACGGGCCGGATCGGACGACTATATCATATAGCTGCCATACAAATGTTCAATAAATTTTTAGAAAAATAATTTTAACTTGGCTGTTTTTCAATATTATTCCATCATTTTTGAGATATAGCCTTTTTATATTATTCCAGAATTTTGGTAAAAATTTTATGAAAATCGGACCACTATATCTTATAGCTGCCATAGGAACGATCGGGAAATTAATCAAAAAAATCATAACTTCGTTGTTTTTCAACGTATTTTAATCTACTTTGACACATGAGCTTCTGGTATTATTTCAAAATTTTGGTAAAAATTTTATGACAATCGGACGACTATATCTTATAGCTGCCATAGGAACGATAGGGAAAGTAATAGAAAAAATTATAACTTCGTTGTTTTTCAATGTATTTTCATCTACTCTGAGATATGAGCTTTACTTATTATTATAGAATTTTGGTATACATTTTATGAAAGTCGGACAACTATATCATATAGCAGCCATAGAAGCGATCAGATGTAGAGAAAATGTAAAGCTGGGAATGTAAAACTGTAACTGTCAAACTGTAAACATAATAAGTATAGGTAAAATGGTATGTAACTCAGTTTAGTGTCTGTTTTCGGCATTATAATTTATGACATAAATATGAAAACCAATCTGCAAGGGTATACAAACTTCGGCGTGCCGAAGTTAGCTTTCTTTCTTGTTTTAGTTTGCTTTTTTAGAGATTATTCTAGAGTTTCAATTTTATTTGAATTGATTCAAGGCAGAAAAACTTGGGCGGCCTCTTTACTTATTTAATAAATATTTTGGAAAAACTTTGCTAACAAAATTCAGTCACCCTTTGAGTGCTCTTTTCTTTAAGCATTGGCAGCTCTCTTGACCATTTGGCAGCTGCCTGTGCCATCTTGGCCATGGATACTGGCCTACTTCACAGGGCTACGTGCCTCAAGGCTCTCTCGTCTTCGTTTTCGCTTTTGACTCTTGGCTAAAAGGAGAAATTCGGTTATCTAAACACGCTTAAATCGGCGCCTTAATCGGCGGCGAGTCGCGGGAGTCATTGACCGATACAGGTGAGGCACTGGTAGCCAAGGCCAAATACTTATGTATGGCCACAAGTCCTAGTTGTTAGTTAGTTCCATTCGGAAGTCTCAAATACCATCTACATATATGTGGCCATATTTACGGCCGATAATGATGGCCGCCCCAGCGATAGAAGCCACTACAAATCACAGCGGTGGAGTTAGTTTTTGTAAGGTTAATAACTCTGCATACTGAAATTAATTTTAATAAAATTGAACAATTTAATTTCAATAAAAATTAAATAAATTTAATTTAAATATTTATCTTTAATTTTATATCATTGTTTTTTATAAAATCCCCAACACAGAAATGCTTTAAGTATAATTCGAAAAAATGCCTTAGTTTTCAAATTATTAATAAATCTGCATTAAGGTTTTTTTAAGGAGAAAAGAAACAAGTAACTAAACAAATGATTAATAATACTCAACATTTTCATTTGTATTTTGTGATAAAGAAGCTCTAACTTATGAATTTAATGTTTTAAAATAAATAACAACCAGATTGTATATAGGAATTTTATAAAAAGTATGTTTCAAAGAAGGATACCATTCCTAAACAAGAAAGGAAGCTAACTTCGGCATGCCGAAGTTTGTATAGCCTTGCAGAAATTATTTCATTAGATTTTACCACTAACCATACAACATATAGACTGGTCATTTCATACAACGAAAATGGACGCAAAAATTTCTTAGCGTACGGTCCCATGTTAACAGTTTGCTGTTAGCGACAGACCGTCTGTTAGATTTTAGCTGTTAGCGACCCGTCCCATGTTAGCTGTCAGCTGTTAGCGTCAGGCCTTTACATGTATGCGTGTTCATGCATTCACGTACACGGGTGCATGTGTGCGATCATTTCATTTCGGGCCAGCAAGAATATTTGGTCTTTTGCTACTTTTCGCGCTAGGTACCCTAACAATATGGGCATATTCGCTATTGGGTTAATGATACAAATAATTTTATATGTTATAATATATTTCTTAATGTTTCAGCATTCATTTCATATTTGTTTACAATTCAATTCAGTGGCAGCAGTGAAATGTGTGGCATATATGTGCATATGTATTCGAATGAATAAAAATCCATCTACTGAGATAGGAACAGGGCATATTGGAGTCGGTGCTCGTGATCAGGGAACCGTGAAGGTTTACAAAAACAACGACGCAGGTAGAAAGCACATCGCTGCAATCTCGAGTTTGCGACCCAAGCGACCGAACTCGCACATCGTACCAAAAACAAGAACAATTTTAAAGGGAACTGCGAGGCTGGCGTTGACTTCTGCACTAAAGAAAAAAGTTTGGATTTCTTTTGTAGTCGTTTTTCTTTGGTGGACTTAAATTCACGCAAAAATGGCTGAAGTTATTGAAAGCTCCAATGAGATATTTCTTTTCAAAAATAATAATTTGGATCTGATGCAGTGCAATCGATTTTGACGAATTAATAAACAAATATACATTTTTGACCAATTAATAAACAAATATAATTAATTCTACTCAAAAAGTTTTTGTCAGTGTATTTCCTCTGCTCGCACATTCTGTGTGGCGCGTGAATGCCCTTTTCCTATCTCAGTAGATGGATTTTTATTCATTCGAATACATATGCACATATATGCAACACATTTCACTGCTGCCACTGAATTGAATTGTAAACAAATATGAAATGAATGCTGAAACATTAAGAAATATATTATAACATATAAAATTATTTGTATCATTAACCCAATAGCGAATATGCCCATATTGTTAGGGTACCTAGCGCGAAAAGTAGCAAAAGACCAAATATTCTTGCTGGCCCGAAATGAAATGATCGCACACATGCACCCGTGTACGTGAATGCATGAACACGCATACATGTAAAGGCCTGACGCTAACAGCTGACAGCTAACATGGGACGGGTCGCTAACAGCTAAAATCTAACAGACGGTCTGTCGCTAACAGCAAACTGTTAACATGGGACCGTACGCTAAGAAATTTTTGCGTCCATTTTCGTTGTATGAAATGACCAGTCTATATGTTGTATGGTTAGTGATTTTACCTATACTTATTATGTTTAGAGTTTGACAGTTACAGTTTTACATTCCCAGTTTTACATATTCTCTACATCTACCGATCGGTTTATATGGCAGCTATATGATATAGTTGTCTGATTTTCATAAAAGTTATCCCAAAATTCTGCACTAATAAAATAAGCTTATATCTCAGAGTAGATAAAAATAGGTTGAAAAACAACGAAGTTATAATTTTTTTCTATTAAAATCCCGATCGTTCCTATGGCAGCTATAAGATATAGTCGTCCGATTTTAATCAAATTTTTACGGAAATTCTAAAATAAAATGGCCATATCTAAATAATAGTGCAAAAATGTTGAAAAACAGCCAAGTTTCTAAAAATTTATCGAGCATTTGTATGGCACCTATATGATATAGTTGTTCGATCCGGCCCGTTCCGACATATATAGCAGTGAGAGTATATAGAAGACTATATGCAAAGTTTCATTCAGATAGCTTTAAAACTGAGGGACTAGTTTGCGTAGAAACGGACAGACGGACGGACGGACGGACGGACGGACGGACGGACAGACGGACATGCTGATCAAGAATATATATACTTTATAGGGTCGGAAACGTCTCCTTCACTGCGTTGCAAACTTCTGACTAAAATTATAATACCCTGCAAGGGTATAAAAAGTACACTTTCGCCTTATTAAGTGTGCCCATTTCCTGTGTAGCAAAGGAGCGAGTAAATTAACAAAAATTCACAAAAATTAGGAATATTGGAATACCTGACATAACTCATAAGATGGCCACAAAACACAATAATAATACCCTCAACCGTGGGCCAATAAACCCACATCCACTCGGCCTTGGCCCAAACCACACAAGGTAGCTAAGCTTCAGTCGTGTGATCCCCCACAGGTGGACATCAACCCCTCCAAAACAAAGCATAGACTAAAGCCGGAATTCAAGAAAGAGATTTTTAAAGAGATTTTTAGCTTTGAGAAATACTTTTCCCAGGGACTGTCTTGAATATATGTATAGTACACCATTGATATAATGACACTCTAAAGTCGACTTTTTAAACAATTGCTCGGTAATCATCGACGAACAGGGGTATATGTATTCCACCTGTCCCTCTATCTCTATCTTGAAAATGTTTTGCTCTCCACGTTTTTAACCCGTTCCGATGAGTAATGCCCATCCACGAAGTTGTTTTCGTTCTACGCATCACTATTTTGATAGTACAATCTGTAGTATGTAGTAGTGATCATGAGGTCACACTTTTCATTCATCGAGAACAGGTTCGTTTGCTGAAATAATTGTATTTTTGTTTTAAATTAAGGGGGAAAGTAGAAGTTGTAGAAGTTGAAATATACATTCGACTATAGATGTACCTATATTATAGAAAAAAAACTGAAAATTAAACAAAAAATTATAAATAATAAAATAAAGTATTATATCTAAAAATATTAAAATATATTTATAAATATATACATATAATAAAGGTGAAAGGTTGAATGTCCCAATTTAGATTTGAGGCCTCTTGTTGCACTAAAATTCCCAACTAGTTCTAGCCACAAAGTCTAGACCTACCTACACCCACTCTTATAGTAATCACCAGGTATCGCCTAGTCCAGTATGGTTCCCAACAGATTCGACATATTTTTCGGCAAAGTGCGTGACAATGCCGTTTCCGAGAGAGAGATCCAGCAGTGAAAGTGGTCCGCCTCAGACGCCTCGCTGGAGATCTCGGTTTCGTTTAGCCGCCCGTCCGGGAATACCTGGCCAACAGCCCCCCCAACACACTTCGAATTGATTGATGTAACCATCATTATTATGATATTGCGCAATAGGGCCCAGGTGAGTTAGAGACGCGCTCGCCCTTGCCAAGGGCGGCGCCGGGGATCAACGACCGGGCGTTATGAACTCTCCGGCCGTGAACCGCCGGATCTGTTACGGCCAGACGGAGAGAGAGAACGAGCCAAGGTGAGCCACTGCCACTAGTACTACACACGAATTTATTGGCCCGATTTGTAGTGGCTTCTATCGCCGTCGATCGCTTTGCTGCGCTATCGGTTGTTGGCCCCACGGCGAGTAGTGCAAAAAGTGTGGAGGAAATTCCCCGGAAAGCTATATAGCTTGGAATACAATGGAAATATAGTTTTAGATGGCTAAGGAGCTAAGATCTTCTTGAAAAAATAGCTGAAATTATTTCAATTCCTAGGCAAATATCTTAAGAAACAATGAAGATGGGCTTATTTTAGATAAGTATTGTTAAGATACTGTTACATAAGGTATCAATAATCCTTCTAATAAATCTTGTAGCTCCGCTTAGAAAAGTTATAGGATTTTTGTTTAGGTTTAGGAGTGTTATTACCGATATTCTACGTGTAAGTTGAGCTACAAATCGATACTTTGCTTGATATATTTTAGAGGAATGCAATCGGAAAAGAGAAATAGTCTTTTATTTATATATTTTTATATATTTTACATTTTCCTGATATTGATATTTTCAAATGAAATTCTATATTTATTTTTGTATATTTAAAAAATCTATATATATTTATTTTGAAGATATTTTCGATATGATATTAAGTGCGATATTGTTGTCCATATATAAAATGAAACTTTTTCTTTGAATGTACTATACCCACTTTGATTTTTGGTAACCTGTAAAAATCCTGTGAAAACTCATAATATTCTCCTGAAATGCTTCCAAGTTGATGATTTTCAAAGAATATATATAATATACATATAATATATGAAAAATATATGACGAATATACACTCATAAAAATGTTTGCCTAAAATCGCCCTTAAAAAGCCGCTTTTCGCCCGTGTATTTAGAAATTCGCCATAGAAAAGATTCCAAAGGCGAGTCGCTCTAGATTTGAGAAAATTTGCCCTAAATTTGAGGAAAGAATTTTTCCTAAATCTAGGGCGATTTTTCTTGAATGAAGAAACATTTTCTTGTTTATAAGGAGATTTGTCCTAAATATGGGAAAAATTTTCCTCAAATTGAAGGTGAATTTTTTCTTACATTTAGAAAGATTTTTCTTGAATGTAGAAAAATTGAAGGTAAGTTGCAATTGTTTGTTGTTGCTGCTGCTGTATTTGTAAATAAGCAATAATATTATTTTTGTTGTAAAAATATTGTTAATAAATTATTAATTATTAACAAAGGCGACCAAAATGCTAACACTTTTGGTGTTGCAAAAGAGACTTGCTCTTACTAAGTGTTGGCCGGCCACCGGCACCTCATGCCAGAGACGTTTGAACCAGTTGGGAATTGTATGCGCACGCGTGCGGAATTTGCCAAGGAATCCGCCATAGTTTTACGAAAAGTTGACCAGCAAAACAAAGAAAATTCTCCCGTAATTTAAGAAAATTCGCCCTTAATTAAAAAAAGAAAATGAACGAAGCAAATCCGAACATTTTGCCCTACATTTGATGAAAATATGTAAATTAACCCTAAAAAAGTGTATTTATGGCGGCTTGTCTTGATTTTACGGTGCCTTGCCTTAAATTCATGAAAACCTTTTCTTAATTCCAGAAAAATTTTCTAGGTTTAACGGCGTTTTTTTTTTATGGCGATTTTTCTTAAATCTAGAAAAATATTTTTATGAGTGTATTAGTAACTTATGAGTAGAATAAAATTAATATATAATATGAGAAATATTTGATCGATTTCAAGCACAAGATACATACCTCAGGAACTGACCAGAATAAATACCAAAAAAGTGCACTTAATGAGCCCCAGTGTTAACCCGGATTCCTCCAAACCCATCCCATCCCATTCCACCTCTCCTTCCGTGAACGACACACTTCGCTGGTCACGCGATGCTGGGAAGTCCCCAGTCCCACTGCCACTGCATCGCCGAAAAGAGTGCAATTAAGCCCGGGAGAGTGGATAAAAAGTTACTAGTTGCTCATCGTCACCCGTTGGCATTGAATCTAATTCGGAGCTATATCGGTCGACGACCCCAAAAAATGTTTGCCAGCGATCGTGATCGTGGAGATACCAAATACCGAAGCTGGCCAAGAGGCAGCGCGTCCAAGTTAAGGGATTCCAGATAGAGCGGTGCACGGCTCCGACTGCTGCAGCCGGAGAGCGCCGGCGATTAGAGAGCCGAACGACGGGAGGGAGAGAGCTGTGCTGCTCCGCTCCCGCTGTTACTGGTCATATCGCATCATTAAGAGCTCCCCCGAGCAGAGCCCTACTCGCCCGTATAAATATCACGGCCTCGTCACGGCCACAGCACTCCCGAAATTGCTTTGATCGAGCCCAGATCCCCCCAGAAACCCACACTATCCCCCCATGCTCATCCGGTTGTTCCTGCCACTGGCAGTGGTCTCCACCCTGCTTCTCCTTGGCCTGCCCGCGGTCAGTGGGTATAGCTCAAAGGACCTGCTCGTCTGGATGCAGGCCAGCAACCTGGGCTACCAGGTGCTCCAGCAGGCGGCGCTTAACGACAACAATCAATCCACGACGGCAGCCGAGGCAGCCTGTGTGGATGAAGTGCGTCTGCTTCTGAAGGCCGCGGAGGCCAAGTCCTTGCCCGCTCTAAGAGGTGAGTTCTTTGGGGGAGTGGGGTCAGTCTTCTGACAGTAAACCACCCTCTTCCTTGCAGTGCTCGATGCCTGGGGCAAGTTCCCGCAGGGCCTGCTCTATGGCCACTTCACCGACCTTGGCAACTACGAGTCCTGTATGAGCCCGAGCCACTCTGAATCCAAGTACTGCCTGAGCCACATCCAGTTCGATAGCCTGCTGCTGGAGGCCGCCGGTGCGGAGGCTCTCACCCTGAGCATTGGCACTTGTCTACCGGCCACCTGCTCGGCGGAGCAGCTTAACCGCTGGCTAAGGGGTCACCTACAGGAGCTCTTTGGACAAAACTCAACGGGAGTTGTGATGGTGGGCGAGCAGGACTGCTCGCTGGCCAGGAGAGAGCCCATGGGCGGCCTGGACTGGTTTGCTGTGTGAGTAAAAGTAAAAGAGGGGCACTCTTCCCACACACTTATGCAAGTTGTGAACGGCCACAAGGGCGTATACGTGATGCGTACACTTGTTTTTTTGAGTGGCAATGACATTGCTTGGCCAAGTGATTCTCTTGATGATGACTAATGCCTTACCTTCTACATTCCAGCTCGATCCTGATCCTTTTGGGCTTTGTGGTTCTCCTTGCCACCGTTCTGGACTATGGCAAAGGTAGGTTCTCCTGCCAAAATCCCCCTCGACTGCCTTAACCCTACCTTAACCCTGCTCTCTTTCCAGTTTCTGGCCAACTCCTCGGCGCTTTCTCGCTTCGCCAAAACCTGCCGCAGTTGCTGACCACCTCGAGCACACCCTCACCGCGGTTGATTCCCTGCCTGCATGGCATCCGCTGCCTGACCATCATCTGGATTATTCTAGGACATGGTTACATGTACCTGCTGCTGGCACCCACCGTGAACTCTTTGGAGATTGTGGCCTGGGCCAGGACACCCTTCTCTATGGTAATGCAGAGTGGAGCCGTCTCTGTGGACACCTTCTTCCTGCTGAGTGGCCTGCTCCTGGTGCTTTCCAGCCTGCGTGAGCTGGAGCGGTGAGTGGTAACCCCTGTACTTGAGCTCAAGATTAGTATACTTCTCCTCCTCCTGCAGCACAAAGGGTAGCTTGAATGTGCCGCTGATGTACCTTCACCGCCTGGTGCGGCTAACGCCTGTCCTGGCTTTGGCCGTGCTCCTCTTTATGACGCTCTTTCCCCGTTTGGACAATGGTCCGCTGTGGCAGCAGTTCACCAGCTCCTCGGAGCTCTGCAGCGACTCCTGGTGGGCCACGCTGCTTTATGTACAGAACTATGCGGCTCCTGGAAGGATGGTGAGTGGAGAGACTCCTCTGCCTGACCCAAAATGAAACCCTTTTTTGCCTCTCTTGACAGTGTCTGGGGCACTCCTGGTATTTGGCTGTGGACATGCAGCTGTATGTGCTTTCGCCCATTCTGCTGATTGCTCTTTACAAGTGGGGCAAGCGGGCTATTGGGGGCATCTTGCTGCTGATCCTGCTGCTCTTTGGCTGCGTCTTTAGCATTGTTATGCTGCGGCAGTTGCAGGTCTTTGACCGCCATGGGTGAGTACTCAAAGTGAATCTTTCCAGTCAGATCCGACTCAACCTGATCTTTCTCCTTGCAGCAACCTGGGTGCCGACAGTCCCGAAATGCGTCTCCTGTACTACACCACCCATGCCCGGGCCACGCCCTGGCTGATTGGACTCCTCTTTGGCTACTTCCTGCACCACCAGGGCAAGCAGGCCACCAAGATGGCAGCTGTGCCCCTCTGGCTGGCTCTGGCTTTGTGGGTGGTCTGCCTCAGCCTCCTCCTGGTGGTGATCTTCGCCGTGTTTCCTTACACTCAGGATGGAGCGGAGTCTATCTCGCCGCTGGCCGGCGCCTTCTATCTCTGCTGCAGCCGCATTGCCTGGCCTTTGGCTTTGTGCTGGCTCATCTGGGCCTGCCAAAATGGTTTGGCTCCGGTGATTGGTGACCTGCTGGGCTGGTCCTTCTGGCAGCCACTGTCCAAGCTCTCCTACTGCCTCTACATTTGGCATTTGCTCGTGGAGACGGTACATGTGGCGCGCAGCAAGACAAGTTTGCATTTCTCCAACTATGATGCTGTGAGTAGCTTCTATTGCCGACTGAACTTGAACCATAATTCATCCTTGCCTCCTTGCAGATCCTCCGCTTCTGGTCGGACTTTGGCATCACTCTTTTTGTGGCCCTGGTCATGTACTTATGCGTGGAGGTGCCGCTGGCTCGCCTCGAGATGCAGCTGTTGCGCAGGCGCAGCAAGCCGCAGCCACCGGCCAACTCCCAGCCAGCAGACCAGGCCCTCGAGGAGGTACCTGCTCCAGCCACAAGCATTTCCCGACAAAATCTAGTCGATCCGTAAAGGCCTGAGCTCGAAGTTCTAGGTTTATTATATGTGATTTCAACGTTCCTGTTTTTTCCTGATTTTTCAAAGACAAACATTAACAATAAAAGCATAAAATATATTTTAAAAATTTCCACACAACCAATTTGAATCCACCAACGAGAGTCCACTTTGTCCGAAAGTATTCCAAAAGTCGCTGCTAATCATGCCTTCCGGTTCCGGGAGTCCACTCAGAGTAAAAAAGGGAAACGATGGCCCTGTTGGACATCTTCCATTCAGACACCTCCAAGATCATGTCCAGCGTCCACACATAGCTCATGTATAGGGCAAAGAAGTTCAGATAGTACAGCTGCCCGATCAGTATGTAGTCTCCGGGGGCATCGTCGTGATAGAAGTGCGGCCTCCTGACGGAGGCGCCAAAGACAATCACGAACTGTGGGGCAGGGGAAGAGATTTCTTAAATAGATAAAAACAAAATAAATCATCTTCTTTCTTCAAAACTGAATTTAGTTTTTTTGTCATGAGTTCTTTTGGAGTTCTTAGGTTCATCACTCACCACATTCGACAGACACGTATAAATGATCATGCAGGGCAGCTCCACCATGGTGCGCTTCATCTCGGCGGTGACGATGATCCCGAAGCATGTCAGCACGAATATCCGTTCGCTCCACAGGATCACATTGTGCCGCGAGATCTGGGGATATACGCAGCCCGGTCAGGAATCATTAAATGCCGGGCAAAGACTTACAAAGAGACCCCTCTTGTGGTTGATTGCGATGTGGCCATAGGTCACGCTGATCACCATAATCAGGAGTGTAATGGCGGCGGATATCAGGAGGCAAAAGTACGGGGCACGCTTGGTGGGCTTCATAATGGAAATGGTGTTGATTTGGTACTGAAAAAAAAGGTGATAGGGTTATAAGTTCGATACCAATCACCACTCACCGTCCAGGCTCCAGCCAGGAACCGCACCCACTTTGGCTTGCTCACGATAATGCGGTAAAAGAACCCGTACAGCTGGATGGTCAGGAAGCTGACGAAGAACTGGGCCAGGCTGAGACCGTAGCGTGTCCCCAGCAGCTCGTTGAAGGTCTTGCTAAAGAGCAGAATATCCACCAGGATAATCAGGAACGATCACTACGCCTACTACCACTCACATCTCAATCACGGCAATCACCTGCATCTGCCCAATGATCAGCATCACGATGGTCACTCCGTAGGTGGGAACAGCCAGGCCCTTTTGCGGCGCTTCTGGCTGCTGCAACATCATTTTGGTACCGGTTTTGGCCGGATCTTGCTACTTATCTCCTTCGTAATTTGGTAAACACTCATAAAAAACGGAGTCTGTAAAATGGAGAGGCGGAAAAATAAATGCCAACTGATATCCACAGCCAGGGGGGACTTTTCCGACACCCATTTCTTGAGTCCTGAAAGCCAGGAATTCACTAAAAACTGATTGATTTTAATTATTATTCTATTTAAGGTTAAATAGGAACGGATTTTGAACTAACAAATACTTAATTTATAAAAAAATATACGTTTTAATAACAAACAAGAAAGGAAGCTAACTTCGGCACGCCGAAGTTTGTATACCCTTGCAGATTGGTTTCGATGTTTATATTATAGATTTAAATGCTGAAAAGACTCACAAAACAGTGTTTCATTACATTTTACCTATACTTATTATGTTTACAGTTTGACAGTTACAGTTTTACATTCCCAGCTTTACATATTTTATACATTTACCGATCGCTTCTATGGCAGCTATATGATATAATTGTCCGATTTTTATAAAATTTATACCAAAATTCTAGAATAATAAAAAAAGCTTATATTTTAGAGTAGATAAACATACGTTGAAAAACAACGAAGCTATAATTTTTTTCCTATTAATTTCCCGATCGTTCCTATGGCAGCTATATCATATAGTCGTCCGATTTTCATAAAATTTTTACCAAAATTCAGAAATAATATATAATGGCTACATCTAAAAAATTGTGCAAAAATATTGAAAAACAGCAAAGTTATAATATTTTTTCGAAAAATATATCGAACATTTGTATGGCAGCTATATGATATAGTCGTCCGATCCGGCCCGTTCCGACATATATAGCAGTGAGAGCATATAGAAGACTATATGCAAAGTTTCATTCAGATAGCTTTAAAACTGAGGGACTAGTTTGCGTAGAAACAGACAGACGGACAGACGGACAGACGGACAGACGGACAGATGGACAGATGGACAGACGGACAGACGGACAGACGGACAGACGGACAGACGGACAGACGGACATGGCTAGAACGACTCGGCTGTTGATGCTGCTCAAGAATATATATACTTTATAGGGTCGGAAACGTCTCCTTCACTGCGTTGCAAACTTCTGACTGAAATTATAATACCCTGCAAGGGTATAAAAATTAACTAATATTTAGGCTGCCTTCGAGGTAGCCCCTTCTGGGAGCTGCTCCTCCTGTTGCTCCTTTGTCACGGCCTGAGCCTGCTTTGCCGGACTCCTTCGACTGGGCATTAGCAGCCCCTCCAGTCCTCCCAGCGGAGCCTCTACGACGACGTACATCACATAGGACATGACGAGGGTGAAGCCAAAGGTGGCCCAGAACCCGCACATCTGTGGCAAAAGAAAATCGGATTGCAAAGCATTAGTAGTCATCCCACTTCCTGCTTCCTTTTGGATCCCCTACACTTACCACGTCGTAATCCGAGAAGTAAATGTTCGATCTCACACGCCTGTGGTTCACCTCCTGGATGAAGATGTGCCAGACGTAGGCGGAGTAGGAGAGCCTGGACAGCGACTGCCACAGGGGCGAGGAAAGAAAGCTGTTGGCCAGGCCTCCGTATCCCTGGACGCAGGCAAAGACCACCCAGCAGAGGGCCAGGGGCCAGCCGATGCGGGTCAGGGTGTAGTAGAGCGCTCCCTCCAGCACCGTGGGCGAGGGACCCAGCAGCTTTGCGTACGAAAACATGGCGAAGAGCGAGGTGAAGATCATTGCCAGGCAGAGCAGCCATCCGGTCCACACGGCCAGCCCATTGAGGCGCAACTGCTTGCCGCGGACCAGGTGCATGAAGTAGCCAAACAGGGTGCCCACCAACCAGGGAGCTGCATGCGTGTGAGTGGCAGCATATAGCTTCTTCTGCACCTCAGGATCTTGGCCGCCATTTCTATGGTGAACAAAGAGAGCGATTAGTAAGTGTGCGCAAATAACATTGGCTATCAAGACGAGAGCTCACTTAGCAAGGATTCCGTAGTCGTTGGTCATGATGGTGGCAAAGAGGCAGGCGGAGAGCAGCAGCATGACCAGGAGGATGGCTGCGGCGCCCTTCTTGCCCCACTTGTAGAGCCCTATCAGCAGGATGGGCGCCAGGACGTATAGTTGCATGTCCACGGCCAGGTACCAGGTGTGTCCAAGGCACTGAAAATCCAAACTCAATGTGGATTACATTGCGAAATCCAATATATAACCAGTGTCCAACTCACCGTATCATTGGTGGCATAGTTCTGCACGTAGAGCAGTGTCCAGTACCAGGTCCTCCTGCACACGGAGTAGTCAAAGAAGCCCACATCGTCGGACACTGGCCCGGCGACCAGGAGCGGCAGCATCTTCATGTAGACGAGGATGGCCACGGCCACGATGGGAGTGAGGCGCAGGTAGCGGTGCAGGTACATCAAAAGCACATTCAGCCTGCCCTTGCTCCTGTGGAAAAACAAAGAGGAATCTAGATACAAAGAGGCCCCATGGGATTCCATATGCCACACTCACTTGTCCAGGGTGCGGAGGCCAATCACCACGAGCAAGAAACCACAGAGGAAGAAGAACGTGTCCACCGAAAAGGGAGCGAAGAGGATGAAGCTGGAGTAGGGCTTGGACATCCAACGCAAGCTGTACTGCTGGTTGACGGACAGCGCTTTCAAGTACATGACGTACTCGTGACCCAGTACCACCCAGATCAGGGACAGGCAGCGCATGCCGTTGAGGCACTGGATCACATTGGGAGTCGCCTTGGGGTCCACGATGGCGAACAGCTCGCGGGAAGTGGCACGGGCCGAGAAGACCTTCACCAGCCGGGGAAGCTTGCCCTGATCCGGGCACAGGAAGTAGTCGTAGAGAGTGCACAGTGCCACCACGGCACAGAAGATGGACAGGAACACACTGGCGGAGGCGTAGGTCAGGGTCAGTCTGGGTGAGGAAGAGAGGAGGATCAGAGATACTCACATGGTGAAGATGGTGAGACCGTCGAGGGGATCGCTCTCGCTGGTCTGGCAGGACTGTTCGTTGATGTAAAAGAACTTGTCGAGGCCGCCGGTGCCCAGGAGACGCTGGAGGAGCTGCTTCAGGAAGACCTCCATGGTCTCGGCAGAACAGGAGGAGGGAAAGCAAACGGCGGTTTTCATGTTGGTTACCGCCAAGAGTTCGGAATTGAAGCCCAGCCACTTGGCGACGGGTAGTTCCAGGAAGCAATATTTCCCTTTGATGTGGTGCGTCTCGGTGATGGTTCCGTCTACACGAAGGCACTCCTCGTAGTTGCCCATGTCGACGCGGTTGCCGCTCAAGTAGCCCGAGGGCTTGTTGCCCCACGAGTCCAGCACTGCATTCGGGGAAATCGTTGACTTGGGGACAGGATGAAGTCTTTATTTGAGGGTTTCACTCACTGCTAAGAGCCCACAGCTTGGGCGAGGCCAGGCTCCCCATGAACTGGGCCAAGTCCGCCAGGCACACCAGATCCTGCTGGTTAAGGCGTCCATCTAGGAGATGGAGATCCGAGGCAGAAATGTTGCGAAACTGGCGGTAGAACTCGGGACCCAGGGAGGGCAACTCCAGGAGCCGTTGGAATGGCGGTGATAGGTGTCCTCCATTGGGATCGTGCGGGTCGGGAGAGTGGCTTGCGCCACCGCCGTCAGGCAAATGAGAAGGAAGTTAGTTCTAGACGCCGTGCTGACCATCGTGCGAATGCTCCCTATTCGGCGCACAGTGCTCCATTTATATGGCCAGTTGGAACTTGACGTATTCCCCCGAAGACTCCTTATCTGAGGCGTTACTACGAACTGATTGCTGATCAAGATCTCCCAGCCGCAGCTATGCGGTGTATTTTTATAGCGACAGTCATGGTCATAGCCAAAAGCGTAGCCAATGTCAATCCATGACGGGTGAACTTGAGTCTGCGAGATACGACTAATATCTTTTAAAAGGTTCGAGGAAATCAGAGCTAATTTGGGTTGTGAATATTTAAAATTATATTTAACTTAATCGCAAAACTGTCGTGCTCTTGCAGCCTTATGTTCTGCGGGATCTAGCCACTTGCCAAGTGATTCCTGTTTGAAGGAGGGTTAGGTATGTACTATATACCCAAGAGGAGCTTGGTCTTCGATGGTTTGATAAGGTAAAGAAGCTTTCTTAAGCTTGCAGAGAAAGTCATCCACATGGTTTAAATCCCTTAAGGTAACCTTGCCAGAAGAATCATCCAACATTGAAAAAGATAAAAACTGAAATGGATCCGGCTGAACATTCATTAACGTCACACTAAACCTGATCCCATTTACTGATAGTAACTGGATTACAGTTAAATAACAATAATAATAGTCACCGAATATAAACGAAATTCCCTCCTAATCTGATCCACCAGGAAGCCCTATCTTTATCTATCGAAATTGCACCATTTAAAGATTGCTTTCGGTTTTATTAAAGATTAAATGCTTTCTTATCGACTTGACTAGCGCTTGAACTTAAATTTACAATACAAATAATACAATTAAAATTATTATTAAACAAACAAAATAATAATAATACGAGGGTAGGCTGATAAAAAGTCGGCCTTACAAAGAAAATACGTTTTTTTTTAAATTTTTCTTTTTTATATTTCAACATAATCTCCTTTTAGACGTATGCACTTGGACCACCGATCCTCCAGTTTCCCAATACCTTCTATAAAATAGGATTTGTCCAGGTCCTCAAAATAGGGGTTTGTTTCACAGACTACCAGTTCATTTTACTGAAATTTCTTACCCCCAAGCCATTTTTTTAAGTTTGGAAATAAATAATAGTCACAGGGTGCTAAATCTTGAGAATAGGGTGAATGGGATAGAATTTCTTAGTGCAATTCACACAATTTCGACATGGCGACAAAGCTCTTGTGAGCGGGAGCATTGTCCTGGTGAAACAAAACTTTCTTCTTCGCCATGTGCGGCCTTTTATTTCTTCAGCTCCAAATCAAATCGTCCCAAGATATTGGAATAGTATTCTCCCGTAATTGTTCTGCCTTTTTCCAGATAATCCACATGAATTACACCTCGGGAATCCCAGAAAACCGTTGCCATCACCTTATTGGCCGACAAACCGATTCTTGCCTTTTTCGGTGCCGTTTCTCCAGTTGAAATCCATTGCTTTGACTGTTCCTTACTCTCTGGTGTATGGTAATGAATCTAGATTTCGTCAACAGTCACAAAACGACGAAAAAATTCGTTTTGGTTTGCGCAATCTGCAAGCGGTTGCGTGACAGCACGATATTCGATTTTATTCATATTATTTCGTCAATATGAAAAGTGAATGCGTTAAAAGTCTCGCCAAAATTACCTGTGTTGATAAAACCGCATGAAACTTTCACAGTAATCAGCTAATAGAAAACACTAATCGAATAAAATATTTATGAATTAAAAAACAATTTTTTTCTCTGTTAGGCCGACTATTTATCAGCCCACCCTCGTATTTATTAGCCTGCAGCTGTCTTCGAGGTAACCGCTTCTGTATCTTCAGTCTGGGAGAACTCTGGGCGCTGGGGCTCCTTCTGCTCCTCATGTAGCTCCTCTTGAGCCGGTGCAGGTGGCTGCTTCCCTGGACTCTTTCGACTGGGCATTAGCAGCCCCTCCAGGCCTCCCAGCGGAGCCTCCACGACCACGTACATCACATAGGCCATTAAGAGGGTGAAGCCAAAAGTGGCCCAGAAGTTGCACATCTGTGAAAATAGAAAATCGGAATTTAGTGGATAAGTAGTCTTGCCTTTGACCACTGGCTCCCTCACACTTACCACGTCGTAGTCCGAGAAGTAAGTATTTGATCGCACGCGCCTGTGATTCACCTCCTGGATGAAGATGTGCCAGACGTAGGCGGAGTAAGACAGCCTGGACAGTGGCTGCCACAGTGGCGAGGAGAGGAAGCTGTTGGCCAGGCCACCGTATCCCTGGACGCAGGCAAAGACCACCCAGCAGAGGGCCAGGGGCCAGCCGATGCGGGTCAGGGTGTAGTAGAGCGCTCCCTCCAGCACCGTGGGTGAGGGTCCCAGCAACTTTGCATACGGGAACATGGCGAAGAGCGAGGTGAAGATCATTGCCAGGCAAAGTAGCCATCCGGTCCACACGGCCAGCCCGTTGAGGCGCAACTGCTTGCCGCGGACCAGGTGCATGAAGTAGCCAAACAGGGTGCCCACCAACCAGGGAGCTGCATGCGTGTGAGTCGCAGAGTAGATCTTCTTGGCCACGTCCGGAAGCTGACCACCATTCCTGCGGAAAAAGGAGTGGTCAGAGGTCAAAAGAGGGGCAGTGAATCCTCGGAGGGGGGGCTTACTTGAAGAGAATCTTATAGTCGTTGGTCATGATGGTGGCAAAGAGGCAGGCGGAGAGCAGCAGCATGACCAGGAGGATGGCTGCGGCGCCCTTCTTGCCCCACTTGTAAAGCACGATGAGCAGGATGGGTGCCAGGAGGTATAGTTGCATGTCCACGGCCAGGTACCAGGTGTGTTCAAGGCACTGAAAGCCGAAAATGAATACGGGTAAAAGAAGACTCTAGGGTTTCCTCTAAGCGGGACTCCCTTTCCAGATCCCGGCGCAAACTCACAACATCAGTGGTGGCATAGTTTTGCACGTAGAGCAATGTCCAGTACCAGGTGTCCTTGCACAAAGAGTAGTCAAAGAAGCCGGCTTTCTCGTACATAGGACCAGCGGCCAAGAGCGGCAGCACCTTCATGTAGACAAGGATGGCCACTGCAACGATTGGGGTGAGGCGCAGGTAGCGATGAAGGTACATCAGAGGCACATTCAGCCTGCCCTTGCTCCTGTGCAAAATATAAGAGATCTCTGGGTTTAGTCAAGCCCCGAGAGACTCCTCATTCCATACTCACTTCTCCAGAGCTCGAAGGCCAATTGCCACGAGCAGGAAACCGCTGAGGAAGAAGAAGGTGTCCACCGAAAATGGAGCGAAGAGGATCAAACTGGAAAAGGGCTTTCCCATCCATCGAAGGTTGTCCACCTGGTTGATGGCCATAGCCATGATATTGATAATGTACTCGTGCCCGAGTACCACCCAGATCAGGGACAGGCAGCGCATGCCGTTGAGGCACTGGATCACATTGGGAGTCGCCTTGGGGTCCACGATGGCGAACAGCTCGCGGGAAGTGGCACGGGCCGAGAAGACCTTCACCAGCCGGGGAAGCTTGCCCTGATCCGGGCACAGGAAGTAGTCGTAGAGAGTGCACAGCGCCACCACGGCACAGAAGATGGACAGGAACACACTGGCGGAGGCGGAGGTCAGGGTCAGTCTGGGTGAGGAACAGAGGAGGATCAGAGATACTCACATTGTGAAGATGGTGAGACCGTCGAGGGGATCGCTCTCGCTGGTCTGGCAGGACTGTTCGTTGATGTAAAAGAGCTTGTCGAGGTCGCCGGTGCCCAGGAGACGCTGGAGGAGCTGCTTCAGGAAGACCTCCATGGTCTCGGCAGAACAGGAGGAGGGAAAGCACACGGCGGTTTTTATGTTGGTCTCCGCCAAGAAGTCCGAGTTGAAGCCCAGCCACTTGGCGATGGGCAGTTCCAGAAAGCAGTATTTCCCTTTTATGTGGTGCGTCTCCGAGATGGTTCCATCCACACGGAGGCACTGCTCATAGTTGCCCATGTCGACGCGGTTACCGTATAGGAAACCCGAGGGCTTGCTGCCCCACGAGTCCAGCACTGCGTTTGGAGAGATTGTTGAATTCGGGACTGGATGAGGACTTAACTTATGGGTTTTACTCACTGGAAAGGGCCCACAGCTTGGGCGAGGCCAGGCTCCCCATGAACTGGGCCAAGTCTGCCAAGCACACCAGATCCTGCTGGTTGAGGCGTCCATCTAGGAGATGGAGATCGGAGGCGGAAATGTTCCGGAACTGGCGGTAGAACTCGGGACCCAGGGAGGGCAGCTCCAGGAGCCGTTCGTAGCTCGCATTGGGATGGCGGTGATAGGTGTCCTCCATTGGGATCTGGCGGGTCGGAAGAGTGGCTTGCGCCACCGCCGCCAGGCAAATGAGGAGGGGGAGGGCTGCTCTAGACACTGAACTGACCATCGTTCGATTTTCCCCGTCGGTTTGCAATTGTTTTCTAATCACACGTCAATGTCCCATTTATATGGCCAATCGAAGCTCGGCGTGTTCCCCCGAATCGTGGAATCGTTATCTCCGCCGCTGAACAAGTTACTACGAATAGATTAACGTGCTGGCAAACGTTTCTGTAATCCTGCCGTGTTTTTATATCGGCTCCCGATAATCGGAACTGGCGAAGCCAAGGTCCACTTCAGGCACGAGCAATCACCAAATTTTATTTTAGATAAGCCCCCCTCGGTGGAAGGCATCTCAAAGCATCCACAAGAGCCACCAGATATTGGGATTCTAGGTCAAATTAAAGTTCAGGTAAATGAACGCAGTGGGTGGGTTCCTTCTGAGAATTTAGTATACCCTTTGCAGGATATTATAATTTTAGTTAGAAGTTTGCAACGCATGGAAAAATGTATGTCCTATAAAATATATGCATACCATATATACTTTATCAGTTTCAGCAGCCGAGTCGATCTAGCCGTGTCCGTTTCTGCACCAACTAGTCCCTCTGTTTTAAAGTTATCAAAATTAAACTTTACAAATAATTTTCAGACGACTCTCACTAGTATATAAGTCTACTATATCTTATAGTTGCCATAGAAACGATCGTACAATTTTTAGAAAAAACAAGAAAGGAAGCTAACTTCGGCACGCCGAAGTTTGTATACCCTTGCAGATTGGTTTCGATGTTTATATTATAGATTTAAATGCTGAAAAGACTCACAAAACAGTGTTTCATTACATTTTACCTATACTTATTATGTTTACAGTTTGACACTTACAGTTTTACATTCCCAGCTTTACATATTTTATACATTTACCGATCGCTTCTATGGCAGCTATAAGATATAGTTGTCCGATTTTTATGAAATTTATACCAAAATTCTAGAATAATAAAAAAAGCGTATATCTCAGAGTAGATAAACATACGTTGAAAAACAACGAAGCAATAATTTTTTCCTATTAATTTCCCGATCGTTCCTATGGCAGCTATATCATATAGTCGTCCGATTTTCATAAAATTTTTACCAAAATTCAGAAATAATATATAATGGCTACATCTAAAAAATTGTGCAAAAATATTGAAAAACAGCAAAGTTATAATATTTTTTCGAAAAATATATCGAACATTTGTATGGCAGCTATATGATATAGTCGTCCGATCCGGCCCGTTCCGACATATATAGCAGTGAGAGCATATAGAAGACTATATGCAAAGTTTCATTCAGATAGCTTTAAAACTGAGGGACTAGTTTGCGTAGAAATGGACAGACGGACAGATGGACAGACGGACAGACGGACATGGCTAGAACGACTCGGCTGTTGATGCTGATCAAGAATATATATACTTTATAGGGTCGGAAACGTCTCCTTCACTGCGTTGCAAACTTCTGACTGAAATTATAATACCCTGCAAGGGTATAAATATAAAAAATATATGCAAGGGTATACAAACTTTGGCGTCCCAAATTTAGCTTTCTTTCTTGATAATAAATCACACAGAAACAAGATGAACGAACCCCGATATGATTGATAACTTGTGTCCAGGCTATCACAGAATCGATTGATTGGGTGACTGGGATTCTTGGAAAACTATAGAAACCTCGCTGTGTTCATATCTAGCGAAAACTGGATTAATGTCACCTGTTGCTCCTGCGGAAAATCAAAATCAGGCATCTCACGGGGAAACCCTTCATCAGAGACTTGGAATTCAGAAACTTTTCACAATTTCTTTATTAAGGCCAGTCAGAGGGGGGTTTTAGGGTGATAATTTCTCAAATTTACGTAGCATATTCAATTCGCGGTAAGTGCGAGATTACAACTGTTTTTTATAATGACTCAGATAGCTGCAAGAAGGGTGAGTCGGAATCGGAATAATAAAGCGGCGATGAGCAATGCAGCTGGCACAGGCCAGAAAATGCATTGCTGGGGCCCTGATAAGGCCAAGAAGTCCAGAACGGGGGGCACTTGAAGTATCTCAATTTGTACACAAATTCAACTTGCCTTAAGCCTCCCCTTAGATGTCGTGGGTGGAGCTGCAAGTCCTGTCCTCGCTCCAATCCTCGGTCCCAGCATCGCCCATCACCTGCAGCGCCTTGAGCTTCGATATCAGCAACTCGAACATGTGCGTTGGCAGATTGGCCTGCAGCGCCTCCATCACCTTGTCCGGCTGGGCGCACAGGGCCACGGCGTTGGCAAAGTGGCCGAGGCCCTCGTCAACGCAGCCCTGGCCTATCAGCTCCTCCCCCGAACGCATCTCGCTGATGAAGTAGGCCTCGGGTGAGACCTGCTTGCCACCGTCCCGGGGCCCAATTGGAGATGAGGTCCTCGACGATGACGACGACGAGGTCCTCATGCGACGGCGGCGCTCGTACAAACGCTTCCGGAAGTCAGGGCTTGAGCGACGCTTCCGGTCAAAGTAGACGCAATAGCCCAGGACCAGAGCAACGGACAGGCCGAGGGTCAGGGAAATGAGCATTGGTGGCGCCATTTCCAACACGAATTTTGATTAAAAAACAAAGAAAGAAATTTACTAAAAGTTTGTAAAAAGCGACAGCTTCAATATCGGTTTTTTGTGGATGGCGTGCAGTTGTTTCGAAAGTCTGAGTAATAATAACTTGTGGAATTTCACTTAATATTGACCTGGTATAGACTCTGAAAACAGGGCCAACTTGTTGACGAAACAATGTATAGTATTTAAGAATTCCTTATTCATAATGTATAATCCTAAGCAAAAAAAAAAAGGAAAGTGGTAAGCCTAGGTTAACATAAATTCGCATTTAAAAAGAGTCTCAATGAAGCGCCGGAGGAGCTTCAGCTTCAACTTCAGCTTTTTTGGGTTTATCTGCTTTGACTGGAGCCTCCTGGACTGCAGCTTCCCCTGCTAGAGATGGCGCTTCCTTGGGCCTGGGATTCTGCTGACTCTTTGTGGGCAGCAGGAGACTCTGCAGATGGGCCAGCGGCGCCTCCACAAGAATGTGCATGAGGTAGGCCAGCAGCATGGTGAAGCCAAAGTCCGACCAAAAACGCAGCATCTAGAGGGCATGGAACATGTTATAAAAATATCAAGGAGACAGAGAAACTGTGGATCCAAACTCACCACTTGGTAGTCACTGAAGTAGGTATTGGTGCGCGTTAACCCCCCGTTAAGGCACTCGATGAACATGTGGAAGATGTAGGCGGAGTAGGAGAGCTTGGACATGGGCTGCCACAGGGGTGAGGAGAGCAATTCGCTGGCCAGACCCCCATATCCATGCATGCAGGCAAAGACCAACCAACAGAGGCCCAGCGGCCAGGCAATGCGGGTGAGGGTCACATAGAAGGCCTCCTCCACAATGGGCAAAGTATTTTGGCCATAGACCGCGAAGATGCAGGTGGCCAGCAGGGACAGACTCACCAGCCAGCCCACAAGGACAGCCAAGCGGCTAAGCCGGAAGACCTGACCCCGCTTGAGATGAAGGAAGTAACCGAAGAGGAGGCCAATAAGGTAGGGTGAGGCCCTGGTGTTGGTGGCGTAGTAAAGCTTTCGCATGGACTCGCCGCCCTGGGCGCCACTGAAAGAGAGAATTAAAGAGAGATTCCCAGTTTAGACTCCTTTCCTTTGCCACCTTTTTATAAAGTAAAACTTACAGGGACAGATCGTTGATAACCATGATGCTGAACAGGCAGCAGGCCAGGAGCATTAACAGGACAAAGATCCCAGCGGCCGCCTTTTTGCCCCACTTGTACAGGGCAATCAGCAGGAAGGGGGCAAAGATGTACAGCTGCATGTCCACGGCCAGATACCACGAGTGGCTGATGCACTGCAGCAAGTGAGATTATAAGGTAAGTGATATTTTCAAGAGCTCAAAGGTACCACCTACCAGTCGATCGGTGGCCACATTCTGCACATAGAGGAGCGTTAGATACCAGGTGTCCTTGCAGACGCTGTAGTCGTCAAAGCCAACCGTTCCATGGAGAGGACCGCTGCCCATTAGGGGCAGGATCTTCATGTAGATGAGTATGGCGATGGCCAGGAGGGGGGTGAGACGCAGGTAACGAAGCAGATACATCATGGGTATGTTAAGCCTCCCTTTGGTACGGTCCATGCTACGTAGGGCAATCACTACCAGGAGAAGACCGCTCAGGAAGAAGAACGAGTCCACGGCATAGACCCCGTGCTTCACGAACAAACTAAAAACGGAGTCGATCCACTAGGAGAGAACGGGGTTAAGCTAGATGATGATGGAGGAGTAGGTGTTGCCACTCACCGTGAGCACATAGGTCATATTCATGTTGGGCGACATGGCAAAGACCAGGTAGTCATGGCAAAAGACCACCCAAATGAAGGACAAACAACGGATGCCATGGAGGCAGTCTATCACATTGGGATTAGCCTTGGTATCCACTAGACGGAACAGAGACCGAGAGTTGGCCCTGGCCGAGAAGGCTCTGACCACCGGAGGCAGTGACTCTGCGAAGGAAGATTTCCCAAGGTTTTACTCAGTGAATGTCTCCCTGGATCCTACCCTCAATACTCACTTTCATCCTGAACCAAGAAGTAGTCATAGCAGGTGGCCAAGCCCACGGCAGCAGCCAGTATCGAGAGGAGGACTCTGCAAATATTTTTTGTTGGTTGTAAAGATCACCCTCCATCCTTCTTCTGGGGACCACTTACATGGTGAATACAGTGACTCCGTCGTAGGACTTCGACTCCGCTGTCTGACAAGTGGTCTCGTCCACTATCTGCACTCCTGTCCCAATCTCCACGTTCAGCAGCGTCTGGAAGAGCCGGCTTAGCAAGGTGTCCATGTTGGCCGCAGAGCAGGAGGCGGGAAAGCAGAGGGCCGTCTTCATTACCAGCGCCTGGGACACGCTCGGAGCGGGCACAATCTTGGCGAAACAATACTTGCCCCGGACATGGCGTCCTGTGGTGGCATCGGGGTGATCGATGCCTAAACACTCGTCAAAGTGTCCCAGATCCCACCAGTTGCCTACGAGCACGCCAGACGGCAACGTGCCCCAAGAGTCTATCACTGGAAGAGAACCGCTAGCATCAGTTTTATATCGTTTTCGGCGCCACCTACTCCTAATCCTACTTACTCTTTAGCGCCCAAATTTTGAGGTTGCGCAGGTCCTTGGTTAGCACCGCAAAATCCGCCAGGCACTGCAGATCCTGGGCCGAGGGAATTCGCGCATCTTGATAAAGATCCGCCTGGGTGAGATTGGGATAGTGATCGAAGAACTCCCCTGCCAGGCGGCGCAGCTGGGAGAAGGCCATGTAATTGTGGCCATCAATGTTGGCGGCCTGCTGTCCTTGGCTGATGGCACGTACATCGCCCAGGCGGGCCTCCACCCGGACACCAGCCAGGAAGATTATCCCTAGAGTAGTCACAGCTAGGCTAACCATAGTTCCCAGTCCGGCTGTATAGAGCAATTGTTAGGCTCGCTGGAGCTACACGTCTGTTTATACCTTGGCGGTCTGCCCAGTGCCCGCTGCCCCTGCAGATAGGAGCGTTATCAGACTCTAAAATTCTGTCAAGACAAAGCCAGGAATCTCCTCCACATTTTATTGCTTATCGGTTAGTGGTAGCCACAGATTGGTGGTCATTCGTTTACCCGCCTTGGCACGGTTTAGGGGGGTTGGTTAATTCGGTGCAAAACGAACCACTTTTCAAACATTTTTTGTGGCAAAACGGCTAAAGTCAGCTTAATGAATTCAATACCACATAATAACACAATAGATAACCAATTTTTTGTTTAATTTTGTATTGAAAAATATTGAGAGGTCTAGGAGTTATAGGAAATCTCCCGAGTGCCTTAAAAAAAATGTTGGTTTCCGTGTACATCCTAACTGTCCCCAGGATCATCCGATATAAAAAAAAAACATAATGCATTTTTTATAGGATAAGTGTCCCAAGGTTTTTTTTTATTTTTCCAAATTTTTTTTCTCAACATTGGAAGTCAAAATCTCAATTTATGGCAAACAAAATTAGGTTATTTTGTTAAATAAAAAATAAAACAAAATTTTAAATTAAATTATATAAAATAATAAAACTGTTTGCCTAACTTAATTTAAATATTTTCCTATAATTTTATATAATTTTTTGAAATAAACAAAACTTAAAAAATTTAAAAATTTACACCAAACGAACTCCTTTCAACTACGCATAATTTTGTCAATTTTGCTTTGATCAATGTGAAACTTTATCAAAATACTCTCAAGATAATAAACATTTATAATATGAAATAAAAAAAAAAGTACGAAAGAAATTAATTACCATACACACCCTTAAGCCCATCCCAGCTTCAGATTCAAAGCCTTTATGTAATGTGATCTATGGTGGCCACTTGAAGTGGCTACCACTTGTAGTCCTCCTCAGCTGCGCTCTGAGTAATACCACGTATCTCTGGTTATTATCGCCGCATTACCTGAGTCATGGACGCACTGCGAGATTGCCGTGAGGGGCCCAATCCCAATCACTGACTAGGTTCCCAGAAGGTCGCTTCGGTTCGATTGGGATCGCTCTCGGAAATAAATTCAAATTGATACATAAGCAGCCCGGCTATATTCCGTTTAAACGTTTAATCTAAAAGCCGAAGAAATAATTCCGTTTCGGGTTTATTTTTCGGGGAAGTCACTCAATCTGCTTGGTCATTCTCTGATAGCCATATAACAATATTAAAGACGAAGTAATCGCTTTTAAAATGCCAGATAATCTAAACATCCACTTGAGGGAGAACTGTGCTGGCTTTTCATTGGTTTTCCTGGGAACGATGGGTGGGTGGGCGGTGTTGAGATAATCTTGTTATTTAGAAAACAAAACAGAAACAACCGATACTTTGGACTAAAAATAATACCGTTCAGTTATTTTGAAAGGTACTTCAGGTTTGATCGATTGCCTATTGGAAAGTCAAAGAGTTCTTGTATTTAAGAGCAGATATATCACTATTTGTATACCCTTGCAGGGTATTATTATTTCAGTCAGGCGTTCGAAACGCAGAGAAGGAGTCATTTCCGACCCTATAAATCATATATATTCTTGATAAGCATCAACAGCCGAATCGATTTAGCTATGTTCAGAGGGAGACAATTTTTTAGCATTTTTTTTAAATTAGATAAGGGGTTACATCGTTAAAATTGTCAAAAAAAAATTGCCTAAAAATGAAATTAAAAAAAACCCTAAAAAAAACTAAAACAACCCCGCTTTGGGAATTTAATTTAATGCATTTTTGACTTATACATAAATCTGGGTTTTTATAAAAAAATATATAATATTAAGAATAAATATTTAAATTGAAATCGGCTTGCAGATTTATTAACCTTTCAAAAATCAACCCAGAGCAGCTTTCCGAATTGAATTTAAGGCAATGAAAATGAACCTATTCATGGCGTTTCAGGCTTCTCTTTATTTTCTTTGGTTACCTAACAAAATATATTGCGATTAAGCCCTCACAATTGTAACAGCGGATTTTCGTTCTCTCAGTACTAGGCTTTAGTTATAGATTTTTTTTAGGTTTTGATTTTTCGAAGAATTATATAAAATTATGGATAAATATTAAAGTTTAAGTTAGACTCTGAAATGGTCGAAGATGACGAACGCAAAACTAAGAAATATATCAAAAAATTAACAGAAAAATGAAATATGACAAAAATTAAGATTGACAGAACAAAAAAGCAAGCAACTCCGCCTAACGTGGCGACTCAGAAACGGTAGAGGATGACGACAAGACGAAAAATGGGATAAAAAGAAATAATAAAATGAATCAGTTAACAAAATAAAAATATATATAAATAAAACAAAACGAGAGGCCTCAAGACTCTTGACGAGACTGATAAATATTAGTCGCTTCACATAATGTTGTAACTCCGAAATGGCAGAAACTAATGAACGCATATTGCGATACAACAAAAATTAATTTAAAAAATAAATATTTAAAAAAAATGAAGAAACAAAAAAACAACGTGGGGACTCAGAAATGGTAGAGGATGACGACAAGACGAAAAATGTGATAAAAAATAAATAATAAAATGAATCAGTTAAAAAAATAAAAATATACATATTAAAAAAAAGAAGCTCTGAACAGCTCAGGAGTCAAGACGAGACTAATAAATATTCGTCGCCTCACCTAAGAGGTGGACAAAACATTGAAGTATATTCGATGCTCTCGATGTTTCAAAAACGCTTTATCATCGATAGCTCCAGCTCTCATATGATGAGCAAACTGCCCCATCTTTACAATTAGAATCAAGGACTACTTGATCTGAATTTTTGGAACCTTTCTTGTTCTAAAAAATCTTGAGAGGCTATCTTAATCCGTTCCAGAAGGCTTTGAGTTTGTTGTCATACTATTTTATTATTTATCAGACCCGTCGAGAGGGGTTCCCCTGGGCCCGCGTTTTTCAAAATGGGCCTGTGACGGACACAGCCGATATTTTCTTAGAGAAGAGAGCAAGCCCACACATAGTATCCTCCGCACACTACTTGGCGGATTTGCCTCCGAATTTAAATAGAAATTAAAAATATATGAAATAATGCTTCTGTTCCCACTATTTTGTTAAATTTCAAGTAATAATTTGGCCTTGCATAAACACAGTAATAATAAAACCGGACCAAAGTTTAAAATCCTGATTTCCCGTCAAGATATTGCCCAGAGTTAATTCAGTGGAATATTTTGTTCCTGGAAGTATTTTTATTTGAATTTAAACTGTACGCAACCGGTATGTATGCGCACTTGTGCTGAGTACTTATGCGGAAATCTAAAATATTTAATAAAACAATCTTTTGAATAACGATAAGCTCGGCGGGTTCAAGGAAGAAAAGGGTTCCGTCACGACTTCTTGGGCAAGTTCGCATTACAAGTTCACCCTAGACGCATATATTGTCATCTATTAAATAGTAGCTTTATGGCTTATACTAGTATCAAGGTGAAGCAGCCTTTCTTCAGACGATACTTGCCAGCGCAAAGTCCAAGTAGGCCCCGAAAGATACCATTACTCAGTTTTGGGAAAAATGACTTTAAGGCAAAAATCATTTAGTACAAAACATTTCCACCCAAATGGTCTAGACTTGCTTTGTTTTTATTATGATTAGAATTATCGCCTTTCGGAAGAAACTTTCGGGTGTAGTGGGACATATCCCTGAAAGATTACAGAGGTTGATTACAGCGATTCCTATTCCGATTATGGTTCCGATTTCTCTGCTTTAACATTGATAAGCCAAAGCAATATAAAAAGGCAGGGGCGACAACTGCTGTCCAAACCAAGACTTTCATCACAACTGACCAGTGGACATGGTCAACATGGGACTACTTACACCGCTCCTGCTGCTGAGCACCCTGGCAGTGGCCAGCTGCACCTCTGTACCTCTCGAGACTTCTGCCGAAGGCTACCAGACTGCTTCCCGGCTGGGGCGCCTGGGTACGGAGTTCTCTGATCACTACCAAAACATAACACTCGATGACCTGGCCCGGAATCGACTGCCCTCGGCTGAAGATCTAAAGTGCCTGGCGGACCTCACACTGCTCACCAATGACCTCAAGTCCCTGAAGTTATGGGCTCTCAAGAGTAAGTCCGAATAGAGATCCTTTAGAAAGCCAAGAATTTCCAATCTAAAACCCGAGTAATCTTTCGTAGTGATCGACTCGTGGGGCTCAGTACCCTCGGGCATCATTGCCGGCAATCTCATCGATTTGGGTAACTACGACGAGTGCCTGCGCATAGACCATGCCGTCACCAGCGGTCACAGTGTCAAGGGCAAGTACTGTTTCGCCAGATTCCCCATCCTGCCGAGCGTTTCGCCGCTGTTGTCCCTGAAAACGGCCGTTTGCTTTCCCGCCTCCTGTTCGGCCGAACACATGGACACGATGCTACGCAGACTGTTCCAGAGTATACTCAACATGGAGCTTAGCACGGATGAGGCGCTGGTTAGTGAGGATACATGCCACACCGCCGAGAAGAAACCATACGATGCCCTCACCATATTTACCATGTAAGTGCCTCAAAAGAACCCTGAATCCCTATCTTGAATTATTACATTAAAACACTTCCAGAGTGGTGCTCTCAATACTAGTTGCCCTGGTGCTCCTGTCCACGTTGTGTGACTACTTCCTGCCCGGAGATAAAGAGAGTGAGTAGTCAATCTTTCAAACCGGTAGCCCTTGCCTATCACGCTGATCTTTCTTCCCCTCAGATCAATCCCTTAATCCCTGGATCAAGGCCTTCTCGGCGCGCGCCAATAGTCGAGTCCTCTTCCGACTGGTGGAGCCCGGAACCAACCCGAATGTCATTGACTGTCTCAACGGCATCCGCTGCCTGTCCTTCATCTGGGTGGTTTACGGACACGTTTATCTCGTCAATGTCTTTGCTCCCAATCTGAACTACGTGGACTGGAACACGGTTAGTTGGTGAAGAGTTCCTCAAGTTTTGTGCTAATGTCGTCCTTTTCCCTTCGACAGTGGCGCAAGTCGGCGTACAGCATGTTGTTGCAGCACGCAGCCTACTCGGTGGACACCTTCTTTTTCCTCAGCGGCCTGCTCCTGGTGGTGATCGCCCTTAGAACCATGGATAAGTAAGTATTGCAGGCTCTTATCCAACTTTGAAATGGCCACTGAACTTCTTTGCTTGCAGGACCAAGGGAAAGTTGAACGTTCCGCTGATGTACCTGCACCGCTACTTGAGACTCACGCCCATCCTGGCCATGGCCATCATCGTATACATGACAATCCTTCCGCGCATGGGCGATGGCCCCCTCTACGGATCCATAAACTTTGATGACTACGCGCAGTGCAAGGATACGTGGTTCTGGTCGCTACTGTATTTGCAAAACTATGCCACCCATGAAATCGTAGGTTTCTTCAGGTCATACGCATTGGACTTCTCCAGATAACGATTCCTCTTGTTGCAGTGCTTGGGACATTCCTGGTACCTGGCCGTGGACATGCAGCTGTACATCATCGCGCCCCTGCTCCTGATCGCGCTCTACAAGTGGGGCCGGAAGGGGGCCGCCATGATATTCGTGCTTATGCTGCTCCTGGCTTCTTGTCTCTTCACCATGATGATCCTCAAGGACCTGTCGCTGTAAGTAGTTTGTACTTGTATTAGTGGGAAGGAGTGCTAACGCTGTGATCCCATTTGCAGGCTGAATCCAAAGAACGATTCTATGAAAAAGATTTACTTCTCCACTCACACTCGGGCCTCGCCCTACCTCATTGGAATCCTCTTTGGCTACTTCTTGCACGTCAACCGAGGCAGGTCCTTCAAGCTCAGCCGGGCAGCTGTCCTCCTGGGCTGGCTGGTCAGCCTGGCGCTGCTCTTCACCTGCCTATTTGCTGTCTTCCCCTATGCCAAGCACCAGGAGACACCGTCCACACTGGAGGAGGCCTTTTACCTGACGCTAACGCGCATCGCCTGGCCGCTGGGCCTCTGCTGGCTGGTCTTCGCCTGCATGCAAGGATACGGCGGTTTGGCGAACAGCTTTCTTTCATCGCCGTTGTGGCAGCCGCTGTCGCGACTCTCCTACTCCGCCTACATCTTCCACATGTTCATCGAGAGCCTGAATGCCGGCCTCACGCGCACCAACACCTACTTCAGTGACTACCAAGTGGTGAGTTCCGTGTCCTAGTATTCCATCTGTAAATTGGCTAACCGTGATTTCATCGCAGATGCTCCGCTTCTGGGGCGATTTCGCCTTCACCGTGCTCCTTGCCTTCGCCGCGTACATCCTGATCGAGGCGCCCTTTGGCAACCTGGAGGGCCTTCTGCTGCCTGCCAAAAAGCCCGCGGTTCAGGCTAAGGTAAAGGTGCAGCCAGTTGGAGGTACGGACGCCGTCTCGACGGTGGCTGCTCCGCCAATCGAACAGAAGTCGCCACTTCCTCCGGCTAATGGTGTTTAAAGAGCCTGCAAACAAATAGATTAAGATTTAGATTACTCTAAGATTATTATTACGTTAAGGGTTTTTTGTTTTATTTTTTAATTAATTATTTATTTAAAATAAAATAAAATTTATTTGAAATTAAATTGCCCAGGAAACACAAAAAAATGGGGTTCATTAGGAGAAAACTAAGACTTAAGATATTTTTCCTTAATAAATTAACATTTAAAGCTTCAGGCCTGTAGTACAGTGTTGCCAGGTGATGAGCGCCCATATAAGCTAGTTTTTTGAAAAAAATAAGCTAGAATAAGCTAATATTAAAAAAAACAAGAAAGGAAGCTAACTTCGGCACACCGAAGTTTGTATACCCTTGCAGATTGCAATTGGATCATTAAGAATCGAGCCATTCTCGTTAAATAATTAAAAAAAAAAAATAAAATATTTACAAGTTGTATATTTATATATAGCATAAAGAAATGCTGAAAACACACACAAAACAAAGTTTCATAACATTTTACTTATACTTATTATGTTTACAGTTTGACGGTTACAGTATTACATTCCCAGCTTTACATTTTCTCTACATCTACCGATCGCTTCTATTGCAGCTATATGATATAGTTGTCTGATTTTCATAAAATGTATGCCAAAATTCTGAAATAATTAAATAAGCTCGTATCTGAGAGTAGATGAAAATACGTTGAAAAACAACAAAGTTATATATTTTTTTTTATTAATTTCCCGATCGTTCCTATGGCAGCTATAAGACATAGTCGTCCGATTTTCATAAAATTAAAACCGAAAATCTGAAATAATATAACTTGGCCATATCTCAAAAATTGAAATATTGAAAATATAATATATATATATCCTATAAGCATAAAGTATTTTTTAGGCAAGGTGTACGTATGGCAACATTTCTCACTCCAAATGATTGGTGGTAACACTTCAGACAACATATAGATCTTCGATGACACTATCAATTAGAAATTAATTCACGATCATACGAAATTATATGAACAAGCTCCGGTATTTTCATGCCATAAAGTATTTTTTTCTTACAAAACAAACCTTTGATATCGTAAATATATTTAAAGCTAGAATATGCTAGATGAATTTTAAAATAAGCTATATTTCAAGCTATAAGCTTGATGCAAATTTTACAAGCTTTTCCAGTTTCAAATATGCTAGAACTAGCTTACAATAAGCTAAACTGGCAACACTGCTGTAGTAAGACCAATCGGAGCGACAAAAGAGAGAGAGCAAAGAGAACACATGAAAAGAGTACGGATTTCTCGGTGCTGCCATGGTGTTTTGCTTGCGCCGCCAGCAGTTGCATCTTTTTGTTGGTCGCGCGAGTTCCGAAACACGTTCGTCGAACATTCTCTCTCGGTTCGGTTGCAACGGAGCCGAAGGTGCTGCCGAAGTCTATGTTGTTCGCTCTCGAACACTCTACATTCTACACGAGAATTCGACCCCAAGCATGTAAAACTTTGTTTTGACATTTTACTTTGAAGTTCAGAGTGACCACGGGAAAATATCAAACAAAAATATGGCGATTTCGATATTTGGGCAAAAAGTATCGTTATATTTAGGTTTTGAAACACGCCAGACATAGTGGGAAAATCTAAATTGGCAACACTGGTTCCGAATGTATCGATTTTAGTCCTCGCATTAATGTTGCACTTAGTATCTGTACTGCTGCTTCAAGGGCGTTCTATGTGTAAGTATGCAATTCAATTTAGGCGTGCTGTTTATTCGTTTAATTTTCCATTCCTTTTTATGTGTTTTGAATGCCGGCAAAACCAAACACATGCATAGTTGCGTGTGTGTAGACTCAGGGTGGACCTCAACCAGCGTCTATTTGGGTGGACTATGAGCAATCAAAATGTGATGAATTATCGATGAATATCAATCGAATTTAAATTACAAATTTCAAAAGCCATGAATGTTGCGGCGCGAAGCAGCCTTTGGCGCATGGCCAAACGGGAGAGTGAGGTGGCCAATCCATCGCAATCGATGGATGATTATGACGATACCACGTTTGAGCCCAGTTACCAAGACGTTCCGAACAGGACAAGCCATAAATCTGCTGAAGCAAAGGAGGGCTTGTCCAAGGATTTGAACAAAAACATCGGCCTTAGTCAGACTCAGTTCAATGAGCTCTCGCTGGCTCTTAGCTCTGAAAATGGAAGCATTTCCCGACTGGAGCAGAGAATGGATAAGATGGAAACGCAGCTTGTCAAGCTGATCGACACAAGTACCAAAATAATGACAACGGTGAAGAAGCTGATTGACCGTCGAGCGCCACCGAAAACCGATTTTCCCTGCAAGAGCATCGCGGAACTCGATGGCATCGATGCAAAGGTAGCCGCAGATCCACCTAAATATGTAAGTATCACTGGAAGGTAACAAATTCGGAAGGAATTTCTCAAGTATTAACTTTATTCAGATTGAAATGTTCCGGGCAATGCTCGCACCTGAGGGCGTTTCAAAGAACTTGAATAGAATTCTGGCGACCTCGTTGTTGATGGACATGAACTATGCAGGAAGTTGCTATAAAACAGGCCTGACTACATATGTAAACCTAAACAATGCGATATATGGTAAGTGGGCATTTCCCATTTTGAATCAAATCTTATTCTTCCACTTTCCTCAGAGTCACAGCAAGCTGATGGATACACCTTGGAGGACTATGCCAAGGATGTCCGCACAGCTTTTACGAAAATAAAACAAAGAGTATATAAGGCTAAAAGCAAAAGCAAAATGCAACGAAGAGAGGAAATGGGTCTAGACTGTGATGCGGATACCACTGATAAAATGGACTCGACGTCGTAGAATTTAAATTAGATGTATCTTCTTAATTTTGTTAAAGTATATGCTAACCCACTAAACAGTGCTGGCATGATATATGTGTAAAAAATCTTAAAGGCCTAGTTTATTGGTTTAAAATTTTAACTTTAAATATACATATTAGTCTCAGTATTTTTTTAAACTTCAAAAGGAACGGGGAAGAAACATCGACATAAACATCGCACACTAGTTTTCAGCAGGCACTCACATTGATAGTAACTCTATCGATAGTTTGGAAACAATATACATATTCGATCGTCAAATGATTTAAAATGCAGGAAAAATTCAATTTGGGCTTGTATTTCTTGATCCAGACCTTTCAAGTGAGTACAAGCTGGAATATTTACAGTTTGTCTAATTGCTGGAATAAATTTATAAGCCGGTACTTATTGTTTACGAATATTTATTCTTGTATCTTCTGCTTTCGTTTCATGATGAATCCTTTTAAATGAAATATAACTTTTTGCATATGCGAATAATTATTTTGTTATATTATACTTTCGATTTATGAGAAATCTCTTAAAATAAAAAATATATTTTTTGCATATTCTGCTGCGATAGTCTGCGAGCCATCGATAGCGCCGAAACGGCCCAAGCATCGTTACTATCGATAGCGCCATCGGTGTTTTGACAGCTCCACTGGCGATTTTCTTTTCCTTTCTTTCCGGTCTCTGCTCCATAGAAGACGCAAAGTACGTTTAAAGCTGAAAATAATCTTGAAAATGAAGTGAAATCCGACTATGTGAAAAGCGAAACAAACCGCCACTGCAGGCGCCGTGTAACTTTCCGGCCGTTGCAGTGGCCGTTGTGCTTGAGTTTGTTTACGTTTTCGGGTTAATCGCAGAAAAAAGCGCATATTATACCCCTTTCCGAGTCGGGGACAACAACAACCATAACAAAGCCGCCGAAGCTAATTATTTTTTGTTACTTATTTTTTTGTCTGTGCAGCATGTTCATGCCAAAGGCCCATCGTGTCGCCATCTACGAATACCTCTTCAAGGAGGGCGTAATCGTGGCCAAGAAGGACTTCCACGCCCAGAAGCACCCTGAGCTGGAGTCGATCCCCAATCTGCACGTCATCAAGGCTCTGCAGTCCCTGCACTCCCGTGGCCTCGTCAAGGAGCAGTTCGCCTGGAGGCACTACTACTGGTACCTCACCAACGAGGGAATCGAGGAGCTGCGCAGCTACCTGCATCTGCCCCCCGAGATTGTGCCCTCGACCCTGAAGCGTCCCGCTCGCTCGGAGACGGTGCGCCCGCGCCCAGCCGCCGGCGGCCCACGCGGCCCCGGAGACGCCTCCAAGACCGGCGAGGACCGTTCGGCCTACAGACGCGCTCCCGGTGGCAGTGGTGTTGACAAGAAGGGTGATGTTGGACCCGGCGCCGGTGAGGTCGAGTTCCGTGGCGGATTCGGACGCGGTTCCCGCAACTAAGCCACTTGCTGCGTTTCAGTTTTTTTTATGTAAAATTAATTCACAGTAAAGAAACTAATGTTGAACTGAAGATTCCCCTCAACAAAAACAACAAAAAATAAGAAAAAATACATCAGAAATGTGTGTATGTTTTATGATGTGACCATCCAATCCAATTATAAAACAAACGCAAGTGAATCCCTTTTTGTTTTGTGATTTTTGTGTGTGGTGTGGTGTGTGCGCATAGGATCCAGGATTTAGACACATTGGGCAACCTGGTTGTGGCGGAAAAGACTCCCCAAGAAGATGGTTGCCAGGCGGAAGCGAGAAGCTTAAAAGCTTTCCGGGCTCTGGACAAGAGTTTGGTTTTAGTCCATGGAGGATCCCAGTTTGGCAGTTTCACTGAGGATTAGCTTGGCCACTTAATTGTGCAAAATTTGGTGCATGATACCGTCACCCGCGATAATATCTTCATTGAAGAAACACTCATAGCTTGGGCCATGCAAGCTGGCTTGCACGTGCTGGCCAGTTAAACGGGTTTCCCACCAACAGAAGTTTCGTTAATGTAGCTTGGTTTGGGGCTAAGCTGTAAAACCAAGTGGTAATCCATTGAAGTAAGCTCTCCCAGGAGTGCTCGGAGTCAGTCCTCGACAAACCACATTAACCCAGCCGCTTATCTATTTCTTGCAGAAAATGTGAAGTATCTCCCCGACACCTGGTCGAGACCAACAGACCGAGGATATATAAAGAATCAATAAAAACATAGTTTTACATAGAAAAAAATGTGTTTTGTTTTTGTATTTACAAATTGTGTCCCTTAAAGGAAGGAGAACCATTTAGGAGGTAAAACATAATAATTACAAAAAAATCTGAATAATATAAAAAACACATAATTGTGCTAGGCTCGAAATCAATTATTTGCACGATGATGGGTGGTTTGTGGGCCTCCAGAATGAGTCCTCCTCCCTTAATTAAAATGTACACCTAAGCTAAGGCTCCGTCTACAAAGTCACCTATTTCTATATTCACGAAAATACTTTTTCGGGCCCGGGATCTTGAGAGGACCGAAGGCCGGCGACGCTCCGAAGGTCTCTTGGCCGTGCCAGCGTCGGACCAGGGCCAGGGCCAGGGCCAGGAGTGAGATGAATGCGCCCGGCCCGCTGGCGCAGCTATCGACGCTTTATCGATATCTTCCCCTTGGCCAAATGGGACATGTTGATCTTGACCTTGCTCTCGTTGGTGCGCTTCACCCAAACCTGCAGTAGCGACGAAGAGCTCCATTAGAATCAAAGTAGGTATGCAGGACGAGGACAACACTTACCACTTCATTGCCGATGGCTGTGATGGTGGCGGCAAACTTGCTCAGATCCTTCCCCTCCACATAAACCTGCTGGCCCCGACAGAACCATCGTCGTTCGTACAGCAGTTTGTTGTCCTCGATGCGCGTCTCTACGTAACTGTTGTGGGCTGGCGGCTCGGCCAGTAAACTGTGCATCTGTTGCTGCTGCTGGACACCGCCGTACGAGCCGAGGCCGTTCTGCTGCAGAGCATTGGGAGCTAACGGCTTGCCCCGCTGTATGATCTTGAGATCCGACTCGATCTCCTTGTCGTCCAGCTGGTAGACAAGAAGCTGACCGGTGGCGGGCTTCCGTCGCTTTTCGATGACCGGCAGCGGCTCGTTGGGTCGCCGTCGCAGCTTGCGCGTCACTGTTGTCTTGATTTCCATGGAATCGTTGGTTAGCTCGAGGCTATAGCGCTCGTTCTCGATCTGACGCTTGCGGTCCTCAAAGTCTGAGATTAGGTTGTCCTTCAGGTCCATCATCTTCTCGTCATACTCCTTTTGGGCGGCCTTCTTCTCCAGCACATAGTCCCGCTCGACACAGTCGCGCATGTAGTCCTTGTAGATCTCGTTTAGGCGCCGTCGCTCCTTCAACTGATTTTCCAGCTTCTTCACGCGCTTGATGTACTCCGGGTGCACAAGCTGATTCAGCTCCTCCATCTGTTTCTGCAAATTGAGCAGTTTGTGCTGGTACATTCTGCAGAAAGGGGGGAAAATTAAAGTATAAACGGAAAGCTTGCCTGGCCAGCTACTGCATATGGATGTATGTATGTATGTCCATGTGTACTTACTGCTCCTTCAGTTCGCTGTTACTGCCTATGTTGTTGCTGTTGGCGGTGCCATTGGTGCCACCATAACGGTTGGGGCTGCGGAACTCCGTCTCGCTGGCATCGTCCGTGTCTGCAGGGATGTAGAAAATGAAATAGAAGTCGCACAATTAGGTGGGATAGTGGCATGGGAGTGGAGTGGGAACTGGCGGACAGACGCGCTCCCGCCATTGCACGTACCTTCCTCGCTGCGCTCGTCACCAATCGACTCGTCATCGTAATTGTCTCCCGTGTACAGGCTGTAATAGGCGGACATGATATAAAGTGCTGGTGATCGCCAGGACTCCAAATTATGCTGTGGCAATTGTTTATTTTCTTCGCAGCGATGGCCGATGAATACACACGCACACAGATACTCGCCAGTGTGGCCGAATTCGGGCCAGGGCTGCCAACTTTAAAAAATATCGTTGAGGGAAAAATTGTGCTGCAAAAACGTCATCGTACTATCGATAGTATCGATGTCTTGATACATTTTTTAAACATCGATATGAGATTTTTAAATGGCAACATCGATGTTATGTTTGCCGGAAAATTTAAAATGAATCACAGATATCAAAATCAGTTGCAATGCTCTTTATACCCTTTCAGGGTATTATTTTAGTCAGACGTTGGTAATGCAGGGAAGGATTCATTTCCGACCCTATAAATCATATATATTCTTGATCAGGATCATCAGCCGAATCGTTTTAGCCCATATCCAGAAGATACAAAAATTTTCGAAATTTTTTTTAAATTTGATAAGGGGTTACATCGTTAAAATTGTAAATAATTGGCAAAAAATGAAATAACATAAAACCATAAATTGAGTTGCAGATTTATTATCCTCCTACAAACTAAGACAAACCAGCTTTCCGAATTTGATTTAATGCATTTTTGGCTGAGTTACAGATTTTTAAAAGTCAAATTTTTCCCAAAAATAAAAATAAAGTTCTCGTACTCTGAAAAAAAATTATAATATAAAACATTGAGCACTAAGTAAATTATAATATTAAATTTAATTAAATAAATATATTAAGCACAGGCCTAAAATAATTACCAATACAAAATTAAGTAAAAATCCGACATTCGTAATATTGTATTATGATTTATTTTCTCTTTATGACGCACATTTTGAAAATCGTGACCATGACAGCCATATGATATCATCGGATTATTGCAATATCTCATGATCTTGCTGATGCTAAACAATGCTTTCACAATTTAAGAACGGGAACAAATTGTAGTTAAGTAGATGAGATTTTATTGGATATTTTATTATTTACCACTTCTCGAAAGCTAGCTATATAGACAGAAAATTACAGATAATTTGTAGTCACCATGTATATTAACCCAATAGCCATGATCAATTTTAAAACATATTAGCGTTAAACGCAAAATTTTAAGGCTGTCGCTACTCAGACACCCATTTAAAGCGAGAATTCGTCCAAATTGATTTGTGTTCATCTCTGGCTATAGTTATATCTTTGCGATACACTGCAAAAAGATACTATATATATTAGGGCGGACCTCTTAAAGTCGGAATAAAAATATTAAAAAAAACAGTAAATTATGTATAGATTTATTTAGTTTTTTAATATCATATTATTAATATATTTAAAAAATATTTTGTTATTTAATTTCAATAAAGAATATGTGTACTATTTTTCCGTGTTTTTAGATTTAACCATCTAATTTATTTAACTACATATATCCCTTTTGGCATTGTGTAACTCTAAAAAAAAATAAATAAATATAATAAGCGTGTTGCCTGTGCAATAAATTAATTTTTAAATAACAAACAATTTCAAGTGCTGTCAGTACTGTAAAATTTGTTCATTTTATGATGTCCACCCCCATTGTACTTACCTATTTTTATAGATTTTCAGGCCAGTTGTTGCAATGCGTGTACTTTTGTTTGAATCCTAACAGCACTTGTGCCTCTCAGCCAAAGCTGACACATATCTAAAATGCTGTCGTCAAGCAGAAGCAATGCCAATAAAGCAGAAGACCCAGGCCCGCCCACGCAGAAGGAGATCGCGCTATTTGCCCAAGCTGAAAAATTAGTGAATTCTCATCATCATCATAATCATCGGCCAAAAATTCCATGCTAAATCAACGCGGGGCAAATTTTGATTGATTTCTGACTGGGCGGGGGCTCCGGATGGGCGGACTACGGACTGCGGACTACGTAGTCTTCGAGTGGGATGACATACTGGCGGAGATGACTAGAGCAATTATGTACATACATACATATACTTTTCTGTTTCTGGCTTCTGTTTTCGTTTGCCGTATTTTGCAGCTTTCGAACATTCTGGTGACGTGGGGAAAATTTGTTTTCCCAATATTTCGGTGATCCTCAAGATACATATAATATATGTTTTCGCTGAACAATAGTAGTCTCTTTCTGTAGATGTTTCCCCCGGTTTAATACATATTTGTACTTTGTAACGACAGTTGAGCTTCTGTAGCTCTATTTGACATAAACAACAAGAACAATTATAGAACACTTCAGGTTGCAAATAGCGCAACTTAAATTTGAAAAAAAAAAACACGTCAAACAGAGAACTAGTACTATATTATAATGGAGATTTGTATAATGAATTAAAAATTGAATCCGAATCAGTGTGGGGAATTGTTTTACAATTTAACATTTAGATACAATTTAAATTTAAATTTAAATAACTACTTAACATACTTTATTATTTTATATTAATAATCGTAAAAACACACATCCTTACTTTTACAGTCTAAATAAAATCATATCTCTTTCCTTTGTTCGACATTCTCGTAAGTATAGAAGTCGGTTTATCTTGTTGATTATCCGTATTAGCAATTTATGGGTGGCGCATATTTGTTCGCGTTTATATGTAGCACTTGTTATGTACCCAAGACGATCTTCAAGCTATATGCGTACACCTGCACATAGCAATAGATGGATATAGATGCGTTGCGTCCGCATTATTCTTTGCTGATTAGTTGGGGATTCTGTCGCCGCCCAAGGTCGACAATTTCGATGAAAATGAAAATGAAAATGAGTTTATTGTTTGGACAGGGGGGCATTAGCGGCCGTGTCGCGTCCATGTGGGTGCTGCCAAAAAACACAGAACCAAACCAAAAACACCTTTAGCGTTGATCACCGATGATTGTCATTTTATTTTTGTAATTCATGATTAAATCTATTATTATTTGAATGGCTCTGTTGTCGTTGCCCCCGATGGAATTCAAAATGGAAACGGGAATGACTGCATATATCACTTTCAAATACAGTCGAGGCTCACTCAGACAACTCATCAAAAGATTCAAGATTCAGGAGGACTGTTAAATTTTTACATTATAGTCTACATTGTATAAGCTTTTAGGGCTCGTAAAAATATTCGAAACAAAACTGTAGGACACATTTTTTTTATACAAGTAATTATGAAACCAATTGTACCATATTCCTCCCAAACCATAAATGAAATAATAAAAATTAAATGAAATGAATAAATACAATACTTAATATAATGCAAATAACTCTGTACTACCATGTTTCGATATTAGTAAAGCTATTTAAAAACTAAGAAATATATTAAGTAATTCATATTAAGTACCAATAATTATGGAAAGTCTCATAACCGAGTGCTGTCACTGTAATCGCAATAAACTGCTCGAATAATTACCGCAGCAATCCGATGCAGCCAGGTCCGGCTCATTTCATATGCATTCCCGTGGTCGCTCCGTAAAAGGACATCTTCCACTCACGAGCCTGAATCTGAATCCCATTTCAAGTCCGAGACCGAGACAGTCCGCCAATGTCACGCGGCTGAGTCATTTTGCTTTGGATTTGTTTACAAACAAAACCGAAGTCGATGTGGATATGGTTGTGACTGTGGCTGAGACGCCAACGTTGCCGCCCACTCCGGCTAATTTGTGGTCCCATCGACACGGCTGGCGTTACAAATCATCTCACTCCCAAAAACGGTAGGAAGCGTTGATCTCGAACTGTTTTTAACGTGGCCTCCACGACCAACACGTCACCACCTCTTAACTGTTTGCGCCCAGTTAGCATGGTCAAATGGGTGCTGTGGATCGTGGATGCAGTCTGCCATCTCCCAGGAACCCACTCTCGAGTCAATATTGAACAGCTCCCACTCTAGGAAAATGTGGGGAATTCCCGTTAGTCAGATGTTTAAGTAGCATATTCTCTTTCTCTTGTTAAATAAAAAAAAATATTACCTTAATAATAATCCCAGTTATGATATTTGGTATAAGTATAGTCTTAATTAATATTTTGTATTAAATTTACGATTATTTAAAGATAGGCCTGAAATTTGAAATTTATTTTCGAATCGCTCCTGTATCTCAACATTTCTCTCTCGCGGGTAGTGTATCTGGAACGAGAACGAGTGGTAGTTCGCCTCTCCCTTCCTACTCGCACTGTCATTCAGAGAACCAATGAGCCAGTGGCTTAGCCGGGGACTTTTGCGAACTAAGTTCATTTAAATCCCCCTTCCATGAATTCCACTTACGCCACTGGTTGGGGCTATTGTTGTTGCGTCGGGAGAGCGGACTCACGGAGAGAGCGCGTTTTCATATACGGTAATCGCAGAGTATAGAGGGTATGCTAGGGTATGCATTGACGAGTTTCCATACAAAATGAACATTTGCCATATTCTGGCTTTATTTATGATTCATCAACATTTTAGACAAAAAATTATGTGTTTCATATATTTTGTATATTTTGGTTTGTAATTTTTAGTTTTAGCTTTACACTTATTTCCATCCATTTAATTTTCTATCATTTCTATCGTTTACAGGGTAACCCACACTCCCACAGACTTCCTATTCTTGTTTTGCTTGTGTGGGTGTCTGGCCCGGCCATGTTGGCTACTCTCTCGCGCTCTTGTGGCTGCGGTTGTCGGCACTATAAAAGCGACAACTGCCGGAGAATGCAAAAACAGTCGAAAAATTGAAACGCGGCAAACCGAATAGTAGTCCGACACGCCAAAGATACAAAGATACACACACACAGAGAGACAGACAGACCGTCTTGAGGCATAAATACATATAGAAAGCCTATTGTATTCCCACATTTTTTTTCGGTTGCTCCGCCGATTAGCAAGTGAACCAACTCGATAGCTCGAGAGCGCGGCGAGCAGAGCAGAACGGTATAATCCGACACAGAAGCAACACCAACCAACCAACCACCAATCCAGCACAGAAATGGCCGAGGCTAACAAGAGGAATATCCCCATCAAACTGGGCGACTTCAGCGTCATCGACACGGAGTTCAGCAACATCCGCGAGCGCTTCGATTCCGAGATGCGCAAAATGGAGGAGGAGATGGCCAAGTTCCGCCACGAGCTGATGAACCGCGAGGCCAACTTCTTCGAGTCCACCAGGTGAGCATATACAATACTACATGCGGAGTAAGCGCTCTCGCCGGGATTATGTGATGTGCGTTGTGATATTGATATATTTGTGGGCCAAAATTCGTCGGGGAACTTTGTTCGCCCACGATTTGCGTTGACAACAACGCTATCAAAATGCTGATGATTCGGCAGTTTGGCCAGAGATTAGGAACGAACCAGCACCCGCACCCGAAGCACGGTTCCGTTGAACATTTACCGTATCCCTCCGATTCAGTTGATTCATCTCGCGGTGTGTTTGCGTTCTTGGCTCTAAATATAGGCGCAAAAGTCTTGCCACATCGCCTGCTGGTCTGGAGCACACACACACACGCGCACAGACGCCAGTGGGCTAAGGCCAGCGGGGCGATTTGCGCCCCAGATACATTTCTTTGCCGCCGTCGCTCTGGGGGGAGGATGAGTCACGCGTTCTAAATTCTTCGCCGTTGTCTCCGGCCAAGAAAATACATGTGTGTCCATTCGCCGACCACCAGAAGCTCCCCAATCCCCCATGCCACGATACCACGGTGTTTTTTTTGCTCCCTTTCCGGCGATCTCAAAGTCGCCATTCCTGCCTTCTTCCCGTTTATGCAACCCCCGTTATATGGGCCATAACGGAATTTTTTCTCGACGAGACTAGATCTTGAGAATGCTCACCTGTGCCAAGGCACTTGCACTGTCAAAAAATATATACTCTTCAAAAAAAACATGGATGTTTGTCGATTTAAAATTGAGATTGGCAAAAAAAACCATTGAACACTTGGGTCTTTTTTTAAATTCACTCGTTAAGTCAAATTTTAAAGATACAAATTAAATCCAGATTATTTTCTATTTAGATGTATACAACATTTGCAGTCCCTTTGGTATGAATTCTGAAATATAATAAATCACAGTTTTTATGCCCCGTGTAGTATAGCATCTTTGGGATACGTACTGCGTATCTGCTGCAGCCATTTATTTTTATTATGTCTCTCTTGATTCTTTGCCGTTTTCTGTGTAGGTTTGCTTAATGGCCCAAATATTTACCCAATAAACAGAGACGCGACTTAACGTAGTCGTTGACTTCGCCGTCGCGGTTGCGCGCCTCGTTGGCCTCTCAATCAAAAAAACGGCTACGTTGCGTGGGTGGAGAAAAAAAAAACAGCACACACAAAAAAATACAAATCCGTTCCGTAAAGCCCGTGAGCTCCACTTGGGGACGACCTCGGCCTATGACATAATCGAAGCGATTTCCAGTCCACCTCGCATTTGTTGTCGTTGCCTTCGCCATGGTCGCTGCTGCATTTGCATGGCCACAACAGTGAGAAATGGAGGCCAATCCCTAGCTTGGATAGTCCAACTTCAACTTTTAGCTCCACTTGCCAACTTTGGCCATTTGAACCGAAAGTTGGCAATGAAAGGAAATTAACCCAAATTGGTGAATCCCCCCAGGCAGGCACACCTGTACTACTGCAGGTGCCTTTCCGACTGCTTGGCTATCCAAACAAATTATTGATGCGTGGCGACGACGCAAGCACCCACTTCCCGACCACCCCAACCGCCCAACGCCGCGACCTTTGACATCTGCGGCTATGGCGTGCGGCCGATTAATGCGCCGCAGGCTAACCGAGTGACTCAGCGGATATAACCATTCGGCCAACATAAGCGTCACTCATGCAAATGGTCATAAGTCGAAATGATTTTCACCTAAAAAAGGAAATCAGGAAATCATCTTTGACTCAAGGAATTAAGAATGTTTTACAAAAAACGTAAACCTCAAATTTTAGCATTTCCTATTTAAAGTGAGCTTCAGATATTAAAACTTAAATACTATATTGCCTTAAAGACGTTGAGATAACTTTATATACCAATCCAAATTAAAAGGATAATCAATAATAATGACTACATAGTTAAACTTGTTAGGATAAACCACAAAATAGATTTGGAAATATCTAGATAGTACACCAAACGGGTCGTCGAAACCTAATGGCACTATTTGTTGATGTGAAATTAAATTGGCATGTAAATGCCACTGTCTAATGGGTTGAGGACAGGAGAGGAGAATCCGAGGGAGCTGCGGGCTTTCATTGAAACCTGGCCAAATTGTGCTGTTGCCGCGGTCATAAAAACCACAATTCAGTGGTGGCGCCTCCTCATTGAATTTCCGCAGACATTGTTGGCGATTCGGTTGCAATTGAAAAAAGAAATGATACGATTAACTCGCCGATTTCCAGGCATACATATAGAATATATGTATATTTTTATTTAGTCATTTTATTTATTATACATATGTACATATATTGGCCAGATATATGGACAGAACAGAGCATTAGCTGCACCGAAACAAACAAATTTGTATTATTTAAAATATTTATACAGACTCGTAACAGGTTCATAAATATTACGGTTATCCATTTTCAGAAGAATTCAACAGATACATTCGTAGTTAAAAGAGAATTTAATATAATTTTGTTAAAAATGTATCAATAAAACGTTTCTTCGAAAATAGTTTAGAAAAATCACAAAAATTTGAATTTGCTTCTACTCACATTTTCGGTCGTTATCAGACGGATACCAAATTATCATGAAATCTATCTATATTGTGGGATAGAAAGGAAGTAAAGCTTCGAAGAAGAATTTGATATACTTTTCATTTCGAATTCCCTTGTATTTCCATTGAATTTCGACTTTGTGTGTATTAAATACTGGCAATTTAATCGATCTGCCGGATTTATAGCCCATTGATCGACCTTGCGCGTGGGTGGCGTAGCTCTGTGTGCGCATAGTTTAAACAAATAAGTACGCTAAACAAATATCTATTTATCATGCAAATAGCTCTGGGCACTTGTTTGTGTTAGTGCGAAAAAGCTTTCGCAATTTAGTTGCCATTATTCGTGGCTGGATGCTGATTATTCCAGCGAACAAGTAAAGATGATATCATGTCAGTTTTTAGCCGTTGCTATTCTCCTCTCCAATTTCGATGACAAACAAAGCGGCGATCGCCGTAATCGCTGGTAATCGATAATTCAATTCGCGCGTTTGAAAAACAACAACAGCAGCAACAACAACAAAAGAGCACAATTTTGTTTGCGCCCGTTTTTTTTTTGTGTGTGTTTATTTTCGTTTCTTCTTCAGTTTCCTTGCGTTCTGCTTTTCAATAACGAAAAAATATGCATGACATCATCGTCATCAGATGCCAGAGAGATAGAGTAAGACATGTGTGCATGTGTGTGTGTGTGTGTTTGCCAGCACAGAGCCGACAAGAGAGTGAGAGAGAGAGGGAGGCCAGAGCAGGTGCTTTCTCTCCCACCCGTTCGCCTAAACACTTTTGCCGGACTAACGGTGATTGGCATTAGTCATTAGCGTGTGCCTCTGGCCCAGCTAGCGGCTATTGATCAACGCCCGCCCCCAGCCTGCAACGCCCGCACTCTAGCAGCAAGGTCGCCCACAAAGGCCCAATGCACGTTCACGTTTCGATTGATAAGAAGCGCCCCCTGTTATCTGCGAAGACTCGCCGCACGCACGTACACACATGCACCTAGGCATACATAGATACACACATATATACATATACTGGCGCCGCGAACACACACAGGTGCGCTGTTTAACGGTCAATCAAATTTATCGCTTTCCGGCAGCGCTGGTGTGCGTGGAAGTGCTGAAAGAACGTCTTGGTAAAGTCGCTGCATTTGTGCCCCATTTATGTAATCCCCTGTACTATAAATGTACATATATATATATTTGTATTTGTATGTATATACCCTTTTACCTAACTTAATACTCTCTCTCTCTTTTTTCCTCTATTCTCTTTTCCTGCCGCTTGGAATACTTAAAACAACCGCAATTATTATAATATCTTAATAATCTCCTTTCTCCTATCTAAAAACAATGCAATATAAAAAAAAGCTCTACTAAAAAAACAACAACAACGACCAGGTACAAACAACGTAGAAAATATAACAACTAAAAATTAGAGTTTCTGTTATTATCCCCTCTGCACCCTCTTTTCCACTATTTTTGGTTCTTGTATCTAATTCGAGTTGTTTTCTTATTTTTGTAGTTAATCATTTAATTTTCTTTTAATTGCAATCCCAGCACATAATTACCTCACTAAAAAATAAAAGGAGCAGAGAACCAAACACAATCACAACAAAATTACACACTTAATAACAATAGTATTTATGCGTTAAAAACAAATTTACTTAAATTTGGTATATATTTAACACAGAAATAAGTAAATACTGGGTTCTAAGCTTACGCATAATGTATTTATAAATAATTACATTTAAATATCAATAAAAACGGATCACATTATAAGACAATAGAATGAACACAAAAGTGAACATATGAGAAACATAGAATAACACAAAAAGAACATTAAAGAAACATAGAATGAACACAAAATGAACATGAAAATAATTATGAATTAGAAAAAACAAAAAGCTGAATGAGTCCCATCATAAATTCCTCCGACTATGTAGTTAGCATAATCGCCACATTCCGTAGCCAAATGACAGCTGTAGGAATAAGAGATGATCGGATGGATGTACATATGAGCAGTCACGAGGAGGGTGTCACTGCAAGGAACGCAAATCCAATTTTAAAACCAAACAGACGCACGCAGAAGGGGGTTTATTTATATATTTAGTCTCGGGACCAGATCAGATCCCTTGTAGAAACGTGAACAAAACATATGGGAATCGTGTAGCTACTAGGGGTAGTCACCTTTTGATTTCTTCCAGGCAGTTTCATTAAATCGGAAAATACACCTAAAGTCCAATATAATTCAGATTCCATGGGCTGTAACCTTATAGCCGCGTTTCTAGAGCGAATAATAAAGGAATCGTTCGCTGGCAGCGTCCCAAGTGGTTCGCCGGAAAATATTTTGTTTTCCTAATGGAAAAGATACATACATTAAATAGACGATGGTGTCGGGATGGCAGCTGCTGATCCCCTCAGCCGTAAACATTGTTCTGGATTAGAAGCGGAAGTCCGACTTATTTATAGACGCAATCCCAGGCCGGGATTTGGCTTCATTTGAGTTGGGCTCGCCGGGGCGAGATCAGTCACATCCTAGAGAAGCAACAGAATGGAGGCCTTTACGCGCACACTACACAAGACCTTTCGCACTACTAAAACTACGACTAGTAGCACGACCACCACCACCACCATGACTAACTCCTCAAATAGGTTCTGCTTGCTCCCAACACTTTTGATTTTCATTTTTTTCGACACTATCTCTGTTTTGATATTTCTTTGAATACCCAGTTCTAACCAGCTCCTTGGTTTCTCTTGCAGCTCAACGACAAACTCGGCCCTGCCATCCCGAATCCCCAAGCAACAGAACTACGTCTCCGACATTAGCTCACCCTTGATACAGGTTGGTAGCCCCCAGCGATCCTTAAAAAAAATCCTTTATAATTCTCAAATTCTCAAAATTTGCAGGACGAGGGCGACAACAAAGTGCTGAAACTGCGCTTTGACGTTAGCCAGTATGCCCCCGAGGAGATTGTGGTGAAGACCGTTGACCAGAAGCTATTGGTAAGAGGAGATCCTGCTTTGAACCCGACACCCGGAAGTTTTAATAACCAACTGTGTTTGCCTTTCGCTTTAGGTGCATGCCAAGCACGAGGAGAAGTCGGACACAAAGAGCGTGTACAGGGAGTACAACCGGGAGTTCCTGCTGCCCAAGGGTGTCAATCCCGAGTCCATCCGCTCGTCCCTCAGCAAGGACGGTGTCCTGACCGTGGATGCGCCGCTGCCAGCACTGACTGCCGGTGAAACGCTGATTCCCATTGCGCACAAGTGAGAGACGCTGCCACCATCATCACCACCATCCCGGCCAGAAGGAGGAGGAGGAGGCTCTCGCAATTGGAGTTCATCATACACACACACACACACATTGGACTATCCTATCTAATTTTTTTTTTTTTGGTTCCGACGTAAAGCTAAACTATGTTACTGACTTACTACTCATAATTAACTTAAATGTAATTCAAATTATTATTAAATTCGATTAATTTAATTCATATTTATAATTTTTGCATTAAACGTAATCAAACTTGTCGTAGTTGTCCCCGCATTGGTTTTCCTTTCCTCCCATCGACAAAATAAATCACGACTTATCCCATGGAATGGATTTTAATCACTAAACTGGGATCGAGTTTCCCTCCATGTCCATGTTCTTCGCTTGAATAACCCGAAAGACACCCAATTTTGGATAGATCTGAATGAACCTAAGGCCCAAAACAAAGTGAATTAATTATCGCATAGCTTTGGATGTACTCAATAAAATGATATTCATGTGCCTTAAAAATGTTAAAGTAAAATATATATGAACAAATATTTTTGGGAACGACGTCTGCTTTTGAGGCTTCAGTCAAAATTTAATACTCGGCTTCATGTCTCAAAACTGTTTCCTTAAAAATACCCTTCGGCCCTACTTACCAAATTAAGCAGCCATCCTCCAGGGATGTCTTCCTTGAGGCACCTGCTGACCTTCTATCTGAAAGCCAACCGTCGACAGTGAATAGGAAAATGCCAGCGCAGCTGGACAACCAGGAGGTAGATAGAGATGGAGACGATCCAGTGGAGCTGGCGACACTGATTCTAAAAGCTGATCCCCGTTATCGCATCAAGCCGATGCAGCAGGTCGTGTCTGCGCTCTTCGGCGGCCTCCTTACCACCTTTGTCGGTGAGTATAACGATGGATCTCCCAGCACCTCACCTCACCTCACACCACACCTTGTCCCCGACCTCAGTAACGCCGCTTGAGGTGGTAAAGACGCGGGTGCAGACGCAGCATGCGATCCGCCAGCGACCGACCATCTCCAAGCTCTGCTATGTCTTCCACAACGGCCTAATGACCCATGTGTGCCGTTCCAGTGACCTTTGTTACCCCAAGTCGGGTCGAATTCCCCACAGCCTACGTCCGCCACGCGGCTCCTTGGTAAGTGGCGGCTTAGATATATCTAAAAATATGGATTTCATGGGTTCCCTCCGGCGTAGGACGCTTTCCTCAAGATCCTTTGCAGCAGTGGCCCGCGTGGCCTGTGGGCCGGCCTCAGTCCCACGCTCGTCTCGGCCCTGCCCTCCACAATCATCTACTTTCTGACGTACGAATATTTTATGAACTCCCTATCCCATTTCTATCTGGTAACGCGCATGAGCGCCGTCAGCTGGAATATAGACGAGGCTCCGTACTGGGAATCAGAGCCTGGAGCCGCCGGTGGGGATCCCTTGGACACCCCAAAGCGTCCAAGAAATGTAAACGCCCCGGCAAATGTCGCCTCAGTCGTCCCCTACTACGTGCCTATGGCCTCGGGCATCTGTTCGCGCACCCTGGTGGTCACGGCCATCACGCCCATCGAGATGGTGCGTATCAAGATGCAGTCGGAGTACATGACCTACTCGGAGCTGTGGCAGGTGCTGCGCTCGCTCATTCGGCGGCACGGCGTGCTGGGGCTCTGGCGTGGTTGGCCGCCAACCGTGATGCGCGACGCTCCCTTCTCCGGGACATACTGGGCAACCTATGAGGCAATGAAGCGGACCTTTAGCGTTACGGAGCCCTCATTCATGTTCAGCTTCCTGGCGGGTGCCATCTCCGGAGCGGTGGGTGGTGAGCGGTGCCATCGTCCGCTGAAATCAGAAAATCAGATATCAAAAATTAGTTAATTATCCCGCCTCCCCCTTCCTCTTGCAGGTGGCCACTCTGGTGACCATGCCCTTTGACCTGGTCACCACCCACACCCAGATCGAGCTGGGCCAGAGCGTGCTCAACGAGAAGAGCAACAAGGACAGGCCGCCGCATGGAAAACCCAGTACTGGTGGTGCTCTGGCCAAGCCCTCGGTGTTCTCCCGCCTGGGTCAGATATACCGGCGACAGGGCGCCCGGGGACTCTACGTTGGGGTCATGCCGCGCATGCTCCGTGTGGTGCCCGCCTGTGCCATCATGATCTCAACCTTTGAGTACAGCAAGTCGTTCTTTTTTCACTATAACGTGGATCTCCAGGAAACAGGTAAGATGACTGTTTTTGGGGATTAAATAATTCATTAATTTATGGTAGAATCACTTGGAAATAAGCTATTTATTTAAAAGGATCTCTGTTAGTCATTAGATACTTTTGGGTTAGACAAGAAGGAGTCAATTGTGACCCCATAAAGTATATCAACAACTCAACTTACTTTGAAATATGTTCATTTTTTATTTTTATAGAATTTCGATATTAATTGTATGTAAATCAAATGATTATTATTATATCTGAGATATGGAAATTTGTTATAAATTTTTATATTCTTAAAATTTGTAATTTTTATTGATTAATGAATTTATAAATAAATTTAATTTTAGTTTCTTAAAAATTGGAAATATCTGCCGCTTAAATGTATACGCTCTACAAATTGTATCTGATAGATAAATGTATCGTTCAGATAGATAGATGTATCTTTTATATTGATAAATATCGATATCGGTTATCGAGGTTCGTGTCTCGAGTGGGGGCCCGTCACATGGCAACAGCTGATCGGCTGGCCAGCGGCCGCACTCCATACGATTTTCGGGGAACGTGTGGAAATGGGACATAGGGGAGAAGGTGTTTTATTTTGGACCCGGAAACTATTTCACAATGACCAAGTGGCTTGCCTAATTGGAGCGTTTAGTGTCCTACGTTTAGACAGCCATTAACTGCTGTCATATCTCGCCCAATCATCTCATCATTCATCCCCGCACTCATATTTCCATCCAATCGCCGCCAGCCTACCGACAAAACACCTAGCGAAGACACACTCGTGCTCCGGCTACAACAAGAACAGCAGCAGCAGGAGATATGGCCACACGGGGGCCCTGTACACATCTGGCGGCTGTAGCAGCAGCAGCGGCAGCGACCCCAAGCCAAAGCCAATCGAAGGTCACGATGACGGATCCCCGGTTCCGGATCCGTCCCCTGCAGCAAGTGGCCTCCGCCTGCAGCGGCGCCATGGTAACCGCCTGCTTCAGTAAGTAGAGTCAGAGTTCCCAGATCCAGATTGTTGTTCTCAAGTGCCTGCTGTCTGGTTGCAGTGACCCCATTAGATGTGATCAAGACCCGGCTGCAGGCCCAGCAACAGGCGCTGCTATCGAAAAAGTGTTTCCTCTACTGCAACGGCCTCATGGACCACATTTGCCCCTGTGGCCCGGACACACCCAATCCGGCAGCCGCGAAGCCGGCTCCCAGATTTTCTGGCACCATTGTGAGTTGTGGACCAAAGCCTAATCCAAGAGTCACCCTAAAGCCAAATCTCGCCATCCACAGGACGCATTCATCAAGATTAGCCGCACCGAGGGCATCGGCTCGCTGTGGTCGGGACTTAGCCCCACGCTCATCTCGGCCCTGCCCTCGACCATCATTTACTTCGTGGCCTACGAACAGTTCAAGGCCCGCTTCACCGACATCCACTACAAGTACCTGGGGCTGTGGAACGCAACACCAACAACAGCTGGCCATGGCCGTGACATTCCACTACCGATACCGATGCTGGTGCCCCTGCTGGCGGGCGTAACGGCCCGCATTTTGGCCGTCACCTGTGTCAGTCCCGTCGAGCTGATTCGCACCAAGATGCAGTCGCAGCGGATGACGCACGCCGAGATGTTTGGCACCATACGCCAGGTGGTGCAGTCGCAGGGCGTGTTGGGCCTGTGGCGCGGTTTGCCGCCGACGATACTGCGCGACGTGCCCTTCTCGGGCATATACTGGACCTGCTACGAGTACCTCAAGAGCTCCTTTGGCGTGGTGGAGCCAACGTTTGGCTTCAGCTTTGCGGCCGGAGCCATATCGGGATCGGTAAGCTAATCCCTTGGGCTTTATATGCGCAATATACTAACTGTGCCTGCTTGCTTTAGGTGGCCGCCACCATTACCACGCCGTTTGATGTGGTGAAAACGCACGAGCAGATCGAATTCGGCGAGAAGTTCATATTCTCAGGTAGGCCCCTTGCCGTGCAGATTGCTGCCGCCAGCTCCCACACACACATTGACAATGGTTCGATTTGCATTACGGCAGATAATCCACCCAAGCAGGTGGCCACCAAGTCGGTGGCTGAGCGCCTGGTCAGCATTTATCGCCTGGGCGGAGTTTCTGCAATTTTCGCTGGACTCGGGCCGCGTCTCTTCAAGGTGGCGCCCGCGTGTGCCATAATGATTTCGTCCTTCGAGTATGGCAAGTCCTTTTTCTACCACTACAACATTGACCAGCACAAGCGACAGGCTGAGGCAGAGCCTCCGGATGTATGAATCGCGCCAACGGGAGCTCTCCCAACCACGTTGATCGATGTAAATATGTAAATTAAAGGCCGGAGGTTGACAGGTAATCGGCAAGCAGGCATAGTCTGCGGGCGGATACGGTCTGCTCAGTTGCTGGGGCTTCGTTTTGGCAATTGGTAAATTGTAAAGTGAAATAAAATTATTGTTTTTCAACCGACAAGTCGGCCATGGCCATGCCCATTCCCATTCCCAAACCAAAGATTTCGATTCTCCAGCTATACTGGCCAGTCTGGATTTACTTAGCTTAAGTCCTAGCGCAATCGAGAGGCAACTGGTCATCATATTTATCACGAAACACGATTTTTTTTTATTTTGCAACTTCCAAGGGGAACTTGGCTCCCTTTCCATAATCTTAGGAGGCCAGGAAATCGCACATTAACCACCTTATTGGTTACACAAATGGGCTTCTTTGTTGTTCATCCTGTTAAAAATAAAATAAATCGTTTTTAAATGAAGAAAAAAGTGTATATTTTTATATACATATATGTGCATATTTCGTTGAGTTTTCGAGTCCTTGTATCCTCGTTTTTTTATGTCTGCTTCATGACAAAGGTAAGTAGATGGCTTTTGAAGTCCAGTACCGGTTATAAGTATTTCCTTATGCCAGGGGGAAACTAAGGGGTAAAATCCAAAGGCGTGAGAACTTTTAAACTCAAGGATACCCTTCAGTCAGGCAGAAAAATATAAAGAAATTAAAACGTAATGGTTTAAAGTGTATTACTATTATTTTATTCACTTAAACCTAATTTTTATTATAAAAAGTTGTATATCTTATGGCATGTTTGCAAGATTCTCTGCAAAACGCATCACTAAAGATTATATTTAATATCTGTTTCAGTATCTTACAAATTTTTAAGAATTTTGTACATTTACGTTGTATAAAAATATTTATATAGACTAAAATTTGGTGGCTAAATTAATAGTTAAACATTGGGATGTTTGTATAAGTAACAATTATTTATATAAACATATCACTCAATTTTCAGTATCAGTAACTTCATTTAAACAATTGTAAAACTAATATCTTGCACCTGGTGCTATCTATTCTAGTTCTAGTACGTGGTATGACCTCCTTGGTTAGCCACAACTTCTTGGAGTCGGTGCGGCATTGAATGAGCGAGGATCTGGGTTATGTCCGGCGTTATTTGGTGCCACTCGTACCTGATGGCGTTCTTTAAGTCCATCATGTTGTCTATCTTATGCCTGCGCTCGCGTATGCCCTGGTCCAGCATGGGCCAAATGTTCTCGATACCATTCAGATCCGGACTCTGGGCCGGTTGTTCCACGAGGCGCCCCAAACAGTTCTCGACCAGCCAGCGATGGACGCGGGGCGACTTGTGCGACGCGTCGTTCTCGTAATAGTAATGGAAACGCTTACCCAGTTCGAGATCTTCGGCGCTCTGGAGTAAGTTTTCTTTTAGGACGGAGAACAACACAGCTGTGCTCATATTTGTATCCTTGAAGACAATGTTTCCCACTCCCGCCGACGAAAAGCAGCCCCAGACGAGGATCCCGCCTCCGCCACAGGGCTGCCTCTCATTGTTCCACTTGCTCTGCACATACGACGTTTCCTCCGAGGCAATCAGGTGAAACTTGGCCGTGCCCACGAACATAACGCTTTCCCAGAAGGCCGGATCTTGCGTCAGAAATTTTGTAGCGAACTGAAGGCGACTCTGTATGATCCCTTGGCCCAGGGTGCGCCGGCACCAGGCCTTCCGGCCGCTAATGTTATTGGCGCGGAGTAGACGGCGCAGCACCTCCGGACAGCAGGGCTTCCCAAACTCCTTGGCCACTACCGCGGCGAGCTTCGGTGCGGATAGAGTGGGCTGCGCATAGAACATGTTGATGATCTGCAGCTCCTCCTGCGCAGTGAAGATCTTGTTTGTCGCCTGCTTGCCCTTCTTGTCCACCAAACGATTCTCCACGATGAAGCGCTGAATGATTTTGCGAACTGTGGATCTGTGAATGGAGGTTTCTTCCGTGATGAAACGCTCCGTGTAGCCGGCTCTGTGGAGGGAAAGCACAAACTCGCGCTGCTCCAAGGTGGTGCGCCGTCCCATTTTGGATTGTCGGATGCGTCCGGCGAGCGGTGTCGTCCGTATGGATATTAAATTGAAGTTTAATTTCGCCTAATGTTGAAATCTTTCGAAGCGGCGCTTCGGGCCAGTGTGCCCAGCAAAATATACTAAAAATGTCACCAGTAAATACTAAGCTGAACTTGAAAAGCTCGCTACAAATGGGCCAAGTTTTTAAATTATTTTTTTATTTTAATTTATTAATATTATGCTAGTCTACAGGCTAAGTACAGGTAAAACAAAGTGATAACAGTTGAATTTAAGGAATAGCAACGATCAAAAGTTAATATTTTAGGCATCAATGGCATATCCTGACTGAAATCCTTGAATCAAAATCCACGTTCCCAAATCGAACCCCTCGCTGGTTCCGTTCCTATTTCGAAACCAGCTCACAGGCTTAAACATATCCATCCCTAGTAGCTTTTATTCAACTTGTCAAGCTGGCGTCCTAAAATCACTGTTTAAATAAAATTTGCTTCGGGAAGGAATCATGGTATAAAATACGTTCAGTAGCAGAAACCTCACCCTAACGCTATCCTTTCTCGCCTCAGAGTGCTGTGTTCAACTTCCAGAGCCTGCTGGTGGTCATCCTGCTGATGATCTGCACATGTACCTACATCCGCTCCATTTTTCCCAACTTTATAGGTCGCCACAGGATCGGGTGAGTGCCAGTCTTTTATCCTTCTCAAGACCCTCTAATCTCTGTGGTTTCCTTCGCAGGTGGAAGGGGATATTTTGGAAGATGGCCAGGATTGGGGAGCGCTTATCGCCTATAGTGTCTGCCAGCTGCATCATCATGGCCTTTTACATTATCTTCGTATAAATTGTTTTCCTTCTAGTTGAGCTGTGCCGCCTCCGACTCCTTTGAACTGCATGAATTGTAAATATTATAAAAGGCTAGACAATTTTGATTGCAATTAGGGAAATTATAAAACATTATAAAGTTCAATTTAAGTAGATAGTACATGTTTTATCCATATTTTAAAAAATTAAAAAATGCGTATGAAAATTTCTTTTAACTCGAAATACCAGATGTAGTCTATTCCACTGACCTGGCCACTCAGCGCCAGCAGATTGCGATTGAAATGCAGCCCTGCACAACATATGTTTCGTGTTATCGATAGGCGGCCAGCCAGCACGTGCATTTGTTGTCTTTTTGAATTGTTTTGCATTTTGGGTTCAAGCAGCCTTTTTCCCACGAAATGAGTGAAGCCGCCGTCGAGACACAGTCCCCAAAGACGCAGAAGAAGGCCAAGAAGCCAGCAAAGCCGGAGGCCGCTATTCCACGTGGACAGCCCAAGTCAAATCGGCCCTGGAAGACGCCCAAACAGAAGTGAGAACTACCTTGAGGCTGCCGTGTCGAACAGCCAGCTCATCCTCCATTTGTCCCCCACAGATTTAGCAAGATCAAAAAGACGGTCAACCGGCTGTCGTTCGAGAAGAAGACTGCTCTGCGCGATGAGCTGCGCTACATCAAGGAGAAGTCAAAGGAGATCAAGGTGCAGCGCAAGGAGGCGGCCGTGCAGAAGCACCAGCGCCGCGTTGAGAATGCAGAGCGCCGTCTGGCCAACGAGCGACGGTCGGAGGTTGTACAGGTCATCAAGAATCCCGCCAAGCTCAAGCGCATGAAGAAAAAGCAGATGCGTATGATTGAGAAGCGCGATATCAGCCAGGTGAAGGTGGTTTGATCCGAGACCCTCTAGACTTAACTTGTATTTTTTTGAGCTAAATAAATCTAGTTTTAATACAGACACGGCGCTGCCTCCGGTCAAATAACAAATCAAACGAATTAAGCTTATCTTAGGCTAGTTTAACAAATGTACGTAGTACTTTAGGTCTGCCTGCCGGCCCGCACCCGCATCTATCCGGAACCGTGTCAGTATCCGCTTCCTTTCCTCGTTTAGTCTCGCGCTCGCCGTCCGCTTGTCCGCCGGCTGCGGCATTCCGTTCAGCAGTGTCTTGATTCGCCCTCGCAACAGCAGATCTAGGCCGTGGGCCAGGGATTGTTCCTGCTGCTGATCCTGCCCAGTTGCTGGTAACGACTGTTCCGAAACCAGCTTGGCATTCAGGGAATTGATGAAATTGAGTATCATAGAGCCCGCGACCTCGGGATCTGCGCTGGCCACTGTCAGGCTGTTAGATTCCCAGGCCTCCGATCCCGGCGCCTCCATTCTTTCGTGCATTTCTCGGATTACAGCATCGGGCACGCGGTCGTTGCCTCTTCGCCTTGCATTGGCTTGCAGGCAGGAGTCCAGGGAACTGTCGACGTGAATCTGGCCAAAGACGCAGCCTGCATCGCGGCACAGCTGGTGCAGCTTGTAGCGCATGCTGCGGTAGTAGAAGTTGTCGTCGCACAGGATTAGATAGTCGCCATCGGACCCGTTACTGTTGCCGGCAGTCGTGCGCCGGACTTGGCCAGGCCAAGCGGCACCTTCCCGAATGGCGGAGACGATTTGTCTAAGGAGTGAAAAGATCAGCGCACGCTGCTCCTTGTACGGCAGCTCGGAGGAAGTGGGTCGGGCGTTAAGAAAGTCGTCGTAGCAGAGATGAACAAGGTGGCGAGACCGCAGGGCAGCCTGCTGGCCGAGCAGCCAGCCGCAGAGGGTTGACTTGCCGGCTCCCGGAAGGCCAATGAGCGCAAGGAGGCAGATGTGCGCCATCCTGTGTACTTTGGACAATTTATATGCGTTGGCTGTACCGGAAAGTGGCTTGGGGTTCAGGAAACGGATGTGGATGTGTGGGTCTGGACAGTGGAGACGGTGTTTAGCTGTCAAGGATCGAGAACAGCAGCTGCGGCGTGGCAAACCACTCCGGCGACTGCTGCTAAAGGGACAGGTTGCCTGCGGCAGTCGGCGGAACAGGTGTCAGCACCGCTGTGGCGGCCAATTCTTTCAGCCTCTGATCCTCCTGCTGCGCGGCAATCTTGGCTCTTTCCTCCTCCTCCTTCATGCGTTTCGCGTTTAAACTTGTCTGCACCTCTACGTAGAAGTTCATCATGTTCTGGTTGAAGCGAGCGAATTTCGTGACGCACCTATCCACGCAGACGTCCTAGCCGTGGATCAGAGTAAAAGTACATAGTTAGGCCGAGGGTCAGGCTTGACCGAGGCCACTTACCTCATGGCTGGCCAGGTTCCGCTCGTTGAGATTATCGACGCACCGGCCGAAGCACATTTCCGTCACTTTGTTGTACAATGTGAGAAAATCCTTGAACTGGATGGGAATAGCGGGTGAGTATGGCACTGCGGGTGTTGCATGCGTCGGGACTTACGTTTCGCAAATTAGGATCCATCTGGCGGCGCTCGGTTTCTTACGAAATTCCTGCAAAAACAGATGGTCTGCCAGAGCTGGGTGGCCTTCGATAACTGTTTTGGGGAGCTCGGTTAGAGCTGGGCAGCTTTCGATAACTTTTCGGGGGCGGCCGGCAAGCAGAGACACAATATGGTCACACCGGCACGTTTTTCGTGGCCCGAAGTTTTTATAACAGTTTATACCAGTTTTCAGTTGCTGCTGCTTCGTGTTCTCCTGTTACCCCAATTTGGTAAATGGGGCATGCAAGTTTTCGGAAAATTGGATGGGTTGCTGTTGAGAAATATTTATGGTTTATTTTTTTAGCAAACAACAAAAAAAACACCACCATTTGTATGCATTACATTATAAAAATACACAAGCAGAAATAAAAATAATTACAAAAAAATAAACACCGCTGACTATTTGATTTATTGGGGATTTTCAGAAAAGGTTGGGTGTTCTAGAGCAACACGTTTTTTACAACAACAATTTCCAAAACAAAAATATTTTAAAATAATTGTATTTTTTTTATGTATTTTTCTTTATATCAAATTTGCATTAGTATTTTTATTTTTTATTTTTTAGATTTATCTGAATTTTTTAGATTTTTATTTTCATTTTTTTATTATTTATACAATTTTATTTAACTGCCAAATTTGAATTTGAATTTAACGACGATCAGTTTCAGTGTGCCCAGGTGCAGTTTATTTAAAATGACCGCAAAATTTGAAGTAAAAAGGTTTGAGTCTCCGCTTACTTACGCTTGCTCATACGTGGTTCGAAACTTGGAGTTTTTATAACAGTTTATACCAGTTTTCAGTTGCTTGCTGCTGGTTTCTGTTCGCCTGTTACCCCAATTTGGGAAACGGGCAATTTGCATGGAAATGTTCGGAAATTTGGATGGGCTGCTGTAGGGATGATATTGTAAAAAAGGTTGTTGTTGCAATCAAGAGGTTGTTGTCGGCGGGAAAAAGGTATAAATGCATAACATAAAATATAACAGTTTATACCAGTTTCGCCACAAATTGTTGGCCAATCAACAGACATGCATCAGTGATGCTCATCTAGCTGTATTGCAATATTGGGAGGCAAGAAAATATCGCTAACTCCCAGTGATGCGCATCTAGCTATTTTACATTATTGGGACAAAATGGCATCGTACTTTCTACCAGTGATGCGCATGTAGCTATTTTGGCGGTTAAATTAATGTTTAATTAATAAAAAAAAACACATACACGTAAATATTAAAAGTTTATTTTGGTCTGCCGCGCTTACATTTTTGTGTTTTTGGGAACAATTATAATAAATATGTAGTATATATTTGTATAACTAGTGTATATATCCGTGTAATCCGTAGCTGGTGCAGGAATTAATTAAATTAAATTAATTAATAAATTAAAATATGTTGAAAAACGGCACTTCGGGTTTAGGATCATATTCTTGATTACTGATGAATTGAATAATTGGCCTAGGAGCCCACAGCTCCTTCGGGATTCGTGCCATCGGCTGTTGCTGGACGCGACTCGCAGCTATCTTCGCCGCTGCTCGTCGTGGAAGCACCTTCCTCCGGCGAGGTCTTGGCCGCATCGTCCGCCTCCTGTTGCGCATCCGCCAGTCCGGCCTCCGCTTTTCCATTGTCCTCTGCGTCGCCGCCCTTCTTGTTCTGCAGGGGAAATATCCAGATGTACACGAACAGCACAAATTGGTGTTCAACATGAGTGCGGTGGCTTACCTTCTTGCGCTTCTTGGGCTTCTCGGTCTTGACGGCATGCAGTTCGGCCTCCTCCTGCATGGCGGACTTGTAGTTGGCCGGAAAGAACTGGCTGGCCTCCTTGTGGCCAACCACCGAGTTTGTGCTGACATAGCTGGGACCGTAGGCCATTAGGGTGGGTATGGTCGGACTCCTTACCTTGTTCACCTTCAGCACTATTTTGTCGGTGCTGTATTTTATTGAATTTGTGATTAATATTAAATAATAAGGTTCGTGGGAGAACTTCTGATCCTTGAGAGGAGCCATTAGGTATACTTACGGGACATAGGGCTTGGCATTGTACTTTTCCACCGAGTTCGCTATGAAGACGGCCGTTTGGGGATTGTCGCTGGTGAAGAAGCCGTAGAGCGGGATGTCCTCGCGACAGGTCTCGAGGAGCACACCGAGATCCTTCTTCTTGTAGGCGTCGAAGGTCATCACAATGTGCGGGGGTTCCGGAACGGGATCGGGTGGCAGAAATGTGGATGTCTGGGCGCGGAAGTACGTGTAAATGAGAGCTGCATGGGTGCGCTGGTCGCTGGGCACCCAAATGGGTGGTATCCGGATGGTTTTGGTCCTGCGCTGCTTCTCCTCTGGCTGTGCCACTGGAAGGGGTTCGGCCGGGGACGGATCAGCCTCAGCCGCCTCTACGTCCTCGTCGTTGGCAATCTCATCCACCTGCTTGCCGCCCTGCTCCTCCTCTACCTCTTCCGCCTCTGCCTCTACATCGACATTTATTTCTATTGGAAAAATCATAACATTTATACGAATTTTCCTAACGGAAGGACCCTCACCTGGCTCCAAAATATCCACGGTTACCTCCAGCGGCACAATCATTGGCGGAACTATGATCTCCTCCTCATTGAACTCGTCCGGCGGCTTGATTGTCTCCTTGGTCAGCTCATGAGCATACTGGCGCAGCACTGTCGGGGGACTCCCGAGCACCTCCTCAACCTTCCAGAAGCACATGAGCAGCTCCTTGTCGTACAGCTGCTCGATCACATCGGGGGCCAGCGGGTTCTCGGCCGCAAAGTTAACCGTTGCAAAGTCAGCGGGCGAAATGGAGAAGACCTTGCGGTCCTTGCACTGAATCTTGAGGGGATCGGCCGGCTCGGAGAGCTTTTTGAACATGTCGCGGTTGACCTGCGGCCCAAAGACGGTGATCCCGATGTCGGGCAGGTTGCTCATGATGCAGTCTGTGACGCTGCGCAGGTATTCGACGCGCTTGCGCCGGCTCTCCGCCAGCTCGATCTCCTCGGCCACTCGCAGCGCCCGGTTGCGCACCTCCAGCTGCTGCAGCTCGATCGGCTGCAGCTCGGTGATTTCGTAGCTCACATGTGACTCCTTGGCCATTGTCGACTGCAGCATTCTGGTGATCATGGCAACCAGCTTGGGCACGTCCGTGCCGAACATGATGTTGATGGCCTTGCCATTCTGCGGAATTCTCTAGAAGATTAGTGAAAGATCCATAGCCATGTTACTACTCACCGTGACGAACATCCAGGTGGGCTCGCTCTTCTTGTTGAACCGCTCCAGATAGGAGATGGAGCCCGCCTTGCACTGTATGTATGAATGTGGGTGAGTGTGATTCGACTTTCCCAACTCTATCCCCAAGCTCTTACGATGGCCAGCTGCAGGTTGTCGCCGCCCAGCTCCAGCTTGATCTTCCGCAGGCTGCCCACCATGCCCAGGCAGGGGCCGCACCACTCCGAGTATATATCGAGCACTGACGGTTGCCACAGGGTTAGTAATCTTTGCCCCAGTCCCATCTCCTTTGAACGTACCCAGCAGGCCGGAACGCTGCAGGAACTTCTCGAACTCCTCGTCCGAGGCCAGGTCCGCCTGAAGCTGCTGCACTCCACCCTTCTTCGCCATTTTCCGCGGACTGACTCAACCCATCCGGCAGTTGCTAAATTTAGCAGCATTCGGGAACTATTGATAAAACGCTGGTTGTCAAGTTTACGAGGACTCAGTCATATCCTTTGTTATCCTTGGTAATAAATCAAGAGAGGAAGCCAACTGGGGGAGAATATCTGTCAGGTAGTTTTCTTTGTGGTATAATTTTTCTCTCGAGTTATAGTTATGACTGAGCTATAGATTTTTTTAATTTTTATTTTTCCCCAAAAATGATCAAAAAATATGTCTATAAATTAAATTTACAAAAAAACGCTAAAGTTTAGTATGGAGATTTATTAACCTTTTAAAAACGAACCGCTTTTCAAATTGAATTTAATGATTTTTTGGCTGAGTTTATAGATTTTTGCTAGTGCCATATATTTATTTATTTGTCATTCTCTAAAAGCAAATGTTGGACAATTGCTGGGGGCTATGGGTTATATTGTGTTATGCTGGGCCTGGCGGTAGCAGCAGGCCGATGGATAAGCCCCAGTTAGTTGTGGTCGTGTCTCATTTGGCGGCGCAGCTCGCGCATTGTGACCTGCAAGAAACATTCGACACCGTTAGAGGAGCGTATACACGCGGCAGCTGGACAGGATGTGCGAGTTGCGATGGCGATGCCAATGGCGATGGCGTTAGATACTTTCTGTCATTTACATTGATGAAGTCAACTGTTGCGCACGTTATTTACCTTTCCGAAGTGCCGGAACACACTACACACACTACACACACACGCACACACAGGTGTCTAATACGGTCATTATTTACGCATCGACTTGGGAAATCTTGATGTTGATTATTAAAGAAGAAGGTCGAGGTCATATTAATACAGCTTTACTCAGGGCATGTGCAGGGATCGGGGCAAGCAGGACCGCTGTTTCGTTTCGGATGGGAAGGTCGTGGGACTGCGGATTATTTACAGGTCATATACGTAGTAACTAAATAGTGATTGGGGCTCGCGCGCCCGTTTAGGGTTGGGGGCCGGGATCAGTTAGACATAAATGCGGTTGCGGGCGCTACTACTGGGTTGATATCGTATCAATTCATATCTATATCTTCCAGTCGTACAGGCTGCGTGTACGGTATGACCGACTTCTTGTTCACGTCCCTGGACATGGCCTTTCTCATATCTGCAAAGAGGAGCACGGCATTAGGAGGTGGCATTCAGCATTAGCAGTGGAATGTAGTCCACTTACCGTACGCATCCTCGTCCTGGTCGCCCGAATAGTACTCGAGTATGGTGCGGTAGATGATGTAGCCCAGGTTTTTGTACATATTGATCGCCACCTGGTTGCTCTTTCGTACAAACAGATCCACGAAGTATGCCCGCTTCCTGCGAAGAAATACCAAACGAGGAATGAATAGGTGCCGGCGGTGGTGAATCGTTCGGTGCCTACTTCTCCGAAATGTCCTCAAGGAAGCTCATAAGCAGCGCGGCCAGGCCCAGTCTGCGGTAGTCGGGGGACACCGTCAGCGCCGTCACATGCCCATGCCAGTTGTCCATGTGGCCCTCCACTTTGCCCATAACTAGAGCGGTTAGAAAGGTTAGTTTAATGGCAGCATCAGTGCTGGCGCAGGGGACTTACTGTAGCCCATGATCTGGCCGCTGGGTGACTCCGCCAGCTGGAAGTACTCCGGCCACTTGGCCAGGTACTGGGTGTAGAAGGACAGGCCGTAGGTCTCCGTAAGTGGGTCGAAGTTCCTGGTGGACGAAAGGTGGTATTGTGAGCACTGCTGCGGATGTGACAGCGGGTTCAATACTCACACATTGTTGAACTTGAAGAGGTCGTCGCAGGTGAAGGGTCGCAGCGTGGTCATGGTGTCTGTTTGTTCACGTTTTTCCTAATTTTCTATTCCTATTTTGGTCACCGGCTCTGTACGCAATAGATATGCGCCACCCTCGATAGGCAGCAGCTATCGATGGGCTGCAGCTATCGATGGCGTCGCACGGAAAGGGGAGCTGGCACTGGAGCTGGAAGCAGAAGGTCACACTGGCACGCCCCAAGTCCTTCACGACCGACCACACGATTGTGGTATCTGTTGCCTTGGGATCTCGGGGCGGATCATGGCGCAGTACCAGCCACAGGCAAGGTCCTCCGCCTCCTGCACGACGGGTGGCAAGCCGCACGATTCGGGGGCTCTGACGCGCGAGGACTTTGACGGCGGGCCCGTTAGCATCGACGAGATCGAGACGGGCCTGTTTCTGGGTGAGCATTCAGCCTCCATAAGTTGGGGGGTATTTCCCATCTAACAGTCACTCCGCTGGCGCAGGCAACCTGACGGCGGCCACCCACATGGAGACGCTGCGCTCCTTCAAGATCACACACATCCTCACCCTTGACTCGGTGCCCCTGCCGCAGCACATACTGGAGGCGAGCTTCCTCACCACCAAGTACATTCAGAGTGAGTAAACACTCGGTCGGAGATTCTTCTGTTGTGGTTGTCCAGAACCAGTGTCCCCCGACCTTTCAGTTGCCGACATGCCGCGCGAGGACATCCTGCAGCATTTGGAGGGCTGCGTGGATTTCATCAGCTCCGCCCTAACCCAGAAGGGTAATGTGCTGGTGCACTGGTAAGCACATGTCTTCCCAATCGATCTACAGCCGCAGATTTTGACTGCTCTCTCGACAGCTACTTTGGGGTGAGCCGCAGCTCCTCCACGGTCATCGCCTACATGATGAAGCACCACAATCTGGACTTCCTGCCCGCCTACGAGCTGGTCAAGGCCAAGCGCCGCTTTGTCCAGCCCAACGCGGGCTTCGTCAGCCAACTGAAACTCTTCCGCCGCATGGGCTGCAAAATTGATCCCAGCTATCAGCGCTACAAGATCCACCGCCTGCGCCTCGCCGGCGAGCAGATGCGCAAGGCAAAGATACTGCCACAGAGCTTCCACAGCGTTGTGCGTCCGGATCCGGACATAACGCGCGAGAACCCAGAGCCGATTGTGTTTCGCTGTCGTCGCTGCCGTCGTGTTCTGGCCTCCAAGTCACACGTGCTGGAGCACAAGCCGCGCGACAGGCCGCCGCAGGAGTCGTCCCCACCTGCTCCAAAAGAGGAAATGCCCAATGCCCAGGCCCAGTCGGAGAACCAGAGCGGGCCCCGCATGCTGGAGCAGCTGGCCGAGCGCATCCGGCAGTCATCGCTCGGTTCGCCCGGACATGAGGGCGCGCCCAACCATTGCCGGAGCATCTTGTTTGTGGAGCCCATTGCCTGGATGCACCGCATCATGCTGAACACCCAGGGTCGCCTGTACTGTCCCAAGTGCGAGCAGAAGCTGGGCAACTTCAGCTGGATCAACGGTGGGTGGATCTGGGAGAGGCATTTGCTTCTGTTTATCAGCTTTATATCCCTTTTGTTTGTTTCAGCCTGCAAGTGTCCATGCGGGGAGACAATGACCCCGGCATTTTATCTAATACCTTCCAAGGTGGAGCTTTCCAAGGCCGTGCAGAATGTGCAGACCACAGTTTAGGGGGCGACAGAGTCGTGAAATAGAACGAGATGGCACCATCAGAGTACTGGGCTATTTGCTCCCTCAGAGATCACTGATAGCTGATCAATATATACATATTTTCCTTCCATAAAAAAAAGCAAGCTTCTTCCAAGCCCGAAACTCAACTCCACATATCCCAGAGACTCCTCTTCGTACTCAAATCCAAATAATGCAAAACTAGGCCAGATGGTGTTAAGAATCAGCTTCGATCGAGACGAAAGTGGAGCTGGAGCACAAGTACTTAACCATCAGTTAGAGCAATTACGCAGGTTGACAGACTTTTGGGACCAAGAACCGGAATATCCTCCTCCCATAATTTATGATAACTCAGATCTGGTCCCAGAAAATGTCCAGGTTTTTTAAATATTTAGACTTAAATGTGCTGAAAATATGATTTTTTGGTTACTTTTGATGTCCTATTACTTCAAAACGGCATCTTAAAAAACTGTTTTTGCCCTTAAAAATTGAGTTTTAAAATTAGAAACAAATTACGCCACCTTAAAGGACTGTTCCTGGCCTTAAAAACAGTTTTTACAATTTGGGAAAACTATTATTGGTCTGCGAGATATTGTCTCTTGAATTTTATATAAGTTATTTTTCCATATATTTCTGAGTGTCGAATTTGACAATAAATATGGAAAAATATAATACATAAAAAAACATATGGAAAAATAACGATTAAAATTCAAAACATGACACCTTTAAGATTCATAAATATTTTTTCAAATTTTAAAAACTGATTTTGAAGTGCAAGAACAGTATTTTTTGAAATAATAATAATAAAATAAACATATATAAATCGTAATGAATTTACAGCATCTCAAAAGTACCCTAAAATCGTATTTGCTAAAATTTTAAGATGGAGTATGTCAAAAACCTATCGTATAGAAAATTTTCTAAGGTCGGATTAAGGTTCAGCCGGTGAAAAAACCCTTGGAAAAGTACATTCCAGTTCTTGGTTCTACGATTTTTTTTTTGAAATTTTGTCGGCCTGCGCTATTGCCATCGGTGGATGCTGAACCCCAAAACTCCAATTGTTATAGTTAGCCAATGAATTCGCCGATATATAATATAGTTAATTATACACGTTTGTGCTGTTCCGTACGATGCATTTGCATAGCTTTTTGCATGTCACCAAGTCTACACACAAACTATGTATGCATTTTACACATGTATTTGACTTTTTGGAAAGTATTTTACGCTGAGCCGAGGGGCAAAACCAAAACATATTTTCAGTGACAATATCTAAAATTATGCTATAAATGTTGCATGTTCAAGTGTTTCGTCGGCACAGAGTCAGGGGAGAATGGTTTCGCTGGACCTGTGCACCCAGTATCGATGTGCTTTGACCTTAATGTATATTGGATCATGTAAATGGGTGTGTGTGTTGTTGATATTAAAGTCAAATTCGTTTGTTTTCCCCACCAAAAGTCACCAATATGTTTGCCGTTTCGTCAAGGTACTTCCAGATTCTAAGTCGCCATCTCCTCCGGCGTGGTTTTTGCCAGAGCGCCGAGGCTGCCAACGATAGCGGTGGTCGCATCCTGGCCGCCATCGATTTCGACAAGACAATCGTCCAGCAGGACTCCTATCTGGCAGTCAGCCAGCTGCTGCCCAGTGCCCAGCGGAGCAGGGAACTGCAAGAGCTGATACCCCAGTGCGGTTGGCTAACCTTCATATCCCGCGTGCTGCAAGAGCTGCACAGCGAGCACAAGATTGGCTCGGCAGCCGTGGGCAAGTGCGTCCGCCACATGGAGGCGGTGCCCGGTATGCTTCGCGTAGTGCGACGCCTGGCCACTAACCCAGCGGTCGACCTCTGCATCGTCAGCGATGCCAACTCATTCTTTATCGGCGAGTGGCTGAAGGAGTATGCCATCGAGGACCTCGTCGCCAGCGTTTACACAAATCCCGCCAGCATAGAGGCGAATGGAGAGCTGCTGATTCTGCCCTACGAGGAGCAAACGGAGTGCGATCTTTGTCCGGCCAATCTCTGCAAGGGCTCCGTCATGCGGGAGTTGATCCGCAGCGGCAGGTATGACCGCGTTGTCTATGTGGGCGACAGCTGCAACGACTTGTGTGCCATGCAACAGCTGCGGGCGGAGGATGTGGCCTGCATCCGGCGAGGCTATGAGTTGCACAATGAGCTGGGCACCGCTGCCGGTGGTCAGGCTGGGCTGAGCTGCTCGGTGCTAACGTGGCGCGACGGCCACGAGCTGGAGGAGCGCCTGATGGAGAATGAGTTGGGGGCAAGGCCAGGATATTAATGCTGCAGTTTTATTCGACTTAAAAATAAATCTTCTCGTATGTGTATGTGTGTTTGTGTGTACATTACAATATAGGTTACTTAGGGGCTTAGGGACTGAGCGTTTAACTCAATGGAAAAGTAGATTACCGGCGGCTCGCCAGAGTCTCCAGCTGCTGCGCCTGTGTGGTTGCCTCCACTTTGTGTCGAAACGAACAACTTAATGCTAACTATTTACTTATTGATCTCTAACTGCGGCGGCTGCTGCTGCTGCATCAGAACCTAATTCTATTTCACACATGGTTTTCCTCGTCAATGTTTGCCTTCTCCTCAGCATCTCCGTAATCCTTTCCTGCTCTCCGCTCTCTGTTCTTGTGCTGTCTTAAAGCTAAAGGTAGTAAATATTATGTTTGTTTTTGTGGTTTCGTTTATGTGTAAGCATAAATTACATGTATAATACATTCTTAGCCGTACAATTACAGGACCCCCATCCCATCGAAGCAGAACGGGGGAATCGACGGTACAAAATCGAGGGAAAACCAGGCTGCTGATGACACTACCTACGTACAGAATATGCTGTGGCTTAACTACTTACTTAACTAGGGGTTGTGTTGGGCTTATAAATACATACATATACCGTGACAAAAAATTCGGAGCACAAATTATCATAATCTTCGTTCGTTCGCTCTTTGCGTATATATAGATAATATATAGTACAGTGACAGACATAGGCGACAGGCGTAGTCAATAACATACTAATTCGATACAAAAAGTAAACAGTAACACGGAACATTTAGGCCTTAAGGTGTGGTGTGTGGTGTGTGCGTGTGTAGGGACAGGGACATGTACAAAAGACTAAAATGCGTCCGATGAATATTCTCTAGAAACATAATGATTTGTGTGGTGACTTAACTACTAGGCTATGTTTCAACTTAGGAGTAGGCAAAGCGTTTAACTTAAGCTGCTCTTTTTGCTACTTGTCGGGCTCTGTGTCGGTGTGCTGTGGGTGCTTGTCATGTAAGTTAAGTTAAGTAACACAACTATTTAGTTGATAAAATATATATATAAAAAAACAATTGCAATACGTTGTACTGACAATAAAGATTAATGATGGTTCAAAAAAAAAAAGTTCCTTCCGTTTCATCCTCCTCCTTTGTCGCATTCAGTAATACTATGCATCTCCATGTGTAGGTTTGGGTGGGCACCAGTAGGGGTGGGGGGTGGGAGCCGCGTCCGGCGCTTACTATAAGTCCGTTAGAGTGCGCTTGGCACAATAACGTATGACCCCCACTCAGGCAACAACCGGCGGCGGCGCTATTCCTATAGGCGTGGCAGTCGCTGCCTCAGCTGCAGTTGTCCCTGCGGTCGCCGCTGCCGTTGCCGTAATGGTGGCCGTTGCCGTCGCCGTGGCAGTCCCTGGTTCGTCGGATACACTGTTCCGGCTGAAGCTGCACTGCATTGTTGTAATGCTGGCCGACGTCACCTGCTGACGCCTGCTCATGGCGGACGACACTGAGCCGGTTGTTGTGGTTGCCGCCGCCGAGATCGGCGTTGCCTCCAGGCTGGGTGGCATCGTCGACGTAGCCGTCTGTGGACTCAGTGCCGCAGATACAACAGCCTGAACGCCATTAGTCGTCGGACTCTGCAACGGGCTAGCAGTCGCACTGGTGGGCAGCGACACCGAAACGGAGGAGATGGAAGCCGCTGGCTGACGCTTGGCAGGTTTCGTCCGCGCACAGGGCACGCAGAACATGGCGGCGTGCTCTCGCAGCTTAGTTACATGGTCGATGCGGTACTCGTGCACCCATTTCAGTCGTTTACCGCGCGGCAACTTGGAGCGCTCGCCATTTGGCGACGCTGCCATCGCTAAGGCAGCTACCTGGGGCAGTCCTTCGGGCCGAGTGGCGCCGCATCGCATGCACACACAGCAGCGTTCGCAGCTCCAGCGCCCTGGATTGTCAATAAGAAAGTTAGCTGCTGTCTCTTGCCACTCAACGAAGATCTAGCACTTACCATCTGGCACTGCCTTCAAGCCCAGGCAGTAAATGTGGTAGCCTCGGTCGCACTGCTCGCAGTAGAGCATTTTTCCCGGTCGCTGACTGCTCCGGCACTTGATACAGCACTTGCAGCCGGCGCACTGCCAATTATAGTTCCGTACGCGGCCCACCATGCGCTGCGGCATGTCGATGCAGCTGGGATGGACTGTAAAGAAAAGCGGACGTGAGCAGCGAATATGTTTGGCATGGCAGCTGCTGAACTTACCGCGTCGTCGGCAGCTGTAGCATCGGATAAAGGCCTCTGGCATATCCCTAGCATTGCGGTGCTGGCTGCGCAGGCAGACGCCGCAGTTGGACAGTCTGGACGACGACTGGGCGTGCCCATCCTCGTCCTCGCTGCCAGCTCCACTCGAGGCGGCCGCCGCCGAGCTGCAACTGCTCGAGCTGCTGCTGCTGCAGTCGCTGTCGTCTCCGCTGTCCTGTAATAGGAAGCAATAAGTCAAGTCAGTTTCATCCTTCTCGAATCGTGGACTATGGCAGGACTCACCGTATCACTGCTGCTTTCGTTGCCACTGGACGCGGATGAGAGCGTCCCGGCGGAAGAAGTGCTGGAATTGCTGGCCGTGCGCGCCTTGTCCGGCAGCTGTCGCGCCGATCTCCTGCTGCGACGGACGGGTGCCACCGTTTGAGGCTTGGTCGCTAGCGGTTCAGGTTCCTGATCCTTGGTGACGGATTCAGCGGCTTCCGCATCGTTGACGGGCGGCACCAACGCCATCTCTAGCTCGGTCGAGGGCTTCTCCAGCGCAGTGTCTAGGGGATAGGCTCTAAAGGAGAGAGTAGAGGAGAATCGGTTAGTGGTGTGCAGATTAGGCACCTGTCAGGAGCATACATACCTAAGCTCTGTGGGTTCAAACTGACGGAAGGCAAATGAGAACTGGTCCGGCACCACGGTCAGTGGATAGGCATAATCCGAGACCCGGAAGGCCTCGTCGTAGACGCGGGGCGGCAGGAGAGTGGGTGGCGCCGGCATGTTCTCCGCCTCCGCCGCCGCCAACACCACATTCGCGATGGAGCGATGCAGGCGGGTGGACGTGGGCGCCGTCCACTGCAGCGGCTGGTTCATTGTGAACGTTTGCAGGTCAAGGCAGGCCAAGCGCTCGTCCTTGCGGCTAAGCGGGCAACAGATAAAAGGATTGTCATTAGAAAGCTGTTCCTGAGCAGCAGCCACAGGACAGACGGACTCCAACTTACGTCTTGTTGAAGTAGACATTCCACTTGCTGGCCGAGAGCATAGCTCGGTCGCGCGCCTGCAGGCCACGTCCGGCACCGACGGTCAGACCTAAAGCCTTCTGCTTGGCCTCAATCTCGCGCAGATGCTTCTGGCGGATGTACTCCTTGTAGTCCTCGTACTTATCGTAGAAGTCCGTGTACATAATGTCCAGAATGTCGGAGGCCCACACTGCGGTGATGCCCAGATCGCACATCCTCTCGCTGACCAGACCCTTCTCCTGCAGCCAGTTGCGCTCCTCCATGTCGACGGCGCGGCGCGGCAGGTCCGGATATTTGCGCTTGAAGCTAGTAATACCCAAATAGAGGGCCACCTGCTCCTGAATCATGAAGGTGTCGCGATTCTTCGACGGGCAGCAGCCCTTGGGCGGCGGCCAATCGTACTCCGCAATGCTGGAGGCGCTGTAATCCGTGCTGCAGAGTTTGCAAACATTAACTTTTGACTGGTTTGAGATCTTTTACTATATTCACATACTCTTCGGCCACGCAAATCTCCATCTTCTTTTTCTTTGGACGTTTCAGCGAAGAGCCCAGTATGGTGTCGACGGACTGGCCCTGGTTCGAGTCTAGCAAGCTCACATTGCTCACCATGGACGACTGTGACTCCTCATTATTGAGGAAATCGGGTTGCCTGTAGACGATAGGATAAAATTACGTGAATTTGGACTCGCTTGTTGGTCAATGGCGGTGGTAACTTACTTTTGTGGCGTTAGTGGCGGCTCCATCAGGCTAGCCATTGACATTGACTGGCTGCTGTTGCTAAGGTCCGCGCTCATGCGCGTATCCTCCTCGAAGACTTGCGGCGACTGGAAAATGATCAGGACAAGAGTTGGCATTGTGAACAATAGGCAAAAAGCAGTCGGGACAAGTGGGCTATCGCTAATTGGGTTTCCTTTTACACTCTATTCATTAGGGAGTTTAAAGTCCTTAAAGTCTGCCTCCTGCCCGTGTTCATGTTTAGACTTGCACAATGTAATTCGCCGGCGAGCAGCATTGCCAGCTTTCTATAAAAACCCCAACACACAAAGTTTTGTTGGGAGAGCGAGTGACCGCGAGAGAGCGAGAGAACGGTAATAGCAGCAGCAGCAGCAGGTGTGGTGAAGGTGGACAACCGCCAGCGAATAAGTGCAAGCACCAACACATGCTCACCACCCAGAACACACACACACACGCAAGCATGCTCACACACACATGCGCGCACTCGTGTGCGATTGGCGAGAGCCAAACAAAAACTTCAGCTGATTAAAATCGCAGGTGAAGCCAACAACAATCGGAGCGGCTGCGTTGCTGCGCTGCTGCTGCTGCTGCTTCTTCCCCCACCCATGCTTCTGAGCTTTGTTGCAGTTACTTGCACTTACACTCAGGCTGTTGGCAATGAATTCATGACATGGCGCGCGCCTTTGATTTTAATTACGACACGTTAACATTAGCCCGTCTCTCCCTTTACCCCTACTCCCTCCCCATCCCTCATCCCTTCCCCTGATGTGCGTGTGTTTGTGTGGAACAAAATTTACGTAACGAAACATAAACAAGCTGGCGAGGCGATGCAAATTGTAAACGCCAATAAAAATAAAAGCCCCCAGAGCTTCACTGACCATCCCTATAATCTACAACACGCTGGCCCACATTATGCGCATATGGTCGGATCCCAGATGCCCCTCATCCGCTGCTCTGGTCGTTAGGGATTAGTAGTTGAAGAGCCCGGGAGCTCAATTAGTCACCAGTAAGTGCGGGCAAAGGATGCTGCTGTTGCACACAGCATTGCCAGAGCAGGTTGTATTGAAACTCCTCAGCTGGAGGTTACAGTGGGCACTCGCTAAGTCCCACAGACTTGTAATTTACTAAAAGGCAAGTGAATTTACACTTTAAAAACATTTGCCATGGATTTAAGAATTTTGAAATTTTGAAAGTAATTATTTAATAATTAAAACTTCCTTTGGCAATTCTTAATGGAATATTTCCCTATCCACCGATTAGAATTACTTGGAACTTGCTAAAGATTCAAGATACCTTTCCCAAACAGTAGATAGGTATCTCTTGGTGTACACATTCACTGTGACAAAAAAATCAGACAAGAAATTTCACTTACCGGACTAAACAGACCCTTGAGCCTCTCGGGATCGGGCGTGTGCTTCAGGCCGCCCACACAGCGTGGCCGACTCATGGCTATGGCTTTGGCCACGGCACTGGCCCCACGGCTCATCCGTGGCGCCCGTGGTTGCGTTGTCGCCGAGGCGACACCACCACTGCTGGCCGACCGATCCGCCGACGAAGAGCCTCTGTTGCCCCTACTGCCGCCCCTGCCACGGCCACGTCCGCGTCCCCGCGTGGGTGGTGTTGTCATCGAGAGCATGGTCGTCGTCGAGGCAGATTCATCTGGAAGCAAGAGTGTAGTAGATAATACTACAATAATTTGGTCACTGTGTTCTGCCTTACCTCCAGAATTATCCAGCGCACTGTTATAGTTGTCCTCGTCGTGCGAGTCCGGCTGGCTGCCGCCGGCACTCCCGCCGCTGATGCTGGAGGGCCGCGGCGAGCGCAGCTGCTGCGTGGCCATGATCGAGGAGAAGTCGTTCGGCTGAAAGATGACATCCGGCAGGGGGTCTGAGGAGGAGAGAATCGTCGTGGGCGGCAGCATAGAGCTACTCCCGCTCCCGCTGATCATTTGCTGGTTAGCGGCAGTGCCGGAAGAGGTCGACGAGCTGGACGAGCACATGGTCAAGTCGATTTGCGCGGCTAGGGCGAAGGCCATATTACTGCTGTTGTTATTATTATTGGACTCCGACTCAGGACCACCGAACTGTACCAGCGTGGGCGGCGGCGGCGGCGGGAGCTGGCTGTGCTGAGCGCTGGCCTTGCTCTGCCGCTTTCTGGTTGACTTGGGGGTGGGCTGTTGATTCGTATTTGCATTAGTGTTAGGCGCCATCGAACGCCGCGTGGCACGCAGCGGTCGGTGCTCGCGACGCGGGGGTGTCTCCGCAGCACCGGCCAGCTCGTCCTCTACTCGAGCATCTGGCTCGCCGAGCACCGTGCTTCCTGGCGTTGCATCCGCCTGCTCTGGGCCCACGCTGACCATGTCGATGGCCAGTCGCTTGCGCAAAAGCTGCACGCGCCGCGATTTAACAGCGCTAGTAGCCTCCTCTGGCGGGGCACCGGGCGTGGGCGTGGACGTGGGGGTGGCACAGACAAGGGCGGGATCGTTAATGCTCTGATTCTGGTTTCTTTTCGGCCTGCCTCGTCGCTTTCCTGTGCTGGCCGGTGTGGCTGACGGCAGCGAAGGCTGTGGCTGTGCGACCGTATGATCCAACGGATCCTGAGCCTTGGATTCGACCGCCTCGTCTTCCGCAAACAGGGTGCCGTTCTGATCCGACGTAAGCAACACCTGCTGCTGCTGCTGGACGGGCGAAAATAGGGCATCCTCCATATCAGTGTTTAGGATGCGCTCGTGCTTCTGCTTGCGAGAGCGATGCGTCGGCGGCACTACCTGCACCGAATCGCCGTGGGCGTCGTTGCACTTGTTGGCGAGATCGTGACAGTTTTGCGTCTGCTGGTCGTTCTCGTCGTTGTCCAGGCGTCTCTGCTTGCTGGGAGGGATCTGCGTGGACCAGAGGAAGAGTCAATGAGCAGCTGACAAATACAGAAATATGGATATTCAGAAGGAAAACACTTACGCCACTGATGGGAGATTCGTTGCCCTCACTACTGTTGCGCTTCAAGTGATTCTCGTTGTTGTTGTCCATCTCCTGCAGCTGGTCCTCCGGATGCTGGTCATCGCCAGAAGCCAGGGCGTGCTTGTGGTTGCTCTGGTGGTGGTTATTGAGCACCTCGTGATGCTCCTCGTCCATGTATGTTATGTGCGGACTGCCTTCGGGTGTGTCCAGTATCTCGATGGAGTCGATGATGGGCTGGGCGGAGTTCGAGGAGGTCAGTAACGGAGCAACGGCTACTTCGCCCTCGGATGCAATAGCAGCAGGGGCTACCACTGCTCCCACTCCGCTCCCGCCGCCTCCGTTGGCCATCAGGCGCTCCGTTAGCTGCGGGTACTTGCTAGAATTGCTTATGGGTGAGGCCGTGGTGAAACCTTTGGCCGGCGCCGTCAGCTGGCTGAGAAGGATGTTGGAGTTTGGCGAGCCGGGCCCGCCAACGGCACCTTCAACACCGACACCGACTCCAGCGCTGGATTCCGCCGCCGCTGCCGCTGCCGCCGCTTGCATTCGCAGGCACTCGAGGAGCAGATTGTGCGATTGGGCGGGAGAAATGCGGCCAGTAAAGCTGTTGGGCGCATGCGCTGGCGAAGAGCCAGGCGACGGAGACGAGGTCAGGTCCACCATGTCCACCACATTGTGCTGCGGTTGCTGTAGCTGCTGCTGCTGCTGGTGTGCAGGATTGGCCTTGCCTACTTTGTTGACCTTGCTAGCTCCGCTTGCTATGCCGTTGCTGGCCACCAATGGCGGTAGATTGTGAAACATCTTGGGGTCATGCTGCGTCGACAGCGACTCGTCGATGTCCATATCGTCGGAGTTCCGTCGACCCTCGTCTGATGCACCGGCAGCCGGATCGGCGTCGGGATCAGAGAAGCCGCAAAACTCCTGGCTGCTGCTGTTCGACTCGCCGCCATTCGTCATGTGTGTGGGGGCTGGATTGAGCGCGGGCTTCAAGGTGGTGGCCAACTTGGAGGCAGCCGAGGGTACCTTCTCCTCTAGCACTGCACGCACCTTGTGCTTCGGCGAGCACAGGTTCTTAATGGTAAGCTTGGGCAGCGGTTGTAGCTGCTCCTTGGCCGCCGGGTCGTCCTCGAGCAGATCAATAGACTTGGTCTTGATGGTTAGTTTTGGGATGCTCTGGGCGTTGCTCAGGTCGTGGGTCATGATCACGGTGTGCATGTGCTCCTGGCCGCTTCCGCCCCCACCCGTCTTGATGGTTAACTTTGGTATCTGCTGCTGTTGCGAATGCTCCTCACTGCTGCTTATGCAACTGCTGCCGGCCAGCGTTGTCTTGATCATCAGCTTGGGCACCGTCTGGATCTCCGCCAGCGAGGACGATGAGGATGAGGAAGAGGAGGACGAGGCCGACGAGGAAGATGCGGAGGCGGGCGACAGGCTGGACAGGTGGGCTTCATTCTTTGTCGGCAGCGCAGATTGGGCGCCGCTCCCCGGCCCTGAGCCGGAACTGGACTTGCTGTTGGAGCTGGAGCCAGCCGGGTTCTCGGGCAACTTGATGGTCAACTTGGGCACTACGCTGCCCACTCGCTCCTCGTTGGCGGCGCGTATAGTCAGCTTTGGCACTATGTGCGGCGTGCTACGTGGATGCTGGCCGAGACTGCTGGCCACCTCATCCTCGGCACACGACGAGGAGCAGGAGGAAGCGTCCGCGTCGGAGGCGTCTTGGGGCTTGGCCATTACGCTTCCCTCGGTGCCGCCACTAGGCAGCTGAATGCGCAAGGGTTCCACGCGCCGCTCATCGCCAGCCGGCTGAGATTCATTTAGGTTTGAGTTTGGGTTCGGATTGACGTGCTTGGAGAGCTTCAGGATGATCTTGTGTCCGTCTCCTCGCTCCTCGCCCTTTACGTCGAGAGCCGTGGCAGCCATCGCTCCTTCTGCTGCTGATGCTGCTCCTTCTCCGGATGCTGAGCTTGCCGATGCTGATGCAGATGCTCCAGTTGTGCCTGGGGCATCGTCGCACGGCGTCGGTGGCGGCTCCTGCTCCTGTTCCCGTTCCTGTTGCTGCTGCGTCGGCGGAGGCGACGCGGTGGTGCTGGTTATTTGCCCGGGCTGATTGTGACGCTGCTTCCGCTGCTGATGTTGCTCCTCCTGCTCCCGTTCCCGTTCGTTATCCTGCTCCTGATCCGCATTCAGCTGCTGCTCCCGCTGTGCTGGCGACGATGTGGAGCTCACCCGCTGCTCCTCCTCGCTCGTACTCGTGTTGTTGCTGTTGCTGCTGCTTGCTGATGCCGCTGAATTCGAGTTGATTGCGCGACCGACTGATGGTCCAGCTGTGGACGATGCGGCTGCTGCTGTGGTTATGATTGACGTTGACGTTCTTGTTCCCGTTCCCGATCCTGATGACGATGTCGCTGCTACCATCTGCTGTTGACGTAAATCATTCATTGCTATATCCAGTTGTCCAGTGTCCGCCTGGAAGCCTGCAATCACACAATCAGGAGGGACGTTAGAGAGCTTTTCCAATCGGATCCTGGAACCTGGACCGTGCCTGTATTGAACCCACTAAGAGGCGAACGACCTCCGAACTCACATCAACATACATAAACACACACACGCACACTAGCAGATCAATGAAAACTGAATGAAAACCGGACTAAGTAGAGGATCTAATTTTAGCATTCACCGAAATCATTTATCCGTAATTGTGGCACGAGGGAAGCGCAGATTGATGCAACCCACATCCGAGTCCAGATACGAGGCGCGGAGGAATCTCTGCTCCCGTTGGCGGGGAAATGGTATCGCACCGAAATTGCCGCGCAAACTCCGAGCGGAATAACAACAACAACATTTAATAAATAATAAGCGTTGAAAACATGCGCACACAGCTGTCGATGGCGAGGATGAAGAGGAATGGCAGAAGGCAGACAGGGAGGGGGAGAGGGACAGGAGAGAGCCAGCAAGAGCCAGCAAGAGCGGAACGAGGGAAACAAGCAAACGCTGGGAAAGCCGCGCCGCCACGACCGAGCCGAACTGTGTTGGCAACACTGTCGCCGCACGGGCACAAACCCACCACACTGGCTTCCGAGTTCACCACAGCCGCCTTCGCCGCCACCGCCGCTGCCCTGCTGCTGGTCGGCTGCATGGAGAAAATACATACACAAATGCAGGGGCACACACTCACACACACATGCACTCGCTTGTACATGCAAGCATCTGCAGTACAAGCAGAACTGCGCCGCTCCCGCTCCCCTTTGGCGAGAGAAATGAAAATTTCAGAAGCTTTAGCGGGCCCAACATCAACAACAGAGTGCAGGCAGTGCAGAACACGGCGGTGACAACAACAACAACAACGCCGCCGCCGAAGCCCTGACCCAACAGCAGCAACAATACCAACTGGCTAAGCAAAGCGAAGCAGCGGCAGCAAACGGCAAACTCACCATGCGGCAAAGTCGTCGGTCAGAGTCAGACAAAAGAAGATGGAGTAGAAGAGCGCCTTCTTTGCGTGCACAATTCGCAATTCGAGCTATTCGCTGGCATGCTCCATGTTGGCCATGTCCAAGTCCATATCATGCATTTCTCGCCGCTGGCAAGGGAGCGTTACTCGCTGACCAGGCGCATTTCGCTGCACTGGTGCGATGTGCTACTGTGTCTTAGGCGTTTGTCGTTAAACAAGAAATTAAACACATTTTTTAGGCACTCGAGCGACTGAGAAGACTGTAGGCACAAACACACTCTTAGCCGACAAACACACTCGCACAAACACAAACATACGCACACAACAGAGACACAGACACTGACAAGCGCAACGAGCGCTCTCGGTTGCCGTTGTCCCACTTTCCGTGTATTGGTTTCGTACACTTTTCCACGCACTTTTAACGATTCGGGCACAGCCAGTGAGACAACGCATTTATTGCCAGCCAAACGCCAAAAAAATATGCATCCGCTTGTCTGCTCGCACGAATACATACGCAGACTTGTTCGGCGCGCGTCGAACTTTCTTAGGAATTCATTATAATATGCTCTGCTTTGCCTGTCTGCTTATGTTTTTTCTTTTCGATTCCGATTCCGTACTCGTCAAAAACGAACGAAAATTAAAGCTGCAAAACAGCGTGACCGCGCCGATAACGATTGAAAACGTAATAACGCTTGTTCGTGACGGCGTAAAGACGGGTGCATTCTTCCCTTCGCGGCAGCTGGTCACACTTGCTTCACGTTCCACGTGAAATGATTTAATTAAGCGTAGTCATTCGACGTAAGGCAAATGTGTCTATTAAATAATAATTAATACACTCGATCGAATTAGATAAGTAATCATTTTGGTGATATTATTAATAAAAAACTTACTTATTTATATTAAGACTGCGTACTTTTGCAGATTTTTCTCGATTCTTGTAGATTTTTGACTTGGTTTTCCGCGTCTGCAGCTTCAAAAATATTAAGAACAAATTACTGATTTAAATTTGTAAAGAAAAGCAAGGGAAACTAGACGATTTTCCGTCTCTTTGGCGCCATTTTAATTTTGAAATCACAACCGTCAAACTAGATCAACCAGCGCTACCAGACTTTTCGTTCCTGAGCGACAATAGGTTGTAGTAGTATTGGGTGTGCTTCGAATATCAGGATTTTTTCCACTTTTTGAGATTTTTTAGGAGGAAATCTGGCAACACTCTAAGGCCACACTGCGACCACAGCCAACGGTCGCACTAATTACACAGAAAAGAGAAAAAGCAAACAATTTTCCAGTGCCAGAAAAACCAATTTCCAAGGTAATGTACGCAGCCCCGCGACTCCAACGACTGGCCACTGTTTAAGGAAGCCTCTACGGAGCGGACTGACAACCGTTGGCCAGGTGCCTGCCTTTTCCGTAATCCCTTTCGAGCATTGCGAAAATTTGGTCCGCTCTTGAGACGTGTTCAAGCTTCCGATACGGGCGAGTGTGAGTGTATCCGCCGTGCAGTGGACGGCTGTATGAGTATGCGGCTGTTGTGTGTGTGTGTGTGTGTGTCTACGCCCCTCGCTAGGGATATGGACAGGGGATTGGGGGAAGACGGGCGGCCTCCCTTGCCGCAATCAATAATCGCACATCCGCTGAAGCTTGAATTACTTTTCGTATCCATTCTAGAGCTAGTTCGCAGCGAGGAGCAGCACAGCCACGATGACCGATTCCAAGTACTTCACCACGACCAAGAAGGGCGAGATCTTCGAGCTCAAGTCGGAGCTGAACAATGACAAGAAGGAGAAGAAGAAGGAGGCGGTGAAGAAGGTGATTGCCAGCATGACCGTGGGCAAGGATGTAAGCGCCTTGTTCCCGGACGTAGTCAACTGCATGCAGACGGACAATCTGGAGCTGAAGAAGCTCGTCTACCTGTATCTAATGAACTACGCCAAGTCGCAGCCGGATATGGCCATTATGGCGGTGAACACGTTCGTGAAGGACTGTGAGGACTCGAACCCGCTTATCCGGGCGCTGGCTGTGCGCACCATGGGCTGCATCCGGGTGGACAAGATCACCGAGTATCTGTGCGAGCCGCTGCGCAAGTGCCTCAAGGACGAGGATCCGTACGTGCGCAAGACGGCCGCCGTGTGCGTGGCAAAGTTGTACGACATATCGGCCACCATGGTGGAGGACCAGGGCTTCCTGGACCAGCTGAAGGATCTGCTCTCCGACTCCAATCCCATGGTCGTGGCTAACGCCGTGGCCGCGCTCAGCGAGATTAACGAGGCCAGCCAGTCGGGACAGCCGCTGGTGGAAATGAATTCGGTGACCATTAACAAGCTGCTGACGGCCCTCAACGAGTGCACCGAGTGGGGCCAGGTCTTCATTCTCGACTCGCTGGCCAACTACAGTCCGAAGGATGAGCGCGAGGCGCAGTCCATTTGCGAGCGGATCACCCCGCGCCTGGCCCACGCCAACGCCGCTGTGGTGCTCAGCGCCGTTAAGGTGCTGATGAAGCTACTGGAGATGCTGTCCAGCGACAGCGACTTCTGCGCCACGCTCACCAAGAAGCTGGCCCCACCGCTGGTCACGCTCCTCTCCTCGGAGCCAGAGGTGCAGTATGTGGCATTGCGCAACATCAACCTGATCGTCCAGAAGCGTCCCGATATTCTCAAGCACGAGATGAAGGTCTTCTTCGTCAAGTACAACGATCCCATCTACGTGAAGCTGGAAAAGCTGGACATCATGATACGGCTGGCCAACCAGGGCAACATCGCCCAGGTGCTCAGCGAGCTGAAGGAGTATGCCACCGAGGTGGATGTGGATTTCGTGCGGAAGGCTGTGCGTGCCATCGGCCGCTGTGCTATCAAGGTTGAGCCATCGGCGGAGCGGTGTGTTTCAACGCTGCTGGACCTAATCCAGACCAAGGTGAACTACGTGGTGCAGGAGGCCATTGTGGTCATCAAGGACATTTTCCGCAAATACCCCAACAAGTACGAGAGCATCATCAGCACGCTGTGCGAGAATCTAGACACCCTGGACGAGCCGGAGGCTCGTGCCTCGATGGTGTGGATCATTGGCGAGTATGCGGAGCGCATTGACAACGCCGACGAGCTGCTTGACAGCTTCCTCGAGGGATTCCAGGTGGGTCACCCATTTGGCACATTCAATTCCCAAAACTGACCCTTCGTTTTGTCTTTCCAGGATGAGAATGCCCAGGTGCAGCTGCAACTGCTGACAGCCGTGGTTAAACTGTTTCTTAAGCGCCCGTCGGACACCCAGGAGCTGGTGCAGCACGTCCTATCACTGGCCACACAGGACTCAGACAATCCCGATCTACGAGACCGCGGTTTCATCTACTGGCGTCTGCTGTCCACCGACCCGGCAGCCGCCAAGGAGGTGGTGCTGGCCGACAAGCCGCTCATTTCCGAGGAGACAGACCTGCTGGAGCCGACCCTGCTGGACGAGCTCATTTGCCACATCAGCTCGCTGGCCAGCGTGTACCATAAGCCACCAACGGCGTTCGTCGAGGGTCGTGGGGCTGGAGTGCGCAAGTCCCTGCCTAACCGCGCCGCCGGATCCGGAGGTGGAGCTGGCGGCGAGCAGGCAGAGAGCGGTGCCGGTTCGGAGGCCATGGTCATTCCCAACCAAGAGTCGCTTATCGGCGATCTGCTCTCCATGGACATCAATGCGCCCGCCATGCCCTCCGCTCCGGCTGCCACCAGCAACGTTGATCTGCTGGGCGGCGGCCTCGACATTCTGTTGGGCGGGCCCCCGGCCGAGGCAGCTCCGGGTGGTGCCAGCAGCCTGCTGGGCGACATCTTCGGATTGGGCGGTGCCTCGTTGTCGGTGGGCGTTCAAATACCGAAGGTCACATGGCTGCCGGCAGAGAAGGGCAAGGGCCTCGAGATCCAGGGCACATTCTCCCGCCGGAACGGCGAGGTGTTCATGGACATGACTCTGACCAACAAGGCCATGCAGCCGATGACCAACTTCGCCATCCAGCTGAACAAGAACAGCTTCGGCTTGGTGCCCTCGTCGCCGCTGCAGGCCGCTCCCCTGCCACCCAATCAGACCATCGAGGTGAGCCTGGCCCTGGGCACGAACGGGCCAATCCAGCGCATGGAGCCGCTTAACAACCTCCAGGTGGCCGTTAAGAACAACATCGATATATTCTACTTTGCCTGCCTCGTGCACGGCAACGTGCTGTTCGCCGAGGACGGGCAGCTGGACAAGCGTGTCTTCCTCAACACCTGGAAGGAAATCCCGGCTGCCAATGAGCTGCAATACAGCCTGAGCGGCGTCATCGGCACCACCGATGGCATCGCCTCCAAGATGACCACCAACAACATCTTCACCATTGCCAAGCGTAATGTCGAGGGCCAGGACATGCTCTATCAGTCGCTCAAGTTGACGAACAACATCTGGGTGCTGCTGGAGCTGAAGCTGCAGCCGGGCAATCCCGATGCCACCCTCAGCCTTAAGTCGCGCTCTGTCGAGGTGGCCAACATCATTTTCGCCGCCTACGAGGCCATCATTCGATCCCCGTAAGGAGTCTGCCGAGGCCAGAGGAGGAAGTCAGACGAAGGACGAGGAGCACAAAGCAATCGGAGCGATCAATTGTTGCTGAGCGGGGGATGACCTGGCGCAACATAAATTGTAGTTTACGTATTATTATTACTATTATTATTGCATTGTGTACTGGCGGTTCGCCACTATTTATGCCCCCAAATACCCACATACACATACATATATATTGCATATACCATAAAGTTATACCAACCGAGTTGATCGAGAAAACTGTTAATTGTTAAACGACGGCATCGGCAACAGCATGGATGCTGCGTCCCATGCACTTGGTAGCGCCTATTCCGGCGGTGCCCAATCGCATTCCAAACTCTGTAACTCTGTAACCCCATTTAAATGCACTGCATCTATGTATATGTACGTGTCCTAGTAAAATGTATGACAACACTAAATATTTGAGTCAAGGCTGTCTTTTCTTTTCCATGATAGTGGGACATCCTTCTTTTAATATAGACAATCTGCATTTTATTTTATTCATTCCATTTAGTTTATATACTTATGAGAAATCTTTGTTTTTATTATTTATTGTGTTAATGTTTATGAAATTTTATCAAAACCAAATAACATATATTTATATGCTATATATAGACATACATATATATTCATACAACATCTGTTAGTTTTGGAACGATTATTAATGATCCAAGAGAAAACTTCAAGAGTATACAAACTTCGGCGTGCCGAAGTTGGCTTCCCTCCTTGTTATTACTGCATTATTTGCATCCTTTCTATAAAGGATTATGCGGATTATATCCCCTATAGTGTCTTGAAAGTATGATATTTTCATTTAATTTTAATTAATTTTTTTCCAAGTACTTCTTGCTTCACTTCTCATCTTCAAAGTCGTGATCCTAATTGTTAGACCAAGTCCTTGATGGGAAATCCCTCGGATACTTAAAGTGAAGGATACGGTTGCGGTACCTTCCTGCAAGGTGCGCCGCATTGAGGCGCACCTGCTCCACTCCTGAGCTTCACAAAGCTTTGTAAGCTTTAGAGCTTCCATACCACCGAGCGAGGGTTGTTTGCTTACGCAACCTGGCGGCTGGCTTGGGCACTAGCTCGCTCCCTTTCTAACCCACACGGGCGAAAGGGCGCGCGCCCTACGCCGTCGTCTAGCCATCCCTGTCTGGCGCGCCGCAGCTCGCCGCTTTCGCCTTGGCCGCAGGACCGTGTTTTTTGTTGGTACCACAAGCAATTTTGGCTTGGCCCCGATTGAAGCTGCAAACGTCCGCTGTCTGCCCCATGTTGCAGTGTGAAATCGAGTGAAAATGTCTACCCCAGATCGGAACGCTGGCAGGGATTAGGCAGGCGCCGCCAGCGACAAAAGGATTTGGATTAGGATTCGGAAGGAGCAGGCTGCCCCGAGGAGCTCCGCCCTATTTTGAGCTGCTCTGCAGGTTGACACACAAAGCCAGAGAGAGGACGCGCAGATAAAGGAGTAGGAGGAGCACGAGACCATGCCTGAAACAGTGCAGGAATGCGGACAGTGTCGCCAGTGAACTGCAGTGAACCACAATCGCCAGCTAATCCTACAGAGCTCTGCCAACAACAACAACAAAAACAATAACAAAATCAGCATTAATAACAACATCTACATACGATCCTCGAAATGAGGGTGAGCGCGGGCGCGGACGTGGGCTACGATGGCCACGACTATGGCTCCGACGACACCATGGGCATCACGCACCTGGACTGGCCATTTCTCATAAAGGTGCGTACCCCCCCGCCCACAGTAATTTGCAGTAAATATTGCACACACAAACACACGGACATACGCCCACATATGCGCGGATATTTGCAGGGTTTTTAGGTTAAGTCGAGACAATATGCAAAGTGTCGAGTGCCCGAGTGTCGAGTGTAATGTGTATAAGTGGGGTTTGTGTGTCAAAAGCTGGAGCTGTGCTCATGCGGCGCCAAGTGCGCGAACAGCGCGACATAACATTCCTAAACCCCCATTCCACAAAATTCAGGAAATTCAAATGCGATATTGTCTTGAAAAAGAATGCTCTTTGATTGGTTTTTTAAATTTAAAAAACCAAAAACAAAATTTAGGAAATTCAAAAAGAATATTGTCACGAAAAAGATAACAAAACAAGGTTTTTTAATTTTTTTTTTAATAAAAAAACCACAACAAAACTACAAAAAATAATAATATAAAAAATTGGAAAATGTAATATGTAATCGGAAAGCGGGTTTATCTTCGTTTTGATACTCATACTTAATTTGATTTTTGGCCAATTTTTGATTATTTTAACACTAACGGGGTAACCCCTTATCAATTTTTGGAAAAAAAAAATGGGTACAAAAATGTTTTCGTCCGGACTTGGCTAAAACGATTCGGCTGTTGATGCTGATCAAGAATCTACATATGTATATGATTTACATGGTCGGAAATTACCATTTTTTTGCTTTGCAATGTTTCGGCTAGAATTGTAATACTCTGCAAGGATGTATAAATAATATAGAATCCATAATTTCATTAACATTAAAATTTAATTTCAATTGGGATTATTTATACGACACGTATGCCCCTAAATTATCACAGATTTCCCTCAATTCCATTTCAATTAATATTACGTATACGACACGCATGCCTCTAAATTTATTACAGATTTCCCTGATAGACTGATTTCCAAGAATTGTTTTTAAAATATATAAAATTAAACTTTTAAATATCTGTTGATATTTTCATATCTTTTAGTCGTTTATTTTTTTGTAAAAACCTTTAAAAATAGAAATTCGGTTAACCAGAGGATTGGGATGCAATTACAAACAGTGTCGTAACATAATTTTTTTATATGCTGACTGCGCATAAACGCATCGTAAAAACACTTCCATGCAATATAAATGAGTCACTGCACTTGCCAGTGGCCAGGAATGGCCAGGAGTGGCGCCATCATCGCGGCCCCATTGCGATGTGTGTCAGCGTCCTTGATCGAATTAACCCCTCTGCAGTGGTCCCACCTCCAACCTAGAATCTCTAAGCTCTTAATACAGAGCACTATTCCATTCTTCTCCCTCCGCAGGGCATACTGGAGGGCCAGGCGTGCACACCGACTGCACCGGAACCGCTTTCCGCCATCCTGTGGGCCATATTTGCGGTATTCGGCATTGTTTATGCCCTGCTAGGCTACCGCTGCCTGCGCGCTGTCGGCTTCCTCAGCGGCTTAATGGTTGGCGCCAATGGCATCTTCATTCTACAGGACTTTCAGATCACTTTCTTGGGCAAGCCGGCGGACTCGGCGCTGGCCATAGTGGCGGGTCTTCTGGGCGCTGTTCTTGGATCCACATACCCGGTGGCCTCCGTCCTGATTAGCGCCTTTGCCGGAGCCTTGCTCTCCGGCGCCGCCATGGCCGTGTGCGTAGCCACCATGCCGGACAATGAATTTGGGGTAAGAAGTGCCTGGAAGGCTTCTTCCTTCGCACACCTGCTCCAACTTTCTCTCTCTCTCTTTTGTGTCCACAGTACCGCGAAATCTATGTGGCGGTGGTGGGTGGAGCTGTCATCTGCTCGGTGTTAACCCTCTGTTGCGTCAAATATGTGACCATACTTACCTCCAGCATCGTTGGCACCGCCATGATCCTGGGCGCCATTGACTTTTTTATGCACGGCCTGGAGACCATCAGTTGGGTGAGTTGGAACATCGATTCCCTTCTTGTTTTCTGGTCTTAATATCCCTATTGTAGATACTCAGCATGCGACCGCATCCATCGCCGCCTCCTTGCTACGGCGGCCTTTTGATCGCCGCCTGGCCCATCACCATTGTGCTCAGCATTATGGTGCAGTGCTTCATCACTGCCTGGCGTGTGGATCATCGCAAGCGGGTCTACATGCGGCACCACAACCATCCCGGGCACGCCCATCCCCCTCACCTGCCGAACAGCAGCCAGCAGCAGTCTGGGCCAGGACACACCCATGCCCCTGTACGACGTTCCCAGTCGCGCAATCGGGAGACGCGCGAGGAGGCCAGGCAGCGCAAGTTCCGCTACCTCTACCAGGTGCGAACGGCACGCGGTGACATTATATCGCAGGTGAGTGGATCCTTTATCCAGCCGCTGGAAGCAGATTTTTACATCCATATCCTTGCAGAATTTTGTGTCCGCTTTGCAGAAGCGCATCCAGCTCAGCGGCACCGAGACGCCCTCCGAGCGGTCCATTAAGAGCAGCTCAAACGAGCGAAACACATTCCGCAGCGACCGGACCCACTTCACCACCATCCACGACCCCGACTCGGAGCTGTGCGACAAGATCGAGATTGTCCGTGACATTGGATAACAAACAAGCAATAGCTACATGTAACTATACCCGTAAGGGGGCTACGGGCTGCGGTACTTGGGCGCAGATGGGATAACAGGTCGGGGGACACCTGGCTTGCCAGGGAACAGGGACAGGGACTCTAGAGAGTCCACTGGAGGAGACACAAGTACGGTTGCATGTAGAATTTGTAGTTGGGGCACAAAGTGCCAAAATACTGGACATGGAAACAGCTAGGCAGGTGGATGATTTGGACAGGAGTGGAAAGAGTAAGAGAAGGAGAAGCTTTAAAGGATCTGGGTCTGGAAAATTGTTGACATAAGGCTACCCTAATATTGCACATCCGTCTTTCGGTTTACGGATGCCGGAAGATTTTGTTCTCTCCTTCACTTACATACATATATTCGAATGTTACTACAGACGACACACTTACCGTTAGGAATATATAGGAACACAATGGAGGGACGAGTGATGACGGATACCTTGTATTCCTGCAACTACTTAATACTAGTTACGCTTCTCCCCACTTCAAATATCGCTGGGCACAGACGCCGCCATTACTAATCAGTTCATATCTGTGTTATAATTATACGATACAAGGCCGGAAACGGAAGCGGGGCTACAAACATAACATACAAACTAACGAACTTCGTTTCATTTCCACTATCAAATAGGCCTAAGGATTACGTTTAAAACTCTATACACACCCCCCAGAGAATACAATACTACAATACCTACTAAGTACAATAAAAGAAGGAGTGGAGAGGGGAGATATGTACTACCGAGATCCGTAGATGCATTTGAATTTTAAACTTGTACAGTTGGAGCTACACACACACAGCCATACATACAAGGCCACTTTAGAGTTAGAACTTAGAGTTAGCCAAAAGTTAAGCCACTAACTGTAATTGATACACTATATAGAACACTCGACATGTCGATATATGTAACTCGCAATCGCTGTAGGGTAATCACGAGTCATGCCGCACACACAGCCAAGGCTGGATTCCAGGGGATCCGCTCTCAGCATTATATCCGTACGATAATTATGTATTTTAAGCTCCGAGATCCATGCAAACTGCGGTACAAACTCAAATGAATTCCAATCCGATTCGCGCGGCATTACCATTTAGTGATATATGTAGGATATAAGGCTAAAGCTAAAGGGCCACAGGGATGGGATTGGACATTGCCAGGCAGGCACTTCCCTAACGTATCGATTGGTTTCCGTTTCCGTTTCCCATTACTAACTTTTGAAATCGAGTTTCCTGTTTCCTATTAGGTTTGAGCCCTTAGTTTTTATAGGAATTGCTGCCGTCCGCAATTGTTGATTTATACTACAATTCTACTCGGATTCAGACTTGGTTGTTACTTCCGTTTTAATGTTCAACAGCAGTGTCTGATCGATCGGAGGATAATGGCTTTGGCTAGGCATTTACCAGGACCCTTGTCAGACAAGGGTTCATTCCGTTTAATTCAATATTTACCACCTAAGGATAATAACAACAAACTAAGCAAAAACTAACGTAGTGGAAAATCTTAAAGTCGCATATATACGAATATGTATACACTGAAAACCAAATTAATAACTAATTCGGGATCGAAGAGGGCTAATGCTAAGGCCAATATCGCGTACTATCCGGCGCTATTCCTTGCAGACAAAAGAGAAGTCTCCTGAAAGCCTGGAAAGGGACACTGCGATGAGGCACACACATAAAAAAAAAAATAACTTGTAATAACCAAAGAAAATACATATTAAATAAACGATGCAGGCCCATATCTAGTTGGTTTTCCTTCAAGTTTTCACAGAGGAGGAGATAGCCTTTTTTAAAGCATTTGTATTTTTTTTGTATATTTTCCTAGTCCATGAGATGTCCGCATTCATGATCATAATTAGATTTATATTTTTTACATCGGCCCACGCCAGAATCTTGTTGATAAATGGCACTACCTTTTTCTTCAGTGTAGTACTTCGCGGCACCTTATATCTCGGAAATTAGACATTTTAACTTAAAAAAAATTTTGAAAAATACTTTATACTTTACTTAATAACTGTTAAACAATTGAAATTGCTAAGCCTTTAGGGATCTTCAGAAAATGGTTTCAAAAAACAGTCCAAAAAACGACCGTTACCCAGGTGAACGGATGATCCTGGGGACAGTTAGGATGCACACCGCAAACATACAAAATTTAAAAAAAAGAAATGTGTTATTATTATGTGTCATCATTATGCTAACTTTAGCCACATTTTTCACCGAATCACCGTCTCCCCAAAAAATACAACAAAGAGCCATTGCGTACCCATCTAAAATCTAAAAAATGTCAAGACAATGGACCGTCCGTCTTTGCATAAGGTAGGTCAGCTTCCTCGCCAGACACACGAAATGATGAAACGCTGGCTTCGTTCGTGACTAAGTTTTTATTAATTAATAACACATCGGAATACAGTTCCAGGTCCACGTGCTCAACAACAACGGCCGGCAACAACATGATTCAGATCGGGATTAAGAAGAAACAAGGATTCGATTCAGAATTCACAGAATTGAACAATTGTGTATTTGTTTTGTTTTTTTGTATTTGTCGATGATGGTCTTCATTCACCGCTCGGGAAAGCACAAACATGAAACTATTCTCTCTAGTAAATGTTGCAATCGCCGGGATCCTGGTTGGGGGATGCTAGACGATGACGACGACGACAACCTCCTGTCCTCCTCCTCCTCCTTCCCCTCCTCCGCGCTGCTCTACGTCCATTATCTATCGATCGTGTTGCTTCATTGCGTATGCTTCTGTGTCTGGTTCGGGTTATTTGGATGAGGTGGCCGGACCGTACTTAGATGCGGCCTGGGAATGTGCCGCTCTCGCGCTGATCGTCCCACTTCTCCACCCAGGCATTGGGGCACATGGACTTGTACACCTTCTGGAAGTAGTTGCAGGGAGCAAAGTCCTCGCCGCGCTTCTTTTGGCAGCGATGGAAGTCGATGTACGACTGGTAGCAGTAGCGGGTCACGTTCTGGTTGGGGAAACGCGGATCGAAGGGGGCGGTCTCCAGCTTGTAGGCGGACATGTTGCTGCTGTCTGACGACTTGTCGCTGCTTTTGTTTTTGGACATGAAAAATTGCATATAGACTTTAGTTGGGAAAAGGAAATAAAAAGGAACAGAAGAACCGAGGGCAATAATCAACCGAGGCGACAGAGATAGAGGTAGAGCGAGAGAGTGAGATGGTACAAGTGTTACATTTGTATGAAAAAGAAAGAGATGGAATGTGTGAAAAGATCAATGTGACAGGTAAATGAGAAAAGAAAAGCGTGTTAACGAAGCAAATGGAAATGGAGGAAATAAGAACGAAAAATACAATTTCAGTGCGCAAACGGGGAAGGAAGAGATAGACATATAAATCACATTGGTTAGTTTTTCAAGTTTGCCGATGCTGAATGAGCGGTATATATATATACTATCATAGAGATACATATCGTATAAATCTACGGCTTACAAACTAGACTATGATTATTGCATCAAATGTTAAATTTACGAGGCTCTGAACTCGAGTGAAAAAAGATACAAATTACATCACTCGCGCGCCCCCGTCTCGCCTCTCTCTACAGGACTGTGCTAGCGTAAGTCTTCTGGGTGTTGGGTACTCGGAGGGCGGAGGGTGTGCTCGTGTGTTTGTGTGTGTCAGGGAGGAAGGGGGGAACTGGGAAGTTCACGCTTGCTGTTCTGCCTGCGTTCAAGTTCATGATTCTATGGGGAAGCTGTAGCTTTGGTACTACTTGACCAGCGGCCTCTTGCCGTTGTCCGTGTCGCAGGCGTTGCTCTTGTACTTGTTGACCTCGGCCAGGTAGAGCGACCAGAAGTCCTTTGGATCCACATCGCGCTCGTTGGGCGTCTTGAGCTTAGCCACCATGCCGGTCTTTAGGATCTTACCGCCCCGACGGCGTCCAACAATGGGCGGCGGCGGTGCCAGCTTCCCAGCCGCCGCAGCGGCTATGTATGGAGCAGCAGCACTGTTGGCAGCCCCCACCGCAATGGCCGGCAACGGGGGAGCTGCTGCCGACGACGACAACAATGATGATGATGACGCTGTCTCCGGTGCGGAAAAGTGCTGCTGCAGCTGCAGCTGCTGTGGCAAAACCAAATGTTCCAATCTACCGGCGGCGAGGTCTGCTGACTGTTGCAGATGCGCGCCGATCGCTTGCTGCTTCTGCTCCTCCTGCATTTTCTTGAACAGCTCCATGAACGAGCCGTCGTTGGCGAATACGGGATGCGACGGCGGCTCCGGCTTGGGCGGCGGATACACCTTGCCTTCCCTAGCGAGCGCTTCGCGCAGCTTCTGCTCCATCTCCCGGTGAATGCGCTCCTTGTCGAAGGGCTCATCAGTATCTAGATTATAGTAGGCACCTACAGCAGATGCGACGGCACTGGAGCCGGCTTTTCCGCCCATCTGGGCCTGTTCGGCAGCGGCGCTTGCGGCTGCGGCAGCCTTATATACGGCGTTTAGCTCGGCTCTGCCGATGGACGATGATGATCCGTGATTGCCCCTTCGGTGGCTGGAGCTGGTGGTGCTGCTGCTGGGTCCACAGTCCGGCGACTCCGAGCGGCGGTGGTGGTTGCTGGAACGCCTCAAGTTGTCGCGTTCTCGTTCTCGTTCACGTTCACGTTCGCGATCCCTAGAGCGGTCTCTGGAGCGATCCCTAGAGCGGTCTCTGGAGCGATCCCTAGAGTCGCGGTCCCGATGATAGCGCGACTGCTGCTGGCGGCGATCGTCGCGTCGCCGACGTTGGCCGGAGGATCGCTCCGCAGAGCGACTGCGGCTGCGGGAGTGAGAACGGCTCCGACTGTAGCGTCGGCTGTAGCGCTCCATGGAGCGGCTGCGCTCACGCCGGGATCCAGAGCCGCGCTGCTGTTCGTAGTAGCCGCGATGCTGGCCACGCCCGGCGCGTCGCTGGTCCGGCTGGTCCTGCTGATCCTGCTGATAGTAGGGCAAGCGGGCTGCCGACATGTCGGATGAGGACGTGATGATCTGCAAATCGAAACTGTGCCGCGTTAAATCGATCAGTTGGCAGATTCGCGTTTACGGAATACCTATATACACAAAACAGTATTTTGCCTTTTCATTTGCCTGCTTTTCAGTTTTTCTGTTCTTTTCTCTAGTACCTTGTTGTTGGATTGCATTGAAAGCTTTGGCAGGCGCGCCTTGACCGCTGCCAGAATAGAGAATCGATGATCGAGACGGTAATCGAGAATCGAAAATCTAGAGATCTGTCCTGGCCCCGACTTGACTTGGCTGGCGCTGGCTCCTTGATTCGGATTCGTGTATCCCGTAAACGGGTTTGAACTGGAAGGAGCTGCGGCTCCAGCCAAGCGGCCGGACAGGCAACCTACGCACCCGATTCTTATGCAATTTAGATACTTTCGGATTGATATTCGCATTTGGATGCTTGCTTTGGATTGGATTTGATTGGTACTTTTGGCTTGCAGTTATCTGTTTGATAGAAATGTTTGAGAAATGGTAATTTACTTGTTTACGATGTCCGCTGCGCTGTGCCGATGTCGATGCCGGGATGCTGCTGCTTATCCGCCGATGGCGCCTCGCTCCTCGCTCCTGCTGCTCGCTACTGCTACTGATGCTGCTGCTGCATCCGGGAGCGAATCAAATCCGGATCTTGTGATTTCTTGTGCTTTGTGCTTGTTTGCTTGCGAGCTTGCTTGCCTGCTTAACTTGACTGACTTGGGGGACTCTGAAACGTATCGGATTTTCGGAATCGCCTGCATGGAAAAATGACTTGAACGCATGAATACAAGACGTTACTTGGAACCAGGACGCGGTGCAGGGGGTTTTGGTTTTGTCTTTCTTGCTACGATTGTGGTTAGGGATATACAAAGCCCTCCCACCCCCCTTTCCCGCCCCCAAAAGGGCCATATTTATGGAGACTTATGTAACCCGGGGTACACTCGGCGCCGCTTGGATCCGCACGGTTTGGGGGGGATTGGGGGGCAACTTACGCTTACGGATGCGGACCGCGGACGACGGAGCGCCGAGTGAGCCCACTTATAATGCCTCAGAACCAACGAGTTATGTAATTTGTACTTTTTTTTCCTGCTGCCCGAAAAAGAGCCTGGCCAGCGGAAGTGTTAGTGTGTGTGTGTATATGCGAGTGTGGCGTGTGTGCTTGTGTGAGTGTGGTTACGAGTTACGGTACGAATTACGGGTTACGAATTGCGAACGAATATGGCGTATGGCTGGGCCGTCGAGGGTGTATTTGTTTTTGGGTGGCAAGAGGGCAGCACTCGAGTCGATCGGTGCCTTGGCTTACGGTCTGGTGTGCTTGCAAATGCAAGCTTTTGCGATTTCGGTGCGAAAAACATACCTTTGTTGTTCTGAGAGTACGACGAAAAATTTTCAACTGCCGAGAATTTCACGAGCCCCTGACGATAGGACTAGAGATGGTAGACCTGACTATCGACTGGTGTCAAGCTGACAGCTAGCGCCGGGTTGCCGGATCGCTACCGAAATAGTGTTGGACAGGGTCGTCCGTGGAGCGAATTGGTTTATTTGTGACAACACGCGCAGGCAGCAAATGGAGAACTGACCTCTCTCTTGTCTCCTCCGCCGCCGCCGATGATGGGAAGCAATCCACCCGAGCACGGGGCCAAGCCGAGATCCAACCGTCAGCGAGACAGCCGCCCGGGCCACGGCCACCACCGAGTAGTACGCAAGCAGCCGCCGCGACCCACCAGCAACCGCCACAACATCTACATCACCAGTAAGACGGACTTCAAGGCAAGTACTTGCTCCTCGATGGCGTTGACAGTGTTATTCTGACCCCCAACCACCACCCGCAGGCCCAGCAGCGGCGATGCGAGGAGCTGCTCAACGCCGGAGCTAAGGAGATCTTCCTGCACTGTATGGGCTTCTCGATCACGCGCGGCCTCAACCTCGCCTTGCGCCTCGTCCACAATTCCGAGGGTGCCCTCAGCTACGCCATCAACACCTCCACCATACAGCTGGTGGACGAGCTCCATCCGCTGTGCGATGCCGAGGACGTGACCTTCCGTCAGCGCAACAACTCGGCCCTGCACATCAAGGTCTTCAATCGCAGCCTCTTCGATATCGTCGTTCCAGAGCAGTCGCAGCAGTTTCGTGGAAAGGCGGGGAAGGCCAGACAGTAGGGAGCAGTCGGAGCAATGTTCAAGCTCTCGGAGCTGGTTCGCTGGCTCGGGCTCACCGAGTTCGAGATCCTGGTGAACCTATGCGGGCTGCTGGTGTTTACCATCACGCTGGCCATCAAGCTGTCGGGCGAGAACGCAGGCAACAGCTTGGGCGGACTCAACGGGATGCAGCAGGAGCCGACGGAGGATTGGTTCACCATCTTCAGTCCACTCTTCTTCATCGATATTTGCAACGCGTACTTCTGCGTCATAGTGGGCATCCGCATGTACCTGGACTCGGACAACAAGCGCAAGGCCTTGCACCGCTTTATGTGGAGCACCTACTTCCTGGTGCTGATCGTCATCTTTAAGTACCTGCTCTGCCTGAAGCTGTCGAGCAAAATGGGGCTCGAGTATTCGGAGGTCTTCTCGCCGATCTTCGTGCTCCTGCAACTCGTGGCGGTGCGCGCCTGTCAGCTTCCCAACTCCATTTAACTATAGAGCCCTAGTATCTCCTCTGATTTGGTCAATAAGATATCTTTAAAGTACGAATAGAGCGGTGAATATTAGATTATTGGGAAAGTGGGTGTGGTTTACTAAAGCCTGAAGATTGAAGGGTCATTAAAATAATCCTAGAAATAGGGATCATGAACATAATTCCTTTAGAGATTTCGTTTTTTTTTCGGGTAAAGAGTTCAGGCTCCAGTGTTGAACAACGCCAGCGGTCGGCCGTTGACCAGGTGGCAGCCCCAAGGGAAATCGCCAGCCAGAAACAATAACACAGAGTGCCTGTCCAAATTAATTGTTAGCAACTAACTGCTTGTCTCGCCTCCGCTTTGCGCCATGTCCACGCTGAACCGACCAAAGTCACCGCACACGCCCACGGCCATCAAGAAGGGCGAGAAAGAGGACAGCTTCTGGGACAAATTCAGCACCCTGGGACGCAAACGCGGCACCCGCGAAGGTTTGTACACCGCAGTGGCGTTTCAAGCGCCCAAAAGGGCTCAATCCGCGGCAGCAGGTGTAGTGTAGTGTAGTTAAGAGGCGCAGTTGTGCCTCCAGCAACCGGAATGTGGCCAAAAAGTAGTCCGGAAACGCCCCTTTGGTCGAACCGGGAGCGTTTCTGGGAACAGATGTGCGTATGCTTTTCTTAATGAGAACATTGCGTCACTGATGACGCACACAAACAAACAAAGACCTGAAGGCGATCGTACGCGAGTGTGTGCGTGGGGCGGCCTTGTGTCGTCATCGTTGTTGACCAAGTTAACCATCCAACCCCCCGTTTGTCCCTCTGCTGTTTGCAGTGAAGAAAGTCCAGGAGGAGGGAAAGTACGCCATCGACTCGCCCGGATCTCCCAGCCAATATGATATCCCGCCCGAGGATTATGCCCTGCGTAAGTTCATCTTGCCCGGAATCTGCATCTCAGTCAGTTTGTATCAATATCTGTGAAATCTGAATTCCTGGCAGGCGAACACGAGCAGCGCGCCGTCATCGATCCGCAGTCCATAAACGAGCCGGAGGTGATCAAGCTTCAGCGCATCCTTGTCGACTGGATCAATGACGAGCTGGCAGAGCAGCGCATCATTGTCCAGCAGCTGGAGGAGGACATGTACGACGGCCAGGTTTTGCACAAGCTGTGGGAGAAGCTCACCGGCAAGAAGCTGGACGTGCCGGAGGTCACGCAATCTGAGCAGGGTCAGCACGAGAAGCTCAACATTGTCCTCAAGGCGGTGAATCACGTAAGTAGAAAAGGCAATGACTTCGCTGGGGTCGAAATTCGCCTTGTCCACGGCTTTAAAGTCCCTTGCTAATCTATGTTTTATCGCAGACACTGGGCTTCCATCAGAAGATACCCAAATGGTCGGTGGCCAGCGTGCACTCCAAGAACATTGTCGCCATTCTGCATCTGCTGGTGGCACTTGTTCGCCATTTTCGGGCTCCCGTCCGCCTGCCGGAGAACGTGTTCGTGACCGTGGTGATTGCCGAGAAGAATGCGGGCGTGCTGAACGCACAAAAGTTCCAGGAGCAGATCACCTCCGAGTACGATGACCTGGGCATGCGCTGCGAGAAGGACGCCTTCGATACCCTGATCGACTGTGCACCCGACAAGCTGGCCGTGGTGAAGAAGTCACTAATTACGTTCGTGAACAAGCACCTGGCCAAGCTGAACTTTGAAATCAACGACCTGAACACGGACTTCCGCGACGGTGTATACTTGTGCCTGTTGATGGGCCTGTTGGGCGGCTTCTTTGTGCCGCTGCACGAGTTCCATTTAACGCCCCAAGACGTCGACCAGATGGTTAGCAATGTGGCCTTTGCCTTCGACCTGATGCAGGACGTGGGCCTGCCAAAGCCAAAGGCTCGGCCAGAGGATATTGTCAACATGGATCTGAAGTCCACGCTGCGAGTCCTCTACAGTCTGTTCACCATGTTCAGAGACTATGCCTGAGCCAAAACCCCCGGCCAAGCCGCCGATCAACGCCAATTTCACATTTTATATTAACTTTTTTTGTAATGTTTACACGCGTAATTTATGTGCCTTCTAACAGACGGTTATTTATGTACTTGTATGTCGTCTGTGTTATGTCTAACCTCTGCGCCCCGCCATCTCATCAGCTTGGGGCCGAGTGGGGCGCAGCTAACCCGAATCGACGGCCAGTTGTTAACTTGTCTTATTCACGTACCAGCCGTAGTAGTTGTTACTAAATGAATTTACTGTATTAATACACAATAAACGAGAATATATGTGCCTTCAGATTGAGCACACACAGAGCTTTTGCGTATTACGTCACAGATTTCACACCTGTAAATGTAAGTGTTCAAAAAATTGTATTGTGTACATAGGATAAAACGTTCAAAAAAAAATATAAAAAAACTTTGGATTCGAAAAACCAATAAACATTGCCCAGAGCTGCACATGTGTTATTCTATTTTTCAACGTATTAAGGCGCTAAATTTACCTGGGGCTGTACGGCAGATTATTCACATGTAAGCATACCTTCGTATTTCAAGAGTATTCGTAGGAAGTGGCTGGTTGCTTTACTCCTTTCAAATGTCGGCGCTCTACTTGACCTTATCGATTAATTTGCTCATCGATCACAGAAGAAGTAGAGTTGCCACCCTATTGAAATATGATTATGCATTTATTTAAATATAATTCCGGCCACTTGGCGTTTCACGCCGTGTTTATTCCCCCAAAAACAATATTCCTGGCCATTTCTAGCTTCCTGTTCAGCGTTTATCCACAAAAAAAATTAACTGACAATCTCGTGTTCTACAAATTATGTCGTTTTGAAACAAGGTGGCAAGCATGCGCATACTTTTTATGATTTTCACAATAGCCGAGCGAAGTTTCAAGATTCTAGACTTCTCCAGTACACACCTAGTGCGTCGCCGCAGTCACAGCTACGTCTACGACTTCATCAGCCCCACGCACATAGAACTCAGTCGGGAGGCCACCCGCCTGATAATCAGACGCCTCCAACGCACAGTGCTCCGCCTCATCCGGGATCCCGAATTCGGCATGTCCGAACCCAGCCCCTCATTCAAGCGCCCCGCACCCAGTCCCGACAAACAGAGCTTCGACGCATCGTCCTCCCAGCAGGCACACGACGAATCGCCCTTTGGGTCCCACCGCAAGGGCACCGGCCAGCAGGACTCCAACTGCCGCACCTGTAACGATTTCAAGTCCTGGTCCAAGCAGCAGCGCCTCTTCTCGAACGTGCAGAGCGCCAAGGTAACGTTACCGTTACGCCGTGTCCCTGCCACTATGCTTACTACCTCACTACCTCCTCCTTGCAGGTGAAACACATGGCCGCCAGCGAGAAGGTGACCGTTAATGCCGCCGATCTGCAACGCGATGACTGTCCGTTGGACAAGGTGCGACTGGGCATCTCCACCTGGGGCCTGCTCCACACCATGGCGGCCTTCTACTCGGACAACCCGACGGATAACGAGAAGCGAGACATGAAGAACTTCTTCGAGGTGCTTTCGCGCCTCTATCCCTGCGAGTTTTGCGCCAAGGACTTCCGCACAGAGTAAGCGCCGGTCAATTGCTTGACCAACAGAATACGTCGCTGATCCTTCCCGTTTCTTTTCCCTCCGTCTTGTAGCCTGGAGGTCAATCCCATCAACGTTAGTTCGCAGAAGGAGCTTTCTCTGTGGCTGTGCAAGTTCCACAACAGGGTCAACGATAAGCTTGGCAAGCCGCTCTTTGACTGCAGCAAAGTGAACGAGCGGTGGCGCGACGGCTGGCTGGACGGTTCCTGCGACTAGACCGCTGCCCCGATAGTGGCGCAGTTGTTGTGGCAGTAGCATCCAATCGATCCGCGTCCCAGTTACCTATGTTGACCAGACTTGTTTTCAACATATATTGTTCGACACCAACTACTGCGACGAAAAGGAGGCTCAGTGTCTTCTCCTGCTCGGTGACGGAGTGCTGCTCATTATGTGCCCTGCGACCTGTGCCTTTGACCTGTTCCCGGGCGCCGATTGTCTTTCCTTACCGTATTCCCAGCGCCCGGATTAGACCGGTCGGGGCCTGCGTCGGCGTGTGATCAAATTTAATTGTAGAAGAACAATACACGATGGTCCTTTGTTAATGCTTCGCTGGCTATGAAAATACATACAAATTTGTTATAACCCGCCGCATTGTGCACTCTCACTGGCCTTATCTGCCTTATCGGATGCTAGATAAGTGTGAAATGGAATGGGACAGGGACAGGGCGACCCTTATGTGTCGACTCATGGGCACAGTGAAAGTCTTACTCGACACTCGATAAGCTAAGGGAAGCATCTAGATTCTAGAATATCGGAATACCAGCATACATAGCTTTATATTTGAACAATGATATGGTTTTGGTGCTAGGTGGGACAGTTTCTCATGCTGGCAAAAGTAGTTAAATTAAAATAATAATAATAAAATGAAATAAAAAATTTATTTATAAAAAATTATTTTTTATTTAAAATAATATAATTTTTTTTTTAAATTAAAAATTTTTTATTTTAATTTTAATTTTAAATATTTTTTGATTGGGTTCATCTGTTTTCGCTTCATAGGATTTTCTAAAGAAAACTTAGAAAAATGATATCGAAAAATAAATTAATATAATAATTATAAAATTAAACAAAAAAATTTGTAAATAATTTATTTTTTATTTATTGATAAATGTGTTTTTTGGGTTCGTTTGTTTTCGTTTCATAGGATCGTGTAAAAAATGTTTTAAAGAAACCTCTTCGCAAGTAGATATTGTACTTTAGGCGAAAAAACCCTCTTAAAAATAATCATTATTTTTGATACAATCATTGTCATAATCATAATCATTATTTTTTTCAAATAAATATAAAACTAAAATTATTAATAGTAAGCTCAATATATTCAAATCAATAGATAATCATTAAACAATTTTTGCTTATAATAATGAGAAACTTCTGCATTTTTCATAGAGTTTAAGATGTAAATTAAGGATGCATAGGATCAAAGTAGGCTCTGCTCCGGGTTCCTAGTAGCTTGTTTAGCTTGATATGTCATTGATGTGACTATTACCAGCCAACTTTTACTAGCAACGACTGAGCGAACAATTCGAGAGAATGCTGCTAATAAGTACATTGAAAGCCACCCTGCTGGCACTGGTAATTGTGACTTGGATTGGACCATCGGCCGCCCCACTACAAAACGATGGGGACGATGAGGCCTCCGACTTCGACGGTCCCTGGGAATGCAAGGACCAGAGCGAGTTTCAAGAATCAGAAGAAGCCGATGCATTGGATGACTTCGATCTCAGCCAGAGCGAGGACTATTACAGTCAGCTCGAAGACTTCCAAAATGAACCCAAAATGAGCTCCGACCAGATGCTTAAAAACAACTACGTAAACATGGCCAACGAGGAGTTTCAGGAGTTGCCCGACGCATTGGACTACATGTCGCCGATCGATAAAGCTAAGGAAAACCCTGCCAACGAACTGGACTTTAAGCGGATGATTCACTTGCCGTGGGGCAAAGATCGAAAGGCGAAATCCCATAGTTTCAAGGAACAATTTTGCCGCATTACCCCATCACCTTCCAGACGTCCGGGTTGTCAGGGCTCCACCTCGCTGCCGCGTTCCTCAAGTTCCTGTCCTCCGAAGATGACTACACCACCACCACCACCGCCACCGCCTCCGCCCACTGCGAAGCCTCCTCCTTGTAAAGCTCCATCCAGCAAATGCCGCCAGAAACCAAAATCCCGTACACTGACCCCGAAAACGGCCGAAATGCTCCTGGCTATTATCATGGACACCAAGCAGCATGTTCTTTTTGTCCTGGAAATCCTTAGCCACATGGAGAATGAGGTGCTGACGCGCGCACCCGACAACTGTCAGCGTCATGACCTCAACCTAAAGGCAGCCGTTCCGGATAAGCGACCTTCGCTTAAAAAGAAACCAGAGAAACTCCGGAAATTCCCATATGGTGATTACCGTAGGAAAAGTCCCTCATTCCGAGAGGGGAAACTAAGGCAGAAGGAGCACCGCAACACCATTGATCTCGAAGACAACTACTTGCCACCATCCTTGAATCAGGCTGCCAATCGCATGGATAACTTGCTGGAGAGCGCACTGCAGCCGATGGGTCTGAACAAAAATAGCTACAAGAAGTATCGCAACCATGGCCAGAAGAAGCAGTCACTGATGAAAAAGATCCCTCCTGGCATGGTTTCCATCTTAGCTTAGACACAGTTGTGTCTTGCCTCATTGTTATTGTCCACATTTCGAGTTAACGTATTTTGAAAATTTATATTTTAATGTTGGCGCTCACGCACATAATTTTGTTATCTCGTTTGGATTGCTTTAAATTGTTAGCCATTTAATACTGTTAACTGTTAAATAAATAGAAAATCACTATGTATAAATTATCTGAGAGCTTGCTTGCTTAGGCTCTCTTTGTAGTCCAACACACACCACTTCATAACATGTTCGTTTTACTATATTTACCTTGTAATTTATATGGTATCAGGTGATAGACTTATATTAATATAACTATATTATATACTATCCTTTTTTCAGTTCTGATTCCGTTGCTGACTCTGGCGATCTTCTGATGAAGACTTTCCCAGTCGTTGGATTTCTGGGCAATACTTGAGAAAAGCGCAAATGTATGGAGGGCTGGGGGGATCTAGGAACCCAACGGCGACATCCCAATCTGTTGCGGATTGGCGCCCAGCTCCAAGTTCTTCAGGAGCATCTGCAGCCATTGTTTGGTGGTCTTGTCGTCCTGCAGGCACAAGGCAAAGGTGCCGTCGCGCAGCTGATCGGGCAGACACTGGCCCAGAGCCTTGCGAGCGCTACGAAATGGTTGAAAGTGGCAGTTGCAGTTTATGTCACCAAGTAAAGTTTACCTATACATACCGAGTATTGTCCGAGAGGCGAAGATAGCAACGCACAACGTGCTTCAACAAGCGGGCGCACGGGTCCTTCGAGAGCTGAATGACCATTTTGCCCTGAAATAGCAGAAGAAGCTAGGATCTATGGTTGCGAGCATTGAATGTCAGGAGACCTACCAGGGTGATGGCCACATGCGAGAAGCGTTCGTAGGTCTGGCAAATGTACGACAGACCCGATTCGTCGAGCAGTATTTTCTGGATGATGAACGTGGCCACGGTCTTGCTCAGCTCTGAGCCGCTGTCCATGATACTGAGGCAGAGGGGCACGATCTCAGTGGTCAGTAGGAACGTGATCACCTCCTGCTCGTCGGTCTTTACCAGCGCTCCAATCACGCCCAGGCTGGTGAGGCGTAGGTACTCGAAGGGCCTGGTCTTGGAGCTGGTCGACAGGAAGGGGTACAAGTAGAGCGGTATCTGGGCCGCAAGGAAGGCGGAGCGCGTCTCCGGGTGCGAGGCCACGCACTGCAGCAGGGCCAGGGCGTTGCACACACGATTGGACTGATGCGCCGTCATGGTTGGCGGCGTTATCGCCGGATAAATGTTGACGATCTCTTGGAGCAAAGCGCTGGCCGTTCCGAAGCTGCTCCACAGCAAGGGGGCCAAGTCGGTCTCACGTTTCTTGCTCAGCTCCAGCAGAGCATTCTCGCGCGTGTCTGGATGTGCCAGCTCGTTGATCCATTGGTACACCTGGCGGAGAAAAAGAGGAGCGTCAGCTTGGCCATCTGGCAACTGCCCAACCGGAATGCGGCTCACCTTCTCCTGCTCGCTAAGCTGCTGTTGCTGCTGGGGATTCATGAGGGGGCTAGGTTGTGCAGCCATCGCGAATATTAGCTTTTTAACAAAATGCCAAGGGACTTCTTCACTTTTCTCTTTCTAGCTTCTGTCGCTTGCCGCAGGCTGGGGAGACGAGCGGCAATTGGATGGCTGGCAATGTGCAGGTACAAATTTAGCAATCTTATTTGCTAACACTTGGCTAATACTTGCAATTGGCTTTTTTCTGCAAAAAAAAAAGAAAATATTCTGCCGCTCTGGAGGCCGAATCAAAAAACAAAATATCAAAGCACCGTAGCGCTATCGATAAGAGCCACGTTCGGCACTATCGATTACTATTTCCTATCGCGGCAGCACAAGAACTCGTGTTTTTTTATAATTAATAATTTAAATTATTGTTTTGCACCCCGATTACACCGTTCCTAGCCCAGGCTTATTTATAACAAGCTACCAAGTACCAATTTTATTTTGTCAGAATATCAAGGAACAACCAATTTGTATTAACACAACCTTATGTTCATATTCAGCTACCATAAAATTAAAGTTAAATGCATAAATGGCAAATGCAGAGCTATTAAATACGGCTTTTTTAACTAAAAATTAAATTTATAATATATCGGTGCCAGATATCACGATATTTTGCTGCCTTCTACAAAATATCGATGTAGCTGCACATCTCTAGTGGCTCTAAGCCACCCAGCTCTAGTTCAAACGGTTTTTTTTTGTTGAAGCGAAGGGTTGGGGTATCGGACCATCGACCATCGAACCGAAAAGAATAAGCGAGCGAGTGAGTGGGCTTGTCGTGTAATTACCAAACAAAGCGATGCGCCTGGCGAGAATTGAATAAATAAAAGCAGCCGCAGCGTATGACACTCACTCCTAGTCCACCTCCCCCTCCGATCAGCAGGACAGGAGCGGCAGCAGAAGAAGACGCAGCAGCAGCAAGGTGTGTGACCAGGCAGGCTGTGGCAGCCAGCGAGTGAGAGCGAGCAAGAGAGAGAGAGAGTGCCAGTGAGAGGACGAGTCGAGCCAGGTGTGTTTACATCCTGCTCTCCACTGTGTCCCGTATCCCGTGTCCGTGTGCGTGCGCGTGTGTGTGCGACTCGTCAACATATCGAAAATCGAGCAATAAACAATAATAGAAAACCAGTGCGAACTTAGTGCCTGCTGGCTTTTTTTTTGTGTGTACTCTTTCGCTGTGTGGCGGTATCCACGTGCGGTATCAGCGGAATCGTTTCCAACTCCAAACGAATCTGCGCAAAGCGGAAGCCCAAAGCACACACGCGAATTCCAAATAGAGTCGCAGCGAGGCGAGCAACATCATCATAATCATGGCACCGGCTCTGAGCAAGCTGGCCAACAACCAGAGCGCCATCGTCGGCGTGGCGGGCATGACGGCGGCCCTCTGGATAATTGCTTACGGCAAGATGTCCAACAAGAAGAGGTGAGTAATTGCCAGCGTTTTCGTAATGGTAATCCATTCCACTCTCTCTACCCCCGCCTGTCCATTCCCATACCCTCCTTCTGACCCGCTGCTAGCCACGTTGAGGAAGGTCTCGGTCGCGGCCACACTGGCGTTCGCATTCGCGTTTTGCGGCTGTGACCTACGAAAATTCTCCTGACATTGAAGTGTATTTCTGTGTGTTTTGTTTCTGATTTATTTGCCCACTGCACTTGGCAGTGACTCCACCAGCGAGCGCCACTAAGCTCCAGCTGCTTGCATGCATGGATCGTACGATGCCTTAGTGGGTCACCTGGTGGCTTCCAAACTGGTTTTCCACGCACTAGATGCACACTTCCCCTTCGCTTTATTCCGGTTTCCATATGTCCAAAACCCGCTTACATTTTCCACTTCCACTCCCGCCCAAGGATAACCAGCGCAGGAGAGATAATTCCCGGTTTAATGTTACATTACCCGATGATGAAATTTAAACCGATTTTTTTTATTCGCATTCCGGTTTTTAATCTTATTTGCTTTCTTCTTGGATTTTATCTATACAATAATGGTATAATACGTACATATACATATAGTACATATTTTTATTCTTGCCAGAATGTCACTCAGAGACAGAGATCTGCCGCAAAGATTAGTGGCTTGACTGGTTATGATATAGGAAATAAATCAGGAGAAAAGTTATCAATACAAAATCGTTAAATTGAAAGATATATTTCCCTTTCCGAGTTTAGTTTCATTTGTATATTGAAAAACCAACTAACGAGTTGATTTCTTTGATTATACAAAGATTTCTCCTTACCAATAATTATAATATTAGTTTTTGCCTATAATATTGTTTTTGTAATTCATTTATAATTAGGTTTATTATTATATTGCTGTTTGCAAATAAAATGTAGACAGTTCAACCTGTTGCCCCGTCCAAATCCCCGTTAAAGGCAGTTTAAAGTGGAGAGTGCCTTGCCCCAAAGACAATGTTTCAAAGCGATTAGGGAGGCTTTCACTGCATTCGTCTGCCGCCGCTGCCTGGAGCACCAGCACTTGGAGCTCCACTCCACTATCCACTCAGTGGCTGCGGATGCAGACAGGTGTCGCAAGAAGTGGACCGCCACTCCGCCGCTGCCCGTTGATGGCTGTTCAAAGTTTCCCAATCGGCAATTTACAATCCCAACTGCAGTGCGGCGGACACGTTTCGGTGCTTGGTTGGTTGGATGGACTTGGTCTTGTGGTCGGACTTGCTATAATCTAATCTCGGTATGGCACCAGACGATCGACCGAGCCATTCACGCTATCGCCAGCGATTAATGGTATGTTACCGACAATATCTGACCCAGTTCAGGGCTGGGCCTGTCGTCAGGCCCAACCTAAACCACCCACCCAATTGCCCATCATCTATCCATCCAGCTGATCTCTAATTGAATCAACCGAATGGCTCTCTGTAGCAAGTCCATTTGCATGACAGAAGCAATTAATTAGAGAGATTGTGGACGACGCGTGCGGTGGTGGTGGCGCTGGTTAGTACATCGTAGCCACTCGATAATGGCTGCGATTATTCCGATAGCAGCAATCGGAATTATTAACCAGCGCTGTCCGCACCTTTTCTGCATTGCAACAGAGCGGCGTACTCGTACTCGTACTCCGGTGCGGTGGTGCTCTGCACTTTGGAAAGCAATCGAAATGAAAGATTTTTAATGGGCTGTGCGACTGTCTGTCGGCTGTGCTTGTTATTGTTATTGTGGCAATGGTTGTTGCTGTTGCTATTATTGCTGTTGTTGTGCCTGAGGTAGCGCAACTTGTGTGGATAACCTGCAAATTTATGCGACGTTGCATATTCGAGTGCCCTGCGCTGGTCTGCATGGGCCATATTGGTTCCAGTTCCATTATTATCATTCTATCGTTGTTTATATCGAATTTATAACTGAAATAAAGAGTTCCATTTAGGGTTGATGAGGGCTTCTTACAAGCACTGCAAAATACACAAGACAAGAAGCAGACTTGAATATAGATCTACTATTTGGGAGTTTAGTATCCGAAACAGACCTATATTAACAATTATACCTACATATAAATTATAATTGAATTGCAACTATAATTTAGCCAGTTCCCCATCCACTAAGTCAGTCCTCCCGCCGTGTTATCTATCACTATAGCTTTGAGAATATGATAATGGCTTGTACTTGAGTGAGTGCTGAGTGCTTGCGAAGGGTATCCCCGATCCCCCAATAGGTCTAGGCAACACCTATGCAAATCTGGGAGTCTGAAAGTCCAACACAACTAGGAAGACCAGCAGCACTTAACCGGTGGGCAGTTTACCTTTGTCGTTGGTTGCAACACACTTCACAAACTCACACACATATGAGGTAGTTACTCACAGTAGTATACCCAACGTCATTATTTGATGACACCCGACACCCGACTCCTGAGTATCAAACATAAACATTATAACCATACATTTTAATGACTCGGGACGGACAGTGGAACTGGAGACTGGAGATGGCACTGGGCACTGCCAACGACACTGTAAAACTACTAATTCCGGTTCAGGTTTCGTTTCGTTTCGTTACGTTACGGTACGGTACGGTACGACTGTGGGTACTAAGATTTTGGCAAGAGAAAGCAAAGCTCAAGGCTATTGGATATATCTTTTGGGATATTTTAAACCTAGGCTAAATTTATGAATGAATGAATGAAATCTATAGATTATTTGACTTATTTAAGCCTAAAGATAGTTTTGTATCTATCATATAAAACTATTTTAAGAGCAGTCACACTTCGACTAGTTCTCGTTGAATTTCTTTTGTTTTTGTCTCACCGACGACGCCCTAGGGAGGGTGGGAGGTTGGTGACTGTGCATGTAGATCGCACACTGCCAGAATGAATGTTAATTGATGTTTACCGTGGCTCCCAGGTACTTTCCCGCTCTGCCATGCTGCCCGAGTGAGTGTTGCGCAATAGTTTCACTCAGAGAACGGAGAATATAACTCCTAAAAGAGATTCTACTCCACCTTGGGCCCCTCGACCCACCGGCAACGCTTGGCCCTGTTAATCGCTCTTCTGGCCCAGAAGGCAGTCTCGATTTGCATAATTGCCGCGTGAAATTGTAAAGCTATTTGAATGCAGATTCCCTGACATTTGCACTGCCACGTTACCACCACCGCCGCCGCTCACAGCGCCGGCAGGTGATAATGAGTGTATCTAACGGGGCGTTAACAGCTGGAGAGACTCGCACCCATTCGGGTTGGGTTTTTGGCGATGGATCGATCGAACTTTGCCCAAGCCAAATTTCTGTAACTGAGTCAGCGAACTGGTCATCTCGTGTTTGGGTTCAATGTGCCCACCCATTGGGCGATCGCGGCGATAAGCTGTCCAGATTGGAGACAGAAGAGAGACTGAGAGACAGAGAGAAAGAGAGAGAGGTGTCAGGAAACTATTACTAGAGTGACCTATGGACCCAAACACATGTTCCACGCGCAGGCGGTGAAAACAAGTTTAATATATGAATTTCAAAATAAGGAAAGCCACACAACACAAGAGAGACAAGCAGACGGACGGACGGACGGGGCAGACAGGCCGATAGACCGATAGATATAAATAAATAAATACAAGAGCAGTATGAATAATTTAGAGAGTCCAAGAAATGGCCATGTCATCGCGACTCGTCGCTTTTCCCCGCGCCAGATAACCAATCCGCGCGAGCTTTGTACTTTGTTTTGGGCTAGCACCACGCCAGCAGACACCACATACCACAACACCCAACCACCCCGGTACCCCAGCACCTCTCAAGACTGCATCATCAGCGATTGATCGACGTCTTGCCCTCTGCCCGGCTGTGGCTGATGAAATGCGTCTTC